CCCCCCCCCCTCCGGTATCTTGGGTCAAACCAGCTTGCCACCTCCTGCATATGCGTAAAAAACTTTAGCAAAATAAATCTCATGGCATCACCTTCACTTCTTCCACACACAATGGCGAAAATTAATCAACCGTCGACGCAGGTCAAACTCACAAACGTCTCCCTTGTGAGATTAAAGAAGGGCAAGAAGAGATTCGAAATTGCGTGCTACCAGAACAAGGTCCAGGACTACCGGTCGGGCGTGGAGAAGGACATCGAGGAGGTGTTGCAGATCCCGCAGGTGTTCACCAACGTTTCCAAAGGCCAGGTGGCATCCCAGGAGGACATTGTGCTGTGTTTTGGCAAGGACAAAACCACAGATGAGATCGTGTTGGAGATCTTGAAGAAGGGAGAAATCCAGTTGAACGAGAAAGAACGCGTAGCCTCCAAGGAGAAGTTGCATACCGAAATCCTCACCATCATCGCCACCAAGTGCATCAACCCAAAGTCCAAAAAGAGATACCCGCCAACCATGATCAACAAGGCGTTGACAGAGTTGAAGGTTAACTTTTTGCCTAACCGGCCGGCCAAGATCCAGGCCTTGGATGCGATCAGACTCTTGATCGAAAAGCAACTCATCCCTATCGCCAGAGCCAAGATGAGAGTCAAGATTACGCTAGAGCTCGCCAAGTACAAGAAGAACCAGGAGCAGATTAGGGGCTTCTTGGCGGATGAGGTGGATGAGGACATTTCCGGCAAGCTCTGGGTCTGCGTGAGTTATATCGATCCGGTTAACTACAGGGATATTGTCGAACTTTCCCAGGCCAACAACGGTAGTGTGGAGGTTCTCGATATGACTGTTGCCGATGAAAGTGACAAGAACTTGTAATGAGTAACGTATAAGATGTATGGGGAGATTTTGAAAGAAAATGGAGTGTATTCTATGAAGAGATTTTTACTCTCCTGTGAATGTGTTAATGAAATGTTATCTTTTTGGAAAATACGTATATAGAGGGTATATGGAGGGGAATTAGATATTGCCTAATGATTTGAGTACCCCAATATCTCGAAAAAGAATCTCTACAAGGATTGAACGCAGCTAGCGTTGGATGTACCTCCGTTTTCAAAACCAAATATAGTATCGTCATCTATGTCTACCAATAATCAGTTTGACTCTAGCTTGACCCATAGTAATGGCGCTCCTGCATTCACCTCATCTGTCACGTGCGCATCGCAGATTTTTATTTTTAGGTGAAAAAATACATGCATAAATTTTTCACCTTCAAGTAAACCCCATCTCATCACCACACACCACCCCAACCATGGCTAAAAGAGGAGGAAAACAGGGCGAGGACCGCCGCAAGAAACAGAGACAAGACGCGGACGCATTATTATCCACCGGGGTCTTTGGAAACAGTGAGAAGGAAAAGTACGTCAACTCTGAAGACGAGGAGCAGGACTACGAGTTGAAACCCAGACGGATGCAGAACCTCGAGGAGACAGTGGAGGGGTTGCCGACCAAGGGGGCAGACGGGAAGGTCACCCGGGTGATGCGCGCCAAGGTAGTCAGAAAGGAGCAGCCTAAGGCCGAGGAAAAGCCAGTCGAGGCGGTTGAAGAGGCTGCGATGCCCGAGGTGGTGTCGGAGTCCGAAGAGGAAGAGGAAGATGACCTTACACCGCAGGAGAGATTGGTCAAATTGAAGGAAGAAATCGCTCATTTGGTTTCCGGGTTGATTGAGGAGCCTGAAGAGAACATCAGAAACCTCAACCGGTTGCGCAAAATGGCAGAATCCAAAAACCCGCTTACCCAGCGCCTCTCGCTTCTTTCAATGGTGCCTGCATTCAAGGCGATCGCACCGTCGTACCGGATCCGTGCGCTCACCGACGCGGAGAAGCGCGAGAAGGTGGGGCGTGACGTGGCGCGTGCGCGCCATTTCGAGGAGCATTTAGTGGCAAACTACAAGAACTACATCGATTTGTTGACCAGACTCGCAAAGGTCAGCGTTCACACCCCAAATGCCACCGAACACGAGATTATTTCGGGGAGGATTGCCACCAGCGCCGCCTGTGAATTGGCCTCTGCCTTGCGTTTCTTCAACTTCCGCGCGGAGTTGCTTGTGATCATTATCCGTCGGTTGAACAAGAGACCGGCAGACGGCGCCGATTTAAAGGTGTTCCTCAAGTGCATTACAACCTTGGAGGAGCTTTTGACGGGGGATGCCGATTCCGGTGACGTCTCCTTTGACGTGGTGCGCATCTTGCAGAAGGCGCTCAGGGACAAGAAGTTTAGGGTTGACGAATCGGTGGTGAATCTCTTTTTATCACTAAACATCTTGACCGACTACGATCCGTTTGTGCAAGACGACAAGCCGAACCGTAAGGTTAACAAGAAAGACAGGGTCCATCTTTCCAAGACGCAGAGAAAGGCCAGAAAGGAAAACATCGCCATCGAGGAAGAGATGCGCCAGGCGGAGCACGCGGTTTCGGCAGTGGAACGCGAAAAGTTCCAGGCACAAATTTTGAAGATGCTCTTGACGACTTACTTGGAGATTTTGCGCTCTAAGCCCCAGGAGTTGATGGCGGCGGTGTTGGAAGGGTTGGCTAAGCATGCGCACATGACCAACTTTGAGTTATTAGGCGATTTTATGGAGGTTTTGCGTGAGATTGTGCGAGATTTGCTTGTCGAAGAGGAACTTACCAGCGGGGAAATCCGCCAGGTCTTGCTTGCCATTGTGACTGCCTTTTCCCTCCTCGGTTCCAACCTCCAGTACAAGCAGTTAAAGGTGTCGATTGACTTGTCCGCCTTTATCAACGCTTTGTACACCATCACTCCCCAGATCGCGATGGACGCCGATTTGGAGTTTTCGCACAAGTCGTTGAGACTCGCGGATCCGCTTGCGCTTGCCAATGAGCCGTTCAAGCCGGCGGTGAACGTGTCCACCAAGGTGGAGTTGTGGTTGAAGGCCATGAATCACATCTTTTTCTTGTCCCGAAACGGTACGGCGCCTAGAGCCGCGGCCTTTACTAAGAAAATTTACATGGCCTTGCTCCAGACGCCCGAGAAGTCATCTATTGCCTTGTTAAAGTTCATCGACAAGTTGATGACCCGCCACAGCACCATTGCCAGTTTGTACTCCACCGAGGACAGAGTGTCGACCGTGCAGAGCTTTAGCTTGCAGGGCACCGATTTGATGAGGGCCAACGGAGAAATGGCCATGTTGTGGGAGAACAACTTGCTTGAGAAGCACTATTCCACTGTGGTTGTCAAGGGCTTGAAGAACATGCAGTCCAAGGCCAAGGAGGAGAACAAGCAGTAGTGTATATTATGAATTTTTTGATTTGAATGGTAGAACATGCAAGAGAGTTGACTTTGGGGCCGTACGCTTGGGCAGTTTAGGGTAAACTCCTAGAGTAGAACATGCGTCCTATGGCTAATATAAGACACCGGGGAACTTTGGTTGCCAGAATTGCCCGGTGTATGAGCGTGGTATTCCAGAACATTTCCAAAGACTCGATTTGCAAACAGTAGGAGGTAATATTAATGGCTAGGCGATACTGGACTAGAAATTTGGAAAAAAAGAACCCACGGCGAGAGTCGAACTCGCAATCTTTTGATTAGAAGTCAAACGCGTTAACCATTACGCTACGCAGGCATTCAATGAGGAGATAGGATATAAAGGCGTTGTGTCTTGTTTGCTTATCTGATGCGTATGTATACAAGAACGCTAGACAGTGACTTGGAGCCCCGGGTAAAAAAAAAGGTTGTTTTGTGCGACATACTAGCTTTGAGTAGTAAGTTTGGTGAGAGTCTCCTCGAAGACTGGAATCAATAGTTTATCAGGGCAACTGTCAGCATTGGTTTGGCACTATGCCAAGTTCTAAGGTTATATTCTAGATTTCACGGCGCTTTATAGCTCTGACTTTGGTTTTCGAGATTTGAAAGTGATGAATCAACTAGAGATACTACAGAGATGGGCCCGTGGGGTGGCTTGAATAGCTAATTCATACTGGTGCGTTTTCGAATTGCAGGGAGTCATAGTGGCATGTGATTTGGTTTACATTTTAGGGATTCAACTTTTAGCATTTCAATGCTGCTATCATTGTCCTTTTTCCACGTTCTCAAATAGTTTGACCTTCCAATCGGAGTGAACGATAATTATGCCTGGGTTAAAACTTATCCCGGTATATCTTTCGCAAGTCACTACCAAGAAATGGTCCCATCATATGTACTGGCGTACCTCGGCTTATATCACATTTAAATGATCTCGAGAATTTTTGTTGATTTATCTAGCCAACCCCAAAACAACTCAGTACTGCACATATATTTTCGGGTTTCTGTAGCGGGTTTTCTAGAATACCAATAAAAATAGACACATACACCGATATCAGAGACCAATTACGAGATGGGTCCTTAAGATCCAGTACTTGGCTACACCAGACATGAACTGTGGTGATAAGCTGTTGAAATATCGAGCAGAGAAATATAAAATCAAGGAATTTTTGAAATGTTTCAAGGCCTAGTCTTGCTGTCCAAGTCTACCCGGGTGAATATCTCCCGCTCGAGATGAGGAACGCCGCCCGGAATACCTAAGGGATGAGATCCACGAGGGGGAAATTATTCTCTCCAAATTGAGATTAGACCTAGCGTTTTACACAAAAGCACTTGGAACTCTTTGTCATTTTGGTGGATTAATCAAAATCCTACCAGCACCGCTGCATCTCAGTCTTGAGTTTGAAGCGATAATCAAACCGGCATGCTAAGCTTCTGGGCCTTATCAATCCATTGATTAACCCTGGTTGGTGATTATATTTCGTAAATCCCACTTTCCAGGTAAAAAAAGAATATCCATTTACTACCACGTGTAAAGGGTGCTTACGGGGCTTAAAAGCTCCTCATACTGAGATTTAGGACATAGCCATCCATACTATGCTAGTGTGAATTATATCCTATTATTTCTGTCTAACGGCCTAATATTCCAATCTTACGGAACTACAGTATATATTTTGCCGTTATACTCCGATTTGTGTGTATTAACCCAATCTGTTGCTTAATTTGTTTTGCTATGTAATTCTATATACGTGAACGCAACAGGTCACAGGCTAAGTAGGTCACAGGCCAAGCAGCTGACCAATGAGAATGCATCATCCATCCCCTTACTCCAACGTCCACACACATCCTTTCGTAGTCACCCTCCTCTACAAAACGACTTATATATATATACCGTGACTCCTGGGCTTTTGGATTAAAACTGCTCAAGACTAATGCCTACGCGCAGTGGGCTTTGACAGCGCCCGAACCGGAATTTTGCTCCTGCCAACGTTACAGCGCTAAATTTTCGCCGTCCGCGAAAGTGGGACAACAGCCAGAAAAGAAAATTAAATTAAATTAAATCACTGAAACGGCACTGTTTCCCCCCAGAACTAGTGCTACATTACACAGGCCCCAACCGCCATCAATCTCCCGTTGCAACCCATTGCCCTTGACCGCCTACCACTGTTTAAATTTTAACGCCATTTATCCCGCGCGCAGTGGCTATTTCAAAGCATCCACCCATCCACAACAACGGAACATTGCTTTGACCGCTAGAAATTAAATATATAATCCATTTATCAATGGCCCAGGAGCATCCCGTCTTTCCGTTCGACATGTTTTCATCGCTATCTAGTATGAAGTCTAGCGACCAGTCCACGCCAACTGGCAGCCAGGACCCGTTTGCTTTTAACCCCCGTTCCTTCGACATCGAGATGAGCCAGGATAAGACCACTGAAATTTCCTATCAACCCAATGAAGTTTCTAGCCAAGTCAAGGACATTTCCATTCAAGTCCCCGAAGAAATTAAGCCCGATCTGACGTCTAGTGAAACCTCCGATGAGACAGAAAGTCACACCGTACTGTCTGCGATCCCCATCCATGGATCTTTCGCTTTCATCAGCCAAACAACTTCTGATCCAGACAACTCCATGAGCCAAGACACTCTTAACGCTTCCTTTTCGTTTAGTGCCTCCCAGCCTACCGTTGAGCCCTTGAGGAAGCCCACCTCAGACATCGCCTCGGAACAGCCTGCGTTAAAGGAGATCCTCCCTAAGCTAATCAGTAAGTACGACCAGAAGAGTGGTAATATTTTTTTTTGGTGCGGATGTGCATAGATTTGCAATGTATTGGACGCTCTTTGGACTGCTTAAACACGGATATTTTCTCAAGACAAGATCTGAGACTAGCCTTCTCCGTAGCTTCCAAGAATGTTGCAAATTTATCATTGAAGTTCGAGAAGTATGGACTACCACCCGAGACTTCCAACTCTTGACAATACTAACACCTCTAGCACCTGCCCCTGAGTCTGAGGAAACACCTGTGGCTCCAAAACGGAAGCGAGGTCGCCCTAAGAAGGTTGTCGCACAGGTTGCGCCGCCGCTAGAGAAACGCAAAAGAGGCCGCCCCAGAACGCGTCCAGTGGAGGAGACTGCCACCAAACCGAGAAAATACACCAAGAAAACTCGCGATGAAAACGGAAAGTCGTTGCTCCACACGGGCAGACCAAAAACCAAAGCCGTATCGTTTATGGGGATCTTGATGCAGAGAAAGCTCGCAAGGGGCGAGGAAGTGGAGGAGTACATCGAAGAATACCCCAACACCTCGGAGGCTGAGGATAGCGACAAGGAGAACCAAGAAGAGGTTCCGGAGCCCGAGCCAGCACCAAAGCCTACCAGAAAACTCTTGGTACGCCAACCGAAAAACGTCTCCGTCCTCCGGGTTCCGCAGGCCTTGGTTCTCCCGCCAAAACCCGTGCCAAAGGCCCCGGTTCAGGCGCCGGTACCAGTGGTGAAGCAGCGTCCGGGCGTCAAATTGAGAATTGGAAGCAAGCGGGCTCGTAAGGTGACCAGAAAAAACCGCTTGGAGCGGATTCTGGTGGTGGATCTGAAGTATTCGCAGGTAATTTTTGTGTTTTCCAACGCGGAAATTTTGATTTCGGCTCCGGATTCGCTTGCAGTTTCGCCGACCCCGGTGGTTTCTGGAAGCACCACACCACTTTCATTGAACGCAACCCACGACGCTTGGGTCAGAGAACGAATTGAGCGAAAGTCGACGTTGTTCCAGCTGTTTGGTGATTCCACCGAGAGTGATTCGTTGTCTCTAGCTTCTCAAGAAGGGGCTCCCCAGGAGCTCCCGACGGCCCAGGACTTTACTTCGGGGTATATTCTATCTCAAGAGCCTATTTCCCAGGTATCTATTCCAGATTCTGCCTCTCAAACCTCCCCCGCACCGACTCTCTTGGCCCCAAATCCAATGGAACTCTTGACTCCAAACCAACTCGAGCTTTTTGCTCCGGAATCTACCCCAGTGAGTGCTTCCAACGACCAGAGCCTGGTCACACATAACGGAGAGGCGTCTCAGAACCCTTTGCTAGATACCGCCAACTGGTTGGCTGTGGGACAAACTGTTGCCCCCAGAAAGCGTGGCCGTCCGAGAAAGTACCCATTGCCTGCCACAAATGGAGTTTCAGTTGTCGGCGCTCCCGTTACCAATGGAGCCCTGTCTGTCCCAACCTCCAACGGAGTAGTCGAAGGGACTTCAGCCCAGATTTCAGGGCCAGTGGCCCCGTTTCCGAGAAAGCGTGGCCGTCCGCGGATTCATCCTATCGGTTATATTCCCGCAAAGGCGGTCAAAACCGGCTCGGGCCGCCCGGGTCGTCCACCGGGGAGACCCCGCAAGCACCCGCTCCCAGTTTCCGCTTTGTTGTCCACCACTAACATCGGCCACCCGCTTAGAGCCATCAGAAGCAGGCAGAGCTTGTACTTCACCGCCGCGTCCAAGACCTTGCCCAACCTCCCAGGCTTGTTCAAGTCTGACAACGGGTACGTGCAGTTCAGCAGGGGCTATCTAAAGGACATTATGGCTCCGGGGTTGAAGGATGTTCCTAAATAATGTGTGAAGGGTGCGGGCGTTCAAGATAGGCTCAAGATATGCCTGTTTTAATGTAATGAATTCATACAAAAATACAAATAAGCTTAAATTTAGACCAGACGGCGCTGCGCTTTGGATACATATGCTAGAAGTAAGCTTCTATTATTTCAGTCACATTTTCTTGCGACATATGATACGTATTTTCACGTACTCCTCGTGGAATCAACGTTAGCTAAGAGCTACATGTAAGCTGTCCCTGTTGGATTACAGTGTTACATCCTCACCGTCATCCGGTACGGACCTACTATATCGCAGTATTAAACTGAAAATATGCTATTATATATCACTTAAAGTATTCCAACCTTGGCTTCCTCGTTTGTATCCAAAAGCAATGCCGCAGCCGCAGCCCATTTTGTGTTACGTGCCATGCCATCTATTGGTCGCAAAAATAGACCCCATATTTGATAGTAGATAAGGGTTGTAATATTCGTTCAAACCTGGGATCCTTTTGATATACCGCATTTGTTAGATACAGACAGCTCGAAGCCATCTTTTGCTTGGCGACAACTTTGCTAATTCGAAAAAAAAAATAGCGCTAGAATGAGAGCTTTAGAAAGCCAGAAGTTCCCTTCGTTCCGGTCGTTTAGAAGGAGTAAGAAATCCAAAGGAAGCATTGATGTGCTCCAGATTCACAAGGTTGATGGACTGAGCGACCCCACTGATATCCACCGTCAGGCTCCTATCTCCCTTTCTAAAACCGCCATGTTAGAAACTCCAATTGTTCACGTTCAGTCTATTGTTCCTGCTGCGCTTGCAGAGTTCCAAGCGTTAGATTTGGCTTCAGAGCTGGTTCTGTTGGACATTAACTCCCTGTTAATCGCCAAGATCCCTGAGGCCATGTACAGCGGCTATGCCTACGTCGAGTGGTACGTTTCCAACGCTAAGCAGTCAGCAGCTTATTTCCAACACTCTTTAGGATTCAAGCCGGTGGCCTATAAGGGTTTGGAGACGGGATCCCGCGATGTCTGCTCGCACGTTGTCCGCAATGGTGACGCCATCTTTGTCTTCACCAGTGCCCTCAGAAGTAGTGCCCCGGAAGGCTCTGAGGACAAGGAGACTGTGGATGCCATCCATAGTCATATTACCAAGCACGGTGATGGGGTCAAAGACGTGGCATATTACGTCAACGATGCACAGACCCTTTTTACTATCTCCACCGAGGCCGGTGCTCGGGTTATCGAGCCTCCACACACCGTTCAAGACGAGTACGGCAGCGCTGTGATTGCCCGTATCTCTGTATTTGGCGACACGGTTCACAGTTTGGTCCAACTTCAGGATTATGCTGGTCCTTTTTTGCCCGGGTACAAGCCCCCAAAGGCGCAACAAGCCACCATCTTTGATGATCTAAGCCCAATAGAGTTGATCCGTATCGACCACTGCGTGCAGAATCAGGGTTGGGATAAGATGGTTGAGTCATGCTCGAAGTACTCCAGGATGCTCGGCTTCCACAAGTTCTGGCTGGTTGATGAGAAAGACGTCTCCACTGAGTTTTCCGCTTTGAAATCCATAGTCATGGCCTCCCCTGACGAGGTGATCAAGATGCCGGTTAACGAGCCCGCCGTGGGGAAATGCAAGTCTCAGATCGAGGAGTTTATCGAGTTTTACGATGGCCCGGGCATCCAGCACGTTGCTATTTTGACCGATGACATTATTGCTACGGTTGGAGCTATGAAACTGCGGGGGTGCGAGTTTATCAGCGTTCCAGATGCGTATTTCGATAATTTAAGGGAGAGACTCGCAACAAGCAGTACCGAGATTTTAGAATCTATGGATGAGTTGCAAAGATTGGGGGTGTTGGTGGATTTTGACGAGAACGGCTACCTCCTTCAGTTATTTACTCAGCCTTTGTCTGACAGACCGACGTTGTTCTTGGAGATTATCCAGAGACACAACCATAACGGGTTTGGAGCGGGAAACTTCAAGGCGTTGTTTGAAACAATCGAGCAAGAACAGCGGAAAAGGGGGACGTTGTAACAAGCGCTGTGGGGTACCAGTCGTGTGACTTTAATTTAGAATTCAATAATGGCTGAAGTTGTTTGGATATATAGACGGGTATGCCTTGTGTTGAAGGTTCATGTCATGCGTGTGGTAAAGCAATCGACGTTACTCAGGTCTAACCAAATTAATATTTTAATATTTATATATTCATTCTTGGATGGCTCAAAAACTACGGAACATCTTTTGTTCACAAGATTCCGTATTATCGGTCTAAAGCTATAACTCTATTTATTACGGGCAACTGGATTTTCGGCCAAGGGGAAACATTCACCCTAAGCTGACAATTAGACACTATGGCCGAGTTGGTTAAGGCGAAGGTCGCAGAATTTGCGCTTTCGGGCGCAGACGCAATCCTTTGGGTTTACCCGCGCGGGTTCGAATCCCGTTGGTGTCTTGATGTTTTTTTTTTTAACATGTCATTTTCAGAGCAAGTGATTTTTAACCGACTATTGATATCTAGAGTCTGTAGTGTGTATGAAACTAAGCTTCAAGTGTAATTTTACGTCTATTCAAGGTTTATCTTTGGGATTTGTGTTGATAATTTCTCCCATACTTGTTCTCATGAACCTGAATCAACTCAGTATTAGGATCATATATTGTCTTACCGACCTCGATGCGTATAAGTTTTGATTGGTTTGGCATCACCTACCCAAATTTTGTAACATTATCAATCCCAACAGAGATATTCCCAAACGGTGCAATTCCTCTTTCAGGGTTGTATTCTCGCCAAATATCCCACTCTAATCCATACATTTCTTTCCTATGATACAATATTATTTCCCTATAACTTCAATCCAGAACTGCCGGTTTGGACCTTGCCCTTCTTCAAGTTACCCTTGACGTCTCTCATCTCACCCTTCTTGCCCACAACGGTGATATTAGAAGCGTTGGCCAAGGTCTCAATGACATCATTAGTCTTTGACTTTTTAGTAGCTGGGGTGCCAGACTGTTTCGCAGCAATCGCCTTTTCGGCAACCTCCTTGCCTCTCTTTCTCTTAACAGCTCTGCGCAATCTCTGCTTGTCGTCGCGCGACAACTCGTCCTTGGACATTACAAGACCCGATTTCAACTTGATTTCACCGTTACCGGTCTTTAACCCACGAGCGTCTGTCGGATTGTAGATTTCTTGTGGGGCGAGGGTCTGGGTGGTGGAGCCTGTCAATGGCTGAGCATCTTCCATTGCAATGGCGTTGGTGTTAACCTTGACCTCCAACGATTTCTGTTGTGGCTTCGGAACAAAGTGGGCGGAGCACAAAGCATCTAACTTGTGGGATAACGACTGGTACATGGCGGTAATCTCCTCGTGGGCCTTTGTCAACTCATCGCTGGCAGCCGAAGGCGCGGTGGTGGCACCGGTAGCGTTTTGGTAATCGTCCTCGTACAACTGCGCCAAAGACTTGGAAGATTTGGTTTCGCTAAGCTCAAAACGGTTGGAGGAACGGAAATTTTTCAAGTCGGTGACCACCCGTCTTGGAAGGTCATCCCATTCTTCCGCCTTGATTCTTCTTCTGATCATCTCCTCAAGCGACTCGGTCGACTCCTTTGTGATTACAGGCACCGGCTTTGCGGTTCGCTCAAACTCCAACTCCTCCTCGAGCAAAGAGTCCATTGGACGGTCACGGGCCTTGGCCTCACCCCTCATCGACCACTTCTTGACCGCCACGGCCTCCTCTTCCAACTTGGTAATCTCCTCCTGGATGAGTTTTTGATGCTTTTGGAATGACGACATGTTTTCCTCAGCCGGCTCTTGTTGCGTGTCTTCGTCAGCGAAAAGGTCCATCATGGCACCATTCATGGCGTTGTCGTAGTCGTCTTCATTAAAGTCAAATTCTTCCTCCTCTTCCTCCTCGGCTTTCTTGGACTTTTTGGCCACAACTTTGGTCTGTTCGTTCGGTTTGTCAAAGAAATCGTTGAAATAAGCCACGTCGTCTTCGTCAGAGTCGCTCAAGTCGCCAAACATGTCGATTCCGTCGTCTTCCTGGTTGTCGTCCATATTTTCCGCAGCAAGGGTCTGTCTGTTGAACTCATCGATGTCAAAGAAGTCGTCATTAAGGCCGAATGCATCTTTCTTTGCGGTGGTTGTGACGGTCACGGTCTCTTCCTCTGATTCAGGTACTTTGACGTCCAACTCAGCTTCAGATTCTTCCAATTCATCTTGTGATTCTTCCAGTCCACCTTCAACATCCAAGTCATCCTCAGATCCTTCCAATTCCTCTTCAGAGCCCAACTCCTCGTCTGAACCCAAGTCTTCTAAGCCAGAGCCTTCGGCAGATTCCTCTCCCGATTCTTCCTCGTCCGCAAACTCAACGGAAAAAAGTGCCTTCAACTCGGGAATCTTCTCGGATAACAAGTTTTCCGAAACATCATCGATGATCAACTTGGCCTGGCCCCATACCTGGGAGGAATCCAAGCCATCTACATATATCTCGTCGATGATCGATCTTTGTTGGTTTTCGGCGTCGGTGTTGGCCTTGATGACAGGGTCCAAGTACTGTTTGATGGTCTGGAGCACGGAATCCTGGCTTTCCACAGACTGGGCAAACACCGCAGTCGGGTCTTCCGTAAAGAGATCCAAAATGTCAGTGGTGGAAGACATAGCTGGGATATGAGGTGATGGTATAAGATGCTGAATCTTTTTAAGCCTGCAGAAAAATCTTTTCAAATTTTTTACGCCGCAGCGCGCCGCATGGAGATGGTCATGCACGACGCGACGATGCGGTGAGCTAGAGGGTGTAGTTATTTCTAAAAAGTTTTAGGATTAGATCGACCAGTAGAAGCTTTTAGAGTGCGTTTTGCGAATTAGTTTTATAATCGGTGCACATTCCCCTATCTGATATTCACACAATATAGTGCACTTTTCTGTGGTTCTATATCCCCCCCGTTGAATTTCCTCTACTCCCGTGTTTAATGTTTCCCATGTATATTTTCATGTATATTTTCATTCATCACTTTTCAAGTCTCTACACCAACTTGTCTTCAATGCGTTGCGGTGAAACCTCGCTGATGTCCTTCAAACACTGCTCGTACGCGTCGATGAAGAACCTGGCTCTGTCCAAGCCGTCGTAGGACTTGGAGATGTTCACTGTGATCTTCAAGCTAGGGGTGACGGCCGCTTCGGCGACGGTTTTCTGAGTTGGGAGGCTCATCAAGTCATCAAACAAGTCGTCAAGGTCCAAAGCAGCGGCCTTTGGTGGGACAGCAGCGTCGAGCACCTCGACAGCCATAACGATCGCATCGGATTTACCAGCCTGTAATAACTCCTCAAAGACTGGGTCCACAAGGGCTGACTTGGTGCGGTATCTAGAGTCGTAGGCCTCACTGGCAGCCTCATAGCAATCGTCCAAAAGCTCGGCCAACCCTCCCGCATTCTGCGTCTGGGCGATCGGCAAGGCGTATGCTCTGACGATCTGTGTTGGAGGCAAGACCTTAGCCGGCTTGGTGGCCTTAGGCGCTTCTGGAACCCTGAGTACAATGTTGGACAAGTCGAGATGCTCCTTCGACTGGAGGTACAGGGTGAAGAAGCTAATGTTATCCGCAGAGGCCTGGCCGAGGTACGCCAACACGTCACCGAAGAGCAAGCGGCCCTTTGGTCCGGACGCTGGGATCTTTGCGATCGCATCAGCTTGCGAAATGTGGTTCTTGTGGAGGAGAAGCTCCACAGAAGGAAGGAGCTTGTGGTTGGTGGCAGCATTGGCAGGCCCAAAAACAGAGGCAGACTTTCCAGACTTGGCTGGGGTCTGTGGGGGTTTGGCTGTTGGGGTCGGAGCCGGGGCAGGAGTCAGGACTGGAACTGCCGCCTTTGGAGTTTCCTTTGGAATTTCCTTTGGAGCAGGAGTTGCCGGGGCAGCACTTTCAACGGTATAGTCCAAATCAGCCAAAACATCACCCTCTTCCGCCAAAAACGCAATAGTCTGACCGACTGGAATTTTCTTATCGCCATCCTTCAGCAAGATCTTCGCCAAGATCCCATCGTCTTGCGCCTCAACGTCGATCGTCGCCTTATCCGTTTCGATCTCCAAAAGCACGTCACCGGTAGTGAATGCCTCACCTGGCTGGAATTTCCATTCGATAATCCCGCCTTCCTCCATGGTTGGCGACATGGCTGGCATCTTGAACGCGGTCGCCGCAAAGCGGGACGGAGTCATACAGAATGCTAAATTGTTAGTATCTATGTGGGATTAAAGGATGCTATTATTGGAAATCGTGAAACATAATTGGTGAGTTATATCCGTGCTGCCTCAACCATTGGTCAAGCCGCCGATTGACGGCGTAAGTCGTACCACAGTCCAGCTATATCTTTCAATCGTCTTGTTGATTCACATACCTCTAATTCTGGCAGGCACTAAGGCCTTGCGCAATGTGGCTGCTCTAATCATCGTATGATAGTTAGTCCGAGGTGAGCAAGACTTGTGGTTGAGGTCGTTAAAAGCGCAAATATCTCGAGACCTGCTGATGTATGCGCTTTCCCCTCCCGCAGCTTAAGAGCACGAGATTTCGGACTACCAGCTCCCATGAAACATACAGGATAATTATTGCCAGATCGAGCATCATATAGTTCGTGCCACATCGGGAAGTCAGTGTGTGACACGTGATGCCGATGACCTGTCATGTACGTACGGAAGATGAGTTCCGTGGGGCAGGAGGGCTGGCCCGGTTGCTTTTTGCCAGACTTGGGGTTTGAAATAAGGATTATAGGCGGAAATAACCCATGAGCCATATATGGGTTGGTAAAGTATAGTACAGTGATATATCTGTATGGATTATACACTCAATACTGTCTGATGTTGAAGATGAGCCCTTATGCATCGAAGCTATACGTTTAGATCAGAACTGGTGGTACGAGTCGTGTCTTTCAGTCATATAAGCAAGAATTAGCATTATCGATAATATGGAATTTTGCCGGTAACCGAAACTAGATATAATGGTTTATAATTATAAGAGAGGGATCGTAGCTACTTACCCAACACCGGATGGATAATCGATAGATAATATATGCTACCTGGTTCGTAATCAAGACTGCATATAGCTTTGGGGTTTGAACTCCGAACCCCACCCACTCTTTGAGGCTGTCGAGAACTATATTCTCAGTATCGAGATAGAAAACGCCCTGGACCTGAAATTGGTTACAAATTAAATTTCCTACCGAGCGGAACCCCTATCCTATGAGAAAACCATCATTGAAGGTATTCAAATCCCTAGCCGGATCCAAATCATATGGCCTGTACTTGAGTTCGGTCCACTAAGCCAGAACCCGGTTCGTAAACTCCAAATGGTCATACCTAAGTCGCTATATGTAATCCATGGGACTAATCGTTGCTATACTCCATATAACCGCAAATTAAATCTGAGGGAGGTTTGGTTACAAATGCGCCGCATGGTAACGTTGACGACGAATCCAAAACATCGATAGTGGCATACATCTTGAACTTTGTGAGTTAACCAAAAGCCGCACCCGTACTAAATTAGCTTTAAATCCAGGTAAATTTTGGATAACAACCCTGATCTTGAAACCCCTTAGTAGTTACTTCTCCATTACACCTAGCCAAGCTTATCATAGCCTCTCCTGGTCCAATCCGACGTATTAATCCTGCACATAGCCCATTCCCCAATCCGGAAGATAAGAAAAATCTCGTGTTTAGTTTTTGTTCGTGCCTGATCCTTGGCTATATATAGACCGGCGACAACAATACAAGTAGCCCTACAACCGCGGAATTGTCTCAGCTCGTTCTTTCTTTGCTACACGATTGACAAAAACTGTAATTCATACGTGCTTGAGTTCCAGACCTGGCATCTAAGTGACGAGTGATTTTACCATTGCATACATAATCCACACCAGCCATTGGAGCCTGATCCCCAGATTGTTTCAGCCCTAACCTCCCGTTTTTTTTTTTGTTAAACCCCGAACCACTTTTTCATGGACTCTGCGACCCCACCCACCGGTGCATATACGGAAATCCCCGTGGAGCGCACAGCACAACTGATTCGCGTGCGCCGCGACCTGATCCTCAACCAGCCAATTGGTTCGTTCAAGGGCCCCAACACACTTGGACGGTTTGCGCTGTCGTATTCGCGTGCCCAGTCGTTCCGCTCGATCGACCCCAGCTACGCCACGCGTCGCTCCTTCTTTGTGGAAGACGATGACGAGATCTTTGACCCCAACACTCTTGCGCCCGCCACGCGCGGCGCCCGTCTTTCAACGCTTATCCACGACTTCCGCCGCCCCTATGGTGCGGTGGAATCAGACGAGGAGGATTCTGACTCGGTCTTTGATGATACCCGTTCATTCGCATCCTTCCGCAACACCTACTCTACGGCAGCCCAAGGCCGCTTGCACCCGGCCCGGTCGCACATATCGCTCGTGGAGAGCACGCCACTTGTGTTGAAACACGTTGAGGATGCCGAGGGCAAGGTGCACACGGTCATCGCGGGCCAATCCACTAAGCCGCAAACGGTGTTCAACTCTGTAAACGTGCTCATCGGTGTGGGGTTACTTGCTTTGCCGCTTGGCATGCGCTACACCGGCTGGGCTATGGGCGGTTTTATCCTCACGGTGTGCTGTGCCGTCACCTTCTGGTCCGCTGGCTTGCTTGGTTACTGTATGGATACGGACCAAACGTTGATGACGTATGCCGATCTTGGCTATGCATCCTTTGGCTCCCGGGGCCGCCTTCTCATTTCGTTCTTGTTCTCCCTCGACCTCCTTGGCTCGTGTGTGGCGTTGATCATCTTGTTTTCTGACTCTCTCAACGCGCTCTTCCCCCAATTCTCCGTCACCCAGTGGAAACTTATCGGCTTTGTGGTGCTCACGCCCTTCAGTTTCTTGCCTCTTAACGTTTTGTCCATTTTTTCCCTCCTTGGAATTACGTGCACCATTTCTGTGGTGGTGCTCACCTTTTTTTGCGGACTTTTCAAACCGGAAACGCCCGGATCCTTGGTTGAATTCGCGCCGTTGAACATGTGGCCCGACACTGGTCTCGATTTTTTGCTCGGAGTGGCCATTCTCATGGCACCGTTTGGCGGCCACGCCATCTTTCCAAACTTGAAAGCAGACATGAGACATCCCCATAAGTTCCAGTCCTCGCTCAAGATCACCTACGGTATCACCTACGTCACAGACTTTTCCATGGCCGTGATTGGCTACTTGATGTTCGGCACCAAGGTCGGGAACGAGGTTACCAACTCGTTATTGTTGACTGGCGGCTATCCCGCGTACATCTATTATCTAATCTCCGGGCTCGTCAGCATGGTGCCGTTTGCCAAGCTTCCGCTCAATGTCAACCCGATCGTCAATGTGCTTGAGGTGGTGTTGGGCTGTGATAAGACCGCTGTTCGCGAGCAGCAGGCCTCCCAGAAAGTGTCCGGGCTAGGTTTACCCCTCTGGTGCAACGTATTGTTGCTGAACGCGCTCGTTGTGACGGTCAACTTGCTGGTGGTGTTGATTGCGATCGTCATGCCGGACTTTGACCGTGTGATTGGGTTGATGGGGGCGTCGTTGTGCTTTCTCATTTGTTTGATCTTGCCGACGTGTTTCTACTTGAGGTTGTGCGGGGATAAGATTGGAGGGGCTGAAAGAGTGTGTTGTTATGTTTGCATCGGGGTGAGTGTGGTGTTGGGGGTGACGTGTACGTATGCAACACTCAGAAACTAGGCCCGGAGGAGGAAGAGCTTTTACTAAGGCAGACCACCGAGCATCTTGCCAAAAGTGCCGTTGTCTGAGTTGGGTGAGCTAACGGTTCCTCGTCCTAGAAAGGGGTTTATACCACTCTCACTATGTAATGTCCATTTATTAAAGCTTACCGTAGGTTGGAATTCCAATGAGAGCACTCATTTATGGCTGGACATCCCCATCCACAAACCCCCCGACCTCCGTCACATAATTGTTCAGCCAAAAACTATCTACACAATACAACACTCCCCCAAGGTCAATCCGTACATGACCTTCTCGACATGGCGCTTGATCACTGCCCAGTCGCTTCGGCGCTGGACAAACTCGTAGATATCCTCCTGGGTGAACACCCCGTTGAACTTGCCCAAATCCGAACACATCTTTCCCAACGTTTTCGCATCTGTCCCGTCGATCAAAAACATGGACCCGACGTTCTTCAACGCGGTAAAGAGCGGTACCAAGGGCTTCTGGCGCAACGAAAGGATAAAGTCGTAGTAGTAGTTCAAGTCGGCGATGAGCGTGATCGCCCCGTCGGTTGAAATAACACACCTGTGCTTCATGTTCTTCACGATCGCTGCAAAGAAGCGTTCGCCGATTTCCTGCTGGAAGACGTCGATGATCGCCTTATCGGTCGACCCCTGGAGCAAGTTGACGTGGTTCTTGAGGATCTCGACGTTTTTCAAGGCACACGCGGTAGGCCCGAAGTTCGGCTGGGTGGCAGCGGCCAAGGTCTGCGAGCCCATGGAAAAGAAACTCGACACGGAGTTGGAGGAGCCTGGAGGGAGAATGCTGTTAGTGATCACCGGGTGGTAATCCGTCACGGTTTGCAAGCTCTCAAACACAAACTGGATCTCGTGGACCAAAACATCGATCCCTACATTCAACCCATTGGCAACATAACTGTCCAACGACGTTTCAAACTTCTTCTTGGTCCCCACAATCGGGTTGAGAAAGTCCTGGTTCGGGTTAATGATCTTGGAGTGCACCAAGTTCTCCTGGTAGAAGATGTGGAGCGTCTGCTGGATGAGGTCTGCGAGGTTCACGAGCTCCGTGAAGATCACCAACGGCTCAACGGTGGAGATCTTGTTGATCTCGGTTCTAGCCCCCAGAAACAACTTTGTAGGATCGTACGAGTTGAGCAAGGCAATGGCCTTCGTAAAACTTGAGCCGATATGGTGGAAACCAATGCTCCGGAGCAACTCCAAGTAGATCTTAGAGATGGTATCATTGATGAACGGCTTGAGTTTGACAATGTTTTGGAACGTGTTCATGTGGTTGATGAGGATCCGAGATGCGTTGATGATTCCCATCGACAACTCCAACGACACTATCTCGTTCAAAGACTTGAGCTTTTCGTTCAAAATCTTGATTTTGGCGTCAAACGCCGTGAGCTCCTCCTTTGGCACTTCATCCTGTTTGGCCTGCTTCTTTGGCCCATTGAAGATCACAATCTTCTTGAAAGAGGATAACAAGTCAAGCTTATCGCTCCTTTTGTTGCTCGGGTCCACCACCTGGGCGAGAATGTGCGTCTCCGTCTTCTGTTCCCGCTCCAGTCGCTGCAAGTCCCACTTCTGTAGCGTGGCGCTGTTGTCCTGGAGAAATGTCTCGAACGAATCGTTGATATATTCCACGACGAACGGCTCGTAGTACAAGTCCACAAGCATAAGCATCTGCGCTTTGTTGTCGCCCATGTTTGCAGAAGGCCCCAAAGCACCCACAAAGTCGTACACGAGGCAGTGGTATACGAACGGCACAAACTCGGCGTACACCGGCGTGATTTTTGCACGGGCGATGACCAAGGCAATGAACTCGATAAAGTGTTTTGAAACCATCTCCTCGCTGAGCTTGTACATTATCGGAAGCTTCTGTGGGAAAATGACATCCACCTGCGCCGCCTGGACGTTGAACACGTCTGCAAGCGTTGCAAACATTGCATGGAGCGCCTCTTTGTTGATCAGCACTGCCTTTCCATCGTTCGGCCCCGCTTTGGCGTCTTCGCTCTCATTTTCCGTAAAGTAGTCGCTGACATTGCCAAAAATCGGCTCGTTATCGTTCAAGCTGCGCTGCAAGAAGAAATCCACCAAGGTGTTTTCGCTACCAATGTCGATCAAGATGTTTGCAAAGAGCTTCACCTCCAGAAGCTGCTCCGGGGTCACTGAGCGCGCCAGCTTCTCATAGTTAATCTCCAACTCACGGAGGATCGCGTTTTGGAAGATTTCCAAGATGGACTCGAGACGTGCGCTGGAGGTTTCATCGGAGTTGGAGCACGACCTGACAAGCTTCGTGTACTGCTGGAGGTTCACCAAGAGTCTGGCCTGGTCCTGCGGCTGTTTGTAGTCCTGGAAGATCTTCACATCATTGAAGTTGCCCAGCGAGTTGGAGCCGGCTAGGTCCACGTAGTACGGCGCTAGGCAGTGGTGGATCGCGAGAAGTTGCGGCTTGAGCTGGGAGTCCGCATACTGAAGGCAGTCGTAACATGTGAGCGGGTCTGCGGGGGGGAGGCTGGAAGGTTTGGGGCGTTTCTGGTACGCTTCCTCGTCCCATTTGCCGATGGATTTGTACCGGGCCACCCAGAACTGGGGGGAGTTGTAGAGGGTGTGACAGAGTCGGTTAACCTGGCCGAAGGTGATGGCATCAGTGAAGGATAGGAAGCGCAAAATATTGGTCGCTACCGTCAGTGGCAAGCGCAGGGAGGTCTTGATCTTTGAAGAGTGGCCCAGAGAAGCCTCGGCCTCCGTGATGCGACTCAGAGAAAGCTCAGCCTTTGGAATGTGTTCAGGGGGGATGGTCAGAGGGGAAATCATTGGAGGCACCGGAGATTCGTTTGACAATAAATTAGAGACAGCTGAAGAGATTTTTGGGATGCTCGGTGTCATCTTCAGGGCAATCGGGAGTTCATCTGGGGCATTTGCCGACAATGATGAACTAACAGGCTCTTTTGCCAGCTGAGCTGTTCTCTGACTGGAATTTTGAACAAGCGGTGAAATCTTTGGCTGAAGCACCTTCAAATTGATCTGCGGAGGTACCACAGCCACCTTCACTCCATCTGTATTGATGCTAATCTGGGGGTTGGCAAGGCCCACCCCAGTGCCAGTCGTTGGGTTGATGGTATCTGCACGCTTTACCGGCGTGAGAACCTGAGTGGAGTCCCATGATATCAAAGGATTGGACATGGTGGTGTGAGGAACAGGCGAGACGGAGTGGAAATGCCGGAGATAGTTTAAATAGAGGCTAGGTCATGGAGTAGAAGCTGGTGTGCGGTAACCATTTACTTGGTAAAGACACGTACATAGTATGACATTCCCCGTAGATATGGCGGTCAGCTCACTGACAGGGTATCATAATGGAGTTTTAAATTTAAGAGATGCTTAAAAGGTAGAGTAGATATGCATTTTTAATAACGTAGTTCTTGGATATGGGTTGAATTATGTGAGAAAAATCAATCGTGTAGTTGTAACATTGCACGATGAAACATAAAGCTAAGACGATGAATCGACTAAATTTCAGGGTCTTGCAAAGTTTGGAATCGCGATATAAGCTTCATGCGATACCCCTTTTCGCAGAAAACTCCCACAACAAATTTCCTTTCGTCTTGTTATATTTTGTAGACCAATGAGGTTTTCAAGGCCCTTTCCGTGGAATCTCGGGAGAGAAACATAACACTCTATGATTAATAAGAAAGTCTCTAGGAAGGTATAAAATTAGGCTGTGTGGGCTCTCTGGGCAATTGATATTACAATATCGACTTGTCTACGGGACGGGACCGATATCAAAGCCATTTAGAACTCCGTGACATAACTTAGGTTACTCCAACATGAAGGGGCCCCGTAAAATTACCGACAATAATCTGATTATATTTCCTTTTTTTTTCCATCGTGGTTTATGGAACTTCAGCTTATCGCCAGGCCTGGGCCCGCGGCCAAACCAAAACTGGAGTTTACCCGCATACCTCTGTTTCAACGCCGTCCAGAAAGTAGCAACATCCAGTGTAGGCAACGGGCGAATCGAGATACGATCACGAACCTCATAATAACCCCTATTCATTATGTCAGTTGCATTAAGGTCTTGGTCTAGGCGTCTAATTTTATCAACGCCACCAATTTTCACTGGTCGCCACCGAGACCAGCACAGACATTCTCGCCACCTGCGCTATCCCAGGCTTACGGAATAGCCACTTACCCGTATCCATGGCTTTATTCATACAAACTCGTTTGATAATAACAGAAATAAAAATATAGAGTCTTTGATACAAAAATCACAATACCTTAACCATATATAACTGCGCTCAGATCGCTTAGCTGGTTCCACCACATTCAGTGCAGGACTTTAAACTTGATTTATTTTTCAGTGCAGACCCTGACCATCTCTTGACAAGACTCTGCACCTGGCTATACCCAGCACTTTGCTCTGCATCAGATTTCTATTGCTTTAAAGTGCGCTGAGAAATCTACACCTGTTCCACAAATTTACACTTCCAGCGGTCTGTTAAAAGCTCCTTAAAGGCTGCTTCACTTTTTGCACCTACCCACTAGCATACTTCCGCTCAACTTCCAGCTTAGCTTCCGGAAATACGTCCATAGCTTCATATTTCCTTCATACACACACTGGGTATTACCTTGAAATACTAATATCTACAATGAAAACCTGTTATTACGAACTCCTAGAAGTCTCCACTACGGCAACCGATGCGGAGCTCAAAAAGGCATATCGCCGCAAAGCGCTCCAGCTCCACCCTGATAAAAACCCCGACGAGGTAGAATGGGCGACGAACCAGTTCGCGCTGGTACGCGCGGCGTACGAGGTTCTTTCGGACGCGCAGGAGCGCGCGTGGTACGACTCGCACAAGTCGCTGATTCTCCGGGAAGACGACGATTATGGAAACACCTCTGACCCGGAGTGCGAGCCCGCGGTGGTGGGCACATCCGCGGAGGAAATCATGCGCTATTTCGACCCCTCGTATTTTGCACAGGTAAACGACACCGTGAACGGTATGTACAGCGTGGCAGGGCAGCTCTTTGCAAAACTTGCCGCGGAGGAGGTGGCTGCGGGCAAGGCGCAGGGTATGCCAGAGTTTGCAAACTTCCACGACGATTCGCCGCAGGCACTGGCCGTTGCTGCGGAGATGCTCTACCTCCCGGTGTTTGGCAACTCGCGCGCCAACTATGCGTCCGAGACCCGCGTCTTTTACACGCAATGGACCTCCTTCGCCTCTGTCAAGACCTTTGCATGGAAGGAGTTGTATCGCTACTCCAGTGCGCCGGACCGAAGAACCCGCCGTGCCATGGAGCGCGAAAATAAGCGGTTGAGGGAGGAGGCCAGAAAGGAGTACAACACGACGATCCGGAGTTTCGTAAACTTTCTTAAGAAGCGCGATCCCAGAGTCAAGGTTGGAGCAAAGGAGTTTGAGATCCAGCAACGGAAAAAGATCCAGGACGACTTAAAGCGCCAGGCGGAGAGAGACCGGGCGGCGAACGAGGAGAAGATGCGAGAGTTTGAAGTGCAAAACTGGCAGGTTGAGGATCGAGATGAGATGGCGGAGATGGAGGCGGAGTTTGGGGAAGATTGGGGGAAGAAAAAGGGGAAGAAGGGGAAGAAGGGGAGGGTTGTGACGCCGGCGAAGGTTACGAAGGATGTTCCGATCCCGAAAAGAGCGAAGGATGCACCGGCTGCTGGGACTACTAAGGAAGACATGCTAGATAGAACTGCTTCTAAAGACGCTGAGGCCGACCCTAAAGATATGTTGGATGGCTTAAATTTGGACGACATCGATGCTGCTTTGGAGGAGTTGGGCTTGCTGGATCTTCTGGATCTACTGGATTTGCTGGATCTTCTGGATGGCGAATCATTCGATAAAGAACTAGAAGCCTTAGATGACGCTTTAGAAGACACTGGGACTGAAGCGATGGCCACGCCTGTGTCTGAGATCGATGAAGGGGAGTTTCTCACGGCGGACGACGAGCTTGCGGGGGATGCTGTGGAGGTGTTTGAGTGCATTGTTTGTGACAAACTCTTCAAGTCGGAAAATCAGTTCGCGGCGCACGAACGGTCAAAGAAGCACAAGAAGGCAGTGAGGCAAATGACCTGGGAGATGATGCAAGAGGGCATCGAATTGGGGTTGTAAGCACGTAGGTATCAGCAATTATGGGAGATGAATATCGCACCGGATCCCCTCTACCCTGAAGCTCGTAACCGCTGGACATTTCCGCAGCTATGCTATCCGATTTATTCATTTATTTATTAATATATACAGTAGTCACCGCCCTTACATCTTGACAAAGTCCTCGAAGCGAATCACCTTGTTGGACTCGGCGCAGACCTTATCGGACGCGGCCTCTAACTGGGCGTCCAAGGAGTTCTTCTTGGCCTTGCTGGAGGCCTTGGCATTACCGGCAGCGGCGAGCTTGGCCAAGTATGTTTTCTCGTAGACCAAGTACCCTCTTCTGGATTCGTCGGAATAGTACTCGATAAGCTTCTTCTTGATCGGTCTGCCCTCCAACGGCATTCTGCCGTACTTGGAAATGTATCTACCTGGGGTCAAGTGCGCCCTGTAGCCCATTCTGTTGTGGTACTTGGCCACAAACGAGCCGCCGGCCTTTTCAATTGCGCGAATAGCTCTAGGAGTCGCCTTGGAGGCCTCAATCTTCAACGGCGCAGTGAACTGGCCGGAACCGAAACCCAAGAGCTTAATCCCGTCCTTAGGGTTACCGGTAACCAACCCGCACTTCTTCATGGCACACATGTCCAATACACCGCCTTCTGGAATGTTCAAGAAGCCCTTTTGGTAGTACTCCTGCACTCTGAACAAGTTGAGAGACACGTAGTCGAGCGCGTGCACATTTCTAAACCCTCTCTTGGGGAAGAGTCTGTAGTATGGTGTCTGGCCACCTTCAAACCACAGGTTAACGTTGTTTCTGGCCTTCTGACCCTTCTGACCTCTGCGGGAAGTCTTACCCATCCCGGACTGCGGACCTCTACCAACTCTCTTCAAGTTCTTCTGCGAGTTAGGCGCCGGAGACAAGTTACCCAAAAGAGAGGCGTAGCGGCAGAAAACACCGGAAGGTTGAGTCACGCGTGCAAGCGGACTGAACAACGACTGAAGGGAGAACATTGGGGATTGTGGAGAAGGAGACGGAAGGTCGGGTTGGCGGCACCGTTTTGACTTGTGAAAAATTCAACCTCAGCGGGTGCTTATGTAAGCGAAAGACGCAGAGGGCCAAGCGGGAGTAGGTTTGGGCTATAGGAGAACAAGTGTCATATAATAAATAGTTATACTATTTGGCTATTTAGGAAAAGCTATTTTGTAAAAAAGTACGATAATGTAGGGCTTGCTCGTGGTGATTTGGGCGTGGTTCAACTCAGTCAGTAATAGTCTATATTCTGTGAGGATTAGCTGTGTTCAGTTTAGAAGCTTTCAGCGGTTTGATTGAAAAATGAACTCGATGTCCCGTGTCTCCGCTTGCATACTCTAAAAACCAAGTGGGATCACAGCTATTCCAGTCCTGAATACTAGGTATACACGAAAATTTAAAAAAACTTGAAGGCTATAAAAGATATAACTCGATGAGTTCTACTGTGTCCTGTCAGAGGCAGAAAACACATCACGAAGCATATTTTAAGAATCGGATCGGAACGCCATCCCGGGTCAAGGGTCTGGACTCCCAGGGCGGTCACCTCATCAGAAAGCAGGAGTGTTTTAGGGATAACATCTAACATTCCCATTGTTAAGCTACGGGTTCGAGCCTCGTCTATTGTATTTTTTTACATGCGAAGGAAAGCCTTGGTTTGCTTATGAAGAAAAAGTACTCGATCCGAAATCTCGGCTGACTGACCGCATTAACCTTAAGCTCGCTATACATGCAGGACTTTTACCCGTTGGGTTGTTGCAAAGTTAATGATTAGACTATATTTCCCGGCCAAATTCACATATATTCCATGGTTCTTGTATAAGGTATTACCACAAATATTTTTGGCAGTTTTTTTATTGATTTTATACATGTATATCATATTTCTTTTATATACAGTGGGTTTTACTTTATGCATATAACTATGAGTGCTTTCGTACCGATATATATCACGGAATTGACTCCGGCACAACCATAGATATAAAAATATACTCAGATGTCTTTATTTTACCCGAATACATACGCTTCTCATCTCCCTACGTCAACATTTTCCGTGATATGCGAAAACCGTTGGGAATCGTCACACAGGGGCAACGACGCTGCATTCCCCCACATATTTACAGGGCCCCTCGGGCGTTACCGGGGATTTCCCACTCCGAACGAGATCAACATTTCGTACCTTGCATCCGATAAGCCTTAAGGTCTGAGGAATCCTCCAATCAGCATCGGCAGCTCAAACCGTAACCTTAACATGATCGATGCGTCTTCGTAGGACTCCGAGATCCGAGTCAGATTGACTCGGTCCGGTATGTAGGCAGCTGTCACGCTAGCCTGTCAGCTCTCGGCGTGGCCCGAGGCCTGACAAGTCACGACGGGTAGATTTCGACGTTTCTGATGCCAGGCTCGCCGAGCGCCCGCCCCCCCCGCACTTTCGCGTCCCTCGAGCCGCCCCAATCAGGAAACAGTTAACTAACCGCGTTTGGAGATTGATAGAGGACAACTCTTATATATTCGCGTGCATCGCACCCTTGGGTATTAATCAGAACACGCCAGTACACTATCTCGATATTCGCGGCACTCCGATCCTCGTCTAGAAACACAAACACACAGTTCGATTATACGAGCGATATTTATCCAACACATCAAACATCTCCTCTCACTCAAATCTTTATGCCCGACACATCCAGTGCTGAGAGCGACCAGTCAGAGATACCCGAGGGCAAGCGCAAGGTGACCAAGGCTGCTCTTGCGTGTCGCCGCTGCCGCGAACGCAAGATCAAGTGCGACTTGCAGACACCATGTCACAATTGCGTGAAACTCGGGATTGCATGCGTGCCCAAGACAGAAGACTTGCGCAAGAAGCGGCACACGATCGAGTACGTGCAATCGCTCGAGAACCAGGTGGGGAAGCTCGAGGCATTGGTGGCACGGATCCAGGCAGACAGGGGTGCAGATCCTAGCGCATTGTTGAACGCGATTGTGGGAGAACCATCTGTGCGTGTAGCGCAACCTGAACCGAACCCCTCGTCAAACACTTCCATGAAACCCTCCACGAACACCCCCGAATTTTCGGATTCCCACACTCCGCTGAACGTTGTAAGAAACATTCCCTTCTCTCCTAAAAACTCCAATCCCCAGCCCAAACCCACACCGTTTGACAACTTCCCCAAGCTTGCCAAGCCAAAAAACCCGTCACCCCGCGAATTTGAAAGCTCTATCCGAACAACTAACATCCGCTCCGTCTCCGTTTACGGCCCCACATCTATTTACGACTCAAATTATCTCGCGGAACAGCACAAACGAAGAGCGTCCCCTGATTCTCCAGATGAGCCAGAAGACGGACCGACGCTCTTCCAGCAGGGAATCCAGAAACTCGGCTCCGACTCCGACATTGTCGCGGCGCTCAAGCTTTTTTTTGTATGGCAGTATCCCGACCACAACATGTTTGTGTACCGGGAGGCGTTTCTCGTCGACTTTTTCCACCCAAAGCCGAACTCTGTGTACGTTTCAGAGGAATTGGTCTATAGCATTGCGGCGTTAGGGGCCAAAATGGGCGACCCTCACCTTCAGAGCAAGTCCAGAGGTTACTACGAGACAGCCAAACACCAGCTCCTCAACTATTCGTTTGATTCACCGGCCATTACGTCCGTCCAGGCGTTTCTCTGTCTCGCGTTCTATGACATCTGCGACGGAAATAACGCACTGGGGTGGATGCTTTCTGGCAATTCGTTCCGGATGGGCTATGATCTCGGGTTCCAGCTCGATCCGGCCCATTGGTTTGTGAACAAGCATGAAGAGGGGTTGGTTTCGCTGATCAACGTGAACATCCGCAGCCGGATATACTGGGGCTGCTACATGGCGGACCACTTCATCAGTTTGCTCCTAGGACGGCCATCGTTGATCAATGTGGGGGATGCGACGATCCCAGAGTCAAAGGACCTTCCGGATGTCACTGGCATGGAGCAGTTTCTCTACCTGAGTGCCCACCCCGAACACTCCTTTATTTCCACGCCACTCAAGTGCATGACGAATCTTATTGCGTTGAGCGAGGAGATTCTTCTGGAGATTTTTAACAAGAACAGGGAGGGCAAAGGCAACGAGTCATTGCTAGAGAAGGTGAAGATATTGGACAAGTACAATGTAGCGGTGCGGAAGTGGAGAGAAGAATTGCCGGTGGATATTGCCTGGCTGAAGAACGATGTGAAGCACAAGAGTTATAACCCCACGATTATGAGCTTGCGGTATTACTACTACATCATTCTTTTGTGCATCAACCGGCCGTTTGTGGCGATATATCCAAAAGCCAAGGGAAAGGACGACTTATCCCCCGCGCTGATCGTTTCCGACGTCATGAATGACCTCCAGGACGCGATTTTCTGCTTTAAGCAGAAGCACTCGCTTGCAAAGGCGTCCATTTTCATCGTCTACTCTGCTATTCTCTCCATCTCGATCATTCTTCTCACGGGCTCCAGAAGAAGCGTGAAACGCGATCTGCGCTTGGCGTTCTTCTTGTCTGTCTTGAAGGACACCCTGGGCACGTGGAAGTTGGCGGAAAAGTCGCACAAGTTGATCAAGTCGCGTTTGGATAGGGCTCATCCCGAGGCAAAGACGCCTGACAACCGCGAAATTCCTGTTGACCAGGGAATGCTTCCCAGAACCGTTTCCCCTCGGTTTCCCACTGCAAACACCCGCGAGATCATGCTTACAGGGTTCGAACCAAAGGCTTTCAGTCCCGCGGAGTTTGCTTATAAATTCACCTCGCCGTCGCCGTTTCCGGGAAAGTTGGAGGAGGACGCGAGTGGGTATCCGTCCTTGGATGATAGTGTGATGGCGTCGCTTGGCGGACCACCATTGTTGATGACCAGTGACATGTTTAACGAAGACTGGGAGAGCTTGTTTCCGGACTACTTGTTTACCGCCAATAACTAAGCAATGAGCTGGGATTATGATCGTGAGATGCATTTTATAAATTTACTTAAACGAAAGATATGGTCTAAGGTTTGATCCGTGAGACCTATGTATTCGTCAGTATATCATTTGGCCCGCAGGATTTATGAATTCGTCAATATATCGTTTCGCACCGTCCATTGTAGTATATCCCAGTAACCACAGCGCCACTATTGAAAATACACTTAGTGATTCAGCAGAAGCCAGCATTCATACGAATTATACCCGTGTTAGCCTTTTCCCCGCTGTCAGCCGTTAATCATACATATTGGTATGCACATGAGAGTAGACCAATAACGTATAAGCCTAATATTTGAATGTATTATAGATGCCCGTCGAAAAATTATAAAACATGGATCTGGCTTATATCCCCTATCCATTGTCTCGCAGCATGAATTAGTTTCCCTTGAGAAACTTCTGGTACACCACGTTATCCGTCTCCTCCACGTAGCTGTATCCCAAGTTCTTCAACAACTCGTCGAACTTTGCATTATCAGCTACTGGTACCGACAACGCTGCCAATACCCGCCCGACGTCTCCACCCTGGTTTCTATAGTGGAACAACGTGATGTTCCAGAAGCAGTTGACCCTCTCCAAAAACTTTGTCAACGCACCCGGCTTTTCCGGGAACTCAAAGCTGATCACCCTTTCGTTTGCCACCGACGAGACACCGCCCACAAGGTAACGTCCGTGGTCCTTGGCCAACTCGTTATCGGAAATGTCCATGACATCAAAGCCGTAGGAGACGAGCTCCTCGGTCACCTCGGCAACCTCTTGTTTGCGGTTCGAGACCGAGAAAGAAGTGTATACGTACGCGTCACCGGTTCCGTTGTGACGGTAACTAAATTCGGTAACGTTTCTTGGGTCAATCGCGGAAATCAACTTTAGGAACGAACCAGGTTTCTCAGGAATCTTCACCATCATAAACACCTCCTTACCCTCACCCAACATCGCACGCTCACTCACAAAACGCAAGCGGTCAAAGTTCATGTTTGCACCGGAAAGCACCGGGATATACGTGCAGTGCGAATGGTCAATTTCGGGGTGGTCTGTGATATAGCGCTTCATACCAGCAACGGCCATGGCGCCAGATGGTTCCACGACCGAACGCGTGTCCTCAAACACATCCTTGATCGCGGCGCAGATCTCGTCAGTGGATACGCGGACAACCTCGTCAACGTACTCGCGTGCGACCGTGAGAGTTTCCTCCCCGAGCACCTTGACGGCAGTCCCATCAGCAAACAAGCCGACAGTCTCAAGGTCGACGCGCGAGCCTGCTGCGAGCGACTGGTAGAGCGCGTCCGCGTCATACGTTTCCACCCCGATAACCTTGACGTGAGGCATGAGGCGCTTCATATACGCTGCAACACCGGAGATTAAGCCACCGCCACCGACGGCACAGAAGATTGCCTGCATCTTGTGGCATTTGACCTGGCGCAAAAGTTCCATCGCGATGGTCCCTTGCCCCGCAATAACGTAGGGATGGTCGAACGGCGGGATGTTGGTGAGGCCATTTTGTGAGGAGAGTCTCTGACACTCACCCTTGGCGGAATCAAAGTCCTGGCCAAAGAGCACGACCTGTGACCCGAGGCGCGACACGTTCTTGTACTTGATCGACGGCGTTGCGGTCGGCATGACGATGGTTGCGGGAATGTCGAGGCACTGTGCGGAATACGCGACCCCCTGTGCATGGTTACCCGCGGAGCATGCAATCACACCTTTCGCCGCGAGCTCCGCGGGAAGCTGCGCGATCATGTTGTACGCGCCGCGGAGCTTGAAGGAGAAGACGGGGAGGAGGTCCTCGCGCTTGAGAATCACGTTGGAGCCGGTTTTCTGCGAAAGGTTGTGCGCGGGGGTGACGGGGGATTCGTCGATGACGTCGTAGACACGCGAGGTGAGGATCATCTTGACGTAGTCCGGACGCCCGGAGGGGAGAAAGTCAACGTCTTTGAGGGTTGGGAACTGCTTTTGGAGCGAGGCTCGCACAAGTTCCGGCGACGGCCCGGTGGATTGCAAGCGCAAGCACCGAAGTGCGGCAGTGCGCGGCTTTGGTACACGTAAGAGCATGGTTATGGTGGGTTTGCGGAGAAGAGTGGTGGGGATGAAGGTGTGAAAAATTATAAATGAAAAATTATGTGCGGATATGAATCATCGTGCTTGGTTAAGGGCCCGCGCTGCCGTTACCGGAGCGAACAGCAGCATGAGTGACCAGCGTAAGAGATCAGCGTGAGAAACCAGCGCTTGAACAGCGCACGCAAGCGGATAAAAAGCATAACCACAAAGTGTGAACCAAGCAAATATATATTAATCATCACGTTAGGGATTCCGGAAACAGATTAATGTCTTTAGAGCTTTATTAGGGAATGTAAAAAGGCATCCCTGTGTGCCACACACTTTGGAGTATCCCTCAAAATAAAATCCAGCAAAATGTAGTTGCGAATTTAAAAACCTAGGGATATGGCTCTGATACTAGTACCTTCGAGGTAAAATATAACACGCGGCATATGGATTGTCGTACTTCTCAAGAACGTTAAGCAATCTCAAGCCATGAGTTCTATCCTCTTACATGCTATTCCCTTCAATGTCACAGCCTCCATAGCTGATTTATGTTACCCTCCATCATTCATTTATACCCACTGGAGTAAAGCATTCTAACGGCAAGTAAACTACGGGTGTGAGACTTAACAAATATGATAAAAATTAGCATTAGGAAAAAAACACTCAAGCATCTATGAAACAAAGGAATGCGAGGATACTGTACCAGAAAAAAAAAAGAAAAATTAATCGATGAAATTGTAAGGAATGCAGTTTAGGGATTGTAACCCACGTTTCGTAAAACGAAATAAAACCTCTGGAGCATGCGCAGCATTTGTTCCAAAGGAGCTAGCTCAGCCAGCTAACAAGAAATCAAATTAACAACCTCAAGGTTGATAGGAATACACTGAGTGCCAATACTCTCATCGTACAAGTTGTAGAAAGAGCCAGACAAGCACTGGTAGAAAGTTGTAGAATCACCCAAGGCCAACAAACCATCGGTGGTGATAGACCAACCGGCCGCGTAGATGGAACCAGCCTGTGGTGGAGGACCGTCAAACTGGAATTGTCTGTTTGCAACAATAGCACCGACTCTGCCATGCTTATCGTTGATAATACCACCCTTCAAGGTAATCGCCAAAGATGAGTCTGTCAAACAAGTCTCCAATTGCACTGGACCCGACACGGCGGGAGCAGTGTTCTGGGCTTGGCCATCAGAGATCTGAGCAACCCCAGTGGTGACCACAGTCTTGGCAGTGGTGGCCTGGATCTGACCATCGCCGATTTGAGAAACACCCGCAACGGTCTTGGTGGTGGCCTGGATTTGACCGTCACCGATCTGGGTAACCACAGGAGCGGTCTTGGTAGTGGCCTGGATTTGACCATCGCCGATTTGGCTTACAACTGGAGCAGCGGTATTAGTAGTGGCCTGAATCTGACCATCACCGATCTGAGTAACCACAGGAGCAGCAGCCTTGGTGGTGGCCTGAATCTGACCATCACCGATCTGAGTAACCACAGGAGCAGCAGCCTTGGTGGTGGCCTGGATCTGACCATCACCGATCTGAGTAACCACAGGAGCAACAGCCTTGGTGGTGGCCTGGATTTGACCATCACCGATCTGAGTAACCACAGGAGCAGCAGTCTTGGTGGTGGCCTGAACCTGGCCGTCACCGATCTGAGAAACGGCCTGGTCCTTGTTGACGCCCTTCGCCGCAACAGGGGCGGCAGCCGCGGAAGAAACAGTGGCAATAGGTTGAACGATGATACCGAATGTCTGGGGGTAGTCAGTCACCGCGCCACTTGGCGCTTTGGCACTAGGCGTCAAAGTTGACCATGGCTCAGCTGGAACGTAGGCGGCGATGGCAGATCCTGCAGATGCGAGAATGGCCAAGCCAGTTATAGATACGAATCGGTAGTGCATTTGTTATGAGAGAAGATTTGCGAATTAATGGAGATGCTATTAGAATGGATATAGCAGAGGTTGGTTCATGAATAAAACAAATTGTGCGAAGCGGGGCCCTTTTATATCTCGCGCAGAGGGTTTAGTGTATAGCAATACAGTTTTATGCTACCCTGATAAAGCAACCATTGTTGCTAATAATAGAATCCCGCGATCCACCGTTGATTGCACAATGACGTTGCTGGCGCATCGTTCGATGAATAAACTACTACTTCCGTATATTACTTGCAGCTGGTCATGCACTTGGGGAAACCAGATAAATGAGATGCATGCAGCGCGTACGTAGTCTATGCCTAAAACTCCGCAACATGAGCATGATCTCTAATCTTTTGCGTCAAGGCTGGGGGGCCCACAATGTAATTTCAATTGTAGTTTGTAGAAGCTCAAAGCATCAACCATTTTTCATCCGACACGAAACCAATTCTCCACCTGGCCATTGAGCAGCCAGCCAGCCTGCCATTTATACCAATGCCGCTTGTATTGCGATCCCCAGCCATTGACCGCATTTGCGACAAGGCTAGTTTCGCCGGCAAATCAGCACATGCAACTTAAACTTCGATGCTGCTTGGCTGGGTTGATTTTCTTGCTAGTTTTAAGCATTGTAAGGTATAGGGCAAGGGCCACAACCTACGCGCCGAAAAGTTTCAAACTTCATTAGAGGTGGCTGGTAGGGATCTGCATGAAGCATGGCTCAGCCAGCAAGGATGGGACATATCCAACGAAATGGCGTCATTTCCTTTACAATCGTTTTTATTTTTGAGCGATGGACCAGCCCCTTATTATTCCGCTCCGGAACCAGCGATCCGATCTGGTTTAGAGGGGATGCGGGTGACCCGAGATTCCCTCTAGCTTACGTCACGTACATTGTGCAAGCACGAGCGTTCTAATTTTAGCGCGCATCTGAAATATCGTGCATGAAATCTCCGAGAGGCAATATTGGGATGGCTGGCATCTTCAATGACGTGTGAGCAATTACTTCAGTCGAAAATGTTTCCACTAGTCCACTATACCAGTTACACAGGCACAGCCTTACAAGCACACGGCTATTTTACGGGCCGGGGAGAAAAGTAACGTCGGGTAACTCGACCGCAGTGCCGTAGCATCCGCGATGCAGCACCGTCTCATTGGCCGTAGCTAGTCATATTTATCATCCCCAGTACGCTTTGAGACGTCACAGCAATTGGAACTTTCTCCGGAATTTTGCGGTCACAGTGCATCTAGCGCAAATTACCCAAAGCCAGGGTAACAAGACGGCAGAGAGACAGTCGATCCCTCTCTTGTTTTACCTTTAAACGGAACGATTATGACCGCAGATGTAAAACTTTAGTGCGATCTGCACCCTAGACAAAGCTAAATCCAATACTGCAGTCGTGGACACATCCGCAGTTTTCCTCTCGGGCATATCGACCGTAAGTGGGGTGAGGGTTGAAAATGCATCACTTGACGTTCAGTAGAAACACCGATTCGATAAACCTTAGCCACTTGGAGACTCTTGTCAGCACGCATTCAACAGCGATTTCAGATGCGACCCTTAACAGCCCTTCTCCTGGCTCTAAGGATTACGTCTGGTTGCGAGCGCCGGTATGCACATGGCTGGTAGATTTTATGGGTGGCAAGATCGGAACCCTCGTCTAGTGGATCTATTCTCTGTAGTTTTGATAACACTACCCACGAGCAACTAGAGTCAGCCACTCTATTTTTAAGAAATTTTCAGTCACGCACAAGGGAACAGCTTATGCAGAACTGACCCAGACGCGCGTGCTATACGAAACTGGTGGGGGTGCTTTTCGTACCTGGGACATGATCGACTGCTTATCCGACCCATGGTGTACGTTGTAGAAAGAAGTGAAATACAGCTGAGCCTTTGCAATATGGGGCCCGATAGCTTTCCTAAAATAGCAAGAGTGAAATTTTGACCATCCAGACTCTAAAAGCAAGCTTGGACGGGAGCAATAATCGAAGAGACGTGCCTCCGCTGAATACACTTTTTCCCGCTTGTGCACCCACTTCATACCTAAACCCGCAGATTACTGACTTGGGTTAAATACCCAACCTATCGGGTATGCATGCTTCTAGCTTTTTTTTCCCGGCCTTTCTAAATGTTTAATCTGCGAAACCAAGCGTCATCTAATCGCCTTCAACTGTAGAGAGACCCTGTAGCTCTGGAGACCCATCAAGCTTACACTATCTTTAAATTCCAAGTTTCCGAGAAATAGACCTTGTTAGTTTCTTTCATCTGCCACTTCTTAATTAGATCCCAATATAACCTCTTACATCTTAGAAGGACTACACCGAAAGTCATTTCCCTGGAACACAAAACCAACGTCTGGAGCAAGCTCTCGGTGGATTTAGGCCTTCCTTAGTCTTTGAGTTATTCTTAGCATCAGTCACGTGCTCAACGCGCACACCGAAAATAGAAAACATGATGCATTACATAAGCGCACACTTTTGCGGATCAAGCGAATATTTTGACACCACTCTTCTTCCCATCCATTAGACGAGCAGCCTTTAGTCGCACAAGTCGTGGTATATCGTCTCTTGCTACCACTCTTACCTTGGATATCTTTACCATGAGGCTTACTTCCCTCGCGACGCTTGCTACGCTCGCGACATTTGCTAGCGCCTTGACGTTAGACATCACCAGCTACGCTTCCATTCAGCAAGCTACTTCCCTCTTAACCGTCGGGTTGATGGACTACTATGATGGCTACAAGTACGGAGGAACGCCCGGGATGTTCACCAGCCCGTACTATTGGTGGGAGGCGGGCGGAGCCATGGGTTCCATGATCGACAACTGGTTTTTGCTCCAGAACGACACCTACGAAGCCACGATCAAAGAGGCTTTGTTGTTCCAGGTTGGGACGAATTGGGACTACATCCCGTTGAACCAATCCACGACGGAAGGTAACGATGATCAGGCCTTCTGGGGCATCGCGGTAATGGGCGCGGTCGAGCGGAATTTCACCAATCCAGGTGCCGATGAGCCCAGCTGGTTGTATTTGGCCCAGGCAGTCTTCAACACTATGGCTTCGCGCTGGGACTCGAGTAACTGCGGCGGTGGCTTGAGATGGCAAATTTTCCAGTGGAACTCGGGCTATGACTACAAGAATACGGTCTCTAACGGAGCGCTTTTCCATATGGGTGCGCGGTTGGCCAGGTACACGCAGAATGAAACATACGTTGATTGGTGCGAAAAGGTCTGGGATTGGCTTGTGGATGTCCAGTTCTTGACCCAGGGTCAATGGTGGGCGGTGTATGATGGCGCTGACATCGATGTTAATTGTACGGATGTGGTAAAGTTGCAATGGACCTATAACGTCGGTTTGTTGCTCGCAGGCACGGCTTACCTCTACAACCACACGGAAGATGAGATATGGTTGAACCGTACCCTGGAGTTGCTCCATGGTACTACTGTCTTTTTCAACAACTCGGTGATGTTCGAGGTGGCGTGTCAGGGCTCGGGAAACTGCAACAACGATCAGCGGTCGTTCAAGGCGTACTTCTCGCGCTTCCTCGGCTTGACCTCGATCATGGTTCCATCCACCAATGCCATCATCAGACCGCTACTCGAAGCGTCTGCCAAGGCCGCAGCTCAGAGTTGTTCCGGGGGAACTGATGGCCACACGTGTGGGCTAGACTGGTCCCACGTGGGCTGGGACGGCTATTACGGATTGGGCGAGCAGATGGCGGCGTTGGAGGTCATCCAGAATTTGTTGATTACCGATAGACCGGCACCGTACACCGCGACCAATGGCGGGTCGTCTGTGGGGAATGGTAACGCGGGAATGACGTCCGGGAGAACAGCGCAATCACCGTTGGATCTTTCTGCAGGTGATACTGCCGGCGGGAGTATTATTACCGCTGTGATTGCTATTTCAATCATTGGGGGTGGGGTCTGGTTGGTGCTTTAGCTTGGAATCGCGTCAGTGATTTTATTTTTTTTCAGCGCATGGAAAGCCCGAAAGGTGGTTTCTCAAGTTGCTAGACTAATATTTCTGTACACATAACTATACTATGTTGCGTACGTTGGAGTGTGAGTAGATTGCCCCAGGGAGATCCAACTGAGCTGAAGTGTTTATCATACATGGCCTCTGGTCACACAGGGGTTGCTAGATTATCCTGGCTTACCTTCGGCGATGCTTACTTTTTTTGGGCTAAAAGCTCTATGATAGACATAGGGGTATTTTCAAGTCATAGGATCGCCCTTTCTGTAATTATCGTATGTATATCGTGGAAAGCATAAGCATCGAGAAGATCGATTGAGGTGGAGCTTGGGACTTGTACTCTTGAAATCTCCAGAGAGTTCGAGCTATTTCTAGTTTCGTTAGAACTCCTTACGATCTTTCCCAAATTTGGAAGTAGTCCAGCAGTATATTTCAAATCTATGTAATGAACCCCGATTGTGTTTAGAGTCATTAAATTCAACAGACGGCTCTATTTCTGTGAAGGGCTGCACCAAAAGTGGTTTGGCTGAACTATTACGGAGCTGCGTTGCTTTAAAAGGACCTTATGTATCTCCGTCATTTTTCTTGTCTCAATCACACGTTGAAATCGCCGCAACCTTCACCTTTGAGAGTCATACACATCACAGATAGCTTTATTGATCAAGGACTGTAGGAAAGGGAAACCGCTATCTGCAGCTATCCATCAAACGATCCCTTTAGAGATAGAGCCTGATCCATTTTCTCCACTTAAATCTCAATGCTGGCCTTTTCTTCCGTGTTGGTGGAAACCGCCGGGCCCGTGGGCTCTTCCTGGTCCCACACAGCTCTACCCTTCACCCATTGCTCGTCGTCCGCCAAGTCCGCCTTTTCCTGGTCTTCCGTAACGTTTAGGTACTTTCCAAAGTATCTAAACCCATTCATGTTCAAAATCGCCTCTCTCGCATCGTCTAACTCGGCGTAGGTGATTTTGGTGAAAGGCTGGTTAGCGCTGTACTGGATGTGGGCAATAGGCCCAAATGGGATAAAGAGGCTGAGCAACGCCTCCGTGGATGTCAGTTCCTCGCCTTTTCCGGAGGGAATATTTGAGACATGGATAGTTGGGGATGTGATTGAAATGGTTGGTAACTCCATTATGCGATACCGGGCTTATTCATGGCGCCAAGAGCGATGGCTCATTTGAGTCTTATACCGTTGAAATATCTCCTGCACGGCGGAGAAAGTGTATCTGACGGGTAAGCTCCACAAATGATGCTTTTCGGAGCTGATAGATCCAGATACAACCAGCCAGCGCCAGCAGCTTTAACGGCAGGTTATTTGGTGTTAAAACCTTCACTCCATAGCGCCTTTATCGTTGAGGTATTATCAATTTAATCCAACAAGAACCATTGAAATCTCACATCTGGCCGATGTTCTCTACCCTAAATGGCTGACATCGTCTCAGATATGAATATCTTGTATAGCCACCTGAATCACGTGCAGATCTGACTCTCACCCTCTTTCATAAGAAGCCGGCGCTACGCTCATCATATTTCTAGCACCAGGAGAACCGAATATTATTTCAAGATCTTAACTATAATTCTTGGTGTATTCTATACGCTAACATCCAACAGTCAAACGGCGTATATCGGCCTTGGCAATCTCTGCATAGAAGTCCTCCCCCGAAACGGACTACGTTGTACTTCAGCCTCTATAGAACTTATGGCTTTTCTTTCCTTGGCTTGTACCATATATATCGATTGACTAGAATTTTTGGACCCCAGTCCATCAAACTAAAATTACCCCCCAAAAAACCCCGGGGGGAGGCACTTCACTCCACGCTGCTATGGTCAGTTAAATCCTGCATAGAACAGGGCTGGGCAAAGACTCGAACAAAACACCTATATCCAACGATCCACCTTTGTATGTCCCACCAAAGAGCGATTTTTGTTTCATCCAGCCTAGCAAAAACACGATGCCACTATTTCAGAATATATTCTAGGCCAACCTATGCCTCTCCTGTGTCTCGCTCTGGTGCCAGTGCCTCGTTTTGGTTGTGCCTCGTTCTGATGCTTACATAAGCCTGGAACGTATCGGAACGTCCATTTTCGCGCCTCCTTAGCCGCCCGCACTATCGACTGAAAACATCTAACGTGTCATTCTGCTTCTTCTTCTTCTTCCCATCCATCACCTCTTGTCATTCCTCTACCAATTCCTGGCTTGAATATTCCTACAGTCAATTGCTACTCGACTGTCCCTTTTTTTGATCGCCTGCAGAAATTAGCCGCCGAGACTTTTTGCTAGCGAAACATCCCTCAAGCTACACCCATCACCAGACACAGAGATGTCCGATATCCCCATCGAGTTCACGGAACTTGCCCAATTAACCCAATTGGGCATCAACGCCCAGTTCCTCGACTTCAGATCCACCACCCTCGAGTCTGACCGCTACGTGTGTGTGCGTGAATCCAACAATGACGCCAACACCGTTGCCATCGTGGACTTGGCGAATAACAACCAGGTCACCCGCAAGAACATGAGCGCGGATTCTGTGATCATGCACCAGACTGAATTCATCATTTCGCTCAGAGCCAACGGGACCACGATCCAGATCTTCAACCTCGAGTCCAAGCAGAGATTAAAGTCGTTCACAATGAACGAGCCGGTCATCTTCTGGAAGTGGCTCAACAAGAGCATGCTCGGGTTGGTGACCGCGTCGTCCATCTTTACCTGGAACGTCTTTGACGGCCAGGCCGAAACGGGCCCAGTCAAGTTGACCGACCGTCACCAGCAGTTGGGCTCCTGCCAAATCATCAACATCGTCGCGACCGCCGACCTCTCCTGGGTCGCCACCACTGGAATCGCCAGTGAAGGCGGCAAGATCGCCGGTCACATCCAGTTGTACAACAAGCAGAGAAACGTGTCCCAGCACATCGACGGCCACATCTGTACCTTCACCACCACCAGATTGGGTGGGGCTTCCCAGGACACTCAATTGTTTGTGTGCGCGAACCGCAACGCTGCCGGGGCCGGCCAGTTGTACATCATCGAGATTGACCACGCGGAGGGTCAGCCGGTCTTTTCCAAGAAGACGGTTGACATCTTCTTCCCGGCGGACGCCACCAACGACTTCCCAATATCCGTGCAAGTCGCCAAGACCGGCATTATCTACGTGTTGACCAAGTATGGCTTCATCCATCTCTACGACTTGGAGACCGCTACCCAGATCTTTGTCAATCGCATTTCCGCCGAGAGCATCTTCACCTCCACCGCCTACAGCGACGACACGGGTATCTTGGCGATCAACAAGACCGGTCAGGTGTTGGCGGTCGAAGTGGCCAAAGACCGAATCGTGCCGTACATCTTGAACAAGTTGTCCAACGTGACCTTGGCGCTTTCTCTTGCCGCCAAGGGCGGTTTCACCGGCGCCGAGAACCTCTTTGACCAGCAGTTCAATGACTGTCTTGCGCGTGGCGACTATAATGGCGCGGCTCAGATCGCGGCGTCGTCCGAGAAGTTGAGAACCCCGGACACCATCAACAAGTTGAAGAACATCAACGCGCCACCGGGCACCGTTTCGCCAATCTTGCAGTACTTTTCGACCCTCTTGGACAGAGGCACCTTGAACAAGTTCGAGTCGATCGAGTTGGCAAAGCCGGTGATGCAGCAGAACCGCTCGCAGCTCTTTGAAAAGTGGTTGAAGGAGGACAAGTTGACCTCCTCCGAGGAGTTGGGTGACGTGGTCAAGCCGTACGACTTGACCATTGCCATTGCCGTGTACCTCCGCTCCGGGATCCACATCAAGGTTGTTTCCGGGTTGGCGGAGCTCGGCCAGTTCGACAAAATTTTGGCCTACTGCGAGAAGTACGGCTACCAGCCGGACTACATCAACCTCTTGCAGAACCTTGTGCGTGTCAACCCGGACAAGGCGTCCGAGTTTGCCGTATCCTTGCTCAACTCACCAACCAGCGACCTTCCGATTGAAAAGGTGGCCGACTTGTTCTTCCAGCAGAACTTGATCCAGCAGGGGACTGCCTTCCTTTTGGACGCGTTGAAGAACGACTCGCCAGCCGAGGGCCACCTCCAGACCCGTCTCTTGGAGATGAATCTCTTGCACGCGCCGCAGGTTGCGGATGCCATTTTGGGCAACGCGATGTTCAACCACTACGACCGCCCAACCATCGGCAAGCTCTGCGAAAAGGCCGGTTTGTTTGCTCGCGCGTTGGACCACTACGACGACCTCAAGGACATCAAGCGCTGTATCGTGCACACCGACGCCATTCCGGCCGACTGGTTGGTTGCCTACTTCGGCAAGCTCAACGTGGAACAGTCGGTGGCCTGCTTGAAGGAGTTGTTGTCCAAGAACAGTGCTACGAACCTCCAGATCGCGATCCAGGTGGCCACAAAGTACTCGGACTTGATCGGCTCCCAAACGTTGATCAAGCTCTTCGAGGACTACCAGTGTATCGAAGGGTTGTACTACTTCCTCTCGTCCATCGTGAACCTTACTCAGGACGCGGATGTGGTGTTCAAGTACATCCAGTGCTGCGCCAGATTGAACCACCCACAGGAGTTGGAGCGTGTGTGCAAGGACAACAACGTCTACAACGGCGAAAAGGTGAAGAACTTTCTCAAGGAGGCCAAGCTCGAGGACCAGTTGCCGTTGATCATTGTCTGCGACCGCTTCGACTTTGTGCACGACTTGGTCTTGTACCTCTACAAGAACCAGTTCTTCAAGTTCATTGAGGTCTACGTCCAGCAGGTTAACTCTTCCAAGACCCCACAGGTGGTGGCCGGTTTATTGGATGTCGACTGCGACGAGAACATCATCCAGAACTTGTTGATGTCGGTTCTCGGACGCGTACCGATTACCCCGTTGGTCGCGGAGGTGGAGAAGCGCAACCGACTCAAGATCTTGTTGCCGTTCCTCGAAAAGACGTTGGAAGGCGGCTCGAACGAAACCGAGGTCTACAACACCTTGGCCAAGATCTACATCGACTCCAACAACAACCCGGAGAAGTTCCTCCAGGAGAACTCGGTCTATGATACCTTGACCGTGGGTAAGTACTGTGAGAGAAGAGACCCGTACCTTGCGTACATCGCCTACTCCAAGGGTACCAACGACGACGAGTTGATCAAGATCACCAACGACAACTCCATGTACAAGTACCAGGCCCGCTACTTGCTTGCCCGCTCCGACTTTGGCTTATGGGCCAAGGTGTTGGTTGAGGAAAACATGCACCGCCGCCAGTTGGTTGACCAGATCATCGCTACCGGCATCCCCGAGTTGAACGACCCACAGCCGGTCTCCATTGCCGTCAAGGCGTTCATGGAGGCCGACTTGCCTACCGAGTTGATTGAGTTGCTCGAGAAAATTATCCTTGAGCCATCCACCTTCTCCGACAACCCGTCCTTACAAGGGTTGTTGATCTTGACCGCCATCAAGGCCGACCCCTCTAGAGTCATGCTGTACATTGAAAAGTTGGACGAGTTCGACTCCGAGGAGATTGGTAGCTTGTGCGTTGAGCATGAGTTGTACGAGGAGGCGTTCGCGATGTACGACAAGTTCGACAAGAAGTCGCAGGCGTTGAAGGTTTTGGTTGAGGACATCATGTCGTTGGACCGTGGTGAGGCCTACGCCGAGAAGAATGACACCAAGGAGTTGTGGTTCCAGTTGGGTACCGCCCAGTTGAACGGGTTGAGAATCCCAGACGCCATCGACTCCTACATCAAGTCCGGCGATGCTTCCAACTACGAAAACGTGATCGAGATTGCCGAACACGCCGGGAAGGAGGAGGAGCTCATCCCATACTTGATAATGGCCAGAAACACGTTGAGAGAGCCGGTTGTTGACGGTGCCATCATCAACGCCTATGCCCATTTGGACAAGCTCACGGAGATTGAAAAGTTCCTCAGCGGGTCTAACGTTGCCAACCTCGAGGAGATTGGTGACAAGTTGTTTGCGGCAAAGAAGTACCAGATTGCCAGAATTTTGTACTCCAACATCTCCAACTACTCCAAGTTGGCCACCACCTTGGTCTACTTGGAGGACTACCAGTCTGCCGTTGACTGCGCCAGAAAGGCGTCCAACATCCGCGTGTGGAAGCAGGTGAATGACGCCTGTATCGAGAACAAGGAGTTCCGTTTGGCCCAGATCTGTGGTTTGAACTTGATTATCGACGCCGAAGAGTTGCCAGCGTTGGTGCAAAAGTACGAGTACCTCGGCTACTTTGACCAGTTGATTTCTTTGTTCGAGAGCGGTCTTGGGTTGGAACGGGCCCACATGGGTATGTTCACCGAGTTGGCCTGCTTGTACGCCAAGTACTCCCCAGACCGAGTCATGGAGCACTTGAAGTTGTTCTGGTCCAGATTAAACATTCCCAAGGTGTTGAGAGCCTGTGAGGATGCCCACCTCTACCCAGAGTTGATCTTCCTCTACTGCCACTACGACGAGTGGGACAACGCCACCTTGACCATGATTGAAAAGTCCGAGGTTGCGTTCGACCATGGTTCGTTTAAGGAGAGTGTGGTGAAGGTGTCCAACTTGGAGATCTACTACAAGGCGATCAACTTTTACGTCAACGAGAACCCGTCGCTTTTGATCGACTTGTTGAGCGTGCTTGTTCCTAGAGTTGATCTCTCCCGGGTGGTTAGAATGTTCATCAAGTCCGACAACCTTCCAATGATCAAGCCGTTCTTGATTTCCGTTTTGGACAAGAACAACAACATTGTGAACGAAGCTTACCACGATTTGTTGATTGAAGAGGAGGATCACAAGTCTTTGAGATCGTCCATCGAGAACCCGGCCATGACCAAGTTCAACGCCATTGAGTTGGCCGAGAGATTAGAGAACCACGACTTGGTCTTTTTCAGACAGGTTTCTGCCATCTTGTACACCAAGAACAAGCGTTTTGCCAAGGCCGTTACGATCTTGAAGAACGACAAGTTATGGAAGGATTTGTTGGCCACCGTTGCCGCCTCTGCCTCCGTCAAGTTGGCGCACGAAACCATGGACTACTTTGTGGAGACTGGTAACAAGGAGGCCTTTGTCGCTTTGTTGTACTCGTGCTATCACTTGGTTGAGAACGACTATGTGATGGAGGTCAGCTGGTTGCATGGCTTGCAGGATTACATTAAGCCGTACGAGATTTCTGTCGCGAAGGAAAACCAAGCCAGATTGAACTTGATTTTCGAGGACTACAGCAAGCGGAAGGCCGCTGAAGATAGCGCCGGTCTTGACTCCACCGAGCCAGTTCTGGGTCAGAGATTGTTGTTGACCAACGGTGCCGCTGGGTTGGGTTACCAGCCAACTGGTTTGGGCTTTGGAAACTACTAGATGAAGCTAGACGTGACTGCAGGTTTCCATTAAATTTTTTTTTCTCCCAGCTTTTTACCATTTTACCATTTTTTTTGTATGTTATCTATTGTGTTTGTATTTTGCTTACAGTTGTAGCGCCTGGGAAAAGGTTAGGACAGCGGTTTCTCGTAGATTACGGATGGGAGCGAAAACTGGGGAGTTTACCGGCGGAGAGACATGTCTAAAGTTTCAGATATGATAATGACAAGTCTGGGTTCAGAACCAGAGACGCAGCGCTCTTGAGTTAGCAAGCCCGTTCATGTAACGAAGCTACACCTGGGGACTTTGATTACCAGATATGAGCAGTTACGGACGTTATACATCCAGTCAGCGATAAAAGGGCTTAGGATATGGTTCTCCAGTCACAGGTGCGCTTTCATAGTCATATTTCCCCCGCCTCCCGGCAAATTCCAGCACTACCCACTTCTGTTCATCGGCTTACCACTGCTTATCAGCTTACTTACTTGTGTTTTTTCCACTCTTGAGACACAACCTGAATCACTGGATCGTATTAATGTCTCTGTGCCAAATCATACCGCAATACTATGACCAAACACGCTAACTTCTGCAAAACTTCTTCTCTTGTCTAAATGAGAGCTACCTGCCGTTCCCCCCTTAAGCTTTCAGCGGAAAAAACCCTAATTGGGCTGCTCCAAGAACGACCAGATCTGAGATCTGACGCGCAATCAGACTTACAGCTTGACTCACAGCCTGACTCACAGCTTGACTCACAGCCAGATCGAGAGTGATAGTTATAGCGCAACCATCCAATAAAAAAATTTCGCTTTATATAACTAGTGAAGCTTCGTGTGAGATATTGTTCATATCCCCGGGGTTAATTACCTCTTATGGCTTCCGCCTGCATGAAGCACCGCATTGGGCGCGTTCACACAGGCTTCCCCGTAATTTTCCGAAAGGCGCAATGGCCGCACAACCAATGGGCCGAAAATTCGACCGTCCGTCGTGCATATGCAAAGATCTGAAGAAGACACCACACACTTGGAACAGCTTTCCATCTGTTCTTCTTGACCGTTACCACAGAGCCGGCCGATATCATTGGGATTCCGTACATAGAGTGATTACAGCCCTGGACCAAAGTTACCAAGTAATCTCCGCGTATTTACGTTTGCCAGAACTACCAACCAATCTCCGTAGATATACAATCGCCACACTTTGACCCCTACCACACCCTGTGCCCTTTCTTTTCACAGATATCCCTACCCCCCACTCCGCCAGCATCTAAAACGTATCGGCCTTCCTACCATCCTCTCAACGTTTCATGTCCTTTAGAAGCAATTCCCCCAGCCCGATGGCAAGCTTCCGCGACACACACATCGTAAGGTCGGGGTCCGACGCCTCAGCCACGCGCCCGAGTAACCTCGAGATGAAGAAAGCACTATCGCGTCACTTGGTCAGCGACACGGACTCCATCACTTTGCAGGGCGGTGATACCACCCGAACCTTGTACACCCTGTTCAACAACATCGCGGAGCCACCGGTCAGACCCAGATCGAACTCCACGTCAAACTACTGGGACTCGCGCAGACCGTCAACGGCCAGCGAAATGTTGCAGCCGAACGGATTCCGGCGCGAGTTTTTGGCGGCCAAGGCGTCCCAGGAGAACCGCCAAGTCAACTTCCTCACCCAGGACTTTTTTGAGTTCTTGACGTTGTACGGGCACTTTGCGGGCGAGGACTTGGAGGAGGACGGCGAATCGGCAATATCCGGCGAAAACTCTCCGCTCCTTTCGCACCCAAAGCCACTGTCCCACAAATCCTCCAACCTCAAGACGTCGCTCCTTCTCTTCAAGTCGCTCGTGGGCAGCGGCGTTTTGTTCCTTCCCAAGGCATTTTCCAACGGTGGTCTTTTGTTTTCCACCGTCACGCTCTTTGCGTTCGGCGTAGTCACCTTCTTCTGCTACTACATCCTTGTCAAGGTGAAGATCAACTCCAGACAGAGGTCGTTTGGGGACTTGGGCTCGCACATGTTCGGCAACTGGTTTCGCTATCTCATCTTGTTCTCCATCATTTCCGCCCAGATCGGCTTCGTGGGCACGTACTTTGCCTTTACCGCATCCAACATGGTCTCGTTCTGCCGAAATGTCTTGGACTGGGAGACTTCCATAATGCAGTGGATGGTGTACTTCTGTGCGGGGCTTATTCCGCTCTCGCTTTTGCGTGACATCACCAAGCTCTCCGTCCCATCGCTCTTCTCCTCCCTCTTTATCGCCATCGGGCTCGTTATCATCTTGCACAACACCTCTGAGAAGTTGTTGAAAGACGGCATCAGCGACTCCATCACTTTGTTCAACTCCCTGACGTGGTCCATGTTTATCGGCGTCGCTTCTTTGTCTTACGAAGGGGCCTCCTTGATGATCCCCATCCAGCAGTCGATGGAAAAACCGCACCAGTTCACCCAAGTGCTCTTCTTCACCATGATGGCCATCACGATGTTGTTCATGTACATCGGTTTCTCCGGCTACGGTGCCTACGGTGCCGATACCAAAACCATCATTATCTTGAACTTGCCCCAGGACGAGCTTTCAGTGCAATGTATCCAGGTCTTTTACGCGATTGCCGTCTTCCTCACGGCGCCATTGCAGTTATTCCCTGTGTTGCGTATTTTAGAAACTCGCCTCTTTGCCCGGTCAGGAAAACACGACTGGCAGGTTAAGTGGACAAAGAATGTGCTCAGAACGCTTGTCTGTGTGCTCGTGGCGATTCTCAGCTACATCGGGTCCAGCAATTTGGACCGGTTTGCATCCATCATCGGTGTTGCTTGTTGTATTCCGATGGTTTACATGTACCCGCCGGCGTTGTACTTGAAGAATGTGTACGATGATCCAGCGGTGCGCGCGAAAGAGAAGACGGTTGTTGTAGCCGGAAGTGTCGTGACGTTTGTCTTGGGGACCGCTGTGTTCCTTTATTCGCTCGGGGATCTCTTGTAGATATGGCCGATTGAAGACGCCAGTGTATTTCTATTTAATGTATTAATATTTATTCACCATTTCGATCTCTAGATATTCATTTAAACATATCTTTACATTATATTCATTTAAACATATCTTTACATTACCACACTTGAATATATATCTAACACAACTTTTCAACATAGTCCTCGAGCATGCGGTCCCCGATCTGTTTCAACGCAATAGGATCGTTTTCGTTCTCCTCGGTGATCAGCTTCCCAAACCGTTTGAAAAGATCCTTCAACACCAAACGCTCGGTTTCGGTGTTTACCACATTAGTGACTGCACCGTCGTGGATCAAGTATGCAAACTCCTTGTCAAATTGGGACAAGTAGCCGGTGATCAACGCTTCGGTGATCTTAGCGGCAGGAGAAAGGGTCTGGCCCTCTGTTTTCTTGGGCACCCGCTGGATGTAGTCGTTATAGAGCTCCAACGACTTTTCCACATCAAACTTGGCATGCGTGACGATCAACGCCTGTAAGTCGGATATCTTCATTCCTTCAACGACGTTCTGGAAGCTCTGTGCCACCTGAAGGAAGACCAGCTGGCTGGTAGTCAAGGCCTGGAGGCAGCAAAGCTTCACCACCAACGACTGCACGGTGTCTATATGATATAACTCACGGATAATGTAGTTAGAGGTGAAGATATCGAGAGCCCTCCGGAAATCGCGCTTACACAACCCGAGAGACTTGAGGATGGCGAGCCTGAACTCCAACGCCTGGGGTGTACTCCCAGCGTCAAGCTTGGCCGTTTGGATACGCTCTATGAGGCTATCGTAAAGGGTGGGGTCTTCGAAAGCGGCCACAGTGATCCCGTTCTGTGCCAATACATGGCGAATTTCCTGGGACATTTCACTAGGCAGCTCGTTGGCTGAATTCACAAGCATCGTCAAGGCTCTCATCAACACCTGAGGATTTGGCTGAAACTCCTGGGAGAGATAATATTGGTAGAGGGCCGGAAACCCGGTACTAGTCGAGAGGAGCAATTTTTCAGTCACCTCCCTGCTTGGTTTGACCAATCTAACCAACTCAGAGGCACCCGAGGATAAAATGTGCGTGCAAAGCACGGTACTGTCAAGCTCGAGGCCTAAGTCTCTGCCACTTTTGACCAATAAAATGCATCTGGCAATGTCGTACCCAGACGGCTGGTAGACTTGGTTGTTTTCCTTTAAGAACCGCTGTTCATGGGCTTCACCTCCCAACAACTTTTCCAAAAGCGTAGTGTAGATGGCCTTCACATGGGCTTGTTCGCTCCCCGCAACCATATCCTGGTATTCGAGGTAGAAATCCCAGGAGGATTTGGCCCTCCCAGGGTTGTGTTTTAATACCTGTGCCAATGTGGAAACATTGAGACTGTCTTTTACGGTGTAGATAAGCGAAAAATCGCGGCCGATAAACTGGGAAACAACGTCATTCTTCAAAATCAGCGATGTGGCGGCGTCCGAATGGGCCTCGATGTCTGCCAACAAGTGGCGGAAAAAGTCGAATTCACCCTCATCAGAGTCTAGAAGCTCAACTAGCTGGGGGTGGGAGATCAAGGATCGGTAGAATTGGGAGGATTTCTCAGTGCTACCAAGCTCAGAGAGCCTGGAGGAAAGTTGGGAGAGTTGAGCAGTCTGAGGCTGAGCAAAAAGCTGGGCCACTAACGGGTGCTGAGAATAGCAGCGGAGGTTTAAACCAAGGCTGGCTTTGGATCTAGCTAATCTGAACATTGAAATATATAGCGAGGTGTATGAGGAAGAATATGGGTGATGGGCGGTGGGTATTTTTCAGTGGTTCAAGCTACGGGCATCGGCGTCCTGCATGGACCTGGATCCTGCATGGTCATGGTGATGCCGGCACCGGTGCAGAACCAGAGGTCTACAAACTACCCTTGTCACAAAGCTTGGCCTTCGACAGGTCTACACATTTTCGAGATAGTACATTTTAAAAAAGAGGCCGGCTAAACCGGCTGAGAGTTATAGAAACAGCCATCCGCTAAAGATCGATCAAGCTGCCCCCCTGCTGCCCCTGTTGTCCCTGCTGCCCCTGCCTCTGGGAGCTGTCGTTTCCAAAGCCGTACCCAGTGTAGGCGGGCACCACCTTGGTGGACGAGATTCCGGTATACTGGGTGCCGAAGAACGGGTTTTGCGATGCTTCCTCCTGCCTGTAGCCAGTGCCGTGACTGTTGACAAACGTGCCAGTTTTGGTGTGCTGCGCTGGGAGTCGCGTCTCACCAGTGTTTCCGAAGGTGTCGATACCAGTACCCTGGGCCAACAAGTTGTTCAATTCCGAGTACTGTGCATTCATCTTGGCGTTTCCGGTAAGGGTCTGTGCCAAAGGCTTGGCTTGTTCTGGCTGCGTATACTGTGATTGAGAGTTGTTGTTTGAGGAAAAGGCAAATGGGTTGTTGGTTCCCGTCTTTACCGGCAGCATTGGTCTCTGGAACTGTTGCTGCTGCTGAAGCTGCTGCTGCTGAAGCATTTGTTGGTACGCCTGCTGTTGCTGCTGCTGCTGTTGCTGTTGCAATTGCTGTTGATAGGCTTCCTGTTGCTGCTGTAACAACTGCTGCTGATAGGCCTCCTGCTGCTGTTGTAACTGCTGCTGATAGGCCTCCTGCTGCTGCTGTTGCAACAACTGCTGTTGATAAGCTTCCTGTTGCTGCCGCTGGTATGCTTCCTGTTGCTGCTGCTGATACGCCTGCTGCTGGTAGGCGGTCAAAGCACCAGTTTGCATGGCAGCCTGGACGGGATTCCCAAAAGCGTCGTACTGGATTACATTCCCAAAGGCATCGTATTGCGGCTGCTGGAAGAAGAGCGGCTGCGCATCGCTATCCAAGTCCAATAGGTTCGCTGACTGCTGCTGCTCCTTGAGACGCTTCATCTCATCTTCCTCGAGCGACAACTGGATTGCACGTCTCAACTCAGCCTCCTCCTCGTCATCGTCGTTCATGCGGCGATTTTCCTCATCTGCGGTCATCCGGCTGGCTTCCAACGCCGCCTGGAGATCCAGGTCGTATTCCTCGCCTCTGCCCTGCGCCCTGCGCTCCGGCTTGGCGTTTCGGTTTCTGCCTTCTTGTCTGGCGGCAGCTCTCTCGGCACGGATACGGTCGTCGTCGCGCAACAAGATGGTCAACTCTTTCGCCTTGGTGCGGATCAACTGACCTTGATCACGGCCCTCACCATCAATGTAGGTGAACTCGCGCAACGTCTTGATGATGTAAAGGTTGTCCTTGCACCACAACACCACGTTCTCTGACCCGTGCAACAACGTAAACTCCACCACCGTGAGCGACTTGGCAATATGGCGCCAGTTTTTGCCCTTGTCGTTAAGCCGGCGGTCTAACATGTCCATGGTTTCCAAAAATGTCGCGTTGTTGTAGGTGAGGTCGGCAATGTCGAACATCTCGCCGCGGGTCGGTCCACTGGCCTCGTTGGAGGTGGCATTTCTCACCGTTACCTGCGCCAGGGAGTAACCGTTGGTTACGTTTTTGATCGTTCTCACAATGGATTTGGACATGGGGTTGGGTAATAATAGGGTGTATAAGGTGTGTGGCGGGGGTGTAGATGAGGTATGGGTTGCTTTATCTTGCGGTAAGGAGAGCGCTAAGCGATAAATGCCGATAGATAAACGGTTGGGGCGCGACCATTGGCTGGGGAATGTTGTCGGTGGCCAAGGGCAGGCAGTGCCTAGAGTTGCATTATATGGTACATTATGGGGGCTAGTTCCCGACCGAACATTTATTATTCACCGGAAGGGGACTTTTTTTTTTTTATTAAAAGGTGTTATGGAGTTGCTCCGGTCAGTAAGTTAATGTGGGCTATGACCCAGGGAAGGGAGCAGGGCCCCCGGTCTAGGTGCAGAAGTGGTTTTATGGAAAATAAGCTTACATTCTACGTAAGGGTGGAATATGGTAAATTATGGCTAAAGGATAATATTTGCCAGATATTTGTGGATTGGGAGAAATTCAAGATCGGTTTTATTCACGCGGGGTTATTCCCTGATTGGTGGTCGTAGGAAAGGGCCCAGAGATAACACTGCCCCGGCTCTGGATGCAGGAGGATTTCTCGGGTGTAGAAATGCGTTATGGGCGGCCAGGCATGGCAAGATATCTAATCTCGGGTTATATGAGCTAAGAGAGTGGAAGATTATATTTTGCATACGTTTAAATTCTGTTTATAGAGGTAATTTCCGATTCGATAAATAAGTGCAGGGACAGATATTGAGAAATTACGCTCCACTGATCACTCCACCGTATATAAACCATTTACTATTCACACCCACTTGCTCTTTTGACCAATGGGATTCCTTACAGAACGGACAAGCATGACTGGTTATCTATGTACAAATTCCATAATGTGGTTCTAATTTCAGAAGCTACTCCCGTGCCTCAACTCGCTCTGCTCGTTCAATCACTAATTCCCCAATCCATACTTCTTCACCACCGTACCCACGTCACCCACCGCTTCGGCATCACCCTGGATAGCTACCGTCACCTTCCCACTTCCCTTTCCGGCCTTGCCCGTAAAAATTTTCTCCGCCACGCTCTTGACATCCTCCATCGTCACGTTCTCAATCATATGGCAGTAATCCGCATCAGCCACAAACTTCCGACCGGCTTCGCTGTCAAACTGCACAATCCGCTTGAAACACTCCTCTAGCTGGATCGGCTTGTTTTCCAAGGCAATCATCACATGCGACTTTAACTGGTTCTTCGCACGCTCTACCTCGGTTCTGGTCAATGCCTTGACCCCGCGCGCCATAAACGTGTTGGAGATCTGCTCGCAGATGATGCTCGGCAACTGCGCCATGATCTTTGGATGAGGCAAGCACGCCGCAGTCACGGAAAACAACCCAGAGTCGGAGAAAACAAAGCCGTCGGCTGAGAAAAAGTCCATGTACCCGTTGCCGTTGAGCACATCGCGCATCGCACGGGAGTACAAGCCTTTACCCGGGCCACCAGCCGAGAACGATCTGGCCTGGCCGATAAGCGACTGCAACACTGCAGCGGCATACAATTCGTCGGAAGAGGCAGGAACACTCTCGAATGAGAGGCGCAAGAAGGTTTTTTCTTCGTCACGACCGTACAACTGCGGGGTCGGCAAAGAAATGGACCCACCCGTGTACCGAGCGACACCCTTGGACGGGGTCTGAACCTCACTAGTCATATCGCCAAAATACTTTTCGGCAAGCTTGACCGCCACGTCGTGTTCTACGCCGCTGAAACCGGCAATCAAGTTGTGAGGGGTGAAGAACAGCTCGCGGTAGGCCATGATCGTGGCTCTATCCACGCCATGTAACGACTCTGGCGGACAGAGAAGCGGCGCGCCGAGCGTCTGGCCGTTGTAGGCGGCGATAAAACTAACTTCCGGCAAGATCTGCTCGGGATTGAGTGAAACCGTCTGCAACTCGTAGTCCGCAATGCCCTTGACCTCCTCAACCTCCGCGTCGGTGATCTGGGGATTCCTAATAGTGTCGGAAAGCAAACCAAACATCTGCTCAATATCTGCGGGGTTGTTCATCACCGAGGCGTTGTACGCAACGTATTCCCTGTCGTATACACAGTCGTAGATACCGCCCACCTGGCGCAACTTTTCCAGCATCTGCTGTGTGGACTGAGACTCGGTAGACTTGTAAGCAAGACGCGAGTTGATGTGAGTGAGCCCCGTAGAGCCAAAGGCGGTTTCGCTACGGCTCCCAGAGTTCACAAAGACCCCGAGGCAGGAGAAGAACCCCGGCGTGGAGTCCGAGAAGACCCGGAACCCGTTCGCGAGGGTTGTGATCTGGATACGGTCTGTGAGGTGCGTGGAAGCAAAGCGTCTGAAGGCAGTGCTATGTTTGAGGGGTCTTGAGATTCCACGAAGCATTTGAAGCTGGAGGAGAACGACGATGGCAAAGCGAGATTGTGTCGCCTTGATATAGCTACTGTGAAAAATTATTGGTAGGTGCACGCACATAAATGGAACGGGAAAGGAGAAGTTGTATTTATATATTCGTGCTTAGAGCAGTAGGATTAATATTTAAGCAATGAAAAAAATATTGGAAACCACTGATATCCGTACTGGTTGGATCAAGAGGATGTATACTCTTTCAGTGGTAATCCCATATCCGATGCAGGCTCTGGAAGAGCCACTGGACATAAAGGAACCTTAGTCGACTGAATACTCCTGTTCCTTTTGGCTAGCCTTACGCGCTTAAAAAATGTTTATTATTTATAGATATGATGTAAGCCCTGCGTATGAATGGTTTGTCCACTCTGCCTGCAAATGTCCAAGAAAACTAGGGAGTTCAATAAATGCTCTGTATTTGGTTAGTAATACTCACGTGACAGTCTGGTTAGACAAGATCCAGGCCCTTACAAAATTGATTGGTAATCGAGCCCGTCAAGACGGGAAATAGCACAAATTTATTATAGAACTAAACGGATTATACTCTGCTGGTGCCACCTTTCAGTCCTTAGAGCTTTTTGGCGTTATACAAAGACACATCCACGACTAGAGGATTTAGTGTAGAAAATACCACCCTCAAGTAGAGGTCGGAGTGGAGTTAGAGTCATACGGCAGAAAATATCCTTCACCGGAGATTGCAGCCCCTGCATTTCAGATTTTCCACGCTAGGTTGGCAGAACATAGGGTTTTCCCTGATTTGAGAACCTCCAAACGCCATGGCATCTGTAACACCTATGTCAGCTGTTTGAGACTGAAAATAACTTCTGTTGGAATTCCCCTTTCCTTTGGCGTTAGTTTTTCTGAGGCCCTCTCAAATTCTTCCGGCACTCCCGACATTAGCTTTATCCACCCTAAATATTCTCGTATAGAGAGGATGCAGGTCCGTACATGATACTTATTCCTGCTACTCCACCGTGTGATTGCCCCACGTGTTTGTGCCTAACTCCAAGTTTAGTTCAGCATTCCACAATGCTACCCACGTGTGTACTATTCACATATTATCCTGATTTCCACTGAACCCTATATGATTCTCTCTCACCTGGAAAATCTCTGGAGTACCTGTATATACCCTTAATAGGCCCTTTCACTTCATGAACTCTACACTCTTGACATTCAATGCCGTAACATTGCGCTCGTGCCTATCCTTTTAATGGCTTATAGATATTAGAATTGCTGTCGGTTGAGTTTAAAGCCATTTATCGAACTTTATTCCGCAATGCATGCAGGCAGCCTTGGATTGCGGCCCTGCGTTTGGTCCCTGATAACTCCGCCCAGCCATGCTCTCGAACCTCACAGGCAAGTGGCATCCTTGAACGATATATATTTAAGAGGCGGAATTTACAATTTTGGTAATGCTCATGGTAGACTTTGTAAAATACGTGTAATCTGTGCCATCCGTGAAATGGGTTGCATTTTCTGAAACATAGACGATATGTCGAATTTCATAAACGTGCGTCGGATTAAATTAATCGATAAGCATAATGTCCAAAGATACAGTTTCCAATGCAAATTCCCGACACTGAAGTTTTCCATTTTTTTTTTTTTTTTGGTGCGGGGACTGACGCTGAAAACGTGCGCTAGGCCAAAGAATATCGGCGTTACTCGGAACAAGGAGTTATTTAGGTGTATTTAACCTACCAATTTCCACCCAAAATACCTGTTCAGTCCTTCCTCGGCCTATTAGCTACTCTAAAAAATGTTTACAAGATCATTTATCCTCTCATTGTGGTGCACTCTGTTTGCTTTCGCGTACCTCCTCCCCGGTCTGGGCCAATCCCTCCCTGGCCTCGCATCGCTTATCCTGAAACCAGAACAGCCCTTATTCCTCGCCAAGAGAGACCCTACAAAAGCCATTTCTCCATTTTTGCTCGCCAAGAGAGCTTCGGCTGACAAAATTGTCGATGAGTCCAAGGCGTTTATTAATAATTTGTATTCCAACAGCTCCGATACCTGTCACAACTGCAAGGCCGTTCTCTCCCGTGGCAGAGAGCTCACCTTCAACCGCACTGATCCACAGGAAATTGTCGATATTTTTCTCTACTGGTGCACAAAGGAGCTTGGAATGTCGAAACTGACATGTAACACTACATACACCTTGTCCACCGTCTCCCATTCTGCCACCCAGGGCACCGACTTCACCAACCTATTAATGTTGATTGAAGAGCCCTTGACGAGTTTGGACGGTGACTACTACTGCTACTTCAAAGCTAACGGGGCATGTGCTTTGCCTCCCACTCCGGAGATTGACTTGCGGAACTGGTGGCCACAGAAGCCGTCGAATAAGACGTTGGCCAAACGTTACGCGTACTTGGCCCGTAATTCCAGCAAAACGTTCAACGTGGCCCATTTGAGCGATTTCCATGTAGAGTTACTCTACACCCTCGGCGGCGAAGCCAATTGTTCAGACTCGATGTGTTGCACGTCACATTCTACGAACGCAGTAGCGTTGAACGGCACCATCAATACCACTCCGCTCTACAATAGTTCATACATTAACGGCATATTCACCAAGGGAGACGAAGTTTCCCCGCTCAAGTCTTCCTGGCAGCCGGCTCATGAATTTGGCGAGTACACCTGCGATACCCCTGAAGTTCTCCTCAACAGTTCTTTGAAACATGTACGTGATACCAATGCTGACAAGGACTTGAATTTTGAGTTTGCCATCTTCACAGGCGACATGGTGGATCACGACACCTTGTACTATACCACTATTGAAACTACTGCCCGCGAGGAGATCATTGGGTTCCAGGACATGAAGGCATGGATGGGCGACATTCCGGTGTACAGTGTTTTGGGAAACCACGACACCTTCCCATACGGGCAGCTTGCCCAGGCGAGCCTGGGATTTTCCAACCGTTTCACCTGGAACAACGAGTTGATGGGCAAATTGTGGGAGGAGAGTGGCTGGGTCACCCACAAAAAGGTTTCCGAGCATTACACGGGGTTTTCCATCGTGACAAGACGTGGACTCAAGATTATTTCCTTGAACTCTAACGTGTGGTACATGAAGAACATGTACGCTTATGCCGGTATCGCTTCGAACCCCGACTCGTTTGGCTCTCTCCGCTGGTTAATCGATGAGTTGATCGAGAGTGAGGAATTGGGACAGAGAGTGTGGATCCAGGCGCATATTCCGTTCGCCGATACCGATATGTTGCCTATTTCTTCTAATATTTTGGGAAAGATTATCGCACGCTTCTCCCCTTACACCATCGCGGCGATTTTCTTTGGGCACACCCACCTAGACGAGTTCCAATTGCAGTATGCGGGTGACAAGGAAGTGGAAAATTTGGTGAACATGGCGTGGATCGGCCAATCGATCACGCCTTTGAATTCCTTGAACCCATCGTGGAGATACTACGAAATCGACGCCAATACCTTTTCCATCATGGGCGCGTTCCACTATTACCAGAAGCTCAACGAGACTAATAACGGCGAGGGGAATGAGCCGGACTGGCAGTTTGAGTACAGTGCCCGTGAGTCATACACCAACGTGGAGACGGCGGCGTTGAACCAGTGGGACGAAGAGGCTCCGTTGAACGCTACCTTCTGGCACCATGTGGCCGTGCAAATTGGTAACAACGAGACATTCGGCCAGTTGTTTGCAGGCCACCAGCACCGGTTCTCACCAGGTACACCTAACTGCTCTGTGGCAGGGGCTTGTGAAGATAACTACTGCTATGTCACGTCGTTCACCAGAGATGAGTATGTTCTTTGCAACTCATTGGAGAAGTGAGATAAATACCCAGGAAGGAATCATATTTGGGCTAGAAAAATAAAAGGCTTTAAACCGATGGTGTAGCTATGATGGATGTACTGTGTTTTAAGATAAGGATTCATGATTGAGCTATAGACCTTGTAAGTTCTCAAATTATTTCTGGATTCTGATGAAATTTTGTAAATCTTCTCGTTGTCATTGCTTTTCTGTTTTGGACTTATCCAGCTGTGTATCGGGTTCAAAGTTATTTATCAGACTCCACCGGATAACCAAACACCTTATTGCCCTAACATTTTAATTTATTGTTTCAGCAAATACGGCTTCACCAGCTTGCTCTTTGCCATGAATATGATAGCTGCCAGAGATCATATCGCGCCAGGTCCCACCTAATTTTCCCTTGAACTCTCTCGGGTGCTTATACCAAACTTATCCACTCTTATAATGCTGTGAAGCACGCAACTCTATAAATCACCGAGTCTGAGCCTCCCGCTTGTCATTTTCACGTGACAACCTGCATTTTGTGGCCGACGCATAAATCGTATCGCGGAGGCTTACGAGCTACAGCGATAACCTCGGTGGTACCATCTCCATAGCGTTTGGACGCTGCACGGCCCAAACTTCCAATACTTCAGGTTTGCAACTCTCCATCCGATAGTTCCACTCTATTCCGTGGAAACTCTCTGCTTGAAGCATGTTTTGGCGCATTTTTGTCATCAGCCTCTGCATCCACCTTGCATATGCGTCCTTCACAGGCCAGACCTTCAAACAGAAACCCTTCCTAAATCTCCACCCACCCGAAGACATTGATTCCAAATCCTTTATCGACAAATTATATGCCCAAAGTAGTGATACATGCACAAATTGTAAAAAAGTCCTCGCCCATGGAGTTGGTCTTACCCAAAACACACCTCCCGAGCAGATCGTCGCCGTCTTCCTCTACTGGTGCACCACAAAGCTCAGCATGTCTGAACAACTTTGCAACATTACGTACAAGCTATCTACGAGTACTGCGACTATGGGCACCGATTTTACCAACCTATTGGTGTTAATTGAAGATCCTTTGGAGAGTTTGGACGGCGACTACTACTGCCACTTCAAGGCGGGCGGTGCGTGCCCGTTGCCCCCTACACCAGCGTACGATTTAAGTTCTTGGTGGTCTGAAAGACCCTCAATTCTGGAACTAGAGCAGAGGTATGGGTATTTATCAGAAAACAGCACGGGTTTTTTTAATGTCGCGCATTTGAGCGACTTCCATGTTGAACTGGACTATGCGGTTGGCGGCGAAGCCAACTGTACTGATTCCATGTGTTGCACGCCGCGGTCAAGGAACGTTCACACCAACTCAGGTCAAACACCATCCACAGACTTTTTCCATAATAGCTCGTACACCGATTTTGTGTTTGTGAAGGGCGACGAAATTCCCGCGCTGGAAGTAGTCTGGCAGCCAGCGCACGAATTCGGCGAATACACCTGTGACACCCCGGAGCTCCTCCTCAACAACTCGCTAAAGCACGTTCGGGACACAAACCAGGTGAAAACGCTAGGTTTTGAATTTGCCCTTTTCACCGGCGATATGGTGGACCACGATGATTTGTATCACACCACAATGGACACCACTATACACGAAGAGATTATGGGGTTTCGGGATATGAAGGCGTGGCTAGGCGACATTCCCGTATACAGCGTCTTGGGAAACCACGACACTTTCCCGTATGGACAGCTCGCCCAGGAGAGTCTGGGTTTCGCCAGTCGCTTCACCTGGAATGACGAGTTGATGGGAGATCTATGGGAAGAAAGCAACTGGGTGCCGAGAAATGTCTCTAAACATTACACAGGGTTTTCAGTAGTAACTCGGCGCGGCTTAAAGGTTATCTCGTTAAATTCCAACGTGTGGTATACAAAGAACATGTACGCCTATGCCGGTATTGCTTCGAACCCCGACTCGTTTGGCTCTCTCCGCTGGTTAATCGATGAGTTGACCGAGAGTGAGGAATTGGGACAGAGAGTGTGGCTCCAGGCACATATTCCCTTTGCCAACGTCGATACCTTACCCATATCTTCTCACCTTTTGGGGGAGATCGTTGCCCGCTTTTCTCCATATACGATCGCAGCGATCTTTTTCGGACACACCCATAAAGACCAGTTTCAGGTGCAGTATGGTGCTGACAAGGACCCTGGAAACGTGGTGAATATGGCTTGGATCAGCCAGTCGATTGCACCGTTGTTCACTCTCAACCCCTCGTGGCGGTATTATCAGGTGGATTCCAAGACGTTTTCTGTCATGGATTCACTCAATTTCTACCAGCGCCTCAACGAGACGGTGGACGGCGAAGGGAACGAACCGGAGTGGCAGTTTGAGTACAGCGCTAGGGAGGTGTATACTAATGTGGAATTTTCCCAGTTAAAGCAGTGGGAAAAGTCAACGCCGTTGAATGCCACGTTCTGGCACTATGTGGCCGAACAGATTGGTACCAACGCGTCGTTTAACCAGGTTTACACCAACCACCAGTTTAGGTACTCGCCAGCGACTCCTGATTGTTTCACAGGCTTGTGTGATGATAACTATTGTTATGTCAGTTCGTTTACAAGGGACGCCTATCTTGGGTGTAATAACTTGGAGGCTCTGAGCTACCACATTGTGGGGAGCTTCTGGGATGTGTAGAGGGACGCAGTTGAATGACACTGTGAAAGGTTGTATAAAATAAATTAATAATTATTAAGGTATGCAGAGAGGAAACATGCTTAGGTTCTTTTATTCAAATAGCATACAGGCTACAACCGTAAGCAATGAGTAATACCTACTGCTCACTCACTATAAGCAACAACCCACCATGCAAGAGCCGGTCTAGTATAGTGGTCAGTACACCTCTTTGTGGCAGAGGAAACCCAAGTTCGATTCCTGGGACCGGCAGGCTTTTCTTTTTCTTCTCTGCATACTTTTTGGTACCATCGTGTCTCGTCTTGATGACACCACTGATCCTAATCCCAGCTTTGCAATGCCGCTCAAACGCCAGCGTTTCATCCGGAAACAACCACTACTATCCAAAATCCAAGCGTACCCCTTTGACCTCTGGCTCTGGCTCCATGAGACTCGACTGGCTATTGATTGGGACGCCCAGGCACAATTCGTGGGCTTACCGCTAGGACTTGTGATGAAGATTGTATACCTGTTGCTTCTCACCATTGATTCGCGTGCGGTACGCGGAAACGACGTCTTTGCCTCTAATGTGAGCTATCGACACCTCCGAAGCGTGCATTCCCCCAGCCTCATCTCGCGGTTTCAGGCCACGGCCTTGGCGGTGACACAGGCTGTGTGTGTTTTGCTAGTGGCGTTCAATTTACTTAACACGTATCTCTGTTTGTCAAAAACACGCATCTACACGTTTATGAGCTCCGTGAACTCGAATATTACCGTTGCACAGAGGCCCAATGGTGCCCATAAAATCAACTTGGATGCGTATGCGGACGATGAAGATACACCAAGCGACGAGTCAGTTTTTGGGGCTGTTTGGAGATGGCTGTTGTCGCATTTATCTCCCAAACAGATGGAACCTGAGCTAGTTGATACAGATAGTGAGACCTGGCAATTGTGTGTATGGGATCCACTGAAGTTCCAGCTCTGCCTCTTGTCCATGTTCTCGCCCGTTGATTTGGTGTACCTTGCCTCCGCGCCTACCGGGCTCAAATCGACCCTGGTGTTGCTTCTTATCAACTTTGCTCTCTACTATGTGGTGGTGGAGTGCTTTCTTGTGCTTCTCAAAGACAGAGAGTTGATCTACAAAGAGACATTTGCGGAATACGACTCAAAATACGTCAGACCAAAGCTTTCGATCGCCAAGCGAGATGTGAGTGTGGATGCCACTGGAGGACCGTACGTCAGGCCGAGGGTACAGCACTACGAGACGTACTCTACCAAGGAAAGGGTCTTCTACACCCATGATCAGAAGGGAAAGTTGGTTGATAATTACAGACGACTGAACGAAAATTATGATGACGGTTACAGACCGGTATTTAGAGATGAAAGAGAGATTAATGAGTTGGCTCCACGGTCATTCATCTCTTCTGCTTCTCTCGAAACGTCCCCGTTCGTTCGGCCGGTACACTCGCTTAGTAAGGCGTGGTCAGAAAGACAAGCCACAAGGAAATCCCTCTCTGTCAGAAGCCCGAGCCCTGGGACCCCCACCTTGAGGAGAAAGTATGAGCAGTCTAGAGGGGCAAGCACATCTCCCGTGAAAGATCGCCTTAGCGCACTCCCTGTTGGACAAAACAAGCCGTGGGCTGCGTCTTCCAAGAAATAGTTTCAGGGTGGAATCCGAACTCCCACGGCTGTCTGATAGTTAGGGCGGTCTCCAAGTTGTGGCTTTTAGTGAGTAGCAGGAGATGTGTTATTTGTTCAGGTAATAGATCCAGTGTGCGATGCGCATACTTTGGGTGAAAACTATGGCTCACGGTACATCCCTATAAGACAGTTCAAACCGAAACGAATTATTATGGCATACTCTTTTGTTTCAAGTAACTGCGAGAATATCTCCATGAGCTTGATGTATGGAGGAGTTCAGTCAATATTTCTGTCTATGCCATCTTACAACTGTCGTGTCAGTTATGGGCCGCAGGGTTCATCGCTCAGGTTGAGATCGGACCAGGTATTAATATATTGACCCCGAAAACAGGCGAAATACCACAATTCTCGGTGACTCTGTATTTCAGGCACCAAAAAGATACTTATTGAATAACACCTCTGATAACAAAAATGGTACGTTCTCGGTCCCTTGGTTCACTATAATGTCTTTATCGCCTTTGCTCATAGTTTGGACTCTAACAACGGTTTATTTACTTCCACAATGCCAAAATAACAATTATGTGGTCAATATGATGTACATTAATACGCTTACTCTACCAGCAAGGATGGCTCCAGGCTGGATGTCATCAACTTCTGAAACACTGGCCAACTCTCTTGGTTTAGTGCTCGCTTTTTCTTTTTCGATATTCTTTTTTCAAACCTAAACTCTTTGATTTATACTTAGCTTCATACTCAAACCATAGACCGAAGGGGCAATTACCCTGGCGTTCATCAGATACTTATTTTTCCAGAGGTTAGCGGTTGGTGCAATTCTAGATAGCACGTTGACGACTAACACAATTAGTCTTACAATCAGTTTTACAATCAGCTTTACAATCAGCTTTACAACCGACTTTACAACCAACTTTATAATGAATTTTCCAAACTGCCCTGTAACGTCAAAGTATGGTCCCTCACCTATGAATCCACTCCCACGTGGTGTGTTCTAGCATGCAGCCCACAAGTATTCTTCGTACCCGGCATGAGCTTGAAGCTGCGCTTAGATCTCAAACTAGTCAAGCCGCCAGCTACCACTATGATTTACAATCAAACCACATATTATGCCCAGAAAAAGGCCCCAAAGAATATTACCAGTGTCTACTACATTGTTATAAGTGAGTTATTATCGATTGGCACTTGTCCTTCAATGACCATCAGAACGTGATTTGTACGCAGGACAGCCTAGATACCGGCTCGGTAAAAGTTTGCGCGTAGGGCTGGTCCGGCCAGTTATCCACAACCACCCTCCAATTGTACCACTATCCAATAACGCGTTATCAAATGGAAAACCATTGTCCAGGTCCCAACCACTACACCCCAATGTTGTTCTAGTACCCATGCACCCAGTTGAGTTGCCATATGCGTATGCAAGATGACTCTGACGTACATGAAAGCGTTAGTGCGAAAAAGATCCAACTAACAAATACACGCCCTTCCGTTAAAGGCTTGTCGAGCCGAAAATCCCTATACCGCTTCGCATTATCACACCTTGCAAGATAGTGTTTATCAAAAGTCTGTTTGCATCATTTCTATTTTTTGCAACAGCCACCACTCCATCTGCCAAAGCTACTCTTAGTCCCTGGTACCTACACTCTTGCATAAAGTCACTTTTTGTTGATCCATAGCACGCGCTTTTCTTAGCTTCTTTGAGACAGCCCCCTACCCCTTTTCCAACCCACCTCTCGATGCCGGAATCCCATCAGTTCACACACAGCGCGCGCAGCCGCCGGTCCTCTATTGTCGTCGGCTCATACCGCTCCAGTTTCTTTGACCCCCAGGACAATCTCCTCCACCGGACAGAGCGCAGACCTTCCTCGTCCAGCGTGCTTGTGACCGGGTTTGTGGACCCCGACTTGCTCAACGAGGAGGTCTCCCTCCTTCGTGACAACAACATCAACCTCCCCGCAAGCGTAGAACACCACGGCGCGTTCTACGGCGCGGTTCGCGAAGATGACGCCGCCGCCACGGACGTAGCGGATGCGTGGGAGACATCGGTTGCAGCCCACAAGGTGGTGACATCCACGCGGCGCGAGTTCTACGTGCTTGCCACGTCGGCCTTCCCCCTTATCGTTACCTTTCTCCTCCAGAACTCTCTCACAATGGCCTCCGTCTTCTCCGTAGGCCACATCGGCTCACAAGAGTTGTCAGGGGTCACACTCGCGAGTTTGACCGCCAGTATCACGTGTATCGCAGCCATTCAAGGTCTTGCCACCTGTCTCGACACGTTGTGTCCTGAAGCGTATGGCTCTGGAAACCTCCGGTTGGTTGGCGTCTACTTCCAGCGGTGCACGGCATTGATCCTCACAGCCTATGTGCCGGTAGCACTCCTGTGGTGGATATACGCGGAGCGCGCGTTGGTGTACATCGTTCCGGAAACTGAGGTGGCGATTTTGAGCGCCCGCTACCTCAGGGTCATCTCCCTCGGGATGCCTGGATACATCTTTTTCGAGACAGGCAAGCGCTTTTTGCAGGCGCAGGGAATTTTCAACGCGTCAACCTCCGTGCTTTTTGTCGTCGCACCCCTTAACATTTTGCTCAACTATACGCTTGTGTGGAGCCCCGCCTTCGGCATAGGCTATATCGGCGCGCCAGTTGCCGTTGCCATCAGTTACTGGGCCATGGCCATTGGTCTCCTTGTCTTTACCGTCACCACTAAGAGCGCCATCAACCCTCTCAAGTGCTGGGGCGGTTTCTCGCTCGACGAGTGCTTCCGCAAGTGGTCCGTGTTGTTCGGACTTGCGCTCCCGGGTGTGGTTATGATCGAGGCCGAGTTCCTCGCGTTCGAGTGTCTCACGCTCATGGCGTCGCATCTCGGCAGCGCCAACTTGGCAGCCCAGTCAATTATTGCCACCCTCACCTCCCTTGGTTACCAAATTCCCTTCTCCGTCTCCGTCGCAAGCGCCACGCGCACGGCCAACTTCATCGGCTCTGGCATGCCGCAGTCTGCTGCCAAGACAGTGTCAGTGTCTATTCTCTTTGGCGTTGCAATCTCCATCGCCAATGTGGCACTCTTCTACTTCGGCCGCGGCTTTATCCCGCACTTGTTCACAAATGACTCCGAGGTTGCGCAGATCGTCAAGGATCTTTTGCCGCTTATCGCAGTCCTCGAGTTCTTTGACGCATTGGCGACCGTCTCTGGTGGCTGCTTGCGCGGCGAGGGCATGCAGAAGATCGGCTCGTGGCTCAATCTCGCGGGGTATTACCTCATCGGTATCCCCTTGGTTGTGCTCTTCACCTTCCGCTGGGGTTGGGGCTTGTACGGCTTGTGGGTCGGTATTTTGATCGGCTTGGCCTTGATTGGCAGTCTCCTGGTCTGGTTCGCCGTCACCGCAAATATGAACGAGCTCGTGGCGAGGGCAAGAAGTCGCAATGAGAACAGTGTATAGGGTAATAGCCTGTCGAAACAATGACGGTGTCGGCTAGAAAAACATCAAAGTTTTACTCTCAAGTTATAATCAGCCGTTCCAGAGGGAATTTCCGTATCCTGTAGTTTGGGACAATGGATTGGTAGGACAAGAATTTTAGAGTGTGGGAATAGGCATGAGCTAAGTCTAATATTGGAAGAAATGGGGATTATAGTCCCAACCACTGGCAACATGTCGAGCTAAAGGCAAGTCCGTAGTTGTACGGATGTATATAGCTCTTGTACGTAGGATATTAAATCTCCGTCATTCATCTCAGAGTAAGGTGGACCCTTCAATTCTAATCACATAGGGGTAGAATTCTGAAGGGAATTATGTGTAGCAGATACACCAACATTACAACAAACGTTTTGATGGATATCGGTAGAGTCTCAAGACCTCCGCATTATACCGTGTGTGCAGGACACCTTTTTCTCAACTGATGATTTCGCTGGCAGTCCAGTCTCGACCTGCAGGTCGTGTGCACTCCGGCAAGTTAAACCGCATAGCTAAAAGCGACGTGCCCGCAAGATCCGATTTGCATCTCCTCTCACTCATCCCTCCCCTTTCCTCTATATCGAGCGTTAGAATGCAACCACAAGCTGCTTCTACGGTACCCGGGCCTCTGGAACCGCTCACGCCGCCAATTCCAGTACCTGTGGCGGCAACACCACCCGCCGCGCTCCTTCCATCCCATTCGCTGATCGATCTGATCGCTTTCCTCGTCATCTTTCTCTGTTTTCCATCCCCTGTTTCGTGTATTGTTTTGGGACTCCACGCGCTCTCCGCGTCATCTCGTGCCGTGGTAGCGCGCCTCTTCTCGCGTCTCCTCCACAAAGACTCGGAGCTCTTCATTCACCCCGGCGACTTTCTCTACATCTTCCACCACTACCGCCTCTCCGCGGCCTTTCTCTTCTTCACACACCTTGCGATTGCGTTCGTTCTTGCATATTGTTTCCCTGTCTCGCTCAAGGTTGTGCATTTGTTTGCGCACGCGCTCGCGGCATCCACGCTCGCGGGCTCGCCGAAACGCAACACCTTCGTGAATGCGCTCCTCAGCTCCGCCGTCATCCTCGCGCTCGATCAGGGCTACAAGTACCTCTGTGAGCTGCTAAATATCCACTTTGGCATGGATTTTGCGCCCCATACCAGCCTCCTCCGCAGCACCAGCCTACGGATCTCCGCCGCGCTCCCTCAGCACCGAGACTGGTACCGTGGCCACTGCTTGCTCTATCTCACCAACGTGGTACGGTCAGCCTTGGCCGTGCACACCATCTTGCTCTGCATTTCTCCACTCCTCAAGAACATTTTTCTCCTCCAGGGCTACACCAAGACCCTCGACCAGCTCGCCAGCATCGCCCCAGACTACCCCATCAACAAGTACTCAGCGTCCTACAAGCTCCGTGCCGGCGTATCGGCTGAACCCGCTCCTCCTGTCGACGTCGAGCCCCAAACCACGGTCGTTGTCCATGTCTCGCCCAAAATCGCCAGCTCTCACAATGTGCTCTCGATCGCGCGGGAAAGCCCCGTGGCAAGTGCAGAACTGCTTCCAGCAGCTTTTCCGGAAACGGCCGAGCCACTCCCCGCGTCTGACCTCTCCCTGCTGGGCTCTGTTGTCTCGTCTAACTTCTACAACTATTGCATGACGTCCCTCTCCGACGCCAAGCGCAAGAAGGATCTCAAATGGGTCCAGCCGCTCTGGTCGTTGATCGCGACCGCGCGTGCGATGTACGGCTGCAACGACGTCTACTCCGGCGAGATCCACACCGCCTCTGACACCGCGCTCGTGCCGGTGTACGACAACGACGCGTTTGCCGCGTTCGTATCCACCGGCTATTACAGTGACACAACCTTGCGCAACTCACGTGGGTTCGTCAACTACATCGGCGAGACGGCCGTCGGGTTCCTCCTCCCAGGCTGTGTCTTTGACGATGGCATCTCCGTCAAGGTCAACGGTGTGATGTGGTACCAGGTGCGCGAGGCCACGTGCAGGAGTGACGGTGTCTGGGACACGCTTGTGCTCGTGAGCGGGCTCACGCCGTTGTCGCAGTACGATATCGAGCTTTATATCTACGACACGGAAGAGGTTCTCTCCAGTAACATTGTATCCACGACCCACAACACCACCACGGTGTCGCAGTCCAAGATGACGTCGCCGCTCATCACGCTCCAGGAGTCGCTCATCACCACAAACGAGAACCTCACGCGCGAAAAGACCAAGGTGCGCAAGACCCGCAAGGAGATTACCAAAAAGGTGAGCGTGTTGAAGAAGGAGATCGAGACGCTTCGGGCCGGTTTGGATAACAACCAGACGGATGCAACGGGGTCGGCAGATAACCGAAACTGGCGCAAGCTTGTGTCGTTGCGTGCGAACGTGTCTCAGGTCCAGGACGAGAACAAGAGCATAGAGGAGGATGTATCGCGGGTGATCGAGGAGGAGAGTGAGGCCAGCGAACGGTATCTCGAGGAGAAGCGCCGCTTTGAGGCTGAGATCCGCACGTTGCGCGCGTTCCACAAGGGCTTTACGGACGAAGTGGCCCAGTTGGAGCGCCAGGCGGCGGCGGTGAGCCAGGATCTCGCCAGTTTGGACGCCAAGAAGGAGAAATTCACCGCCAAGGCTGCAAAAATCAGCGCCGACTTGCAAAAGATCTTGCGCGACCTTGAGGAGCTCAAGTCGAAGGATATCAGTCGAAGGATAGACATGCGCACGGCGAGGGCGCTGAGGCGCGATGAATTGATCCAAGAGTTTGTGCTGGAGATTAAAAGGCTTGAGAATGCCATCGAGAGCCAGGGATACGGGGGTTACTCCGCAAACCCGACCACGTCGTTGCTTGAGAGCAGCAATGCGGGCTTTGCCGGTTTTGGTCAGTACTAGTATTTATGGTGTATTATGGTTTTTTGGAAAAATGCGTAGGGGACAGCTCAGGGTTGGAAGAGTGTTTTGGTTATTATAGAAGAAAATAAGTTAAGGTTCAGAAATGGAATGGAGCTTATAAAATTTCCCTTCGACAAAACATCTATGACCGATAAAAGATGTGATTTTAGAGAGAAGTGAGAGATAAATGATTGACCTTAGGTCGAACTGTAATCAGATAGGCATGAGATAAGTATACGGTTCTCAGTGGTAGAGATGAGGGTTCAAATCCAACCTTTCGACAGATAGGTCGTTCGGGTCTTGTAACTATCGGGGAGATTTTGTGATGCGGCCAAGCACTCTGCTATACTCAATGGCAACAGATCAGTAGCGTGGACCTTATCAAACCGGTTGAATCTTTACCGGAAATGGATTCATGTTGGTCAAGGTTAGCATCTCGTTCCAGGACAGCAGGGAATATCCCCACCCCTTTTCGCCTAAGCTCCAAATCTACCAAACCTGTACTATTACGATCTCTATTTCTATTTTGTATATACATGGAAGGGTCTCTTGGTTGGAGAATTTCATAAGCCTGGCAAAGGTAGTTTTCACTACTTCTGCTCAACCAACCTTTCGCCAATAATGTGGAACCCACGGTTGAAAAAGAGTAACCCTCCGGTCTTGTTCTTATCGTGAAACGCTTCGTGGCATTTAATATCCTGGACTTCACCCACCCAAATCTCGTGGTCACCGACGGTAAACACCTCCTTCTTACGACAAATGAAGATTCGCTCCGAATGGCTCAACACCGGGATATTCTCCGGCCCCAGCTCAAACGCCAACTCCCAATCCTTGCCCTCTACAAGATGCTTGAATGGCGCGGTTTTCTCGAACTGATGGGTAACCTTGTTCCGCTTTACACCATTGCTGAACAATCGCGCGAGCTCCACCGACTTTTGCGTGGGGGGTAGCAAGTGGATGGCAAAGGTCTCGTGGCTGTGGAGCTGGTGCGACGTGAATGACGGCAAGTGGAGGTTAAACTGAATAAGCGGTGGATCCGCGGAAAGCGAACACACAGATGATATTGTCATTCCGTGGAACGTGTTGGGATCGGCCCTGCCTGCAAACGGCGCTGTGAGAATCATCGCTAAGCTGTTAGTAGCGTTCATCGGTGACCACGGGCGTACTCACCTTGAGATCCAATTCGGGAAAAGCTCTCTTTAAAGACATTACTCGTAGAGACATGTCGTCTGAAACAGTGCGATATCATACAGAATGAGTATCAAGCGAGACCAAGCCATTGCTACTTATAGTTGCCAAAATCCTGGCCGATATTAATACCGAGATAGTGCGGCTGAAAGATCTAATTTCGCTGAATTAAATATTTCAGCGAAAACCGGTGCGGCTCACTGAAAATTGGCATGAGACTTTTGAGGGCCATCCGGACCTCTTGGAGATATTCCGGGGCTGGTATGGCGTTTCGATCGAAGGTACTCATATTGCCGCTCGGTTCCCGTTTTGTCTCTACGTACAAACCCAAAGCTCCTGCCTGTGTCTCGCCGCTTGTGAGCAGGGGCGACAAATGGTCCAGGAAACCGCCAAAACTCCACCCGTCTGCACGGGTTGATCGTTGTTATCCCGATATAAAAGCCAATCCCTTTGCAAGACCGCTTTTGTCTCCTCCACGGTTTGATACCCTTTCTCGGAGAAAGATCCCCCGAGATTTCATGTTGCCCATGGCAGTAGTGCAGGGCGAGTCAACGAAGGCCTATCTCATGCCATTCTTTGAAGAGGCTCATGTGCGATCATATGCCCCAAATAAACGGCAGATGGTTCGGGATACACTTAACGCTGTTTCGGGAAAGAAAAACAACTGGAAGGTCTTTCTACCGATGAAGGTCAAGTTGAACAAGGACTCTATGGGGGCGTATGACTACGCGGTCAAAGAGGATATGGAAGTTATTGTCCATGAATACTACAAAGCGAAAGTGATGAGGATGGTGGAATCACTTGTGGCCACGGGGTCATTGCAGAAGGCGTTGTTTGGTACGATTTCTGCCTCTGACAAGCGAGAGTTCGCTGTGTTGGCCTTTGGAGATGTCCCTGCAGTGTCGTTTACCGAGATACGGGGAAAGCGGGTGGCTCATATTGGGGTTGAAAGAATGTGTGGAGGGGATGTGGAACTTGTGGAGTTTTTAAAATTGCATTTCCTAGCTGACCGAGAAGGACCGGTGTTCTTGAAACTAAATAAAGCCACCGGGAAGCTTGTGGCGATGATGGTGCGGTTTTCCAACTACAACGAGATATAAGTTGGAAAGAGTATCAGAGACTGGTCTGGGTATATTTCAGTCATTCGATATGTAAACATATAGTATGACAGGAAAGTGGGGTCAAACCTATGGATTCAATAAATGGATGACTTCGGGGAGGTCTGGGTTTGAGTTTAGGATTCCGGTATTGAAGACGCGACAGCTTGGGTATATCTCAACCCCTTGGACGTGACTAGGAGACTCAATGCTTAAAAAGTTTGCACAAAGACTTGCTGGTGTACCAGCTAGAGCTGGCTACGGCTACCTTATTAAAAGCCTTCTGTATATGCTTCAACACCGGCATACGAACAGATACCCAGACTATTGTTTAGCTTCAAATCACGTTTATTACATCAAGCTTCAAATCCTATATACCACGGACAAATCTCAATGATCTAATCTTTGTCACACCAAGGACAACGGCAACCCGTAAACAATTGGGGCGGCACCGTTGAGGAACCTCAACTTGCACACGTCTCGGCTTTGGCAGACCGCTTCACAGATGTTGGCCCTGACCGGATGAGATCCCCGGACAAGCCCCCACTTTTCAAAAAGCGAGAGACTAAACGTGTCGATATCTTTGTCTGTGACATCCCACAAATTCACTAACACCATAGGACAGCCTCCGGCGAGGTAGTTGTAAACAGTGCCATGGGGCTCTAACAACGACGCGGTGGTTAACGCACCGGAGGAGCATCCGATAAGAAGGCTGGGGGCGATTCTGGGCTGCCTCTTGAGCGTCTGGGACGAGATATACTGGTCCCCCGAGCCATGACCCAAGTACAAGAAAACATCAGCCTTCGCCAAAAGATGTGAGAATTCCGCCTCGCTGGGCCTTCTGCCCACAATTCCGTCCCCGATTTCCTCAAACAAGCCGCTGAAATTGTCCTCCGTGCGGTTCAAATCGCCCCCAGGGTTGAGAACGTATCCACATTTTTCCCTGGAGACCATCAACGGATGTTGGAGCTGCTCCTCGAGCACGTGCAACGACTGCATTCGGGAGACAGACCGGTTCCGCAAGCACGGCATGGACTCCCACGGAAAAGACACACACGATTTTCCCACAATAAGCACGGTGTGGCCATCCGCGGGGGAGGCATCGCGGTGATAGGCCATCAACAAACTCTCAATGTCGACATAAATGCCGTCAATATTGAGTTCGTCGTAGGCGTTCAGTTCGCCGTGAAACAGAAGAATATCCAACACAAAGTAGATGAGGTCTTCCAAACACGTAGAAGATTTGAGGTCCGCGGGGTTGCCAAGTTTGACAAACAACTCCAAGACCATGTCAGAGAGTTGGACAAGGGGCACTGCCTCATTACCTGAGCTTCTGTCCTCCTTTCTAACAGCGCTCCTGGTTTGGTTTTTGTCCTCCTTTCTAACGGTGCTCCTGGCTTGGTTTCTGTCACCCCTGGCTTCACATTTTCTTGGCCTCCCTCGCGACGGAAGATACAGCCCCAACACCTTGGCAAAGCCTGCCTTAAACACCTGAAACCTTTCTTGGTCAACGGCATCGGTGAACATCCCTTTGAACCCACCAAACCAGCATGTTTCTGTCTCCGCAAGAAGGCTTTCCAACCGCACGTCCAACTCAAACCGCTTCCGCCACCATTTCTCCCTGGCCTCACGGCTGGTCATCTGCGCTTTGTCCACCTTGGTTGTTGCGTCACTTTCGCGGATGATCGACGTAAGCTCAGCAAGGGCATCTGGGAACGATATTGCGTGTTCGCAGGGGTCGCGCTGAGAGTGACGGCTCAAAGGAAGACGGGCAAAGAACGGTTTGTCGATCCTGGTCACAAGAAGATCGCCCAGAGGACAGAGGTCGATAGAAAGGACCTGCCAGTTGGCAGGAATGCTGAGCAGCTCCGATGGGTATCCAAGCTCGGGAGCCGAGCCCATGAGGGGGTACATCGGGCTGTCATCGGTGCACTTGGAAAGCGCTCTCTCGTAGGCAAGGGGGAGGTATCTTGAAACCTCGGCCCAATAAAGCGTGTCCCTGATTGTTTGTAGATCTGGGCTCAGAAGCGCGCAGAGGCCGGACACCACCCGTGCCAAAGTGTATTTCACGTCGTGGAGCTCGTAGACGGCACCATACCGAAAAGCCTCCTGGCTGCAATCCATGAGAAGCTCCTTGGCGGTGCACAAGTTTCCAATGTCCTCCAGGGAGATAGCTGCCGAGGTGGATGGGAAGAAGAGGACAGACTCGTTCATGGTGGAGAGGATAGGGTCCGAGGCAACGGAACGGGCAGCCACTGCAAGTGAGTGCTTGGCTTCGAGAATGTTGCTCAACACAAGATCGTGAACGCGGTAGGGGTTGACCGTATGCTCCACCTTTTCCCCCGCGCGCACGAGTTTCGTGAGGGCATCAATTTGCAACTTCATGCTGGCGTACAAGCTCCCGTCATCAAGGCGCAAGCGGCAAATCTCAAGAATGGCGGAGTTGAGGGAGGCTTGAGAAAGGCTGGGGGTGTGATCAACGGAGTCAGCAGAAACAATCCCTTCTTTGGGCATTTCGACGAGCTCCCTGGGGTCTCCCTTAGAATCTCTCGGGTAAAACCCCTGGAGCATCTCCTTCATCAACTCGTCGTACTCCCCCTTCCCTGTAAATAGCAGATACACATAGTTCGTGTAGTTATGGCACATTTCCAACCCACTGTGAACAAAACTAAACTCGTTGTAATATTCATTGGCCACTTTCAACTGACACTCGGCCGTTTCAAGCTCTCCGATGAAGAGATAGTGCTCCGCTAGCCGGTAGTAGCCTTCACACTTGGCGGCAGCGCAGTCGCTGGCGTCAGTCACCTTCATAAGCTGGGTGTGGTAGAAGTGACAATCGCGCGTGAGACCCATCTCGGTGTAGAGGCTGGTCAAAAATGCCAACCCGCGGGTCAACGTCTGGAGGAGCTGCCACTTCATCCGGATATACGCCGGTCTGGGGATGCTAGTGCTCGTGGGCAACTTCTTTAACACCGATTGGACCAACTTCAAGGCCTTTTTTGCGTTCACCACGGCTGAAATCCTGTCCGCCTCCGCGTGGTTCAAGTGAGACATGAGCAACTGGAACTGAACGAGAAGGGAGAGGATGTTGAACTTGGCCAAGACACTGGGGGTCTTTGCGGGCTCGTTAAGGGCTTGCAAGAGCGGAAGGAGTCGTTCAGCGGTTTCCCACGCTCTGGCAATGTTTCCTGTAACCAAGCAGTGCTCTAATTGCAAGAGCTGAAAACTGGCAAAGGTTGGGGTATTCAGTGGGATGAGAAGATTTGAAAGCTCCTGGAGGTGGTTGCCCGCGCGTTTAGGAAAGAGCAAAGCGAGGTTGGCTCGGACTCGGGTTTCCAAGCTAAAGGCAGACGTGTTGTTAATATCGTTTCGAAGGTCATGGGAGTCGTCCTTTGCCGCAATAACAATCCTTCTATCCCCACCACTGCCGTCACGGGCAGCTCTGAAGACATCCAAAACATGGATCGCATATGCATCCAACCCCTGAAACTCAAAGTACGCCACCATGCTCCGCAAAATCTCCACCTCCATGTCCCAACAAACCCAATACACCGGCCCGCTGATCCAGTGGAGGTACAACTCCAACGCGGTTCCTAGATACTCTTGGTTGAACAGCTCGTTAATGCTCGCCTGAAGATACAACCCTGCAAGTACCAATGGCGCATACTGCTCGATACAGCTCTCCAGGAAATCATCATCAGCCTCAAACGGCACAAACTCCACGCCGTTGGTGTTGAAGTAGTGGTAGAGCGCGAAAAGACGAAGTCCGGTGTCTTGAACGTCCATCCGGAGAAACAAAGTGTTGACCATCGCCGACTTGCGGCCTTCTGGAACCGTCTGCTCGATAATCGCCGCGGTAAGCACAAACACAAGAACCTTGAGGCGGTCGCTGAGGGATACTGGCATCTGGACTCCGGAGAAACAGATCTTGGTAAGCATCTGGCGGATGAGCCGGAAGTCCGCACAGACGGTGTAGAGCGCCATAAAGTCAGGGAGAAGGGTATCGGTGTAGGTGAGGAAGCGGACCAAGACGGCAAACGCAGTAGTAAAGTCCTTTCTGTTGAGCAATCCGGAGGCTATCTTCTCCGTCATTGTCCTTAGGGAAAGGTGGTCAGAGGAAATGGAGGGGTTTGCGTCACAGATGGTGTATTCCCAATCAAGTGCGTGGGTCCAGAACTGCCCTTCGGGCGCTTTTCCGCCAAAATTGTAGTACAACTTGGCGATGTTATGGAGCCTGGAGTACTGTTTTGCCTGTAAAAACGCCGCCGCGGCCAAGGAAAGAACTTTAGAGATGTATACCGAGTCCTGGGGAGAAGCGAGTGTGGTTTTGGATATTTCAACCATGGCAACGTCGTAAACCGCCAGTGGGTGGTCTTTGTAGTATGTGAGGATAGCAACGTATATCTGGCGAATGTTCTGGATGGATTCTGGGTGAGATCGGGCCACTTCGGCAATGTTTCGCATGGCCTTGACCACCATGGGGGTATCATCGCTCCGAGGGATGCCAGACCTAAACACGTCAAGCGTTGCCTTGAGGATGGTCGAGCTGACCTCTTTGGTTGATCTCAATTGCTTTAATACAGCAGCAACATCTCCCTGGCTCAAATCCGGATGGATACCCACGGTTCCGGAAAACTCTCCGAACGCTTTGGTGATTTTGGCAACTCTCTCGTCCCTAGAAAGGCTAGGACACGCACGTAATGTGCTGCTAAGGATATCAGCACAGGACGTATAGATTTGCTTGCCAAACTCCGCTGCATTCAGGGAGAAGGCGCTGGATAAATCGTTCAATGTTTGTTCAGAACGGCAGAACCTGACGGATAAGAGAAGGAGAGCGATTTTTGACACTGGGGAACTGGTCATCAGGCCGTAGTTATAACACAGCTTGGCTAGGACTGCGCCCTTCTTCTGTGCGGCGGCCGCGGGTAGCTGATCAAGCCAGTGACAAAAGCTGGAGCCAGGGGAGACACAGGCAATGAAATCAGCAGCGGAGATTACCTTTTTGCGGCCAAGGAGCAGCTGCGTACAGAGCTGGAGAAAGAGAATGTATAGGGAGACCACCACGTTGATTGTGTCGGGGTCCGAAACTGGTTCCATCCCCCGGATTATTCGTTTGGGGTCGAAAGAAGGCTCAGTAGATCTGACATCAATAGAGCACTCGGTGGATCTTTTGAGGGGTGAGGTTTCGGTAGATCTACTATCAACAGCAGTCTCTATTACTCTTCCCCCTTCATTGGCACCCTTCAATTCCAAGAAAAGACTCCACACCTGATCCAAACCTATCAGAAACTGCTTGGACGCAAGACACTTGATCACAAGACTGAGCTGGGCCTTCCATGTTTCGATCAGCGCTGACTCCAGTGCCTTCGCCCAGCTGTCGATGCGATACGCGAGATGGATTGTGCGTAATATTGCAGCTGTTTCTTCCGTCCGTTTGGTTTCAAGGCTCTGGAGCTCCCGCAGGCTATGGAGTACCACATTTCTGGCTAGTTGTACAACATCGGAGGCCACATGGCTGGTGTTCAACTCTGAATCGCTATGGCACCCTAGCGCCTGTCTGTGTCTGAGAAAGTGAGCAAACCTTGGTTCTAGCAGTGAGAACGGTGTATCCGGTTTGAAAGCGAATGTCTGCATTGGGCACGAGTTGTCCAGAAGCAATTGTGAAGTGTAGTGTAAGATGAATAATGTGAGATGTTTTAGTGGCACAGATCCAGATGTTAGAAATTTGAAAATAGTAAACAGAGTGTGTGCAGGATGTCTCACTTGAGATGAGATGTTGGGGGGATTGGTTTTTTTTTTCGGTTAATGAAAATTATTGGAATAATTTCTGTTTAAGCTCTGAATCTGGTCGTGGGCCAATATTTAATCCAAGTGTGCGTATTGTATTTGGGAGTTTTCATGTTACCACATCTATGTATCTGACAATGCTATCTTATATATGGATATTCCCCCGAATAAATGTGCCAAAGGAAATTTTAATTACTTTTTTACATCCTTCGACAGATGATGTCACATAAATATTCTCACGTACCTAATCTATAAAACTAAACCCTTCAAGAGTCGGTTTTTGATACCGTAAACTCAGAGCTATCCTGCTGAAGTCCATGCTCTGCTATCCTGCTGAAACCTATGCTCTGCGATTCAGGCAATGCAGCCCTTTGCAGTGTTTCTCGGTAAATCCTGGTTTACCAGATCATGTCACCAATTAAATAAAGATTCAACACCGTGATAAACACCCAGGTGATAATCGCGGCACACTTCGTGACTTTGCCGTTACTCATGTCCACATACTGCTCTGGTGAGGCGAATTCAAGAGGAGAGGCAAGACTCAGCGGCGAGTCCATCGCTGCGAGCTCAATCTCAAATTCGCGCTCAGACGGCCGGTACTGATCACACCCCCCACTCACATTCACCCTCATGATATCGCTGGAACACGTAAAGTAAACCAACGGGGCGCTCACAAATGGCAACAACAAACTCAACACCACCTGACTGACGTTCAAAACATTCGCCAAGCCTCTCCGCCCGGCAATCATCGTGAGGACCAAGCACGGCAAAACGGCAATCGACCGGGTGAGCAACCGTCTAATCACCGGGTTCATCGTCCAGGTGAGAAAGCCCTCGCTGATCATCTGGCCCGAAAGCGTCACCACAATCCCTGCGGATTGGCCGGAGAAAAGTAAGGCGAGCGCAAAGATCTTCCCGGCCAGCGGAGAGAGGTGGTCGCGGAGAAGCTCGTAGATCGAGAACAAGTCGGCAGAGTCGTCCGCATCCGGCGGCTTCCCGGCATTTTTCGGGTCGTAGAGAAGCGCCCCGGCGATAATCAAGATGCTCGCGTTGACGAATAGCGCCACGGTGAACAAACTGACAAGGAGCTCGATGATGGAGTACGACATTGTTTCGTTAATTGCCTCGAGCGACGGTCTGTACCCGTCGTCGTCCTCATCTTCGAAGCTCTGGCGAGACTCCTCGTCCATAGCGGCGGAGGGGTCGATGTAGTTGCCGTTTTTGATGTCGTAGTCCTTTAACCTGGGCTGAACGACGCCCAGTCCAAGGTACAATGAGTGGGGCATGACGGTCGCCCCGAGAATCGCAAGCGAGAGGTACAAGCCGTCGTCACGGAAGCTCTTTTTGTGGGGGAGAAACCCCTCCATCACATCCTTAAAAACAATGACGTCGGAGGCTTTGTCAAGCTCCACTGCGAAACAGACGACCGTCGCGGCAACAAGAATCGTCACGAGCCCCTCGAAGATCCGGACGACAAATAGCGGGCCTTTGGGGCGGTAGAAGAAGAGGATGATCATTACGTCGAGAATGGTAACGAGAACCCCAGCGTAGAGCGGAAGCCCAAAAAGAATATTGAGCGCGATGGCGGTGCCAACAACTTCGGCGAGGTCCGTGGCGATAATTGCAAGCTCCGCGAGGATATATGTTGCCATGTTGAGGCGGGGCGGGAGGTGTGCACGGCAGTTCTGGGCGAGGTTGAGGCCAGTGACGCAGCCGAGCTTTGTGCAGAGAATCTGGAGGAACGCCGCAAGGAAGTTGGAGAGGAGGATCGTGAAGAGGAGCTTGTATTCGAGGACGGAGCCGCCGGCGACACTGGCGGAGTAATTACCGGGGTCGATGAACGAGACGGAGACCATGATCCCGGGACCGAGAAATTTCATGTACTTGATGGCGACCCGAAGGGTCCGCAGGAAAAGAGAAGGGCTATCAGGCGGCAGACTGGGCAAGAGGCCGAGCAAGCTAGCCCGCCCTTCGCCCAGGCTTTGTCGCGAATGCTGCGGTGACGACGGGAGCGTATCTAGCGGCGAAACATCCATGCGACTATTTGAATTCCTCCGTAAATTTTGTGACGACTTTCTGTTATTGATTTCCGTGTTGGAGTGCATCCTGTCGAGGTCCTTCACAGGAAGCTTTTTGTATGGATTTCGGTCCAACTTTGCAAAATTCATTGTGTGTTAAAATGAAAGACCAAACAGGCTACTGTGGGTGTTGAGTTGATGTGATAGATGAGTAGAAACGAGATGTAGGATAGGAGCTAATAGTCTCAAGTAGCCGGTAGAAAGAGTGTATAAAATGAAGGCGGGTTGTAGAAGGGAAACAAAATGTAAAGAGTGAAATGGAAAAGTGGTATAGGTATGGTGTTTTGCAGTGTCTTCCCCAGGCTGACTGACAGCCGGCCTACGTGTCTGAAAATAAAACCCCGGGAGGGGAGAAAAACTCGCGTGGCCGACTTTGCCCGCGAATAAGTCCGGTGCCACGTAGCGTGCGCCCATTAATCCGAGCGCGTCACCATTTATCCGGCGTGGAGGTGAAAAAGATGTGATGCGTGTTAACAGTTCGTACTTATCCAAACGCCGCAGCCCTGGTTGTGCTTTATTTCAGCATGGCTGCTAACCATATTCATTATACGGGTACTATTCCCTTGTCATTTGACAAGCTCTATTATTCAAGTGTCTGTCATATCCGTGTTATTCCTCGTATTTTTCTGGGTAAGGCTGCTAAACTTTCACGGGTGGCACACAGCCCCGATGGTACATTAGCTAAAATGAAGGACAATAGACTAACGATTCAAAAAAGAGTAGATTTCCGCCGTGTAACGAACCCCTCGACGGTGCCGTTGCTCTACAATTGTTGGTATAAAATACACGTGTACTTAACGGAGATATATACATGTATAAGGGGGATGTGTAGCACATCAAAAAGGCGGATAAATCGGCTGAGATAAATAGTGAGAATAGTCATGAAGTGAAGGAAAAAAAATAGATATAAAAAATATAACCGAACGAGTATGGGAAGTGTACAGTAGGGAATCAAGTTGATTTTGAATGTAATCGGCTCCGGAGGTTAAACGGGGACGTTAACTTGTTTCTAGAGAAGTGAAATAGGTGGTGGACTGGCGAAACGGATGGGGCGAAAAACAAACTATCTGTTAGGAGAGGATGGCAAGTGAGACCAAGGCATTTGTTTATAAAGGAATAGCATTGAGATGAGAATCTAGCCAGTTTGCTAAAAAAAATTCCCAACAAAAACTGTAAGGGTTAGGAGAACCAGAAAAGAAAGCCAAATTCGCAGTAAGAAATCTCAAATGTAGACCCCTAGAGGTTTGTCTGTGAAAGGCCTCAAACACAAGCAGGCCAATCGGCATTTCAAAGGATCTAATTTGTGTTTCCTGGTTCTATGGGTTTCCCGCTGAAAACGATGCGGCCCTCCTTTCATGCTTCCCCTTCTTCATCTCCTGCTTTAACGCCACGCTATCCAACGGATCTAACAACTCAAACGAGCACAACAACCCGTCACTCACACTCATCACAGCACCCCAGTTGTCAAATTCGCCGCAATAGTTCGGCGCGCTAAACACCGTCACTAACGACCGATCGTTAAAAAACTCATACCCGTCTTCCACCACCATGTGCGCACGACAAACCAAATCAAAGCTGAATTTTGACAAAAATTTGTTGATCGCCACCTTCGAAAACACATAGCTAACCCCGCGCTCGTTGTCCTCCCACTCATTGGTAGTATCGGCAGGGTCCGACCACAACAAATCGTTGAGCAAGCCAAAGTCGGGCACGTCCGTCGGTCTAGCAATGTTGCGGATCTCGTCCATAGAGTTGAGCACCGGTGAAAGGCCGCCGTGCACACAAAATATCTTCTGGGCGACAGTGGCCGCGATAGGCAACGTATTGAACGTGTCGATAAAGATCTTCCACGTTTTGATGTTTGTCCGTCTCTTGCACTCATCGTAGAACCCGTAGACACGCGTTACGTTCGCACACTCATGGTTCCCGCGCAAAAGAAAAAAGTTCTCGGGGTACTTGATCTTGTAACAGAGAAGTAACAAGATGGTTTCCAAGGACTGCTTGCCCCTGTCGACATAGTCCCCGAGGAAGAGGTAGTTGGCGGCCGGGGGAAAGCCGCACTTGGTAAAGATCCGGATCAAATCGCTGTACTGGCCGTGCACATCGCCGACAATCTTGACGGGCGGGGTCAACTCTAGCAACGGCGGCTGGCTGAGAAAGATTTCACGGGCCTTGGCGCAGATCGTGGCGATCTCAGAGAGCTTTAAGCAGAGATTTTTGGTTCGCTTTCCGGAGTAGCCCGCGTCCAAGAGGCGTTGGATGAGGTCCTCGATGTCGATCGACCCCGGCAGCGTCGGTGGAAGCGGTGTGGCACCCACTGTGAGCTCATCCACTGCTTCGGAGGTGGAGAGCGCGTTCAACTGCTGCTCTCGTTTCAAAAACGACGCGTCTAGACGGCCCAAGCTGCCGCTGCTGTTACTGCGGCTGTTCTTCCGTGAATGGAAGCCGAGCCGGTGATGAGTGACGCTGCGCCGCCAGGGGTCACAGGGCGCGGCAAGTCCGTGTCGGTGTTACGCCGCAACAAGATCGGCTCTTTGGGCTGCATCTGCTGCATCGACGGGGGCAACGCCCCGGTAGTGGTGGTGTCGTTCTGCGAGAGAGTGGGTCCGGTCGTGACGCTATGATTGATCGGCTCGAACGCGAAAGAGTTCTTGCGCGAGACGATGGGGGTGTGTGGTGCCGTGGGCCCATCGTTGGCTGTGCGGAAGGAGGACGCATCGCTGTCATTTTTGCCGAGTGAGATGCGCGAGCGGATCAGCTTGGACGACTTGGCAGAGTTGGACGTGTCCGTGCGGATGAACGCCGGCGCCTTGCCTCGATCTTTGGGTTTGGAGGTATTGTTACCCATTAGGAGTGTCTGGAGGAGGGATAAGCTAGGTTACGGAATGGACCGGAGAAACGTTCAAAACCGTGGTGTTTAAAGGAAGCGTCAATGTGGAAACCTTTGCTAAGAAATCGTTGAGAATAAAGGCAGCCGTCAAATCCGTGGATATCCGATACGGTGTTGAGCCAATCTATCGTTTGGTGTGAAGGGGTATTCTACCGATTGATGGGATGTTAATATTACGCTAGAGCAGCGATGAAAATGCTTTTGATAGTCGTATTTGACAATCGAGATTCTCTTGAGTCGCCCTGGTATTGGAGACACTGAGAGTTCTGGCGGCAATCTATATGTGCGATGGGGGCAAAACTTTCGGCGGAAGCAAAAGCGAACGTGAATATGAGGGCTGTGTTGGTATCTAGGCTTAGACGAAACGGCGTATGGTGGAAAGAAAGATAGAGCAAAGAGTGTCTACGTTTCGTTTTTCTAAGCGCTTGCAAATTGCGCTATCGGGACGACGAAAAAGAGTCTGAACCTTGGCGTGCAGGATAGGGGGCAAACATATGGCACGCCAATGATGGTAATACATTGGTAGATGATATCCTAGAATAGATATTCGAGGTCAGACGGGTATTCTCCAGAGAAGACTCCTGAGTAGTAAAAAAAAAATATGTGGTTGGGATTGGGTTTAAAGTATAAGGGTGCGGGTAACGAACAGGATGAGTGGTGCCCCGGAGAAATGAATGGCTACTGAAAAGCAGAGCCGGAGCGGCTGATCCATGGAATTCCTTTGGGTGTCAGTTTTTACAACTGGCCTGCTTCTTGATTCCAGTCTGGATCAAGATGTGAATATAAGAAAAAGTGAGTAAGAGCCCGTCAAGATAGACAATTGGCATTTTCGAAAACGCGAATTGCCAAGGCAAATGCATAAATAGTTTATGGTTGACAGCTCCTAACTGGTGGATTTATCAAATTTTATAAACGACAAGTATAGATCCCGGGAGATTTGCTAGTTAATCTACAAATAGTTGCAGTGATCACTATAATAGACCGGTTAACGGATGGGTGGGGTTGGGTAATGTGTTCACCCAGCTGACAAGCACGACTTTAAAGAATTTCGCGTAAACGAAAAAGATCAGCTCTGCAAGCAGATAGATTTTTGTTTAGTGTTGGTAGCTTTATAGTTATTTTACCTGGTACTAATTGAATTTTATATCATTCATTGTTCTGCCAAAATACGCCACTCGCAGCGTTTCATCAACTCGCACCACTCGTTGGTTTGTTTCGCGCATTCCCCTTGAGTCGCGATCCTCAACCTTTAAACACTCGAAGTTACCCCATCGACCGTTGCATCAATACTCCATATTTCTACACACATCACACATCCCTTCTCTCTAATCATCTATGTCATTCCTGAAGATCTCCCTCCATCCTTTGGTGATGTTGAACATGACGGACCACCTCGTGCGCCGCCACGCCGCGGGACAATTCCTGACTACCCACCCGGAGGCCGGGGTTTTGCTAGGGACTTTCTCCGCTGAAACACTCACTGCTATCACATCCTTTGAATTGATGAATTCGGAAACGCTAGATCTTGTGTTTCTCTACGAGCGGTTTGCCCAGTTTCAGGTGATACATCCAACCCTCAGGATCGTGGGCTTCTACCAGTTTGTCCCTGGTGACACCACTTTGGCGCCAAATCTGGTCACCGCTGACCTTTTCGCCCAGCTTCTGAGGGTGACACCGGACCTAGCCTGTCTCTTGTTTAGCACATCCATTATCAGAGACATCCAGGAGCAATCATACAGACCTGAAGCCTCTCCTATGACCGGTTTTAAGTCGGTAAACGCTGTGTTCCAACCGGTGGAAGTGACCATTGAGAGCTCTGCGGTGGAAAAAGTCAGCGTGGATACGATCTTGAACATGGAGAAGCACCAGGCGCAGGACGGAGTAAACACCAATATAAAGTCGTTGAAGTTGCAAAACCAGTCGCAGGGCTATGCGGTGAAATTGCTACAGGAGAAAGTGGCGGTGATTCTCTCGTATATTGAGAGGGTGGGTCGCCATCCAGGGCTTTTGACGGCCAACCCCGCACATTTCCAGACGTTGCGTGAAATCAACGCTCTCACGCTGAAGCTCCGACTTATTTTACTGAACTCGGACACGGCGCTTTTAGCCGAGTTGGATAAGAGGGAGGTGGACGCTAACATGGCTGCTCTTTTGTCGTTGGTCCTCACCCAGGTTGGTCAGGTCGACCATTTGAACAGTCTCACCACCAAGCTCTTCATGAAGTCCAAGTACGCCGAGAAGTTGCAGGTCAAGTTCCAGCTCGAGAACAGCACCCAGCCAGGGCCGTCCTTCGGAAGCAAGTCCTGGTTTGTAGAGAGGTTGAGTAAGAGCCACTGGAAGAGCTAGTTGCGTGTGGTACAATCGAGGTTACTGTCAATGGAGTTCGTATTTAGAAGTCTAAGATTTAGCTCTCAAGAGTGGTCCTCGACTGCATTGGGCTAGGAATTATGTCAATTCACAAAGTCACATCCAAAAAGAGTAGATGGATTTTTTTTTTATTTTTTATTTTTTTTTGTACCTTGTTTAGAATTAGGTCAGAAATCGCTCTAGGTCCAAGACTATTTTACCGGGGCTGTACATACAATGTCAAACTTGGAATAAGAGATGTAATATACCAGGTTTTTTTTTTTTATTCCATGGCAACTAGGGATTTTGTTAATATCCTAGTTTTATTATTCACCTTGAGAGCAGGCTTTCAATGAAATTGGAAACTGTCTGGAAGCTCTAAAGCAAATTCTTACTTTTGAAGTGAAAAATGGAAAAACTTACGATTTAAAGGTTATATTTGCTCAATACCCCGATGGGGACGATTTTAACCCCCCTCTTATAATCAGAATCTTCCGGTTGGCTGAGCAATGGTGTATCACTTAGGGTTCGAATGTCTAACGCTGCAAATGCAGCTCGGTGCTCAGCCGTGCATGCAGAGTGGCCAACCTGAGCAAATAACGCCCGCATACGGCATAAACAAGAAACCTGAATTTCCTCTTCTAGTAGGACGAGTAGTTTTTTTTCTAACTGGGGTATCTTCACCTCAGGTGCCAAGTCCAACTGGGGTATCTCCACCTCAGGTGCCAAGTCTAACTAGGCTTTAATCGACTATATAAATGTGAGGGGAGCCCCGTGTGCAAATATGGCCCTACCTGTCCACCGTTCCCAACTATGGTTAAACTCAGATCTCTTCTCACCCTAGCAGTCGCCTCTCTCGCAGTTGTTGAGGGTAACTATCACATCTACACCCATCAAGAGTATGCTGTAATGGCGTGCTCGGGTGTTATCGAAAAAACCACCACCTTTTGTCCCGCAGTCGCTGGCATGGGTCACCACATGCACTCCCTGATGCCTAGCTGCTACTGCACTAACGTTGTCGAAATGGGGTCTCTTTTAATCTGTTTGCACCAAATGGGCTATTACAACTTGGCCATGGTGAAATACCTTACCAAAAAATGCTACCCGAACCACATACCCGCCGCCACCGATGCCCTGTTCTTTGATGGGGTGTATCAGAATGCCACCCAGTACGTCATCACCCCGGAAGAGACGTTGAACGCAAGCCTTGTCACCTACTCTCCTATTTATGTCCGTGCCACTAACGTCACCACCTATTATGAAGCCTACTACAATAGATGGTCCAACTTTACCTTGTCGCTCAACTTGGGTGCTGGGTTCTTTGCCCTCTTTGCGGCCTACATGATAATCTCTGGTATCGGTAACTGGTCGCTTATTCTCTTCCCCGGATTAGTGAGTAAGATGAACGGTCCTGTGTCCAAGCGCTTTAGGGCGTTGGTATCCTTGCCGGCAACGTTCCGCAAGGACAAGAACGTCCCTTTGAAGTTTTGGGGCGTCCCGGTCGGCTACATCCCAACAAGACTGGAATCGATTGTCATTGCTCTTCTCTGGGTCTATCTGATATTGGCATGTGCCTTTGGCTACCACAGTGTTAGTGGTAATCCGTACTGGTCCAGGCCCATGGGTGAAATCAGTCGATACATTTCTGACAGGTCTGGGATCTTGGCGCTTTTCATGTACCCTTTGGTGGTTTTGTTTGCCGGGCGAAACAACTTTCTTATCTACCTAACCCGGTGGAGTTTTGCAAGGTTCAACACCTACCACAGACACATCTCGAGAATCTTTTTTGCCTTCTCGCTTGTCCATAGCATCGGCATGACGATTTATGCTTTCTCGTACCCCACCGCCAGATACGCTAGCTGGATGAGGGATCCTTTCATCACTTGGGGCGCCGTTGCTACCGTTGCCATGGGTGTGATGCTAGCTCAAGGGGTGATTCTCTTAAGAAGAAAATCCTATGAATCTTTTTTGATTATCCATATTGTTTTGGCAGTGTTTGTTTTGATTGGCTGCCACTACCATATTGCACTGTATGGATACCAGGGGTTTACCTGGTCAGTTGTGGGTATTTGGGCGTTCGATAGAGTTGTGAGATGGATCCGTATGGCGGGGTTTGAATTCCAAGAGGCTACTGTGACGTTGAAAGCGGCTGATACTTTGAAGGTTACAGTTCCGAATCCAACGACCTGGAAGTGCCAGCCGGGTCAGTATGCGTTTATCTCGTTCATGAAGCCGTCGAGTTTCTGGCAGTCTCATCCATTTACTGTGATTTGTGAATCAGAGAGTGAGCTCAGTTTCGCCATCAAAATCAAAGGCGGCGTGACCAATGGGTTGTACAAGCATTTGATAACTATGCCAGCTCACACTGCGAAAATCAAGGTTGCGATCGACGGTCCGTATGGATTCTCCTCTCCGGCTCACAAATACAACCAGTCATTGTTGATGGCCTCTGGTCACGGTATCCCAGGTTTGTATGACCATGCCATGCGCTTGGCCAACACCAAGCATTCGGTCAAGTTGATCTGGATCATCAGAGACTATAAATCAATCTCCTGGATGCTCGAGGAGATGCAGAAGTTGAGAGAAACCAAAGTGGAGACTGTGATATATGTAACCAGACCTAACGAGGTGTTGGACTCTCCTTTGGGAAGCTCCGACTCCAGAGTTTCGTTCTCAGACAAGGATGAGGGCGGCAAAGCTGAAACTTCGAACCAATTGAGAGTGAACTCCGTTGACCAGATTCAGAAGGATTTGCCACACGTTTCCTTTAGAGAGGGTAGACCGGATATTGATTGTATCGTGAAGGAGGAGATTACCCTGGCACATGGAACCTTGGCTGTAGTTGCCTGTGGCCATGACAGTATGGTGGACTCAGTGAGATGTGGAGTGGTGGCCAACTTGACTAAATCAAAGCATCGTGTCGATTACTTTGAAGAATTACAAGCATGGGCTTGATTGTATATAGGATTGATTTATATAAATTCCGGATAACCTTTCACATCAAGTATAAAGATGCGTACGTTTTTGGTACCGCTAGCCCTCGATGCTAGCAAAACCAAGTGCGAAGCCATTCCCAACTGTTCATTGCGCTACACCAAACCCATATTAGTTTGTCACTGGCGGAAAATAACAATTCAGCCAATGAGACTCGACTTATAGTGCTGTAGTCAAAGCTGGTACCGTTATCGCCGAAAGTAAAAGGGGTGCAGATGGTTATTTCCAAGTGATTGTGTCACCCCTCATGCAGCAAAGTGGGGCTATTGTAAGTTTTTTGGGTACAGGTAATAACTCCTAGAGCATGCGGACCTCGCATATTATTTTGCATTCAATTTTTTTCTTTTATCGAATAAGGGAGAGGCACAAGCTTATGGGGTGATCACCGGATCGAGTCATGTTTGTCTGTTTCATCGTTTCCTTAGGGTCTAACGGGAAATAAAGGGTTGCGTTCAGCCGTAGTCATAGGCCCTGTTCGGAGATTACTAACTTGCATAACGGAGGAGATATCGAGTTTTATCTAAAGCATCAGTGAGAAGGAGATATCGATATTTGCTCGATCTGCGATCGAGCGCAAGGAGATATCGGGCTCGCTCTTGCTTATGGTTGGGTTATGTAATGACTCTGTTTGGCCAGTTGGTATACTAGTCCACTGGACCGAGCAGGGAGCGGTCTAGCCCTCCAGAGCGGAATCACCCACCGTGAATTCAATGCGACCTAATCCACAGTTGCATATTTCCCTACACGGCGTGCATGCAAGCCTTACTTTAGCAGATCCTTTCTCCTTTAGTCTCCTCAGAAACACGTGAATTCTCCCTCTAACAAGAGATTGGGAATGCTTGTTTCACAAGCATTTTTATGCCTGGCTTCAGACAAGCTATATAAGGGCCTTCTGGACCCGGTTTGAAGTAATGGTTTTGGTTCATCTTCAACACTTGCATCTATGGTTAAACTCCAATCCATTCTCGGCTTAGCCATTGCTTCTGTTTCACTTGTGGAGGGTTACCACAAGTACTCCCACCAAGAGTACGCCGTTATGGCGTGTTCGGGTATTATTGAGGCCACAACTACTTATTGTATTAAGGATTCTGAGGACGAGGACGAGGAGGAAAGTATCTGCTACTGCACCAGTGTCATAGAGATGGGATCTCTTTTAATCTGTTTGCACGATATGAATTACTATGATTCTGCCACAATAAAACTTCTTGCCAAAAAATGTTCATCCAGCTATCCGGGAACCACCTTAGATGCCGAGTTCTTTAATGGTGTGTACCAAAACGCCACGCAGTTTGCCATCACTCCTGCAACCACGTTGAATGCGACCCTCCTTAGCTATTCCCCTATTTATGTCAGTCCCCAGAACGTCACCAAGTATTACGACACGTACTATAACTTTCTGTTCAACTACACTTTGTCACTTAACTTGGGTGCTGGGTTCTTCGCCCTCTTTACCGCTTTCATGGTAATCTCCGGTATCGGTAACTGGTCGCTTATTCTCTTCCCCGGCTTGGTGGGTAAGATGAACGGTCCTGTGTCCAAGCGCTTTAGAGCGTTGGTATCCTTACCAGCAACGTTCCGCAAAGATAATAACGTCCCTTTGAAGTTTTGGGGCGTCCCGATCGGCTACATCCCAACAAGACTGGAATCGATTGCCATTGCTCTTCTTTGGATCTATCTGATATTGTCCTGCTCTATTGGTTTCCATCACGTTAAAGGTAACGTTTACTGGGACAAGACACTGGGTGAAATCAGCCGATACATTGCCGATCGGTCTGGGATGTTGGCTGTTTTTATTTACCCTTTGGTGATTTTGTTGGCCGGGAGGAATAACTTTCTTATCTACCTTACCCGGTGGAGTTTCGCTCGCTTCAATACCTACCACAGACACATGTCGAGAATGTTTTTCTTCTACGTCATCATACACAGCATTGCCATGACAATTTACACGTTCGTATCATCCACGGAGTCCATGTATGCTAGTTGGATGGCGGATCCATTTATAACTTGGGGCATTGTTTCGACAGTTGCGATGGGGGTTATTTTAGGACAAGGGATACTCTTCTTGAGAAGAAGATCCTACGAAGCGTTCTTGATGCTCCATATCGTGTTGGCCATCGTCGCTTTGGTCGGATGTCACTACCACATTAAGCCTATGGGGTACCTGGAGTTTACATATACAGTTGTGGGTGTTTGGGTATTTGATAGAGTGATTAGATGGATCCGTATGGCCAGATATGGGCTTAAGGAAGCTACCGTGACGTTGAAGGCGGGTGAAACTTTGAAGGTTACCGTTCCTAAACCAACCAGCTGGAACTGTGGACCAGGTCAGTATGCGTTTGTCTCGTTCATGATGCCATCGTGTTTCTGGCAGTCTCATCCATTTACTGTGATATCTGAGTCAGATACCGAGCTCAGTTTCGCCATCAAAATCAAGGGAGGCATTACCCATGGGTTGTACAAGCTTTTAGCTCCGTTACCTGGCCAAACCACGACAATCAAGGTTGCGATCGACGGTCCATATGGATTCTCCTCTCCGGCTCACAAATACAACCAGTCATTGTTGATGGCCTCTGGTCACGGTATCCCAGGTTTGTATGACCATGCCATGCGCTTGGCCAACACCAAGCATTCGGTCAAGTTGATCTGGATCATCAGAGACTACAATTCAATCTCCTGGATGCTCGAGGAAATGCAGAAGTTGAGAGGAACCAAGGTGGAGACTGTGATATATGTAACCAGACCTAACGAGGTGTTGGACTCTCCTTTGGGAAGCTCCGACTCCAGAGTTTCGTTCTCGGACAAGGATGAAAAGACAAATCTTTCATTCGAACCTGAGATGATGGATGCTAAAAGTATTAAAGAGAATTTGTCGCATATTTCCTTCAAAGAGGGTAGGCCAGATATTGTGGTTATGCTCGAGGAGGAAATTACTCTGGCTCACGGAACTTTGGCGGTTGTGGCTTGTGGCCACGATAGCATGGTTGACTCGGTCAGGTATGGGGTTACGAAAAATTTGACTTGCTCAAACCATCGGGTTGACTACTTCGAGGAGTTACAAACCTGGGCATGAGCTTTTGCTTATAGCTCTCGAGCCTTTGCGTTGGATTGCTACCTGCCATGCTAGACGAGTAAAATAGCCCCAAAATTCTCTGGATTGTCCAGATAGCGTAGCCAAAATTCAGTATTGTGTATTAAGCTTTAGTATATGATTTTCCCAAAATTCGAGGTAGATAAGTTGAGGCAATACTTCGATCTGGCCCAGCTCAGATTGCATAAATGCCTTATCATATACCAGAACTAAAATAGGCCTGTAGTTACTTCAGCAATATCCAGGTGGTGGTAGAACTTGTATTCCCCTACACTCCTTTTATTAACCCAATATATTAAAAAGCACACAGAGATCTTTCTTTTCTCCGCCTGGCAGCTACTTTGAACGTGGCCTACTGCAGTTGGTTGCATGTTTTCCCCGTGCATGAACCACAAATTTTTCGCCTTATATACAGAACGATGAGCTTTTTATGAGCATACCCTTCCTCGCCCCTACACACAATGGATAGCACCACGTTAGTTCTTCCAGGCGACAAGTTGCCTTTGCCTAAGACGCAGACCCAGCCGATTATCCTCGGACCGGGGATTTACAAGTCTCCAGCCACCCAGGAAATCATTCCCGTCTCGGCTGGCCTCCTCACCCAGGGCACCAAGAAGGCGGCCCATTACATCTACACGGAAAATAATTCCAAGCGGTACATCCCGCAGGTGAATGACTTTGTGATCGGAGTCGTCACCGGCGTCTACGGCGAGTTTTACCGCGTAGCCTTGTCCAACTTTTCACAGACCGTACAGTTGCACTCTCTTGCGTTTGAAAACGCCACCAAAAAGAATAAGCCGGTGTTGAAAATCGGAAATATCGTCTATGCAAGGGTGAAATCCGCCCACTTGGACATTGAACCGGAAATCGAGTGCGTGGACTCGAGTACTGGTAAGGCAGCGGGCTTTGGGTTGCTCGAGGGCGGCTACTTGCTCAACGATTTGAGCTTGAACTACACCAGAAGCTTGTTGTTTGGTAACGCTTCCTTGAACGCCATCCTCGAGGCCTTGTCCTTGAAGTGTAAGTTTGAGATTGCGATCGGCGTCAACGGAAAGATCTGGATCAACGCGGGTGACGGCGACGTGAAATTGACCTTGGCCTGTGTCAAGGTCTTGGAGGGCGCCGCCAGCCGCTCCGGTGCCCAGACCGCCACCTTGATCGAGCAAACCTGGAAGGAGGTAGGTATTTAACCATATGGATTGTATATTAGATAAGAATTGGAAAGTGTAGAGGACGGGAAATAATATCTAACGTGATGTTTTTAGAATAAGTAGAACCAGACATCTAGAGATTGGAGATATGTTCCAGGGTGAAATGGAGAATTTATGCCGGCATGCGGTAATATTATATAACCATGTAAGAAGTGGGTGAGATAGTAAGGTGTAACTATTGGCCGAAGTGTTGGAGATGGTGCTGTACATCTGATGCAAACCGCACAGATTCTCCTCATAGTCGGCCGTGTGGTCTAGTGGTATGATACTCGCTTTGGGTGTGAGTGGCCCAGGGTTCAATTCCCTGCTCGGCCCGTCTATCTCTTTTTTCATCTTTCAGCAAGCTCATCGGATGGAGATTGACAGGAAAACGAGTAACGCTACTCAATAACTAAAAGCAAGCACTATGACCTTAACCGGCTCTACAGAGACTCAATAACTAAATCATTCGCAGATCTCATGCCGAAACAGTCAACATATACCTCACTTTATCAGTGTACACCCCTCTCCTTACAATGCCGTTGGACACATTTATATTTCAAAACATACGGTTGCTATTTACATGGTGCTGGTTGCTCAGAGCCAGATTCTCTTCCCGTAGGCGTCAAAACCATACGGTCTGTTGGGCCTGTTGTCTCTGTTCCCCTTCCCGTATCTCTCACCGACCTCACCGACGGTGGCGTTCTGGAATCTAAAAGCGTGCTTCTCGCCCTTTCTGACCTCACCCACGTAGATACCCTGAGAGTCGTTAGTGAGCTTCTGCGCAACCTCAGTCTTCTTGGTCTTGTTCAACTGCGCGTGGAAGGCAACCTCACCCAACTCGGTCAACTTGCTCAAGGTGACGGCAGCAGCCTCCACACCAAAGTCCTCGGCTGCGTCGACAGCGCCAAACGGTTCAGACTCGGCAATGGTGACGAAACGAGCGTACTGGGTGGTCTTGTTGATCGGCACTTCGGTCAAATTTTCCGGGGAAATGCCCTTGGCGGCCATGACTCTCTCTGGGACGTTCTTATTGTATACAGGGAACATCTTGTACATGGTCTGGCCCATGACCTCCATGTCCTTGGTGATTTGCTTCTATAACACGTTAGTAGGGCTCAGGGGCACTCGAAAACTCTCCAATCGCGTGACGGGGGAATGTTTCTTACTTTTCAGTAAAGAATTTGTAACCATGTGTTATCTTAAAGACTAATCATAAATGACTCATCATTGTATGAAACACTCGTCCGTCACGCGTCGGATCAAACTATACATACTTCTTGCATCATCTTCTGCTTGATTTGGTGCAACTTCACAATGGCTTCCACTCTCGGAATCTTAATCCCGTACTTGACCGCAAGCTCCTGGAAGTTACCGGTGAGCTCGGCTCTCTGGGCGATTTCCGCTTTTAATCGGTTGTCGATGACGTAGTTGGTCTTACAGAATTCGTTCTGCGGGAAAGGTTGCAAGGCCAGCTCTCTCTCCCTTCTGAGCTGGAACCCGGACTTTTCCTCCACCGGTGCCTCAATCCCGGTGGCCTTCTGGTGCTCCCTCACTTCCGGATCGAAGATGAGCGAGTTGCCTCTCTCTAAGTGGGGCTTGATGTAGTTTGGAGTGTGATTCTGTGGCGCGTTGGCGTACTTGTTGAGGTAGTACTCTCCCTTGAAGTTTCTAGGCCCCAAGAACTGGTTCATGAAGGAGCGGAGCTTGGTCTGTCTGTACTTCTGGGTCTTTGGCACCGGCTTGGTTGGGTAAGACGGGTATGCCGGCTTACGACGCGACCCGAAACGCTTCTGCGTCATATTGATGACGCTGGCAGTCTCAAGACCCCCGAGCGATGTGGTAGAGCGCAACATGATTGTGTGTGTTCAAAGAGATCCCTGGCGGCTAAGAAATAAATCCATCGCTAATGTAAGAGGAAATTCAGTGTAAATTTTCCAGTTTTTCGGCGCATTTTTATGGAGCGGACACGCACCCGAGTGAGCGGAAAGGTGAGAAATAGTAAGAACGGCCGGGTAACACTTCAGGGTAGCGGATTTTTGTTAGGGTTAGCTATATCGGCATTACTTAAGGAGATACTTTCCGGGCCATGTTATTACTCCAATAAACAAAGTAGCTTTTTCTGTCTTCTCCTTCGATCAGTTTCAGGGTACAGTCAAAGTCGTTTGCTCGGAGTATCCTATTATTTTAATGGCTTTATAAGAGGTTAAGATAGATTGTGCACCCGACATGTGTTTCTAACAAATGCGACCTTGTACAATATCGGTAGAGCTTGGACAAACCCAAAGCATGATTCTATACTAAATAGAGAGTAGCTAAGGTTCTTTTTCCGTGTCTGAGATGGGACAAAAATAACTGAGCCTCGTTCCAACAGATGCTGTAAAAGAGTAACGTTTACGAAGTTGCTTAGATTCATTGAATCCTGGCTACTGGTTATAAAGAATATATTTCACCTCGTATCCTCTTTGGTCCACGCGTGCGAGACGTCTCATATCCTCAAGCCAATTCCCACACGTGCGAGTCATCTCATTTATCAGTCGTGCAAATACCATCATGAGGCGGCTTGGATTGCCCATTAACCGCCGGTTAACTACTTCATCCCTTTCGCTCTCCAATTCCCCTCTCTTTACCATACCCACCCATACTATGTCATCTCAAGCAGGAAAAACCCTCCAGGCGATCAAGTTTGATCGCGAGCAGGTTACACTACAGATTCTTGACCAGCTTCTCCTCCCATACAACTCGCAGTACATCGATGTCTCCACCATCAGCACCGGGTACGACGTCATCAAGTCGATGCAGGTGAGAGGGGCGCCCGCTATTGCCATTGTGGGCTGCTTTTCCATCATTGTGGAGCTTCACACCGCTATTGTGGCTAAACAGAACGACTTCCAGTACACTTTGAACGACTTTGCGGTCTTCAAGACCCAGTTGGTTGCGAGAATCCACTACTTGATTAGCTCACGTCCTACCGCCGTTAACTTGTCGAATGCGTGCAACGAAATCATAGCTCTTGTGGAATCACACTCGAACTCTTCGTCCGCCGCTGCCTTGTACGCTGCCATTTATTCCTACGGAGTACAGCTCTACGACGACGATTTGGCCAACAATTTCCGGATCGGCGCTAACGGTGTGGCGTACATGAACCAGATTTTGGGCGGGGAAAATGCCACTCCATACTCCATCATGACGGTGTGCAACACCGGCGCTTTGGCCACGTCTGGCCATGGGACTGCCTTGGGAATCATCAGATCCGCGTGGCGATCGCCCTCCTCCGACCTCAAGCACGTGTTCCCGTTGGAAACCCGTCCATACAACCAGGGGGCGCGTTTGACCGCGTACGAACTCGTGTACGAGAACATTGCGGCCACTTTGATCACCGATTCGATGGCCTCTTACCTCATCCATACGTTGAAGCAGCAGCAGGACGCCGCCAAGCCGCCAATCAGGTTCATCATCGTCGGCGCCGACAGAATCGTGCGCAACGGTGACACCGCAAACAAGATCGGAACCTTCCAGCTTGCCACCATTGCCGAACACAACCCAGATATCCGCTTCATTGTGGCTGCTCCGAAGACCACCATCGACTTGAAGATGGCCAGCGGTGCCGAGATCGTTATTGAGCAGAGACCGGGTGCTGAGTTGACCCAGGTGACCGGCGGGGTTATTGACCCTGTCACGAGCAGTGTTAGAGTGTTAGAAACCGGGGCTGAGATCGGCAAGGTCGGTGTTGGTGCCCCGGGCATCAGCGTCTGGAATCCAGCGTTCGATGTCACACCGTACCAGTTGATTGATGCAATTGTCACCGAGGACAAGGTTGTGGTCAAGGGCCCCGATGGGAAGTTTGATTTAGTTGGGTTGTTCTAGGCGCCAACAGAGCATTTTTGTAGTGCCAAAATTGATAGACTCGATGACCGTGTAGAATTTGGGTCTATACTGCGTGTAATGTGAGTTGATTTTCGAACTTTACAGAATCTGCTCTGAATTTTTTGCCAGTGAAATTTTAGAGGCTAAACGTGTTTTATCGAGACCTGACCGTTAACTATATTGGGAAACGACGTGGGAGATGTTCAGGTTTGGTAATACCGGTCAAAGCTGAGTGTGGTATAGCTTGGGTCGGCTTTGACGTCCAATGGGATAGTGACAAGGTGCTTGTATTAGGGCTCCTCCCAGCTTGACGCAGAACCCGAGCAAGTAGCCAAAAATGGACGAGTCAGGAGTCGAACCCGAGACCTTTCACATGCTAAGCGAACGCGCTACCAACTACGCCACACGCCCATAATTTGAGATTTCTGATTGGTAAACTATGATCCGACACGGAATAATGATTGTATTATCTCAATATGCTGTTACAGCACGAATAGGTTGAATATAATGGAGCTCCTCATGGTTGTACGCTTTGTAACTGCAAAGGCGGTGAACACCCGCGTTTTTGTAGACAGTCCCGGTTGGTTTTTGCCGCAGAAAGTCTCAGGTTCCCACTTAACGTCGATAAGTCTTATCCGAAGGTGGTCAATAGGTCTCGTCCGAAGGTGGTCAATAATACATATAGAAATAACCAGGGGCCTCTTTTTGGTTCCTCTCAGATTTGATATCACCAACGTGGTATTGCATTTTTGAGCGTAATGAGCTTATTTAATCGCTAGCCATGTAAGTTTAAGCTGCAACTGTGTGTACCACACTGGAAGCTGATGATTTTAAGTGCCAGATAAACCGGTTATTATAGGAAACTTTGCCTTACCATAAATAGAGTGCAAGCATCGTTATCCTTTATATATACGAGGGGATCGGAAGAGCCCACCATCGGTTAATGCTAGAAAACTGGTGACAACTGGCAATAGTCTTGGGGGGCTAAATCTTCAACGCAGATCAGGGTTACGCTTTTTGAAAGTTTGCTTAAAAACTTCCTTGGTGAACTATGTCACTATTTCTGGATTCTCTGATTCATAGTATTCTTCTGGTTTATCAATTTTCTTCTACATTGAAGCTGCCTCGCCGCCAATATGACTAAGCTCTTTTGGGGGTTGCCATTCATGGGCCGAAGCTTGTAGCATACAATCACATGTCACCTGTGGATCGAAGCCAACAAAATTCAGAGCCAGATGCTTGGGATCTAAATGCAGGACTTCTATCCACTGAGAGCTTTACTCGGGTAGACTAAACGCAGGGTGATTGTCCAGTCAGAGCCTTTGAAGGTTTTTCGGGAAGATGAATATATTTGAAAATAGGCGCTTTATACTGGGATTAGGCTTGTGAGGGGTTTCTGGATATAATGGAGGGGATATTAAGAAGACTTTGAAATGCGACGTATTTCATGCCCCATCTATGGAAGAAACATAAGCAGTATTATTTACGATTTGTAATTCTCGAAGGGCTCACAGTTCAAACTGAGGCTACGGGTAAATAAGTATAGGGTTTGATCTCAAAATAGCGCGAATCATAGAAATTTTATGGACCTTAAAAATTACTCATTGGTGGCAGCCTCATTGGTGGAATAAGCCTATATAAGTGCGACGGCTGTGCGACAGGTTATAGAATATGACGGTATTAGATGCATTAGAGTGAGCAATATTTTTTTTCCCTAATGTTCAAGTTAAATATAAATCATTGCTGTGGATTCCCTGTAGAGAACTCTCCGCATTGTTTCTTAGCCTTGATCCCTCCAACAGTGAAGATCTAATGTTTGTATACTTAGATATAACCAACGGCGTAAATCCATCGTTTCCCGGGGTTAATATTCCGAATTCTCTCTTCGATAGCTTCTATATCGCCCAATCCACTAAAATTTGCACAGAGGTTCAGCCCTTGCCAAAACTATTAAATATATACAAACTCTCATCAAATGTTCCCAATTGAGGCAATCTACATGCAAATAAAATATTATATATCATTTTCCCAGAAGTGGAATCGCTACGTTTATGTAGAAATCTACCGTAGAAACTCGTGAAGCCAAAATTTAGCTATAAATCAGTCTTTAAGTCTCCTCAAACTATCCCAATGATCGCAGGCTAAATTCAATCACCCTATAAGCTTCCCTCTCACTCACCTAGGCACCCAGATATCCACTCGTCGCCGTTGCTATATTCTTTGAATCTCTGCACTATTCTTTGAATCTCTGCACTATTCTTTGAATCTCTACACTATTGTTTAAACCTCTGCATTATCCTTTAAACCTCTGCATTATCCTTTAATCCTCTGCGTTAGTTTTTAATCCTCTGCGTTATTCTTATGCTCCGACTAAACCATACTGACCCAACCACGCAGTCTTCCTTTGTCGTCATCTTGCGTCAGAACTTGCGCGACTGCACCCCCTGACACCCACTATTTTCCTGGCATCTACTCGCCTCATAAGTACCATATTTCTCCTATTCGTCACAGAACCTTCCATCAATAACCCAGACCGCTCGTTCAGTGCCCCTTTTGCAGATGCTGGTATAGGCAACTATACGCGTTCCGGCGAATATGCATAACCTCCGACCCAACTTTTCCTTATCGGCGAGCGGTGTCACACATTCCCTTCGTATCGCGTGCCGTTTTGGGCGGTAAAAATCACATGTGAATGGATCCGGCAACAGGACTTTTTTTCACTCTAGCTCCACACGACTGCATTCCCCACTTTCGCATGTCCCCGGAACCCGCACCGGTGGTTCCTTCATTTATATTAAAGCTGGTTCTTGGAACATGCTACAATTTTTTGCTCCTTGCGTATAAGGCTGTAACCGGTTGTGGCTCAAAGTAGATCGTGAGACCTATTCCTGTTACATGACGTCACTAGTCCAAGCTTTTGAACCATGTCGTAAACAGCCCCAGACCTTTCGCATGCATGATTCGACGTCTAACGAGTTCAACAAAAGACGCTTCCAGGCCGTTTGCGCTTTACCACGCTACCCGGAACTGCCCCTGAGGTTAAAGTCTCGCAGCTAGGGGCCATATGCCGTGCTCATTCCCACGGCCACTGTATCTCACTTGTTTTATTACTGTTTCTCGCTTTACTCTTTCTATTACTGTTTCTCTCCTTACCTTTTGTATGCCATGTCCACGAGGATAGTAGCATAGTAACAAGCCCTCTCTAACACCTCAGCAGGGCTATCTAACTTTGGCATGGCCTAAACTATATTATCGCTGAAGATTTGCTGGTGGGCTAAGCATGGTCTTCCGAGGGGCTTCCGGTTTCCACCCCCGAAATTTCTGGACATGCATGCACAGTATTTATGTTTGCCGGTCAAAAAAATTCTCCATCTCACTAACGCATGCAATCTTATAGCCTTTTGGGCTATCCCCCAGAGTATAAATTCCGCCCTTTCCCCTACCGCTTCCATAACTTCTTCTCGCTCTTTGTTTCAAACCCACGCCGTCTAGCTCCCATAGACTCTATTTATTGTCCACTCCATCGGCCCACAATCACTCCCTGTACAGTTTTGCGCCTTATTTTCCTTGTATAACTTCCACCAACCCCTCCTCCGCTTGATCCACTCAACACACCATGTCCGGATTTGAAGCTGAAAAGGCATCTTTGCGCTCTAGAGAGCACCACAACGGCACGTCGCTGCTTTCCGACAATAACGCCACAAAAGAGTTTGAAATGACTAACCAGAACGACTTGAAACTCCAGGAGCTCGGCTACCAGTCAGAGCTCAGACGGTCGTTTTCGATCTGGTCCATTTTGGGGGTAGGCTTCGGGCTCACCAACTCGTGGTTTGGGATCTCTGCCTCCTTAATCGCCGGTATCAACTCTGGTGGCCCGCTCATGATTGTGTACGGTATCATCATCATCGCCTGTATCTCCTCCTGTGTGGGGATCACACTCTCTGAGCTTTCCTCGGCCATTCCATCCGCGGGAGGCCAGTACGTGTGGACGCGTGTGCTCATTCCAAAGGATAAGAACGCTTCGTTCTGGTCCTATCTTTGTGGTTCGCTCGCTTGGGCCGGTGCCATTTTCACCTCTGCCTCTACGATTCTCTCCATCTCCACCTTGGCGGTGGGTTTTTACGCCTTGTGCCACCCAGACTTTACACCCAAGGCGTGGCACACCTTTGTGGCGTTTGAGTTGTTGAATATCTTCATCTTCTTCTTCAACTGCTACGGCAAGATCCTCCCGCACATCGCCACGGGGGCCTTGTACATCTCTCTTTTCTCCTTCGCCGTCATCACCATCACCGTGTTGGCCTGCTCTAAGGGCAGCTACAATACCCCTGCGTTTGTCTTCAGAGACTTTGAGAATGCCACCGGTTGGGAAAGTGCTGGGTTGGCCTTCATCATCGGGCTTGTAAACCCGAACTGGTCGTTTTCCTGTCTTGACTGCGCCACCCACATGGCTGAAGAGGTTGAGGAACCAGAGCGCATCATCCCGATCTCCATCATGGGCACCGTCGCCATCGGTTTCGTCACCTCCTTCTGCTACTCTATCGCCATGTTCTTCTGTGTAAAGAACTTGGGCGCTATCAATGCTTCCAACACCGGGATTCCGATCTTGGACATCTACCACCAGGCCTTGGGCAACAAGGCCGGCGCCATTGTGCTTGGGTGTTTGGTTTTCCTCACCGGTTTGGGCTGCAACATCTCCTGCCACACCTGGCAGGCGCGTCTCTGCTGGTCTTTCTCCAGAGACAAGGGCTTGCCCTTCTCCGACAAGTTGCTGATCATCGATCCACGCACCGGGGTTCCGCTCTACGCCCACTTTTTCTCCTGCGCTCTTGTGGCGTTGGTCGGCTGTTTGTACCTCGGCTCTTCCACCGCCTTCAACTCCATGGCCACCGGCTGTATCACCTTCTTATTGATGTCCTACGCCATTCCAACCTTTGCGTTGCTCTTTGTCAAGGGTAGAAAGAACTTGAAGCACGGCCCGTTCTGGTTGGGGCCTCTCGGGATGTTTGCCAACGTCGTCACCATCTTGTGGACCTGTTTCGCCGCCATTGTCTTCTCTTTCCCCGTCACCAAGCCAATCACCAGAAATAACATGAACTACGCGTCCCCGGTCATTGCCGGCTACGTGCTTGTTGCTGTCATCTACTGGCACGTGAAGGGCAAGAAGGAGTACAGACCGGTGGACGACGAAGCCGAGGCGTATGTCAAGGCTATGGGAGGCGAATCCCCAGATGTTGCTTTTTAAACGGTTTCCCGTGTTATTTATTTTTTAGATTTGTGTATAGATCTGTTGATGGATTGTTTTATTGCTAGATTATGTAAAGGAGGATACTTGGGCAGTGTTATGTACGTGATTAGCTCGTCTGGCCAAGATGAAAGCCTTCCATCTTCATTTCAGAGCCGTACGGACCGACTTTCATAAGTCTATCGGTCTTTACGCGTATTAAAGGCGTATCTGGAGCTTCTACCCGACTGGGTTTTGCTTACTATAAAAGTAATAGTGCAGATTTCACCTCCTTCTTTGGGATACCTGGGCTTTCGCCTTGGACACCAGATATGTTGTTTTTGTTGTTTTTTTTTTCTTAGGCATTAAGAACGTTGGATGCCACTCTTAGAGATGCGACCTAAGATCGGCAAACAACCGAACGTACCGTTGGTTAAAAGCCTCTTCCCTCTCCTCAAGTCCCGCATCCGCCTTAAACGTGTTACCGTAGATCGCCTTGGATCTCTTGGAAAGCCAATTCACCATAATCGCTATAGTCTCTTCAAACCTCTCACAGTGCACCATGTGCCCTGCATCTGGCACTGTCGCCCCGGTACAGTCGGGAATCGTGGACCGGATAAAGTCCGTTCCTTCCTTGGGAAAACTCAGAGAGAAATTGGACCCAATCAAGTGCAATACCGGGACGGTCACAAATGGCAAAATCGCACAACCCTCCACAGTCGACACATCTTTCGACGTGTAGGCCACCACCTGCTGCTTGGTTGTCGATTTTCCGCTCATGGTTCCGTCGGCGTTGTAGATAACCTCGTCATTTACAAAGTAGTCCAACACCTTGGGATGGAACTTGGTATAAAACGGCACCGTCCTGAACCATCGGAAGCACTCCTCCTCGTTGGCAAACAGGTCCCGCACATTCTTTTCGATAGCCTTGTGGATCCGGCGGTGCTTTTCCCAGTCGTCCGGGCGGTCCAATGCAAACTTGTGGAAGGTGAAAAACATCGGATCGACCGCAATGATGGAATCAAACATGACGGGCTCCAAAAACCCGGCGTAGAGCATCCCGTGTCCGCCGACGGAGTGGCCAATTCCGATGGTTCGACTGTCTGCAGTGTTTTTGACGGCCTCGTGCTTCAAAATCTTGATCACGTCTTTACCCGTGTCACCCCAGTAATACTTGTGGCCCATCTTGTGTTTGTTCAACACGCAGGAGTCTCCGTGGTTGACGTAGTCCATCGCAAGCACCTTTCCCAACTTCCACGGCAAGGTGGAGGTCGGGGCGTGGGACAACTCATAGAGCTGGTCGATATGGTGGCGCCACACGCTTTTATTCATCCCAGTTCCGTGTGTAAAGATCAAGTTCAAGGTGGTTCTGGGGTCGTCTGAGCTGCTGCGTGGCACGTACTTCGCATATGCGACCTGTAAGCGGTCAGTGGGAAGAATGGTGGAGCCCGGCTTGCGCGGGAAGTGGGCCTCAATGCTGGTCACAGTGTAGGAGTAGTAGGGGGAGGGATATTCGGTAACGTTTAACGGCATATTGGTTGGGAGTTTGAGCGAAAGCCCCAGGTTTAGGAATTGTGGGGTTTATATAGCGTTCCGGGCTGTTCTCGATCCGACAGCTTCCGTCTGATCACACGCATTCTAGGGGATGTCCGAAATCCGCGAGCGGATTGAGGGAAGGGGTACGCGAAAGTCACGTCAAGTATGATTGACGGTAACTCAGCCCGAGACGGCGTGAACATTGAATATTATTCGAAGTTATAGCTTAGATTTAAAGTGGTTTTAATTATATTAACGATTCCGATGGACACGAAGGAGCAGTAATCGTGTGCGCGCTTTTACCCAGGTCAACAAGGGCCCGTAGATCCCTTCCATTGGCGAAGCAGGGATTCGAATTCTTCGGCTGAAGTGGTTTTCCATTTTAGTTCCTTTAATTGATAGCAGGACTGCTTTGTGAGGGGTCGATCGTGAACGGTAAGTGATGACTGCTTTTTGGCTTGGTACTCTGCTCTACACATCCAGGAGTCATAATTACATGCATAAGTTAGCTGTATAAGTCAACTATTCCTTGCCAAAATTCATATACATGCCCTCCAGGTCTGTTAAGAAAGACCCTGGAATTTCCTATGTCCCTTTGTTGGAATTTTCGTTGAATAACCTTTGGTGACAGTGATACAATGAGCTATTATGCATGATACCAGCCATCAGACGCACGAGGGTTCTATAACAAGGGCACTCCGAATCCACTCTCTACCGACTAGAGGTCATATTTTTATTGGTTAATATTAGACCTTAAGCATCAAAGTCAATAGCTTTGATGCTGGGTGTTCCTACTAAATCTCAAGGTGATCCGGGTGAAACCCCGATATATTTAGAGGGAGTAGCAACTACCTAAAATGACCGCCAATCTGGCGTTTTTAGGTGGCTCAAATCCAATCATCAAGTCTCCGGGAATTCAGTTGGATTTCTCTCTCACGGCCTGCTTTTGGTTTGACAATATCTGAACTATAGGCCGTCCTCTCTCAAACTGGAAACATGCCCTTTTTCAAACCTCTAATTCTTAGTCCAGTAGGCTAAAGCATAGTACCAATAACACGGGGATCAGCAATTTGATCCTGCTAAGAACCCCTTTCTTTTTCCTTCTTTTCAATCTCCGCCCAGTATACCCCTCCTTCTGTTTAGCCGTTGGTGGATGATTTTCCTGGTTGGTTCTGGAGAATACACCAAGTCTCCCTGTGCGTTTCGGTCGTGCCTTGCACACCGCCCAGATCGACTATCACGGTGCTGAAAATCAGAGGTTCAAAGCCACAATGCCTCAGTGGGCAAAAGGGAATTTACTCTCCATCTTAATACATCATGCCGAACGTCACCTCCCTCGACATCTTTATTGAAAGATCGTGCAGACTTATGGACGCGCGCCCCGCTTCCACCGTGTCCATCACCTATGGCTCCCAGGCTAAGAAGGCCAAGACGGCCCCAGCGCCCACAGACAAGGTCTCTAAGAAAGCCACCTCTTTTGTCGCGGTAAAAACCTACGACCCAACTAGCGGTGTCTGCTACCGCATCAAATTGTCCAAGGCGAAGGAGTTGTCGCGTGTCTTGACCTTGCTCGGCCCACGAGGCGTGCAGTTGACGAAGAACCACAAGAGCGCCAGTTTGGGCGGTGCGGACGAGGAAATGCTCTCCAAGAAGGAAAAAAAGGCTAAGATCAATACTTATATTGTGCAGGAAAGAGGGATCGCCAGCATTATGACCAATGTCGTGTTTAAGGAGGAGGTGCCGGACGTGGTAATGGCTGAGCCGAAGGAAACCACCCCAGTCGTAGAGGCAACGGCGCCAAAGACCAAGAAGAAGAAGAATAAGAAGCGTTAGGGTTGTTTAAGTGTATATTACCGGTGGGCGAGCATTAAAATGGATTAAATTTGTCATTACTTGAGAAAACACGAGGCGGAACAGGAGCCTGTTTGGATGTTAACATAAATATTAAACCAGTTGCTTGAGATTTAACTTGCTGGTAAGTAGGGTAGGTCCAATCTAGAAGGTTGTTCATTAGACATGCCTCTTTTTATTTGAGCCTAAACAGTATATACTATCTCTGTAATAACTGACTAATTATATCTACCCTGAGTACATCTCTGAGAACGTATAACAGTTTGACCACCGTCTGCAAACTGAGAATGGTATATTCCAGGTGTACTCTTTGTGGGACTTGATCCGGTTCATCTACAGACTGTCAGTGTTCCATCAGGGCCTGTCTGGCTTTTCTAGCTTGTCATTCTAATCAATATCCCATGACTGTTTCCGTGGTTTACTAGTAACTGCCAACCGAGAGAGATTCTAATGGTTCGCTTAGAATCTCCAAAATAAAGGCCATTTTTCTAACTAAAACAAAAACTATATAAAATAGCAATCCACACTTATGTATAAAAATGACAAACTCCGTAACCATGTCATTCTCTCGCGCAGACTGTCAGATGTGCACTTGCTAAACTCGCCCTAGGGGAATCTGTTCCGATAACTATTGATAAAAGCTTCCTGGTCGTCTCACGTGGTCATTCTCACAGTCTCAATGAGAGTCTCTCTAACTCTGACACAGACATAGAAGTGCTTCACTAGCTCAGTTGGCAGAGCGTCAGTCTCATACTAGGGGTAACCCAAGTAGGAATTATCTGAAGGTCGAGAGTTCGACCCTCCCGTGGAGCATTCTTTTTGTATTTTTTCTCCTTCCAATATTCCCTCCACAACAAACGAAACATCGATGCTTTGGGTTTATCTTTGAATAAAAGAGCTCAAGGTTTTTGGTTGTTGATCTGTGCTCGGGCGCTAACCTTTTTAGTTTTCAATGTTTACATACATCCAAAAGTGCTGGTGTACAGTAACAACTTTTATCGTACATATAGCATAAATTGTTCTAATAAATGCTCTCTGTGGATATATCTGTATGGAGGACTATCCCTGACGGTTTATATATGCTTGAGATCTTAATAAGCATTAATCGTGGTTGTATTAAATTCATCGGTAAGTATTTAAATAATAGCTATTATTCAGATTTTAAAATAATATCATTAATTTAGTATGAATGCAAATACATAAATGTATCGATCTCTATCTGTTTCCTTATATATATACCGCAGAATGAGCAATCATACAAACATATAGCAATCATACAAATGTATAGCAATTACAACATATTAGCGTTCATGGCAGGTGCAAAGCTCGGCTGAAAGAAAATCATTACACCAGTGCTGTTATTACGCACCGGGTCGTAAATATTTGAGTCGTACCTTTTGACATATCCTGCGCCAACCTTCAATTTTAACCCAGTGTCTTTGAGTAAAACCCCACCAAAACACCATTTCGGATATACCCTCTATTATTCGCATCACTGAGCCTAATCTACAGTGGTTATGTCCACGACTGCCGTATCTCTGGGTGAATTCCAAAGACGTCTACAATCGGGAGGCAAATCGCTACCCACGGCAGCTGTCCCTGCGGCCTTTACCTACAAGAACTTCCATGATTTAAACAACCCTCGGTGCCTGCACCTCTCGCCGCTCTCGCAGATAGCGCACATTGATGTCAACGCCTTCTATGCTCAAGTGGAACAGGTGCGCCTCGGGTACACCGACAAAGACCCCGTCGTGTGCGTTCAATGGGGCTCCCTCATTGCCGTGTCCTACGCAGCACGAAACTTTGGGATCGACCGATTGGACACCTTCGCGCAGGCCAAGGAGAAATGCCCACATATTATAGGAGCACATACAGCGGTGTACAAGAAGGGCGAGGTCGAGTGGTCCTACGCACACGAAGCAACTGGCGCAACCGGAAAACATCCATCAACAGCGACGAACAAGGTCGCGTTGGATCCTTATCGTAGAGAGAGCCGAAAGATGATGCGTATCTTTAAGAGCTTGTGCGATTCGGTGGAGAAAGCCAGTATGGACGAGGTATACCTCGACCTAGGCCGACTAGTCTACAAACGGGCCTGTGAATTGTTTCCCGAGTTGACAGACGGCGAAGGCGATGAACCGTTGCCAGAGATCCCGGAAAGACTCCCCGAGGTGTTACAATGGGCAGGGGTAGTTATCCCTAGCTTCGAAGAAGAAGGAAAGGATGACAGGATTACTGAAAATTCTGATTCAACAAATATCAGTTCCACACCGGGCTATGGGTTTGACCCAAAATTGGCCCCAGAGCAGCTCCCACTGGTTTCTAGTCCCGATCATAGCACCATGAAGCATACTACAAATGTAGCCCCTTTGCCCATCTCTCAAGCTTCCTCTCCCAAGCCGCCATCCATTGCCATTCGCTCGTGGTGTGATATCCTCCTTCTTGTTGCCTCCCAGATCACCTTGGAAATTCGCACCACAATCCACTTTGAGCTCGGCTACACCACTTCCTGCGGAATTGCGCCCTGTCGCACGGTGTCCAAGCTTGCTTCTGCACATACAAAGCCCAATAACCAGACGCTTATTCGCGAGGGGCCCCCTCTTCACCGCTTTCTCGACATGTATGAGATGCACGACGTGACCGGATTCGGCGGTAAAATCGGAAAAGAGGTTGCACGGGTGCTAGGGGACCCCTTGGGCCAGGTTCTGTCATTGACCTATATCAGAGACGTGTATCCCACGGTAGAGATGGTCCGTAAACGCTTAGCCATCACCGGCCTTGGCGACTCTGCCCCAAAGGTGTACGATTTGGTTCGCGGCCAGCTCCGAGTTCCGGTGCCCGCTGCCTCCACGAACTCTGCAACCTCGGTTCAGACGTATCTTTCGTCCAAAAACTTCCGGAAACCGTTCCAGGTGAGGAGCTTGGACGACATGCTGGGGTGGATGAAGGTATTCGTGGCAGATATCGTCAACCGTATAAGAGAGACGGACGAAGAGGAGACAACCGTGGAAGACATGGCGATCCAGGCCAAACGCCAGAGGGTTGCTAGACCACGACCCACGAAGATCACCATTCGGTATTTGACCGAGGGGGGCAGCGCGTCTATTACCAGACAAGCCACCATTCCGCGCATCTTGGCTTTGGAGGAGCTTCGCGAGGTGGCATTTGACAAGGGCATGGATCTACTCAGACAGTTGGAGCTTCAATGGGAGTCCTTGAACACCGGGAGGCCCATGTGGCCGTGTATCAACTTGGGAATCTCTCTTGGGAGCTTAAAAATGGGCGAGAACGAGGGAATCCGCCTGATTGATGGCTTTTTGAAGAAGCTGGTTATCCAAGAAGAGATCATCTCGACCCCCGAGGAAAAGAGAGAAGCTTTGGCTTACAAGTCACAGAAACGGCTGACCAGTTCTGTTGATATCATGCAATCGTTATCGATGAAGCATTCTCTGAGACAGCCGATGCTGGTACCAAGCTCCAAGGAGGAAAGGATTGTGGTGCCGAGTTCTCGGGAAGGAAGTGCCTCGCTTGAGGAGAATCCCAAGTACTGCGACCAGTGCAACTCCTTGGTCGAAGAAGACATGGCTGAACACCTCGACTATCACTTTGCGATGGATGTGGCGAGACAAATGGATGCTGAGTTTGAGGTGGAAGCAACCCAGATGGAACAGTCTCAGGCGGACTCTAAGAAAAGGAAGAAGACGATAAAGGGGAAGAAAAAGGTGGAGCGGGGCCAGTCCAGGTTGCCATTTTAGCGATATTCGGCGGGATATAGGACTGCTCTCTTGAAACTCGCTAAAAGTAAAAGCCTGGCCAAAAGAAACTCGCTTTCGTGTAATCAAAAGGATAAATATGAATACCTCGGGCGAACCCAGCTTATAGCATCGCGTCGCAGTTAGAGCTGCCTTGGGGGGGTGGTTAACCAGAAGCAAAGATCTTTGGGAGGTGAACTCAATAACAGTGCCTCTTTCCTAAAACTACATATACGGATATCCCCAAAACTTGTAGATGCGTCTATAAGCAGTCGAGTGAACGGCAAATCCTGGGCACTATTCCCATACTTCCAGATCCAAAAATGTCCATTATCTACACTTGGCAACAATCTGTGCGGCCAGAGGACATAGTGGGAACCACCTTATTCATTATTATACACGATCCTGGTCCGAGACCCAGTTTTAGCAGCCTTAATTGCCCCCTCTCAAGGTCAACACCAAGTGCAACACGGCACCAGCGTCAACTTTGCTGGCACCAACGGTGTTTTCATCAGACAACTGCTTTCCCTGGAAGATAAGACGTTGCTGTGGGGGTGGAATCCCCTCCTTTTCCTCCATGAGCTCCTTAATACGGATGATCTTGTCTGATGGCTCGACATCGAGCTCGATTTCTCTGCCGGTTAAGGTCTAAAGGCGTTAGTACTCCGCAAAGGTAGTGAATTGTAAGGTTTGGCGCACCTTGACTTTGATTTGCATTTTTGCTGTGTAGGACCTGGAGTGGTTAGTGGTGTTCTAGGCCTCACCTCTTTTAACGCCAGCTGCGTGGGGTTGAGATTTGTTGTTCAAGTCGTGTGTCATCATCACGTGATATATAGCGCTTATAAGTACACCACGTGACACAATCCTATGCCAAGTTGTGGAGGTGGTTTAAAAATAGACCCCTTCTCTATTAGAAATAAAATGTGTAAGGGTTAATTTTGGGTGATGTGACTGACATGAACAAAACTACATGATTATTGCAGCAAGTAGCGAAAGGTTACACGCTGATGACGTCTAAATGATGATTTACCAGCCAATCTACATTAGTAGCCCATAGCTTGATCAAAGACTGGTTAAGATCCACTCTACGAAAAGGTCTGCCCTAAACCACGAGCATCAGTGTTGTGTTTGTGCAAGCCGAGACCCTGCTTCACAAACCCCAACGGCCATATCAGCAAGGGTACAGATATCTAACACGAGATACAAAAATGACATCATGTCTGTTGAATTCTACAAAAGGGGCTATGGTGACGCACATGTCATACTTATTAGACATCCACAAAAAAACCGAGGAAAAAATGCTGGGGTCTCACGGTGGACAAAGTGTCATTTACATTAACAGGCCTCCAGCACCCATTGCTCTCGTGTATCTTATTTTCAACAGACAGGAACCTTAATTCACGAAAAATGGTCCCATTTCACCTGTCGTAATAACTCCAACGCTCACCAAAGGACTATTTAGTACCATTTTCACACCATTACTCCCAGTCTCAATCTATCGCTAGAGTTTATCGTTAGTTCCAGCCTAATCTACACAACTTGAACCAATCCAGCGACAGAAAATCAAAGCACACGGACAAAGTATGGCCATTACTAGAAAATCCATCTTCTGTGAAATACGAGCACCCTTTCCAGTTACTACCCGGCAAAAGTGTATATCCCTCCGCCCAGGCTGCCAAGTGTCTCGGATAGCTACTTATCATTCCACTTTGTCTGCTTAGCCGGAGTACATTTTTGACCAAGTCCCATTCCGTGCGCGGTAGCACTTCTTTGCCCTTTCCCTGCATACGACGTGCTTTATCCCGGCACATTTTCCTCCGCCTGCCGTTCCGACACAATCCAACCTGCTATACGAGTATTACTAAGGCCTGCAGCTATACGAGCAAAAGAAATCACGGCAAAAACTCAGTACGGCGAAAAATCAACACTCCTCTATTTTTTTTATATCAACGCTATTTTTACTCTTGCTTCCTTTCGCTTTTTCAATAAACATCGTCATGGACACCTACCAATCATTTAACGCCTCTGGTGTTGCTGGTGTCGCTGGTGTCGCTGGTGTTGCTGTGGCCGAAGCCTCCGCTTCTGTGTGGTGGTTCAAGGTGGTTGTCACCTTTCTCGCGGTCGTGCTTGCGTACGACCAGCTTGTGTACAAAATGAACAAGGGCAACATCGCGGGGTCCACGTGGAAGTGGTACCCGATCATCGGGCCGTTCATGGAGTCGCTCGATCCAAAGTTCGAGGAGTACAAGGCCAAATGGGACTCTGGTCCGTTATCGTGCGTGTCTGTGTTCCACAAGTTCGTAGTCATCGCCTCCACTCGCGACCTTTCCCGTAAGATCTTCAGTTCTCCGGCATTTGTGAAGCCGTGCGTGGTGGATGTTGCGGTCAAGATCTTGAGACCGTCGAACTGGGTGTTTTTGGACGGCAAGGCCCATGGGGACTACCGTAAGGGCTTGAACCCGCTCTTCACCAAGCAGGCGCTCCAGATCTACTTCCCAGCGCAGGAAAAGATTGTCGACGCGTATTTAAAAAAGTTTTTGGCCATGGGTGAGACTGAGGGCGCCACCCAGTTCTTCCCCCACTTCCGGGAGTTCTTGTGTGCCATCTCGCTCCGCACCTTCTGCGGCGAGTACATCTCCGAGGAGCAGATCAAGCTTGTCGCGGATAACTATTACAAGGTGACCGCCGCGTTGGAGCTAGTGAACTTTCCTATTATCTTGCCCTTCACCAAGACCTGGTACGGGAAGAAAATTGCGGACGAAACCATGAAGATCTTCGAGGGCTGTGCCGCCAAATCGAAGGAGCACATCGCCGGCGGCGGCGCGCCGATCTGTGTAATGGACGAGTGGATTGAGTCGATGGTCATTGCCCGCAAGAAGGAGGCGGCCGGTGATGCCACCTCCACGGAAGCTAAGCTTTTGATCAGAGACTTTTCCAACCGCGAAATCTCCGAAGCCATCTTCACCTTCTTGTTTGCCTCACAGGATGCCTCTTCCTCGCTCGCCTGTTGGTTGTTCCAGATCATCGCCGACCGTCCGGAGATTGCCACCAAGATCAGGGAGGAGCAGTTGCGTGTCCGCAACAACGACTTGTCTACCCCAGTCACCTTGGACTTGATTGAGGAGATGGCGTACACCAACGCGTGCGTGAAGGAGTCCCTTCGCTACCGCCCACCCGTCCTCATGGTGCCATATGTCGTGAAGAAAAAGTTCCCGGTTACCGACTCCTACTCCTTGCCTAAGGGCTCTATGGTGGTGCCGACCTTGTACCCGGCATTGCACGACCCGGAAATCTACACCAACCCGGACGAGTATAACCCCGACAGATTCATGCAAGATCCGACCGGCTCGACTACGAATCCGTCGGAAGCCCGCAAAAACTGGTTGGTGTTTGGCACCGGGCCGCACGTGTGTCTCGGCCAGACCTATGTCATGATGTTGTTCACTTTCATGTTGGGCAAGTTCTTGTTGGAGGCCGAGTTGCAGCACGAGGTCACGCCGTTGTCTGAGGAGATCAAGGTCTTTGCCACCATCTTCCCGAAGGATGACTTGATCTTGAAGTTCCAGAAGCGCGACCCTACCAAGGTGTAGAGGCGTTTTGCTCTGTCTCTTATTCTCATATTATGCTATATATTATACCCGACCTGTAGACTCTAGTTGTATTTTCCACGGTATAGTCTAAGCGAGTGGTTACCTTGGACTAACCCGGTAAGGGTACTGGTGGTGAGGATCCCAGGGTGGTGAACCTATTACTCCGTACAACGTCACACGGAAACATGTCCATGCGGCGCGCACTATCAAGGCGGATCGGTTGGCGCTACAAATACAACTTAAGCTCATTGCCCACCGGCTTATCTCACAATAAAACGCCTATTTTTCTTCCCAAAGCTGATCCACTACCCCGTCATTTAAAATGCCCCCGGTCCCACAACATGCCATACAGGCAATGTCCACGCCCAACTACTTGCTCCAGACGGAGAACCTCCGATCGCTCACGGAGCTCATCCAGCAGCTAAACAGCGAGGTCGTGGAGACCTCGAAGTTGAAATCCAGCATTGTGGAGAGCGCTTTGGTGCTAGATAGTGAGAGAGGGACAGAAGACGACTATATGGCGGGGTTTTTCCAGACAAAGTTTCTGCTCGACACGGTGCCGCTCTCGCCCGAGGAGCTCGCACAGATCGAGGCAGCTGGCCTGGCTTTAGGCGATACGTCTAGTCCAAAGGTTCAGCGTGTCATGGCGCTTTCACGCGACAATGCGCGGCTTGCAAAGGTCTTGCGTGTCCAGCAGCGCTACCGGCACGAGCTCATCGATACGATTCGCTGCTACGAAATCTCGCTCGACAAGATCCTATTGCTTCTTCGTGACGACGTCATCGCGCACCACTTCCAGATTATTGAGACCCATGGTGTGCGCTACGAGATCCTTGCCGCAAAGACCAAGGAGATGTGGACGTTGTACGCGCAGATTATGCGCAACCGCGCGGCGTTGGTCCGCATCTTGCAGCGCTTGGGTGGACGAGTCGACGCGTTGGGCGATGTGATGGCGTGCGAGGTGGAGAAGGAGTTGGCCGGTATTGGAAGCGCCCTTGAGGGATGGGAAAAGACCTTGGGTGAAAAAAAGGTTTAAGCTGATCGATATCTAGATCCGGAGAATTAAATTGTTTCGAGGCCTAGACGGATTTCCAGAGCGGCATTGAGCTCAGAACGACAAGTTGAATTCAGAATGACTCAGGTATTGTCCCAAGGTTACGACGGCCGTTGTATACCCAAGATACGCGGTACACGCTATAAAATTCTGGGCCCAGAAACCGAGCGTAGTATCTCTAAGTAATGGGTTCATTGCCATCCATTTGGTCTGCTCTCAGAATGATGTACATACAAGACATATTAATGCAAAATAACCTAGAGCAGGTTAAGGCTAATCGCGTGCACGGATATAGCTGAAAAAGAGTATTTCTGAGCATTAAAAAGTCAGGTAAATCAGTTTTCCCTTATGGATGGAATTGAAACTTTGCCAGGTTTTAACCTGGACCCAAGACAGTGACGTAGAGAGCATTGGACGGGTATCTTTACCGTTCCGTGGATTACAATCCATGTTGTCCAAGACTTCAAGATACCTTCTTCATCGTTATAGAGTCTACATTACGCATCCATTAAATTTAATTCTTTCCGGTGCAAACCAATAGGAATCTAATACCAGCTAGACCGAGGAATACAACCATAATTCTCCACCCTAATTCGCTGTTCCTCTGCGGCCCTTTCAAACCAGCCGCGCACAACTATATATGCAACCCAAGGACGCACACGTGACGGTTCTCCTGTGGTGACCTGATTTCGATACTAGGCAAGTGGTTCATCTTTAGGTCACCACAGATGAAAGCTGTGCTTTCTGTGATACACATTTACATTCTCACCACCAGCTGGGGCCTCTTGTTTTTAATTGAACCATGGATGCTTTCTTTGCCTTCTCTGATGAGGAGCTTGCAGACTTTCTCCTTGGCTTCTCTCTCGCGCTCGCAGGCGCGGGCACGGTCGTGCTCATCGTTTTTGCCGTGTACTACATCTTTTTCCGCGGCCAGTCGGGCATTGTCTTGGATGCGAGCTTCAATATCCCGGGCCAATATGACGCGGAGCGTGCGCGCGAAGAGTCAGAGGACGAGTTCTTGCACGCGGCGAGCCCGACGGAGCGCGCGGACTACTTGCGCGCGCGAGCGTGGTGCGCAGAGCACCCACCGGTGCTTGCACCTATCGGCGCTAGCTACGACCCGGAAACCATTGAGGATATTCGGCTTCGCGGCATCGATGCGTTTCATTTCCAGCCCGACCCCGCTAACGGCTACACCGTGGTGGACAAAACTGACGTGGTTTTCCATGACTCGCCGCAGGCGGCTTCCGCCTTGCTCAACTATTCGCTTCCGGTGAAAACCCGCCCGGAGTCTGAGTGTGTGTACTTTGAGGTCAAGTTTCTCGAGTTTGCGCGCGGCACCGCGAGCGTGGGGTTGGCGACCGCACCGTACCCGGCGTTCCGGCTTCCGGGAGCGCACAACTTCTCACTTGCGTATGAAACGCGTGGTACATTACGTGTGAACCATTCGTTCGCTTCCGGGGTGCGTCTTCTCCCGGAGGTGCGCCAGTCTGACGTTGTCGGCGTGGGCTTCTTCCCGCGCACCGGCACGGTCTTTTTCACCCACAACGGGCGCAAGGTGATGGACGTTGCACGTGAGCTCCAGGTGGACATGTACCCGTGCGTGGGCGCGCGCGGCGCCGTGCGCCTCCAGGTGAACGTAGGGCGCGCGGGCTTTGTGTTCATTGAAGCGAACGTCAAAAAGTGGGGCTTTGCCACACGTGCCACTATCGGTGCGCCGCCTGTTTATCTCAAGAACACGGGCGACGAGGTTTTGGCCAAGGGAGCGGAGCTTCCGCCGGACTATCCCGAGCAAGAAGTGACGTTTTTCGGGCCGTCCGCGCTCGTCGGACCGTCCCACGTCGAGGCGTCTCCTGTCAGGACTGAGGCGAGGGCTGAGGCGAAGGAGAGGATTGAAGCGAAGGAGGGGAGTTCGCCGCTTTCCAGCCCGCCAAGCTACAAAATGGAGGGAAGTGAAGTGAGAGGCGATGAGAGAAGCGATGGGAGTTTGAGTGAGTCGGAACGAGAGTTGAGGGAACGGTTGTATGAAGAGAGAAGCTCCGGGTTTACTGGAGAGACTCAGCGCGGCGAAGGTCGCGAAGCACATGGTGGAGAGGAGATGGAAACTCGAGTAGTAGTCCCTGGTTCTGCCCTAGAGGTCGAGACTTTATTTGTAAAAACTTTGCTTTCCGATGAAGCACCGGTTGATGTCGAAACCACCTCGGCCAGTAACCTGGCTCCGCAGCTTTCCCCAACCGAAAATGTGATTCCTTCCCACGGGCTAATCTCTCAAGACGGGCCTCTTGCTGGAACCGCGGTTGTCGATGGAGCTGTGGATCAGATCGCTAACCAGACGTTGGAGAGTGCCATGGACCAGTCATTCTCGCTTGACCACCACTTAGAAGCCACGCCATCACCGGCAAAGAAGCCAAAGAACAAAAAGAAAGGAAAGAAGGGCAAGAAGGGCCGCACCACGTTCTAAGGACTTGGATAACCATTCCAGCATTGGATGAATTATATGACTTTTGTTAGCTATGAAGCATGAAAGGCGATGGAATGTATTTTTTTTAACGTAAATCCATTAACCGTCCGTAAAGATCAAAGGACGAGAATTTTGTAAGGTGAGCGATATGAGGAGTGCCCATAGCACAAGCAGTTAAGAGAAACAAATTGCTGCTTTTGTAATCGTACGGTTCCATGGCTAAGCATAGTTTCTATTATTGCTTATATACTAATCCATACTCAATAGCCCGACTATGGAATCTTTACATTAGACAAATACTTTGAACGTACATCTCGTAAAGGAAAAGTTCCATTTTAATCCTGAATGAAGTTTCATTACAAAACTTTCAGGGATGAAATACCAATAAACCCTGGTAACTCTTTTCCATTGGGTTGCTTTCATTCGTCCGTTTCCAACTTGCCCAGGTTCAACACACTGGCCATTTGGAATCCCTCATTCTCGTCCGTAACCTTCAACAATTCCTCGCGGATGTTCCGCTTCGCCACAACAGAGTCCCCACTGTGAACTGCCTCGTCAAATGTATGCACGGACTCAAATAAATCGCTTTCGCCGTCCTTATCCTCTTCTTCGTCATCGTACTCCGAAACATCATTATACACATCATCATCGTCGTACTCCTCCTCTTCTTCATAGTCATCGTCATCTTCATCGGAGAAATCCTCGTAGTCTTCGTCATCTTCATCGTCATCGTCATCATCGTTGTCGGTCCGGGGAGTGGTGTATGTCTCGGAGAACGTCATCGCAGACTTGGCCAGAGGCGAGGCGACTCTGGACCCGCTGCTCTGTGGCCGGAGGATCCCCACATCCGCATTGAGCTTCATAGATGTGTGCTTGTTGTTCATCGGCGAAACCTCCTCGTCGTCGCTCGACTCGCTCAACTCCGGGAGTCCCTCGCGCCAGAAGTTTACATCGGAGAACCGCTCGTCCTGGACGTCCAGCGTGTTGCACTGCGGGAAAAACTGATCCACGAGCTCACCGATGTTCACGTACGACAGCTTGTACCCCGCCAACTCAAGCAACTCCATATGGACCTCGCCGTTGGGATTGATCGTGAAGATGCGCGAGCTGGGGATTCCGACCGTGCGGTACGAGAGCGCATCGGTGATTCGGTTACCGAAGCCGGCGTAGAACGGAGTTTTGCTTTCTTGCATTGCCTCGGTGTCGCCGCCAAAGTCGTCAACTAGGATCGAGTCCAACGCGCTGGGCGGCGCGCGCACTGCGGTGTCGTCGTACAATGATTTGAAGTCGCGGAGACACGAAATCTTGAACACCTCGGGTTTCTTGAGAATCACCTCGCGGCGCAACGCCGCCATCGTGCGATCAGGCGAAAGAATCACGGGCCCTGGCGGAAGCTTGATACCGTCCTGGTCGATGGTTTTGAGGTACGCGCGCGTGGAATCGGCCTGGCCCGAGGACCGCGCCGTCAAGTACAATACATTGTACCCGTTGAGGTGGATGTCGTGGAAGAGCCGCGCAACACCAACGTGCGTCCAATCACGGCCGATCATCGTGAGCACGTGCCCCAACGCATCGCTCTTAGTGATGGTCCCGTCGATGTCAGAGATCACGATGGGCACGTTCGACTTCCACAAGAAGAGCTTGGACGTGAGGAATGCCTTGCCCTTGTTGACCGAGTACGTGATGTCGTTCTCGCCGGGTTTCAACAGAAGGTACTGAAGCTGCTCTGAGGTGAGCCGGAGCGTCTTGAAGTAGTTGTGGGAGGAGCTACTCGGCACCGTGTCCTCGGGAACGGATGGCGGCGGTGTCGCGTTGATGGACTCCTCGTACTCGTCGTAAACGTTGTTGATGCGCAACTTGCCAGCGTCGTCGTGTCTGAGCAACAGCTCAATGTCAATGTCGGGACCAAACTCGTCCTTGAGCAAGTTCCTGATGAGCTCGTCCGAGTCCTGGATGTTCTGTGCGTTCAGCTTGTAGCCGTCCATGTCGAGGAGAAGGTCACCGTTGACGTCGATTTTGGAGGGGATGTTTTTGATTTTGAGCTTGTCGGAGAGGGTTTTGGCACGCTCGAGAGCGAACTCGCGCGACCTGGGGGAGTGCAAGGGCGAAGGGATGAAGGTGTCCGTTCTGAGCTGAGGCGATGCCGGGGGCGAGACTGCTGGCGACACCTCAGGGGAAGTACCGAGTCCTCCCGAAAGGTTCTCCTGGCGAGAGGAGTCCCCGACGGGCCGAGCAGAATCTCCCAAATCGAGCAAATCCGGCTCTTCCAAGTTCATGCTGCTTTTAGATGGCAGGCCCTGCGGCGATAATGACGGCGATGATGCCGCAGACAAAACCGGTGACGCCACCATGTTCTCAGGGATAGCCACGTTGGAGTCGGTCTCGAACACGAAGAAGGCCTCGCCACCATCACCAAGCTTCATTGGCAAATTCGTCTTGGAGCCGTTAACAATCACATCGATCTTCTTCTGCGACGGACGTAACAACTGGAACTTGCCGAAGCGCACGTGGAACGGCGAACATGAGAGGGAGCCATCGGGATGCTCCACCACGACGATGTCGATGGCACCGGAAAGGGTGGAGGGGTTGATGGAACTGAGCGCCGTGGAGACGGAGCCAATTGCTCTTCCAACGTATTGCATTGCGGGAGGAGCGGGATGTGGATGAGTAGAGGTTTAGGTCCGGTGTGATCTGCTTGATTTAAAGTGGCGGCTAATTTGCCTGGGCTCTGCGTGGCGCGCTTGGCGGATCGTTAAATTGGCACGTGATGGGTACAGGGAAACAGAGTTAGGGACGGATTGAATATATGAACGAACTTGACAAGTTTTAATGAATGGATTATTTTTTATTTTTTATTTTTTTTAGTTTGACGACGTGCAAAGTTTTAGAGATGGGGGTACGGGTGTTGTTTGATACTAGTCAGAATGAGGCTATGACAAGATTAGTGATACAGGATTTAAAAGTTTTATGGGATTGAAAGCGATAAAGATATATTCATTCAACCCTGAACATTAGTTTTACCCTTGGATAGTGCTCTTAATAAAAAATATATTAACGTTTAGACTATAACAGGATTGACATTCTACCAGGGCTCCTCAGCAACTGGTACAATATACCTATGTTAAACAAGGCCAAGAGATAAAAAAGAAAAAAAAACGGCAATGAACCAAACTTGCCCCCCCCCCCCCTCCCCAGTTAGCCCTCAAAATAGCGTTACTTAGTATCAAATTTGGAGTACTCTTCGTTCCAGTATAAACGCAATGTCTTCTGGCTCCCTAACCTGGAGATCTCATCGACCTCTTCTTGGGTCAACTCAAAGTCAAAGATGTCCAAGATTTCTGTCAACCTTTCCGTTTTCCCAGTGGTGGTGATAGGCAAAATACCTCTTTGAATTACCCATCTCAAGAGCACCTGGGTGTCGGACTTGCCATACTTCTTGGACAAAGCAGCCACGGCTGGGTCGATTGGGCCCGGGCCTTTGTACAATGGAGCAAGCGGGGAGTAAGCGGTTACCAAAATGTTATTCTTCTGCGAGAATTCGACAATCCCCGGGGTCTGATTCTGCAAGTAAGCGTTGAACTCTATCTGGTTAACCTGCGGAGCCAGCTTGGCCACCTGGAGAATTTCCTTTAATGGCTCCACTCCAAAGTTTGAGACCCCAATGTTCTTGACCAAACCGAGGTCCTTGGCCTGCTCCAAGTACTGCCATGCTTCCTGAAGAGAGAAACCGTGAGCCTCCTTCTTAATCCACGGAGAATGGAGGAGGTACAAGTCAAAGTACTCTACCCCGACCTCCTTGAGCTGTTCCTTGATAGCACTCAAGGGGTTGTCTGCTTTAGATCTGAAGCTGTAGGCAGAGGTACCAGAAAAATACTTGTTAGTGATCCATAAGTCCGAGCGGGGTTTCCCAGCTTTGATCGCTTCAGCGATGGCAGCGCCGAGTTCTCCGTCGGTGCCGTAGATCTCTGCCCCGTCAATATGGGTAAGCCCAGCGTCAATTGCCTGGGTGATGGTCTTGACCAACGAGTGGTTGAACGATTTTTCGCCACCCTTGAACCATTTGGTACCTACCCCATAGGCAACGGCTGGGATCTTGTCACCCGTGACAGGGAGAGTAAACGTTTTGGAAAGGGTCATAAGGAAAAAGGTTATGGAATTAGTAAAGTAGAGATTAGGAAGTTAAGGAGTATTTTGATAGAGAGGATAAATTCTTGAAGCAGTCTATGGCAGGAAAGCAGGGGTTTATATAGGGTTTATCTGTGCATGCACGGCCTCGGATGTAAACGTTTACCCGGATTACTAATGGTATTTGAGGTTAGTAATTGTGGCGGTACACACTGTGGAAATTACAGTGGCAACCACGACGGCAAATTGTGAATACTAATAGATGAACTTTAAAAGTAGGGGTTGGCAATGTGAATATCTGCATGGTTGCAATCGTGATTACTCGGAGATATCTGCGTGGTGTAGGGCAAAAAACTGCTATCAGATACCCAAAGCATTAAAATAGAGTTTAGACTGTGCATCAAATTCTAGCCTATGGCACTATTACTAGTTGTATGACGGGGTGTTTAGAAGCTGGGATGGACAGTTTAACGAGCTGTGACAATGGAGTTTCTCATTTTCATGTAGCAGGTACTGGTAAGTTCTGTGGTTTAGCTTGCACACTGTCTAAGTCAAGAGGACCCTGGAATTCCGTCCAAATCCCAAGAGTGCATGGCGAAAAGCAGTACTGCGATTATGTAGATCGTGTAAAGTAGGTGAAAATGTCCAAGAAAACGTGTAGTATGATAATGCTGATAATGCTAAAAGAAATGTAATAAAACCCAATTAAACAATAAAGGAGAGAATCTCTCTTCTCCACTTCGGCCAGCCCTTCAAATTACTCAACTCCTCATTCTCCAACTTCTCATCTTCTGTTTCTATGTATTTGTCGGTCTCCAAGTCCATGTCCTCCAACTTGACATACTTGGTGCGCTTGATAAGCTTCCAGCCGAGATACATAACTGGCATGACCCCCAATTCGATGTAGTTTGAGAAGAAATTAGAAACGTTCCACGGAGCAAAGGAGCTCCACCCTTGGATCAAGATGATAACGGTGGTGCCAATAACCACAACGTAGTTACCCCATGGGTTGGCCCAGCTCTTGAACTTCAACAAGTGGGTCTTCCCTTGGAGATCCATAGCCTTGCGGAATCTGAAGGAGGTAAGACCGATGGACCACCAAGCGAGCTGGTTAGAAACACCAACCAAGTTCTGCAACCAAGACCAGAGAGTACCCGCACCGATGAACGAGGCACCGAAGCACAAGCCGGAGACAGCGGAGGTAGCGGCTAACGCCACGTACGGAACCTTGTTCTTTGACAACGTGGTGAACACCTTTGGAGCGTAACCCTGGGCCCCCAAACTGTACAACAAACGGGTACCGGCGTACATGGCGTGGTTACCGGCAGAGATTAAAGAGGTGAAAATGACCGCATTGATGAACGAGCCAGCAGCCTTGGACCCTGCCATCTGAAACACAATCGTGAACGGAGAAGTAGCGGAGTTTTTGGTTTCCAAGCCTTTATAGTTGTATGGGACGTTGATACCAATGATCAAGACGGAAAGGAGGTAGAAGAACAAGATTCTCCAGAAAACCATCTTGACGACCTTAGGCATGACTCTGGAGGGGTTCTTGGTTTCACCCGCGGTGATGGCAATGGATTCGGTTCCACCGTAGGCGAAGGCAGCGGAAACAAAGACCTTGGCGAAACCCTTGAACCCATCGACAAACGGAGCATCCCCGATGTACCAGTAGTGGAAACCGATGTATTGATTGCTGGTGTTGGCACCGCAGTTGACGACAATACCCAAAATAATAAAGATAATGATAGTCACCACCTTCAAGATCGCCAACCAGTATTCGAACTCACCGTAGACGCGAACACTGACCAGGTTCAAACCAACCAAAACAGCCCAGAAAATAAGCGAAATGGCCCATGGGTGCCAGTCGGTCCAGTACTTCATAATCAACTGAAGTGCTGTCAAGTCAGAGGCAACACTGACCGCGTCATTGAACCAGTAGTTCCATGTTAAGGCAAACCCAAAGGCCTCGTCGACGTATCTGGTGGCGAACGAACAGAAAGAGCCGGCAATAGGCGTGTAGGTGGACATTTCACCGAGCGAGAGCATGGTGAAATACACTATGACGGCAATGATTGCGTAACAGATCAAAAGAGAGGCCGGGCCGGAGCTGGCAAGCGCCTTACCCGTGGATAAGAACAAACCAGACCCGATACAGCCGGCGATACAGATCAAGTTGACCTGGCGGGCAGACAAGCTTCTGGCTAAGTGGTCTTCCTTGATGAGGGGCTGGGTTTCGAGTTCGTATGACTCCGACAAACTCGAGGGCTGTTCCTCCACGTTGAGCGCGTGAGATTTGTAGGCTGAATCTTTTGCACTAGACATGCTGTATATTGAAGAGGCGGAAAAAAGTCAGTTGAGAGAGAGCTTTGCTAAAGTAGAAATAGCTCGGAGGTATTCACCTGATATATACGCAAGTCACAAATGCACTAAGTCTTAACACCGACTTGAAAATAATCCATAGGGAAAACGCCTTATATAAGTCTTTTTTTTTCCGGAACAATGTCTCGGCATGGCGCAAATGCCTGACAGGCTGAAGTCGGACCGTGAAAAGTACTGTCGTTGTGGTTATTCCCTGTCGGTTTGACAGCCTCATGCAGCTATTAGTAAGGTAAAAATATATGCCGAATTGTACAATTTCACGTGACTTTTTCGGCGCATGATAAGATGGAGGTGCGTCTCAGCTAAGGCCGAGATACAAGACGAATGTTGGTAAGTGGGTGGCATCAGGTCGGTTTAATATGTCCGATATAGAAGTAGTCTGAAGTAGCTACAAAGCCTGGAGATGGCTAAGAAATATGGGAATAACTAGGGAAAGCGATTTCCGATGGAATTTTAATCAAAAATCATGATTCCTCTGATATGGCTAGTTTCATCTGTACAGGGCTACAAAACGGCGTTTAGTCATTGGGCGGGGAGTGGAAGCATTTAGAGGTAGCCACTAGCAACGATTATAGTATGGCATTTTAAAGTTGAGTCATTTACCGATGCACGTGAGGTGAGTTAATCCAGCTAGCGGCGCTATCTTACACACCCCGAATGAAGCTTATCGCTACTCGTCAAAACAGCATAATCGTGCGATCCTGAGGCAATTAAGTGCGATGGTTTCTTTTGAGAGCGTGGCTAGCCTGAACTGTGGTTAGTCTGAAACGCAGTTAGAAGCAGCTTATGCTTCTCCGGCGCCACAATTATCATTCTAAAATGGCAGACCAAAGACTAAGGACGGGATGCAGGAACGGCGAAAATTGCTCCACACTTTAAGTTTAATGCATAGAAGCATTTTTGGCATTCTTAGTTCTTCTTCGGCGATTAGTCGCAAGGAGGGGGTACATGGGGCTCTGACAAAATAATTGGTATGCCGGCCAAGCACAGCTTCACGGTATACTATGTGGTGGGCACTATTGGGTGATGGATGGCTAAATCCAGAATGGGGGTTACCAGGTTTCTGGCGAGAAATGGGTCTGGCAGTATCTCCCTGAGGGTTTACCAAGATCGAGCCCTAAGCGATGTAAGCTCTAACGATTCACGCTTTATCGTGCCAGTGCCATAGAGAGAAAGGTCTGTCAGGAATATCTCCTCTCGGGTATCGTACTCTTGGAAAGCTTCCATGTATCATTACTGCATGCGATCACGCCTTGGAAGACACAAACCAAGAAGTTATCAAACGACAACGCTAAAAACATGTGATATGTAAAGTTATGCTGATAGGGGACAGGGGAAAGATGTTTATATTGGGGGATTACTCTAAATTATATTTATTTACCATTTTACGCGTACTTTGCTAATAAATATAAATCCGGTGCAAATACATCTGGTAAATACATCTGGTAAAACATCTGGTGAATCTAGGCATTGCTCCGGATATTTCCAAACATCTCGAGCGCGCCACCGTAGTGGCCAAGAATGCCGAACAATACAAACAAGTGCCACAAATTGTGTGATGACAAGTAGTAGTCGACCCACCAGAGCGAGCGGAAGGAGTGCGCGTGAGGCATTTTGATCAACTTTTTGTTAAAAAACTTATCCACATCGTGCTCACTCAACGCAAACACCTCTGTTGGGTCGCTGTAGCTCTCCACAGGAATTACGAGCGTCTCAAGTTCGTTCAAATACTCCATTTCCTCGCAGACGTCATTCTCCTCCTGTCTCTTCAATGCTGCCTCGGTGAAAATCGTGTAGTCGGATCTCCACCTTTCAGGGATTAAGCAGCCGTAGAACACCACGCCCAAGAGATACATGGCAAAGCTCTTGACCAACGGAGCGTAGTAGATTAAGGAATGAACCACACCTCGGTAGAACATTAAACATATCGCGGCGCAGACGCCCAAGCCAGCTAAAGAGACGTAGAAGCCGATACGCAACGGGCGGCTCTCGGGCTTGTCAAAGTACGGGGTCCAGTTGAAAACAAGCCCAAATACCCCGCAAAGTACAGAGAAAGTCATGAAGATTGTGCGGATGATAGGGAAGTAATACAACGCGGCGTGCTCGGTCGTGATGATCGAGGCGGTGATCAAGATGGTGATCCCCGTGTAGTCCACGCACGCGCAGTTGCTGCGGAACGTGAGCTGGGACGCACTGGCAAAGGTGTGCCAGAAAACAGAGGATACGAGGCAGATCATCGCAGCTACAAGAAAGTTGTAGAAGACGAGGTTATCCCAGAGAGAGTTGGTCTGGAAAACGGCAGTGGACGGAAAGTGCCACACGGAGACCCAGAGCATAATTCCAAAACCAACCAAATGTGTCCAGATGTTGATCGTTTCGTTGTGCAAACAAACCATGGATTTGCAGGCGGAGGTTTTTGTGTCGTTAAAGCGATAGCCGTCGACGATGTACTTGTTTTCACGCCACGGGAGGGGTAACTCATAGTAGTTTAGGTAGCGGGTCTGTGCCCACCGGATGCAATTCTCGAGGTTGTAGTTCACGCTCTGGGGGTCTCTTCTGCTCTGGATGGCGGCGATTTCGTTATTCACCAAGTTAATCTTGTGGTTCTCATTGTTCATGAGACTGTCGAGCTGGGAAATCTTGGCATCCAAGAAGTTCAACCCCATGAGGATCTTGACGTTGAGCGAAGACGACGCCTGGGAGGGAAAGAGTGAGCCATAATGGTCGTCTAAAACCTTGGAAAGCGCCTCGATACGCAAAGAAGCCGGACCGATGATCGACCGTTTCACAGAGTTTAACGTTTCGTAAAAGTCTTCCAAACTGGCCATGCTTTCATCCCGGACTTCCGTCTTTGCCGTGGAATCCCCGTTCGATTTAAAGTAGTTTTCAAATGTGTTCATCCGCGTCTCCAAGAGCTCGAGAAACGAGTCGAGCTTCTCGAGAATCGTCTCCTCCACTGTCGCATCCTTCTCAGCGGGCGTCTCGGGGTACGTGTAGCCCGTCTGCACCTTTTCCATTAACATCACATCCGCAGCAGTGAGCTGCGGTCTAGACCCGTCACTCACCCGGCTCCGCGGTTTCTCGCTTCCAATTTCCACAGAAGTCGACACAGCTTCCATATTAACGATGTTGCTCGGTTATTGGATGGTATGGATTGTTGAGGTATATGTTTAACAGCAAAGTAGGTGTAGCACGAGGGTGGATAGGACGAATGTGTGGGGGCTAGTTTTTGTTTGATATTTGAGTTTTTGCGATACCGGCGGTTAAGGAACGTTTCTTTTGCTAATCACAAAAATTCGCGCTCGGCTCCAGAAATTTTCGCAGTGTCCGCATTGGGAAAGATTCCGGGGAGACGGCGCCAAGAATTGGTGGGAAAACCATTCTGAACGCTTAATAAATAGTTTTGAAAGGGGTAGAATACCGCTCAGGAATACTATATAGAGATAACGCTCAGGATATCCCTCGGGATAGTGCTCAGGGACTTTTAAAGATAAAAGGCTATAAAGGTATATGGGGACAAGTGCACGTGGTACCACAGAAATCCGTGGAGGAAGATGCAGGAGAAGTTGCTAACGGAAGGGCCAAAAAGGTGTAGCATCAAGGGGGTTCCTTAGCTAATCAAATATAAATATCTTTGCCTTGTTGGATAGTATGTGCGGTGATATTGCTATTCCAGATGTGCTGTTTACCACGCCAACATTACTGTTTTGAACGAAGTGTTGGACGAGGCCAAACGAGATAACGTCGAGTTGTAAGAAATAACGACAGAGATCACACTATTTGGTCGATTGTCTAATCATTGGTTAGCAAATATATTGGTTCTATAAATCTTACCGAGCTGGTTATACAAACGTTCCTTTTTTACGGAGTTTCTCCGTATTGGCATTCCGGTTAGAATCAAAATGTAGAATTTTCAGGTACCTTTCCACGACAGTGCGGTAATTTTGTATCGACTGCGGACTCACATTTCTCAAATAGAAGTGGTTTATTATTATATGCTAGCTAACCGAGGTATAGAGACCGCCTAAACGTATTAGGGTCCCAGCGCCTGTTGGGGTTCCAGTCAGGGGGCTGTAATAGGTTATTAATTCACAAGTTGCTATCACAATCTTCCACAAAAATATAGTTCTTAGCTAAATACGTATTCTATCCACCGGAAACTACCTCTTTATATACCCCTCCGGACTTGAGTCACCACGGTGGTTCAATTCATCAGAGTAGCAACCTCAATGTAATCTCGTAAAATGCAACGTCAATGCAATCTCGTAAAATGCCACATCGATATAGTTTCTAACTCCGGCTCCTCTCAGTCATGGTCCCTTGGCCCAGTTGGTTAAGGCATCGTGCTAATAACGCGGGGATCAGCAGTTCGATCCTGCTAGGGACCATACTTTTTGATTTCACACCGGAAGGACACTAAATATAGCCGGAGCATGGATGGGCGTAGGCTATCGTATACCCGCAGAAGGGTTTGGTGCTATTCTATAATATCCGGCTGCAAGGTAGAATCCTCCTAGTTCAATGATGTTCAAAGTTTTGTTGGGTAGCTTGGCATACACATATGGAATTTATATCCAAAATTTAGTGAAAATGCTGTTTGAAAGCTACTCGATTTTATCTGAAACTGCACTAAACAAGACAAACACAGAGTTATATTGCAAATATTGGTTCATTCGCTTGGCTATTCCCTATACGGGTTGCCTTAAAGCTGGGCGCGCATACTGGAATGCTTGGTACCTGCGCCAAACGGCATTCTGGTTTGATGAATGTGTCACACGAAACTCCCACGATCGATAGTATAAGGCCTCGAAGTTACTCCGCTCATAGATGGTACATATCTGGAAGCTGATAGAATGGAGGGGAGTCACAAGCGCAAGTACAAAAATAATATGAATGCATCGATATATGCCGTATACCAATGCCTAATAGTTTTCATTTTTTTTTTTTTCATTTAGGAAAGGACCCTCAACTAGCTGTTTACAACAACAGGCGTATACATCTGTAAACTAACACTTCCCTATGGCAACCGAGCCTGTAATGCACCTGTTAATGTCCCTATTTGGAGCATTGCTTCAAAAGAATACTCTCGTGTAGGAAGCAGGAATGGAAATAACCAACTTTCCAAGTGTATGTGTGTATCCTAGCACGGATAAAGGTGACAAAGGCTCTAAAACTCATCTACAGTGTCCTGTGTGTGGGGTTATCAGCTCCCAGACCTTACAAAAAGGGTATTGCTACAGATAATCTAATGGTTTTCAAGAAATAGCAAGGGAAAGCAGGATGAGAACAGTAAATGGCCAGCTGAGTCATTAGTCCCAAAAGGGTCAAACCCGCTGTACACGCTGTGCATCGTGCATTTGCCGACGGGTTCAAGTTGTCAGCATGAACTAGACGGCCACATCTCTACTATCCATAGAATCTACTTAAAGAGAAGCGATCTAGACTCGTGAAGTAGTGAAATGGACATGTTTGACCGTTCAACATATTTATGACAGTCTATTCCAGTGGGAACATATTAGCCCTAGACGACGCATTCCCAAACAAGAGCCAGCTCAGCTGAGAACATGTCACCTATTTGGAATACCTTTCCAGCAATACGGGTCTGTGAATATCGTGAAAAGGTATATATACTGGGTATATCTCCATTTCTTTCCCTATATTTCCCTGAATCATCACCAAAAATGAAGTTCTCCGCCCTTGCTGCTATCTCTGCCTTCTTGGCCACTTCTGCTATCACAAACCCAGTCGTTGTTGGCACGCCAGTTGCCCATGCTGCCCCAGTCGCCGAAGCTATTCCTGCTGCCGAACCGGATGCAAGAAAGCGTAAAGGTCTCCACTTTAAATTTTGGTAAGCCGTATACACGTCAATCCTGAATCCGGTCAGCCCTGTGACATTCAAGGCGACCGTTAGTTTCTGGAAGGGTGCCCGATGCAAAAGGTTTACCAGACGTATAACTAGATTATATACTTCTAAATTGTACTACATTTTATTTCTATCAACCTCGATGTAAGCTCCGGAAAACGTCTCAGCACAACGTAGACGCAAATATACAGCCAATCTGGTTGTATTCACATACACCTTCAAGCTCGATAACTTAAATTCGAAATAAAAATCTCGTTACTCAGATTCTCCCTTATCGTTTTATTCTCTATATATATTCTAAAATTTGAAGAAACCCTGCTCTTCCAAGTAGAGAACAATCTTTTGCACGGCAACCAAGGCACCGTGCTTCAACAAGTCAACCTTGATGTCAGCATCCTGTGGGGCCTGGTAGGCAGCGACGTCGGCTCTCTCACTGGCGTAGTGGCCCTTTCTGTCATCCAACTTGGCCTGCTCCAATGGGGTTTCCAAGGAAACCACGATAAAGGCACCGGCCTTGGAGACGATCTTCTTGGCCTCCGCGAGCTGTTGCGCGGATGGTGCAATGCTTGCATCGGCAACAATGACACCGGCACCCGATCTGGTTAATTCGTGGGCCACAAATGGAGTGGCAGCCTGTGGAACGTTGGTGCCGTCCAAAACGGTAATGTTACGGGAACCGGCAAACTGGTTTAAGGTGGCTTGCAAGGCGTTGGCCAAGGCATCGACCCCGCTGTTTGGCAAGCCGGTGAGGTACAAGGTGAACCCCTGCGACGGTCTAGGAGGGTGGGACTCGCGCAAAACCTTGACAACCGCTGGGTAGGAGAACCATTCTGGAATGGCAGTCCCGTCTCTCAATCTCTTTCTCAACTCAGTACCAGAGATGTTCAAGGTCTTGGTGCCCTCGGCAACGGTGTCAATTGGAGCGTACCGGTCCTCGTCTGGGAGGTAGGTGACCATTCTGAACGGAACAACCTCGATCCCCAACTCCTCCTTGTACTCTTCCACCATGTCCTGGGCGTCGTACGGACCGTAGAAGTCGACCCCCTTGGAGTTGGAACCAGGGCCTGCATGGTCTCTACCCACAATGAAGTGCGAGGCACCGTAGTTCTTTCTGATAATCGCATGCCACACCGCCTCCCTATCACCACCCATTCTCATGGCTAATGGCAACAACGAGAGTTGAGCCATCCCGTTCGGGTATCTCTTGATGAGCTCCTGGTACACCCTGACCCTAGTGTGGTGGTCGATGTCGCCCGGCTTGGTCAAGCCAACTACCGGGTGGATCAACACGTTCGCGGTGTGCTCTCTGGCGGCTCTGACGGTCAACTCTCTGTGGGCTCTGTGCATCGGGTTTCTCGTCTGGAACGCCACAACTCTGTCCCAGCCTCTCTGGTCAAACTCCGATCTCATCTGCGCCGGAGTACGTCTCAAGCCGGTGTAATCGTAGTGGGTTGGCAACTGAATCGCCTCCAAAGCACCACCGACATAGACGTCGCCCGCGGTCTCCACCAAGTACTTAACAGCTGGGTGCTCTGGGTCGCCTCTAAACACCTTGACGGCTTCGTTTTCCTTGTTTGGCGTGTAAATATCCTCGATGGTGAGGATCGCAAGCGCCTTGTCGTCTCTCAAGTCTCTTAACACGACTCTCTCACCTGGCTGGTACTGCGCCGCCTGTTCCTTGGAGAGATCCAAGGTGATTGGCATGGACCAAACATGGCCGGACGCCAATCTCAAGTTCTCCACCACCCCGTTGTAGTCCTTTTCGGTCAAGAACCCGGTAAGCGGCGAGAAACCACCGTTGAGGATCAACTCCAAGTCACACAACTGTCTGTCCGTCAAGATGAGCGACTTGAGCGAGCCAACTTCGGCAAGCAACTGCTGCTTGATTGGCGCATCGCGCGCGACCAAGTCTTGGAGAACACCACCGTGGGGAATAGGCATTATAAATATAGGGATTAGGAATAGGGAAGAAAAACAAAAGAGAGGTCGATTTAAGGAAATCCCCGATTTATATTCCGGGACGAGTGAAAAATTCTGAGGCTAACGCATGCCGCCACGTACATGCATGCGATTGTGTGTTGTCACGTGCTATGAGCAACATCGCGGTTGTGGCCGGAACCAATCACGTGACATGGATGAGTCAGCAGCGGGCTGAGCGTTTAACAATGTTGGTAGTCCTACTCTGTTTGGTGGGGTTTACAGAGTTGTGCTTGGTGGGTTAAGTCTGTTTTGCTCGCCGTTGAGAAAGTCCTAGCTGCCGGAGTACCGGCGTTGAGCGCTGATCGAGAATGCTATCAGCATCACGTGCTGTCTCTGGAACGCTATCAAAATCCTGCAGTATACCTCAAGTGTGGAGGTGGACCGCTTTGAACGATTGCTAAGCCTGGTTAGCCACTGTGGCACAACTCAGAGTCATGCATATGTCTCCACAGGTTTGAAGGGTTCAGGCCAGACGGTGACATTTTTCTGGGATTGGCATGGAGCTTTTTTATGGCTGCCTGTGATATCGGTCCTGTGAGCCACAATGATCCACCATAAGCTTGGCAGAACTCGCGGACGAGCTTTAAGAGCTGGCGGGATTTAGCAACGCTTACTTGGTGTTCTTGGCGAATAGATACACTTTGAGGCTATTTGAAATGGTGTGTAAAATCTCCACAGTAAATGGCAGATATACCTATTAATTATATATCTTTAACACGTGCGAAGAGCCGTGAATTAAACCCCGCTCAAGCCATGTGCCGGCGGCTTAGCGACAGACACTGACCTCCAGGTAGGCAGGCTGGCCTACTGGGTATAATAGCCATGTCTCTAAGGGGTTCCAATTAGATCAATAAAGCATTAATAATACAATATATAATTAGCCAGGGACAAATACGGCTCTCAGTATACCCGCTGATCTAAAGCAGACATGTCGTAACCAGGTGGTGGCTCTTCGGACCCCTCCCGACTGTGTTTGGGTGTGATGTACGACGGATCCCAGATAGTAAGCCCGGGCTCGGCGGCAGTATAGCTACCCGTGCGATGGTGAAATGCCTCAATACCCATACCGATGGGACTGCCAGATGGGACTTCGGTGAGCGGGATATTCTCAGGTGTCCGCGGCGTGGTAACAACCTGAGCGGGTCCCACTGCATCGATCCCACTCCACACCTGCACCTTCAGCTCCCACTCTACCGTGTTCTTGTTCAGTGATAGGATGGTTCGCTCTTCCGCAGTGTACCTGAACTCTGCTTTCACACCTAACTGGTAGGATCTGGTGATGTTGTCCACGCTGAAACTCGGAACCACGCCGTGATACCTTCTTTTGATAGCCAGCCCGCACAGAGAGCTGTAAACCTCACGGGGAATCATGACTTCATAGATGGCTGGATTGTATGATGATGGGGTAGCATCGGCAAGGTCGAACGAATGAGACCCATTATACGCCCCGATGAGCCAATGGGTTAAGCCCTCATGTGCGTGTTTTGTCCCCACCGTCAATTGCGTGAGACCTGTCAACCTAATCTCTATATTGGACAAGAAAAACAACCCCAATCCCGAAGACTCGCCATTAGCCAACCGAAACGATTTTGGCACCCTTTTTGTAGTGACGTAAATGTCGTAGTTGTCTGCGTACTCGGAAAGGAGTCCGGGCAACCCATTAAACCGCAATTGCATATTAATCACGATATTCCTGGTATGAAGCGGGTATTCTTGGTTGATATCCCTCCGTGCAATAATCGACCCCTTGGAAAACATGGATCCCGCAAGCGAGAGGGCGGATCTGGGCACCTCCAACCTCTTGTAGTCACCCTCGTTATGTTTGTCTGGAACCATCAAAGGGGCTTTCCCCACAAAGGTGTGAAGTCTGCTCAACGTTAACTGTCCGACATTTACCGGTCTTGTTACGTCGACGGGAGCAAAATTGAAGGCTAGAAACTTCCGTGTGTTCGTATTGAGTAGCCCCTTTCGGTACACTACCGCCTTGACGTAGTAGCTGACCTCTACTTCTCCTTGCCTATCGCTGCCCTGACGGAAACTCACTCGGGCTAGGGTAGGAGGTAAGGAGTAGGTAATGTGGTTAGGATCATACAGCCCGTAGCTATCGGTCCCGTAGGGGATGGCAAACTCGAACGGGTAGACATGCTTCCCTGGGGTCAAGGTGAATTGTGTGGTGGGGGATGAAACACAACGTACGTTTTGAGGCGGGAAGACCACGAGGGTTTGGTACATCAACTTGTGTTCCGACATCACCGTTCGGGCTTTGGTAACGATTAGGCCATCGGAAGTTACCTCTTTCACCGGCTGCCTTATTTTGCAGTTCGAGACCCCTTCAAGCTTCAAATCGATGTGATCAACCGTGATATCGGAGGTGTTGTGGACAATCACCACGCCCGTAATGGGCTCGTTGGTATAGTGTGTTTTCGCTAGCTTGATTTTTATTTTAATTCCCATTGTGAAGTAGTTTTTGTTGAGTGCCACTTTTGAAATGGCCCTGAGAAAGACCCCAGTTTATATAGAGAGGGTCACTCCCGCGGCCAATTTCTCTTGATCGGATGTAGTATTAGTTGAGATACCATAATTACATTAAGATGAGAAATGTAAACTAGTTGGCGCCGATGGTGGAGGCATGTGGCGAGGATCTAGCAATCAGCAAAACTCGGAATTACGGAAGAGTGTCAGCACTGAGGAAATTAGATTAACATTCAAAATTTAGATGCATGTGATGCATATGAAGATGCAATGAGCTGAGAATCGATATTAGCGATGCCACGCAAATGGTGTCATGGCGTGCGAAAGATTACAACTTTAGCACGCATGAGTCAGAGCCTATCCGATAAGGATGGCCGGAGGGTCCAATGAATTCTAATCGAGTTTGATTTGCACTAGTTGCGTGGATGACCATAGCCCCGAACCTATAATTTAGCTCTTGATCGTTAATGCTAGATAGGCAGTTAAACAAGGGTGATAAGGGTGTCATGCAGGAAAACGTATATGACGTATTTTCCGATGTGCCTTTCGGACAGGGTTGCATATCCGTAGTCGATGGTTGACAGATTTCTGATTGAATCCCTTGCACTAAACTGTTGATAAGCCCTTGAGAACACCCCACAAACACGGCGCCAACGACTCCGAACCAAAGCCTCGGCTATCCGCGGAAGGCTGCATGGAACTCCCGTCACCGTGACTCTCGTAGAGTGCAGTACAACCGTGTAAGGCAGGACTTTGCGTGGCAAAAGGAATGGGTCTGATTCACGTAATTTATTGGCATGCAGAGGGTAGAGTATGCGTTTTGAATATTAATTACCCAACACGTTTATTATCTTTAATGGGTGAAGTTGGTCACACTGTACGTCTGTTTGTATAAGCAGGTCATAGCGGGGTGTGCGTGGGATGGATGCCACTCCAGTCCGAGTCTAACTATTACATCTGAATTATCTTTCGCTGGAGGGGAGACATTGTGGCTGGATAATTTGGCTTCCAAATCTGTCAATGTGCTTCCCCCACATCTCCCAGTGATCTAAGAATATGCCACCTGATTAGTTATCACGTACTTTGATATATTATACGCGAAACAAAAGAGAAACATAAAGTCATAAAAGAGGATCCATTGAAAAAGTATGTAAGGCTACCCCAACACGTTCTGCCATCTGGCATAAAAATACCTTAGATTTTGACAGATCCAAAATTCTGGTGAATCTTTCTAGATACGTGATAATAAGTACCACAGAAAACAACACCCATACATGCAACAAACAAGATCACCACCCAACCCTGGTATCTCAAAAAGTCCTTAACCTCCATCCAGGCACTCCTCCTATACAGGTACGAAGACGGCTTCATTGAGTCAAGATACCCGAAATCATCAAAACTGTACCATAATGGCGTCTCTGGTTGACCACCCATTTCTTCCATTCTTAATCTGTACCATTTCAAATCATCTTCATGGCGTTGTCTGTCTTCCGGTTTGTTAAACAGGCTCACCACCTCCTCTTGGCTTAATTGACTCTCTTCCAAATAAGCCAACAAGAGCTTTTCTCTTTCCGAATGCACCGGGTATGCTTCCTTCACTTCAGATTTCTCGTCGCTGGACGAATCAAATCCATAAAATTTTGGAGGGGCTTCCCACTCGACGAATTTCGGGTTATAACGCAAGACCAGGCCTTCCGGTAACATTAACCACCGTTGCTGCTTGCCGTTGATTTTGTAGTATACGGAAGTGGCGGTGCTTTCTAAGAGGTACAATTCTTCTTGGCTTAGTAAGTATGGTTGTGGGTCGTATTTCGGCCCAATGTAGCCCGATAATGTTGAGTTGATGATGAGGTTGGCATAGCCGGTGGCCATTTGAGCAGCAGTAGCTTCTTCATCGTACGTGTATGCGTTGGCTACCAAGGCCAACACGGAGGTGAAACTTATAATGGATAAAGGATTCATTGTAGGTGGGGAAAAGGGTATACAGACTTGATAATGAGGGATTTGTGTCTGCTTTATATTTAGGCGCAGTGGCAAGTATGCAGCTAGCCCCTTAACCGTATTGCGAACTACGGCGTACGTATGGGGGCTATGGCGCACATGCATAGATCTATTAATAACCTACATATAAGATCTGGCCGTTTTAGTGGTAACGATAAGCCTAGAAATAATTCTGTGGGCCTGTCATCACCTTAAATATATTAATGCCGACGTTGGTTGTTTTAAAGGGGTGGCTATTTACCTGGAACGGTTTAGTTTGAGAGTGACACGCCTGTAGAGCTATACAGGAAACTACACTTTCAATTGGTTGAAGTAGCTTAATCAGAAGCTTGTTCTTGTAATACAAGATGGAAAATGAGTGATTTTGTGGCTCAGCTGCGTATTTATATACTAATCAAGTCTTACGCGAGGTATAGCTTCATCAGCTGGTCTATACAAAAACCGACTGGCCGTCTCCTTGTATATCTAGTTCAGATCTAACGATCAAAGCATGTTCTACTAAAAGGCTTAGCATGTGTTATTACAAAATGAAACAAGCTCGTAAATTGGAGCATGCCCGAAAATTAGGACAAGTTCGTTTTTAGAACAAGTTCGTTTTCTATTTGAGGAGTCAAATCTCCCCTAATAGTTTCTAGTCCTTAGTTAAAAACAATTCAATATCCACCATGCTTCTGAAAACATTCAACTTAATGCTTATCGGCCTTGCCACAGTTAGCGTCATTTTACCGCTATTCACGAGGGGATTGGACAGGGCTACATGTGTTATCGTCGGCGCCGTATTGGCGTATCTAAGTATTATGTTGGCAGGTAACAAACTAAACGTGGTAATATTGTGGGGGGTCACGGGCTTGGGTTCTGCGACTGTATTATGGGATTCTTACAACAGGTTACTTGGTGGAGAAGAAATGACCAACTTTGAGATCGGGTTTCAGATCTACCAACTGACAGTAGCCACGATTGCGATGTTAGTCTTTGCCGTCACTGCGACGGCTAAAAATTCAGCGGGTACTAGTGAATAAACGCGAGGCCCGAGACCAACCAACCACCACGGGAATACAACTGAGCATGCGCTTACGACGAATTACCATGCCTAGCTAAGTGTAGCGTTAGTAGTGGAGCGGCACAGTGATGACGCTATACAGACCCATGCGATCGTGAATTCAGCCGGAGGAAACTTCAGTCTCACATCTGTATATCCTCGTGGCACGTATGCGTTTAATGAAACGGAATTCCATGGTAACTTAACTACCAATGTTGCCAGTCCGGAATACATCGCCGTGTCGTTTTTACCCAGCGTGATTGTTAACCTGATTGCGACTGAGCTAGGTCTTAGAAAGCGTCTCGTTATGCCGAGCGGCTTCACGCCATTTGCTGCAGAAAATTGGGAGGATGTTAATACGGGTATTAAAGTGGGCTGCTGGTTGGAGTCGATTGATACGCTCACCGAAACTCAGAATCAGGAGGTAGCAGGTGAAATAGACTTGTCTATGGATGAAAATGTTGAAATCAGTTCAGCTATATTTCTAATGCTACAAGGCCGTTTGATGTCTGTTTGAAGAACGTCGTACTACGTTGCCGTTGATTCTGTAGTACACGGAAGTGGCGGCGCTTTCTAAGAGGTACAATTCTTCTTGGTTTCATAAGTATGATTGCGGGTCAAAATTTCGGTTCAACATAGCCTGGCATTAAATTGATATCGATAATCCCTATCTTTTAAACAAAAACTCCTAATACTTGCAGCTTCCACGTTACGCAGCATGTTTGCTCCTGTGATGACAGCCTAATCGTATCCTACGCAACGGTTCAACACAATAGGTCTAGTACTAATAAAAAAAAATAAACAGTTGGGCTTCAGAATTTCAGTAACCTTCCATAGCAAACAAGATCGGTACTAATAAAACAAACGCCATTTCTCGCCTCATCTAACCGACGTAGAAAGAACGCGGGCATAAATCTGGCCAACTACTCCATAGATCCCGGATCGGACTCTGGAGGTTCCAAAACTGTGCTGTAAGCTGGTGGCGCGGGCCCCTCGGTAGCCTCCGAGTTCCAAGACTCCAGCTCGCCATACACGATAAGAGACTCGCTTTGAGACTCCTTTCCAACCTTGCCTTTTTCCTGAGAAAATCCCTCATTGTTGAGCCTTCCAGGGAAGGGCCTACGCTCTATCTCAATCTCTTCACTCGGAACCAGGCCATCCAAGCCGAGACCGCTCCAAAGCGTCAAGCGACGGTCCAACGTCACCTTATTCCAGCTTATCAAGCCAAAGAACCAGCCCGTCTCGTTGGCAGTGGCCTTAAACTCAGCCGTCACCTGCAACGTGTACCATCGTCTGATGCTGCAAACGTCAAAACTGGGCACCATGTCAGGGTACAGCGTACGGCTTCCCACCTCTCTGTACAACTCATGGGGAACGAGCACTTCATACACCCCGTGCTCAAGCGGCGATTCCACGGCATCAGCAAGATCAAAGCGGTGCAAGCCCTCAAAGCAAGCAAGCGGCCAGGTGGTGGACCCTTGGTGGGAGCTTTCGCCTGCTTTCACCCACGTTGTCCCGGTTAGTATCATCTTCATCTTGCTCAAAAACACTTGTCCCAAGCCCGAAGACTCACCATTGCTGAGCTTGAACATGGAGGGAGGTAGAGTAGTGGTGACGTACACGGAGAAATTGTCTGCAGATCCGGAGCGTGCTCCAGGCATGTCGATGTACCGCACCTGCAACTGAACCGCAACGTCCTTGATGTGGAGAGAGTACTCGCGTGCTAGCTCCCTGTTGGCGTTCGAGGAAAACATGGTTGTAAAGAGAAACGTTTGGGGCGCCTGCAACTCCTTATACGCCTCTTCTCGCTCGTCAACGGCGACAAGCAACGGCGCCTTTTCTCTGAAAATATGGTCTTTGGCGAGAACTAGACAACTGCCGTCTGTGTCTCTGTCAATATCTACCGGCAAGAAGTCAAAGGTCACTTCCTTCGTGGCGCTTAACTGGAAGAGGCCCTTGCGTTTACAGACCACCTTCACATAGTAGACAATCTCTGCTTCTGCCAGCAGATCGCCCCGCCTGTTCGCCTCAAGTACGGTAGGGGGTAAGGTCGGGGGCAAGAAGCAAGGCTTGTGACCTGAGGTTTTGTGCGCCTTTGCGAGATCAATCTCGCTGGAGTTGTCGTGGGGAATTACGAACCGAAACGGGTACTGGCGACTCCCCGGGGTAAGCGTGAATTGTGTCTTTGGGGAAGACACAGCCCGGATGTTTGCAGGGGGAAACACAACAGTGGTGTGGTACAATAATCGGTGCTCTTCGGTCGAAACCTTGTCTCTGGTGGTATTTTTGTGCTTCTCACGGACCTTGACTTTGGTTTTGGCTACGCCTTCGAGCCTCACCTCGATGTAGTCCACTGAGAAAGAATCAGCGATGGAAACGTGGACGCTGCCGCTAATGGGCTCGCTAGTGTGTTGTCGGCCCGTAAGCCGGCTGCTTTTGTCAAGAATGATCTGTAACTCAACCATAGAGCGAAGGGGAGAGATTTACTGCTTTTGGTGACGTTTGTGCGACAAAAGTAGATGGTGTTTTAGATACGCAAAAGAGTATCCACGGGTTAAAGATTAGCCATGCACGGTGGCGAGATGCGTTCTACAGGATACAAACACTGTAGGCTTTATTGTATCAATGTTAATCGAAATACACGCAAAGATATGGGAATATTTTATGGTGCACGATTGAGAGTGGGATTGTATTCTTTAAACACTCTCGCCTTGGGTTGGTGGATTGCGGTGTAATCCAAATTATACGAGGGGATAAGTTATGTGAAGTTAGAACTGGGAGATAGACAGGGGATACGAAGGGTGGAAAAAGCTTGTAACGTTCAAGAGATAAAAATTACGTAAAGATCTTTATGTTGACCGTTTGGAAATAAGCCACCACGCTAAATATAAACCATAACTACTACGTGGTATAACCCGCACCCGTATTTCCATCTAAACTACGTAGGTACAGTTATATTAGCAGGTTTATTGGTCACATTCCCGTGAACTAAAATGCAATCTTCCCGAGCGTTGCGTCATATTCTGGGGGCGGTGCGTCTTCGTCATCACGGCCTGTTTCGAAGGCTGACGCTTGGTCGTGATTACTGGTCTCAAAGGTGGCGAGATTGCTCTGTCTAACAGGATAGCTCTCCTCGCCTCTGTAGCTGGCAAACCCTGCTGGTTGGTCATATGTAAAAGACTTTTGATCGTAGCTTTGCTCCCTACCTGAAGCTGGAAGCGCACCGCTCGATGACTTTTCCTCGGCGTAGCTTTGGACTCCAAGACTGCTTTTCTCGCCATGTGCGCTGTAAATCGTTTCTTTCGCTTGAACCGGTGGCATTGCTTCAGGAATCATCATCACGGGAATCTCCTTTTGTATCAGCCCATCCATGTTGAAACCACTCCAGACTCGCACTTCCAGCCCCAACTCGACCTTATTCTGACTCCCCATCCCCATAAACTTTCCCTTCTCCTCCGCCGTGCTCTTGAACTTTGCTGTCAAATAGAAAGTATACCACCTGCGGATGCTACACATGTGGAAGCTGGGAACCAAGCCGGGGTAGGATCTTCTTTGGCCAGCGGGGGTGTGTAACTCACGCGGAAGGAGAATCTCGTATAAACTGGGGTCTAGTGGCGATGGGACTGCATTTGCAAGATCGAAACGGTAGGACCCTTCGTAATCGCCAAGCCGCCAGCTGTTGGACCCTTGGTCGACATACCCGGCTGCTCTAATAGATGTCATCCCGGTAAGAACAACCTCTAATTTGCTCAAAAAGAATTGGCCCAAGCCGGAGGATTCGCCGTTACTGAGCTGGAACGCCTGCGGGGGCAACCTCGAAGTGACATAGATCCCGAAATTGTCTCCAGATCCCGAGCGGACTCCCGGCACGTCTTTAAACCGCACTTGCAACTGGATTTCCACGTCCCTGGCGTGCAAAGCGTTCTCCCGTTCGAGCTCCTTGCGGGCGTTGCCGGCACTTCGAGAAAACATAGAGGAGCCCCTGGACGCTTTAGGGGTCTCTAATTCCCTGTAAGTCTGGCCTCCCTTGTCCTCTCCCACAGGCACAAGCAAAGGAACTTTTCCCTGGAACACATGGTCCTTGGTAAGGACCAACCTTCCGCTATCGACATTTCTCTCCATGTCAACAGGGGTGAAATTGAATGGCACTTGTTTTCTCGAGCTGAGCTTCAAAAAGCCCTTGCGTTTGGCCACCACCTTCACGTAGTAGTTGACTCCCGCATTGCTTCGCATGTTATTGTTTTGGTTATACTGAACATTGGGCAAGGAAGGGGGTAAGAAGCAGGGGAAATGGCCTCTGGTACTCTGGGACTTGATAAAGTTCATCTCACTGGAGTTGTCATACGGAATGGTAAAGTGGAAGGGGTAGGTATGCCTCCCCGGGGTCAACGTAAACTGCGTTTTAGGCGAAGCGACCTGACGCACGTTTGGGGGAGGGAAAACTATCGTTGTCTGGTACAAGACCTTGTGTTCTTCGGTATAGGTTCTGTCGTAGTTCCTGACGTTTCCGCTGGCGTTTCTCTGGTACTCGCGGACCCAGACCATGGTGCTCGCCACCCCTTCAAGCTTGATCTCGATGTAATCAACAGATAATTCAGAGGTGTTGTGGACGAGAGCCTCCCCGAAGATGGCCTCGCTGGTGTAGTTTAGCTTGTTTAAAGATATCTGGATGTCAACGCCCATGATTGGATTGAGAAGAATAAGAGAGTGGAAAAGGTATGGTTAGCCTTTCTAGAAATGCGATCTTATTCTGGTATAAGTACTAGGGTCCGTCCTTTGTTCTCGGCCTCGATATGGATTTCTCAAAGGGCTGGTGGAATGCATGACAGCCCTGGAACAGCTGAGCCCCTCCTGATAATAATGCGCCTCCAAATACAAAATCAACGCCTGCTGCACGTGTACGAGCTTAAACGCAGGAAGTATAGGCGGTGGTCTGGGTAGAATCTGCTCCACTATTAGCTATTGCGGTTTGAAAATTGGCTATAGCAATAGCTACTCTGAACTTTAAAGGTTGGTCCAAGAGCTTGTGCCTACGGAAGAAAGTCCGGTGGTTATTTTTTTATCACCTGCATAGCGCCTGCCACTTGTCGGGGACATCGCAGTACAGCCCCGTTGACAAGCTTTCGCCCAGCGTCTAAACCTGAATGCAAAGACATAACGAAGTCCCTTGCATCTTTGAAGCTAAAACTAGATGAAGCTAGTCTGGGAATCTAACATGAAACTTATCCGTTGAATGGATCTTGCTCTTCGTCACCAGCGTGCATTTCTTAACAGAGCGTGGTCGTTGCAAATATTACCGGTTAGCTGTCATACTCAGCTGTTGAAAGGTAGAGCGAGAATTTCTATAACGATAAATGGGCTGATCCGGGTACTGCCGTTTTAGACCGACTCGTACAGCCACATCTTTTTTTGCAGGCTGAGCAGCGGAGCTCAACGCGTCTTATCTGCATAGCATTGCATATGCCCCATGACGTTGGCCATTGTCATGCTCTCCAATTAAAACAGGGTCTAATTTACCTCAGAAAGATGTAGCGTAGCCTAACAGTTATTGATTAAATGGTGGAAACAGTAAATAATGGAAATAACATTATACATTAGGTGAGAAAGAAAAACGTGAAAAAAGAAAGAGAAAAAAAAAACTTAAATTCTATTAAATCGTGAAGCACCTGGTTTTAGACAGTTCTGCCTCCTGAAAAGGCATAATTCGGTGGTGGCAGTTGCCCGCGTACAGCCGATTCTGCGGTTCCATACACCGGATCCATGTCTGATAACGAGCTATCCTCATCACCAGGAACGTTTCTGGGGTACTGGGTGCTATAATTTGCCTCGTCATCCCAGTCGTGATCTGGAGAGTCATCGCTGTCAACCTCCATGTTTTTTTCGTCAGGGAAACCTGACGGGATACCAACCTGTACGTACTCCGGACTCAAGAGGTCTAATCCTTGATCGGAAGCTTCCTCTCCCGCGTTGATACCGCTCCAAACCTGCACCCCTGCGTTTAGTTCCACCTTATTCCGACTCAAAAGTCCCAATAACTTCCCTTTCTCGTCAGCAGTGTACTTAAAGTTGGCAACAACGTTAATTGTGTAGGACCGCTCGATGTTGCAAACTTGGAAGCTCGGAACCAACCCGGCAAACGCCCTTTTCGGCGTGCCAAACAACGCTTTAGGAATCTCAATCTCAAACATGGATGGGTCCAACAATGATGGCTGGGCATTGGCCAAATCAATACGGTGAAGCCCCTCGTAAGCCCCAAGCGACCAATTGGTACACCCCTCATGCCGCAACGCGCCTGTCTTTATCGCTGTCAACCCCGCCAACACAATGTCTATTTTGTTCAAATAAAACTGGCCCAACCCCGAAGAATTTCCATTTCCAAGCTGGAACGCTTGGGGAGGTAATTTGGTAATAAGGTAAAGGCTGAAGTTGTTGGCAGTGCCAGCACGGACTCCAGGTAACTCGCGGAAACGAACCTGTAACTGGATCGGAATGTCCCGGGCATGTGCAGCATACTGCTGTGCGGTCTCTTTACGAGAACTGCGTTTCTTTGAAGAGAATGAGTCAGAGATGGATGTTTTCGGGGCCCCCAATAACTCGTACGTCTCTTCCTGTTTGATATCTTGGTCAGAGCCATGGGTGGGGACGTAAACAGGGAATTTTTCGTGGAAAATGTGATTTTGGGAAACCACCAGCTGTGTGAGATGAGGGTCTCTCGCCACGTCTACCGGGAAAAAGGTGAAGCCAAACTTTTTGCGCGAGCTGAGCTTCATAAGATCTTTCCGCTTAGCAACGACTTTGGCGTAGTATTTGACCTCAGCTTCACCCCGCTGATGTCTACTGCGGTCTAATTTGACGGTATCCATGGTCGGAGGCAACGGGCACTTTAAATGTCCGTCCGAGGATGGATACTTGGTATGCTGCTGCTCGGAGGAGTTGTCAACCGGGATTTGAAACAGAAACTCAAAATTGTGTTTTCCAGGCGGCAACGTGAACTGCGTGTTTGGGGAGGCAACCTTGCGGATCTCAGGTGGGGGGAAAACGATGACCGTTTGGTACAACACTTTGTGTTCCTCGTTAGGGATTCTATCCAACTGCAAGGCTCTTCTCTGGCGGCGTCTCCGCTTCCCGCGAACTCTGATGCTGGAGCGTGCTACCCCTTCGAGCTTCACCTCGACATAATCTAAGGTTAACTCGGAGCTGTTGTGGATGAGCACTTTCCCATTGATGGGTTCACTGGTGTAGTGGGATTTATTAAGCGAAATTTGAATGTCAACCCCCATATCTGTAGATTAGAGTTGTAGATGTTTGGTACGAACGGTATTTGTGGGTAAATATGGGCAACCTTCTTTGTTTTATACAAACCCGACAATTCCTACAGCAATGGCTGTGATAAAAATCATGCACAGCCCCTAGCAATTAAACGTCTCAAACTTACAGGCTTAGGTGCATTGTTTCTGAATATTGAGATCCCTGAACTTTAGACTGCATATGCCTAAGCGCAGGCTAGAAGCCTGCTGGAAGTGTGGAGGTATATACGGGCTTCGAAAATCCCATAGCCCTTGAAACATACACTTGAAAAGCATGGTATTAACTCGGTCAGAACCTGTAGTACCGAGAATGTCTCTAAAATACATATAGTATTCTGGTGTATATGGGGGCTTCAGTCCGATCCCGTCTTGCATACAACCAAAGCACGGTTTAAAAAGTTTATAAAGATGGTCTAGACTTACACAGCTTTAGTAGTGTTGGGGTCACTCCTCACGCTATTTTGTCTGCGGTGGGTCGTGTACGCTTCGCGTTGGAAAACGATTGCGACTGTACAGCCCCGTTATGCATTCAACCTCTTGACCGGTCGCATGCATCTCGAAAAGCTTACAACAGCACGAGAAATAAACGGGCTTAAACTAATTCTTAGTGTTTCATTTTTTTTTCCCTCGTTTATTTGAGGCTGTAACTGGAACTAGGCCCTGGAAAGGTTCTATGAGGATTAATAGCCATGGTGCTGTAGCCGCAATGGATTTAAATCTAGAGTAAGAAGCCATTCACACGTGGACTAAATGCACAGCCCTTCCAATTCAGGCCATCGGATAGGCTCCCACTGATAGCGGCAGGCTGGATGTTTATGTGGGGAATGGCGGCTTAGAACTGATCCACTGCGCCTCTTTTGGAGTACGTTCCCATATCCATAGAGGCGTAGCTTCCGTCCAATTGCGTTATCCGGGGTATGAAGCGAAAACAGTAATGAGGCCGATGCATGTGTTTATCTCTTGCCAAATTATTACCGGTGAAAGAACTGAAACGTGTGCTCTAGGGTTCGGACACTATGGCACCAGAGTCAAACATTGGGTTGCTTTTATTGCACCGTTAAAATCTAACAAAGTAGATGTATACAATCCGTAGAGGTAGAGTCTGGAACATCTTCTTCCGTTTGCATCGTATATTCCTTCTCCCAGCTTCAATGGTGCTGCAGCTTTCACTTTCAACGGTGCTGCAACCTTTATCTCCAGCCAGGGCAGTAAAGCACTCCACATAAAGGGAAGCTATTTAACATCTCCCTAAGTTCTATTTATTGAATCATAAATAACACACCGAGTAATCCGTAATAGTTTAGTGACTAGAATCCCCGCTTGTCGCGGGGAACCAGGTTTAATTCCCCGTCGCGGAGCTTTCTTATGTTTCTAAATATTCTTTACCAGTTTGTGGGTGTACTCTCGAGCTTTTTTTTCATGGTCGATGACTTTTCTTTAGGAATGGTTTTACTTGTCGTCTGGGTGCATTAATTTCAAAATTCTTACGCTTCATGTTCAACTAAAAGATTGAGTAAACTCGAATGCTTTTACGTTTCTTGCCAACCATGCCTCTATACTGGTGTTTTCGATCATCCAATTTATCATTATAAGTGCTACAATTGGCTAATAAAACTCCCAACTATATAAAAAGTACATAAGCCAAGTAAATTATCCATGAATTTCCGCATCATCTCACATGTGAGCTGGAACCCCGGATCGAGAGCTGCTGCTCCGCTCCATCTCCGCAGGTTCAACAATACCCCCAGTTAGGGACCCACCACCGGTCTGCAAACAGATCGGAGGGCCGGCTCGCAAAAACTTTTTCGGTGAAAATTTAGCACGATCAATCTCATCGAGAACCACCCGCAAAATCTTCTGGGCGTCTTCGTAGCCCGGGGTGGGATCCTTGGAGTGCCGCATCTTCACCAAGGGACAATTCCACTCCTTGGCTAGGTCCTCACCTAACCGTAGTAACAACGGACTCGAGAGCTCGTGATCCACGCTGTTTGCCACTAGAATTACCGGAGGCATCTGCAATCTCGGGTTGCTGTTTACCTGCGTCAATCCCGGCCCTTGGCTGGGTGCCGTTTTGCTTTCCTTACCCCACAAGTGCTTCATAGACTTTAACACTGAGCCGTTTTCTCCTTGGCTCTGAACGTCAACTCTGAGCTTGCGCTTGTTTTCAAAGTCGTAATAGCAGGCCCAGGCATCGAACAATGAGTTGCGGATGTTACGCAACGTGTCCAAGTTTGGTGGACGGCCCGGCGAAGGGGTGCCGTAGCCTTGTGGTTCACCCTCACTCTCTGAGCTCCCATCTTCATATCCTGGTGGAGCGGTGTTGGTGGAGTAGGGAACAGTGTTGTACACCAAAATATAAGCCTCCACATCCGCATTCATCTCGTCAAACCCCAGTGCCACAAGCAAGGGGTATCCAGTCTGTTTCCGGGTGGTTTCGTGATACTGACGCATCTCCTCATCGGTCATCTTGAAGTTGGTGGACGCACAGAGAAACGGGATGGTGAAGCTGGCTTTGTAGCCCGGGTTATCGATTACCTCGACCAACGACTCTGTGACAAACCCCCCATGGGATTGGCGTGTGCATGGCACAATGACCGACATGGTTTCTCTGGTGGGATAATAGATACAGTAGTTGGAGGGGATGTTTTGCACCTTGCTGATAATGGCAGATTTGCCGACGTTGGTTCCGCCGAGAAGTGCTACCCGCACGGGATGGTTACTGGACATGCTGTAACGTAAGGGGTAGAGATAATGAGATAGAAGAACTTCAAAGCAGGGATAAACAGACTGGGTGGTAAATTACAGGATTGGATAGGGAAACTAAGCAATGACCAATTTGTATATCAGAAAAATCATAGTTTGGGCCTGGTGTGCTGATAATGTCATTTTCGGCCTTCTCCGTGGGAGGTATTAGCCGTGCCTCTCGGCCCGAAGCCGTGGCGCCAAAAACGCCACATACAGGATAATAGCGTACATCTCTATACATATATAAGTGCACACGATATTATATTGGAGAATTAACCAGTGAGGCGTTTATTCAGGTCCATGCCTGGCCAATGAATCACAAGCTCACTGCTACAAAAACTCGATATTATCAGTGCTGAAAACGGTTGTAGGCTGGACAAATTCTTCAATTTTGGATCGCCTTGGTCAAGACTGAGCGCCAGTTGGTAGTTTTAACACACAAGGGGTATCTGGCCGCTCCAGAGGAATTTGTTTGATAAACACGGCTCTCAACTGTGCGGATTATAGAGGGTAAAAACAAAACCCACGGCGAGAGTCGAACTCGCAATCTTTTGATTAGAAGTCAAACGCGTTAACCATTACGCTACGCAGGCTGATGAATCCTGAATTTTCCATGAACTTACCCAAAAAACGTCTTATACCTATTCTATCCGTTTTTATGACCTCTTAAATAAACTATCGACGTTTTAGTTGTATCTGAGAGGCTGTATCATGCGGAACTAAAATAACTACATCAGTAGGATCGCTCAAAAACCACGGGTGTTTCAAGTAATTCTTGAAACGATGAAACATCACGTCCTTCAAAGCACTAAGAATTTTTTTAGTCTCCATATCCCTCCCCCTTGGTTACGAGCACGCAAAAATGTGGGGAAGCGAAACGCGCCAAGTTTCGGCACGGGGCAACGGAGTTCGCAAAACGGACTCTTTTTACAAACCACTCTCCTGGTCTCTTTCATATAATTTAGAACTATCCGATATCTACCATGTCAGAAAACGAAACCAATCCGGAAAACATTGCCGATGAAAGCTCGCCCCAGAAGCGCCCTGTTTCAGCGCCTGCTTTGTCTTATCTCGTCTCGCTTCTCCTCACCTCTGCTGACCTCACTAAGCTTGAGCGGTTTACCGCTAAAGTCTCTTCCGCCTCTGGTGCGAAACCATGCGCTGTCAAAGCCGGCTTGGAGTCCATCGAAGCCAACGCGTACGCTAATGTCGACACCCAGCAGTACTTGCCGCTTATAACCACCACGGTTCGGCGCACGGTGCGGTTTGCGGTGATCCTAGGCACCATCATCGTTTCATTCAAGAAGCTCACCGCGATCAAATCGCCAATTAGACCGTTTATCGATCTCGAGCGGATTGCAAAGTTATCTGCGCTCTTAGGGTTTGCGCTCACGTCCCACCCGTTGCTCAGCAAAACCATCAAGGATGCGTTCAACACGGTGGTTGACATGGATTCTGGGGTCACTTTGGACAATGCCAGAAAGCAGAAACGCGTCCAGGTGGTGGAGTTCCTCACCAACTTGTCTACGGGGTTGCTTTTCTCCAAGATGGGCTACTCGTACCGCGACTACCTCGCGGTCTACTTTGCGCAGGCGCTCTTCATGAAGGGGAAGACCCGCGCGGTCAAGGTCGGCTCCCGCTCCGGCTCCTTGCTCTGGGAATTCTTGCCTTCCCAGCTGACATTGTTCCCACTTATTTTTGCCGCCACCATCGGGGAAAACTTGCAGAACTACTACCTCAACGGGACTTACCTTCCAGGCCACTTCACCAAGTTCTATGACCTCTTCATGCTGCCGTTGGTGCAGGTTCCAGAGTATTTGAACAAGCCATACGGCTGGCCAGAGGCCAAGTTGTTAATCCGCGAGGCGTTGGTGACCAACCCCAAGTTAAACTTCGGGGGCGCCATTATCTCTAAGAGCGTTTTGACGACAAATTCTGAAAGCACCTTTGCTGTGATCAAGGGAATGGCCAGTCCAATGCACCTGAACACCATCCACGCGATCCTCAACCCCTTCAGCACGTCCTGGAAGACTTTGGCCAAGGGCTTGCCAAAGAGCTACTTTGGCGTCTGGAAGATCTTGTTCGTGGTCTATCTCTTCTTCAAGCGCAATCAGATTTTTGCCAAGGTTGCGGAGTCGTCTGAAAAGGCCGCCACCGCGCTGGAAAAGTGGAAAAAAACGGTTGTGGAAGCGGTCAAGGCGTCCGCGCGCACTACTAACTTCTTCCTCTCCATCACCGCTATCTCGTTGGCGTTGATTGCCTCCAAGAAGACGCCACTCGCCACCAGCAAGCGGTTTGTTAGCAACCCGAAGCTCAGACTCAGGGTCACCGGCTTCGTGTCCGCGTTGTTGGCGCTCAAGGCTGCCCCAAACTCCGCCGCCTTCCACGGCTTGATGTTGTACAACATCAGATGGACCGTGTTGAGCAAGTTGCGCGAACTCAGCGTGAAGCACGGCAAGCAGTATGACTACGGCTTGAACGTCGCCGCGTGGGTGCTCATGTTGAAGGTTTTGAGGGCTGAGGACGGGATTTTCGGCAAGTTGGCCCAGGGCGTCAAGAACGGTGCGCCGTTCTTGGGATAAAGCTGAGCCCGAGAGTTTTACAATCTTCCCTGGTTGCTGGTTTTGCCTGGTGTCCGTTTTTAGTGAGTCGATTATTTATATTATATGTTTGTGGTGCTCAAGTATGCAGAGATCGGGGGGGTGTAAGTCTCCATAGTTGGGTTGCCATGATTTTCAATGGGATTGTAGTATATCTACATAAGTAATGATATAACTGGGTATAATTGGTTAATCATTAGATCTGAGCCAGATATACGAAGGGACGGTCAGTCGGTCTTTATATAGACTGGTTGGTGAAGCTATGTCTTAAGATGAGGCACCTGTAGTTTCGCGTAGGATAGGGCATAGTTAGCCTCATTTAGAGACGGGGCATCTTCAGCATCTTTACTATATGGATTATAGAATTTATAACAGGTTATAACATAGATTCCAGGACGATGAATAAGCGTGCTAGTTAGGTAAAAGGGAGCTTTCCTTTATTTGTTTGGGTTGACCATTTTTGGTAAAGGGCTCAAGAACTTCGGTCGGTCCTGTACAAGTGCCCTATATCATAACTAACATTGCCAATACACCATACAATGCTAGCTATGGTAGTTCTATAGTCCTAGTCTCTGGAATACTTTTAGAAACACGATTCGTTACTGCATTGTCTAATGGGATAACTGTGTCTATTCCAGTAGAGCTCGAGCAATAAATTGTCAAAGGCTCTGGATAAACCAGTGGTTTTGCTTATATTGGAAATTAACGATTATTAAGTCTTAATTTTAGGTTGACTTGAGCGATGCAAGAGATTAGTAGGTAGCCTGGTTTGTAGGATAGCATTAGAGATAGTTGCAAGTTACAGATAATGGCTAGCCTGAGTGATTCTGAACTAACCCATTACTTTGATTCTGAATCTATTCCAATATATATTGTAACTACCAACACTTGAAAGCCCAAATCGGCACTACTTTGTCTAAATCAGGATATCCGGCACATAGCCCTCTGTTTGGGTCGAAAGGTAAACAACTTTTCGTACCAGAGAGCCGCACGATCTGGAATTTGGGATCAAAGCTTGAAGGCTGACCGGCTAATGGCCTGCAACAATGGGCTACTTGGCTGTTAAAGGGTTGAGTTGGTCGGTCCACAAACAGTTTACATACACACGACGCATTTCTGCCTCTCCATGACCAGCGGTCCCTACAAGTGATATCAAGGAATCAGCTAAACAAGGCACATTAGCCACCCCCAGCTTCAAAAGACCCAATATCCTCTCGCTTGCCATCCCCTGAATCAGGCCTTGAGAGCAGAAACAATCTTCCACACGAGCTATTTTCTGTGTCATCCTATCAAGGGTAACCTCGTTGCGAGAAAATAGATATAGATATCCTTCAGAAGGCCCCACTCAACTATCTTTGGCCTCCGTTTTCCACAGATCTCATCACCAGCCACTTCGAGACCCAGCCTTGTTTCCTGCCTTCAAGTCTCTTGTTTGACACCCCTTTCAGTCGTTTCAGCTTTCCAGATTTCCCTCTACAACTTCTGTTTCGTCATCTCCACAACCGTCACCTTTCCTCATTTCTCCTCCCCATTTCCTTATGACCACAAACCTCGGCAACCAATTTGAAGCTTTGGAAATCATCGGCCGCGGGTCGTTCGGCACGGTGCGAAAGGTCCGTCGGAAGGAGGATGGGCTTATAGTTGTACGCAAAGAAATGGAGTATCAGGCCATGAATGCACGCGAACGCACGCAGCTTGTGGCAGAATTCCGCATTCTTCGCGAACTCAACCACCCAAACATTGTCAGCTACTACAGCCATGATCTGCTTCCCGAACAGAAAATGCTACATCTCTACATGGAGTACTGCGACGGTGGAGACATGTCTGCGATCATCAAGCAGTTCAAGGACGACCGGGAATATATTCCCGAGCAGTTTGTGTGGAGCGTTCTCGTACAAATGCTTCTTGCACTACACCGGTGCCACTACGGGCGCGATGTCGCGCGCTGCGAACTCTTCGCGCACGGCCCCGCGCCCGCGCACGTGGACGCTGCAAAAGTCATCATCCACCGCGACATCAAACCAGACAATATCTTTTTGACCAACAACAGCGAAACGGTAAAATTGGGGGACTTTGGTCTAGCAAAAATGTTGAACAGCCAGCAGGAGTTTGCCAAAACATACGTGGGAACCCCCTATTACATGTCGCCGGAAGTGCTCGTCGACGCGCCTTACAGCCCGGTTTGCGACATCTGGTCGCTCGGCTGCGTGATCTACGAGATGTGCACGCTCCACCCGCCGTTCCAAGCAAAAACCCATTTACAGCTCCAGGCAAAGATCAAGGAGGGAGGGTATCCGGACGTCTCGGGGCGCTACTCCACCGAGTTGCGAAACCTTATTCGCGCGTGCATCACAGTCGACCCCGCCGCGCGCCCCACCACGCGCGACTTGCTCGACAACTTGTCGGTCAAATTCATCCGCAAGGAGATGGAGTTGAAGGCGTTGGAGGCAAAGTTGCAGGGCCGTGAGCGCCGGCTCGAGGCTGCCGAAGGCGAGATGGACGCGAGGGCGAGCGAGTTGGATGCAAGGGCGCGAGAGGTGGAAGCCCGCGACGCTACGGTACAGGAGTCGCGCGCGAGCTTGGCTGCACGCGAGCAGGACGCGCAGCGCCGGGAGCTGCAGCTCCATGCCGACTTGCAGCTGCGTCTCGTGAAGAAGTTTGCCGCGGATCTCGAAAACTTGAAGCGGACCGTGGAGGAGGAGGCCAGGTCCGATAGGCTTAAGTACCAGAAGGAGTTTGACTTTGTGGTGGAGCACACCGTGAGAAAGGAGATTGAGCGATTGTTGTCGTCGCAGGGTAACCTCAAGGGATACCTTTCAAAGCACGGGGTGCAAAGTCCTCCTGGTCAGAACTACCAAGCAGCGTATCAGTCGCCCAGGAGAGTCAATGTCCAGGACCCACGAGACAGAACCAACTCCCAGGGGCAGGATTTGCGCGATAGGGCCCAGTTTGACAGAACACCGGCTCCGAGGGCCAATACCCAGCCGGTTACACGGTTAAAGGGACCGCGCGAGTTGGGCGAGCGCGCGCCGTTGCGCAATTTGAACGCAGATCTCGAATACCCCAACTACCCACACTCGCCCGAGATGTTGAAACACAAGTTTATGGAACAGAGCCCCACGTATAGTGTTTCCAGCTTCGCCACCGCGAAGGAGTATCTCGACCGCTCGGAGCATGGGTATAGTAGCGATGATGACCGCTCGGAGGTGTTGTACACCGGGCCCGGGGGGCTACGTAAGTATTAACCAGGGTTATGCTACCCGAGGCTACAGAACGTACTCAAGTATTTAGTAACTAGCTAAGACGGAATAAATTAGCCTTGTTAAAATTCATGACCGCTAGAGAAATTTTTTTGTGGGACTCGGGTAAATATGTTATAGAACTCTCACCATCCCATTGAGTTTTTGTGACTAAATGTGCAAACGCTTAGTCTTGGGTTTTTTCATTCTTTTCTTTCTGGGTTGGGAAATTTCCTCTTGCGATTGAATTATAATCCTTATTATGGTTTGTTTTTTTTTTTTTTTCTCTTCGTGGCGGTTTTACATTAAAACCGAACAGCACGTTATCAAACCTGACCACTAATCATTCCAAGAGCCTCAATCAATTCAAAGAATTACTGCATCCATCTTACTCTCCGGCCAGTAGCTTCGCTGTGCGACTTGATTTCTGATCCATAAACGACCGTATCGATTTAGTGAGGCTATACGACTTGGATTCAATTCGAGCTGGTTTTTGGTCCCTTCGAGTCTAGCCCTTGCTGAGTGGTTTATTATGGCAAAAATAAACTTGACAGAGAAAATGCCTATGAAAGGAAAGGAGTGGAAAAAGAGCTATATTTGACATTACTAATGATTTAATATTCACAAATGATTCGATATTTACAGGTGGCTGGAAGATTGTGACCTCCAATTCGTATTTGTGAAAATCTAGACTAGCATAATCAAACACTGGTTAAAAATCACGTTGCGATTGACATTCTAGACCTTTCGGGACGTTTTCTATTTATTCATATCTAATTAATAAAGGAATCAGGGCTGTTAAAAACCCCGGGAACTATATTGGTAAATATCGCTTCACTCTGTGTCATAGTATACTTTCTTTTCCGTCGACCCCTACAGAGGTAAGAGCCGTCAAGACGATAACGCAGTTTAGGTTAAAATAATCATTACAAAGATCCGCGAATCTACCGGCTAACCTCAATAAATTAATAGTGCCCAGCTCAGGATTCGAACCTGAATTCTCACCCCATCAGCTTTTGAATGAAGCACGCTCTACCGATTGAGCTAGCGAGACGTTCCATAAGTTGGGGAAGTCAGCTATTTTGACTTATTTAGGAATATATTTTTAGAAGCGTAGATGAACGATTAATCTTCTATATCATATAAACAAACTCAGAGCTATTGGTTAAGTATAAAAAATAAATTTAGTGCAGGGGGTAGAAGATCTCCTTATGTAGTGAGCATTTGGCTATCACAACGGAAGAATAAAATAAAGGGTGTGGGCTAACTCCCAAAAAAAGGAAAACAGCATTGGAACTTCAAGTTTCAGACTGAAAATCCAGATTCTAATTCCCCCGTAACCAGCTAGTGGTATCCACCCCCTACAATGTATACCTCAACCTTGCTGTATGATGAAATGGGCTATATTATCTGTCAGTGTTACATTTACACTCGAACTTACTAACCGTAAAATCTAGTTATATTTAATGGGAAAAAATTCTAGTCTAAAATTAACAAGCAAGGCTCAACAACCTATGGTTTAGGCCAAAATGTCCAAGTAGTTCTCGTTGAGGAAGCTTATCGCTGCCTGTCTGTAGTTATCCTTTCCGGTGGTAAGACCCACGGCATTGATATACAACATGTTGTTGGCCAAAGCGTTGGTGTTTTGGTACTGTGGCCAGTTGGTTAAGGTATAGATCCCACCGCTGTTAGGGTTCAAGGTGTTGGCGAACGCAATAAACGCGTTTCTATAAACCAAAGACCCAGAACCAGTGACGTAGTATTGCCAGATGATGTCATTGGCGTGGAACGTACCGGCAATTGGGGTACCCTCTAATTGCTGGGAGTCAAAGGTGTATCTGGTAACGTCTGGCATGTTGTTTAAGAAAAATCTTCTTGGGGCTTGGAAAACCACATCACCGAGGAAAGCTGCAATTCTCTTATTTTCAGGTGTCAACGCATTCAAGAGACCAGTGTTGAATGGGGAGCCTTGAGTGACATCCTGTGGGTACACAGTCAATAACTCAGTCATCTGAGAAGAAGACATTCCTGGGAACACATTTCCGATGTACGCCGCCACTTCAGCATTAGTAGTCACATTCAAGTTGGTGAGAGCAAAAAGAGATCCCTCATCGTCTTGGTCACCGATGATGTATGGCACTCTCGCGTACTTGCCATCGGCAACCATCTGCATCTGTTGGTATGGAATAAACCCACCATCTGGTCTTGGCATGTAGGATAATTGCAAGGACTCGTAAGAAAACATGGCCGGAACAGAGTTGCAGGCAGCTAACATCACAGAGTAAGGAACACCTCTCAAGCACGCCATCTTGTCGGAGGCAGTACCGCAGCCAGCAGCGTTGGCGACGGTGTCAAAGATCAGCTGTGGGAATGGCGCATCAATGTCCTGAGTTGGAAGAACGGACCCGGACTGCATGATAGCAGCTCTGAACAATGGCTTTCCCTTGTAGGTGTTGTCACCGCTGTTACCAATAATCTGGTGGCCCACGGAAATTGCACCAGCTGATTCACCAAAGATAGTAACCTTGCTTGGGTCACCACCGAATGCAGCAATGTTGTCAGCCACCCACTGTAAGGCAAGTCTCTGGTCCAACAACCCAACATTACCACTACCCTCGGCCTTGACCTCCTTGCCTCCCAAAAACCCAAAGGCAGCGAGTCTGTAGTTGATAGAGACGTAGATAAAGTCCTGTCCCTGGAGGGCACCCTGCGCCATCAACTGTTCTGGCGTGTAGGTGCTGGAGCCACCAATTTCGAAACCACCACCGAAGATCCAGAACATCACTGGTAACTTGGCGGTAGAGGAGAGGCCCCTCTTTCTGTAAACATTAAGGGTCAAACAATCCTCAGCCAGAGGAAGAATCGCACCGAACAATGGGGTTTGCATCACCAAGCTCACAACGTCATTTGGCAAAGCACCAACGACTGCAGCCCCTCCAGCAGTTGGGTCCATTTGAGGACATGATGGACCGTATGTCAGGGCCTGGAAACCGTTCAAGCTTCCATTGTAAGCCTGGGGTGGTCTGAATCTCAAATCGCCGACAGGTGGAGCCGCAAAGGGAATACCCAAGTAGGATTCAAGGTTGTTAAGAGTTTCGTAGTTACCGGTGATGGTGTCTCCGTCTGGTAACTGGATCTGAGGACCCAACAGCAAACCGTTGATGGATGACGCTAATGTCAAAAATTGAAGGGCTAATCCCAAGTTGGCAAAAGCTGATTTCATTTCGAGATGTTTTCTATAAGTTTTTTTCTTTTTTTAATACCTTTCTATCTCTTAAAATCACTTTGAAGGGGGTAGGAGTAGGTTTTATACCCTTTTTGAAGCTTTGATGGTATCAGCATTTAACGGGTTTAACGCAAGCATGTTCTGTGGTAGGATGGATGTTAGTCTACGGCGGGTAAGCAATTTCCGCCGATCAATATAACACTTAGTGCAGTTTCGTTCATCAATGTTCTTCAAACCCTGATCCATGTATGCATGTGGACCTTATCTCTGTAGACTAAAAATGCTCGTAAAGTTAATGAAACAGGTAATTACAATAGCGTTCGCAGAAAAGCTAGTGAAATGGATAATGACAATACCCTTACAGCTGATGAAACGGGTAACGACAACACTCTTGCAGCTGATGAAACGGGTAATGACAACATTCGTAAGGCTAAAACAGGTAGCGACATCGTGAATTGACCCCTCTATTAACCTTGTAAAATAACGCACCAGGCTCAGCCTGGTTATTGACAAGGGGCCTCCTTGCAAAGATGGAGATCTCAATTCTTTAAAGCATATATAAGCATTCATTTTGAGTGCAGTGGTCATCCACGTATACCCTGGAATCGGTCTAAAATTATTGCGCTATATTGAGAAACATAAATATTGCAGGAAGCGCTTCGGAGCTCTCACGGCGCACGGAAAATGACCTCGGGGCTGTACACTTTTCACGCACGCGTTGTTCAGATCGACCAAGAAACCTTGTACCCTAGGCATCGTGTTCTAACATTACAAGCATTATATTTACAGTATTGTTTAGCCTGAATTTCCATTAGCTCTGGCATAATGTTTGGCACCTATAAGGAACTGGAGGGGCAAGATATGGTTATTTAATGGTGTACATAAGGCTTGAGCTGCGCCAACCAACCAACGTGATAAATGCGGAGTCACATACAAGCGCAGCTTAGTGCGTTGACCTGCCCATGCACCGGCAGGCTAAGCTGCAAAAGCAATCTTCGCCCGCTACGCTGAAGCTTTTTTCAAAGAGTCAAGTTACAAGGTTCTCCATGCATGGAAGACCAATACTCATATACTTTCAATAAGCAGGGGTAGATCTGGCTTAGATTATTGTCCGGTAGCTCCCATCATAAATTGCTTAAACTTGATTTAGAGCAGCAATATGCTCAGAGAATTTTGAACGTATAAGTATCATGGCAGATAGGAGTCCACTTTCCAGGCCTCCGTCGCTTGTGGTCGTTTAGGGTATTGCTACATCGTTTAGAATGGGGCGCTTTCTGCCCCCAATATATAACCGTGTAACACTGGGATTTGCGAGTTAGAACTCATAACTATAGCAACGTGCCCAAACTGGTTATTGTTGTAAAATAAACATGATTTCGCCTATTAGATAGCTTCAGAGCCTATCACATGCCGTTTTAAGTATGCGATGTGACGAAATGTATGATCTATAGCTAGGGCCCAATAAGGTGCTTCTGCTGGAATTTGCGGGGTTTGCAAGCATGCAGACGGTAAATTCCATTACGTAGCTATTCCAGCTGCACCTTATCTAGGCTGCATCATTATGTGTGCAGGAGCTATCTTGTATCAGCGCATCAAGTGTGACTCTAAGTTACGTACGGATGCTTGAATTAAAAGAAGGTGCGTTGGGCAAGGGTCGGGCTTATCTATAAAAATCAATAAAGCCTTTCCTTTTTGATTCGACCAAGCATCAATGCCTGCTAATTCGTAGCTCAGCCAATTCCACCCTCAATACTTTTTCCTGGAGGTTACTAGAGAATATCTATCAAGGCCAAACCCGAGAAAGTATTGATGGTTGAGATAGCCATAAGTAGGATATATTTTTAGGGTGGCCTGGAAGGCCCGCGGATCTGCACCACCAAGCCGAAACTGATATATCAAAGATATACGTCCCAGCCTTTTTCGTATAATTCAATGTGGCTTTTCTTGCTTTGATACGGAAATATGTATTAAGGTTTAGATGTTTAAAAGGCTATACCGTCAATCACGGCTATGTGCATTGATAACACGCAATATGACTTGGATCTATAGTGAGCACGTGGGATGACTCGGTTCTGAAGTTAGTGGTGACTTCAGAGTTGCGCCGTGTACAGTGATAAACGGAAATTGACAACTATGTTTACATGTATTCTTTCCAGAAGCTAACATAACGAAGGCTGTTTGTCTATTGGATATGGTTTATAAGACTAATATTTGTCATGTGCAAATTGTTACGGTGAAGAATCAAGCTCTGTAGGCATGCTTTAGTTAAGAGGTTAATACGTATATTTTGCACGGCTTGTTATATACTTGCATATTCTAGGCCAACATACTCTGAAAGTTGTTGTTGGTGTAGTTCATGGCCTCTTTTCTGTAGTTGTCTTTCCCGGTATACTCATCCACAGTCCTAATACACAACATGTTGTTGGCCAAAGTATTTTTCGTCTGGTATTTTGGCCACTTGGTTCTGGTAAACATACCACTGTTTGGGTTCAAGTCGTGAGCAAAAGAAATAAAGGCGTTTTGGTAAATCAATGAGCTGGTGCCAAGCACAAAGTATTGCCAGATAATGTCGTTACCGTGGAAAGTACCAATGATTGGAAGGCCCTTCAATTGCTTGGACAAGAACGTGTATCTGGCTACATCGGGGGTGCGATCTAACATGAACCTTCTTGGGGCCTGAAATACGAGATCCCCCATAACAGAAGCAAGTCTCTTGTATTGGGGCGACAAGGCGTTAAAATGGCCTGTACCATACGGCGAACCTTGAGTGACGTCTTGTTGGTAAAATTTCTGAAGCTGGGACATCTGCTCTTCGGTGATGTCTGGGAAAATATTCCAAAGGTAAGTCCTTACCTGATCATCGGTGGTGATGTTCAAGCCGCTAAGAGCGAATACGGAGCCCTCGTCCTCTTGGTTACCAACAATGTAGGGAACTCTCGCGTATTTCCCGTCCTGGACCATCTGCATTTGCTGGTAGGGGATAAAGTTGCCATCAGGCCTTGGCATGTAAGACAACTGCAACGATTTGTAGCTCCAAAGACCCGGAACAGAACTGCTCGCAGCTTGCATCTTATCATATGGAAGGCTTCTCAAACACGCCAACTTGTCGAAGGCGGCACCACAGCCGCCAGCATTTGCAACGGCGTCGAAGATTTGTTGCGGATAGGCGGAATCGATATCTTTCGTCGGAAGAAGGGTACCAGACTGCATTATAGCTGCCCTAAATAAAGGTCTACCCTTGTAGGTATGGTCACCGTTCTTAGCGATCATTTGATGGGCTACGGAGATTGACCCAGCTGATTCGCCAAAGATCGTAACCTTGTCTGGGTCACCACCAAACGAAGCAATGTTGTCAGCCACCCATTCCAAGGCAAGTCTCTGGTCCATTAACCCAACATTACCGCTCCCTTCAGCCTTGATCTCCTTTCCTCCCAAGAATCCAAAGGCGGCGAGTCTGTAGTTGACAGAAACGTAAATAATGTTCTGGCCCTGGAGGGCACCTTGCGTCATGAATTGTTGTGGCAAGTACGTTGTGGAAGCACCCCCCATAAAGCCCCCACCAAAAATCCAAAACATAACTGGTAGCTTAGCACTCGAAGAGAGCCCCTGTTTTCTGAAAATATTGAGGGACAAACAGTCTTCCGCCTGTTCCAGACCTAGAATCGCTTGGAAAAGAGGGCATTGTTGAACTAAGTCAAAAGCAGCGGCGGGAATGTTCTGTTTGTCGGGCACTGAGCCGAGCTGAGGACATGTTTTACCAAACTTGGTGGCTTTAAACCCATCCAAACTTTTATTGTAAGCCTGGGGTGGCCTGAATCTCAAATCACCGACAGGTGGAGCGGCAAAGGGAATACCTAAGTATGATTCAAAGGCGCTAAGGAAGTCACCTCTACCCGTGATAACATCATTGTTTGGTAACTTGACCTGGGGTCCCTCAAAGAAGGCGTTGACAACAGATGAAAGGATGAGGAGCTGGAGAACAGCTATCAAGCTAAGAGAAATCATCTGTAATTATTGTGTAATAAGTGTAGGCTACATGAGTAAAAGGGTATGGGAAACTTGTATTTATATACCATATTTCAAGGAGTTGAATTTATACTCTTGGGTTTATTAGTTCTCAGTCACGTAAGTCCAAACACCCTGGATATTCTTCTTGGCATGCAGCAAGGATTCGGGAGCCATCGTATAAGAGCTCTATCTAGTACATGGTTGACCTCCCATCGCTGGCTTCTCCCTCCAGAGCCTGTTGCCCTGACTCGAGTATCCTAAATCTATAATCGGCCACATTTCCTTTACTGAGCTTTGCTATCAGTCTCTGGAATCCGGGGTAAGCAGGACATGATTAGGGATTTGTCTTATTGGTATAATAATACTCGGAATGAGAACGCCGTTGTTGGATAGAGTCCCGAGCCGGGAACCCTCCCCGCATTTATTTTCATTGGAATACCGTTTTCGGATAGGGGCCCACTATAACACAAGCCCTATATACATTTGAACAGGGTTTAACGGTTTACTCCTGCATAACCCATTGGGCAAAAAAGGAGTCAACAACATTCATAGAAAGTGCTTCTGCCGAATATTATGGATCTGAAGACACTGCATCAAATGAGGACACCTACCCCACAAAGTTTTTGGCTAGCGAAATACCACCGTGTCGGTTTTAATCTGTGACCGGAACTCCTATTTTTATCCCTGCTAGACAACTTTCTTACCCCCAATCAAACTATGAGGTAAAGTACACTTCTGGTTCTGAAACCCTTGCCCGTCAAATCTCTACAACGCGCAAACTCTGGATTTACACATATGCCACCGACTTTTTTCTGTCGGTAATGGCATCTCATGTTACTGACGACTAATTGAGGGGTCTAATACAAATAAAGGAGGTAAGCTATTGTACACCGGGAGCCATCTACGGTATTCTGACGGGAATCTTGGTCAAAAAGGCAAGGAGATGAAAGTGGGTAAGATGCATCGTCTATTGATCTAAAGATGTATCGACTAGACGAGATAGTAAACGGGTTCTAGATGCATAGACTATACGAGATAGCAAACGGGTGTTAGGTGCATGATATATACGAGAAGGTAAATGAGTATTAGGAGCGCATTAGAGGCACACTTCAACAGTCTCTTGTGATTGGGGGAGCTTTCAGAAAGAATAAAAATGACAGAGGTTTTAGTGCAACCTATATTCACTGGCGGGGCTCAATCCAGATCTCTTTGCTACGAGAAATCAATAATGGCAAACTACCGATATCCCTAACAGATCCGCAAAGTCGTCTTGCGCATTACTTGAAGTCGGGTTTACCGGATTCCTCATCCTTATACTGTAATAGATCAAAGGTAAAAAGGGTAAAATAATGATAGTTAAGCGGTTGAGACGCTTGCTTCTTGCGAGGTCTGATCTTGAGCTAGACCCCTCGACCAAACGACCATTACATAACCTTTGTCAAAGTTAGAGAGCTGTTTCAAAAACTATATGGGGCACTAGATAAGGCTACTAGGATTGTTTGATAGTTATCTGAAACTATCCCCTAGTACGAGTGGGACAGAGAAGGAAGCGAAAGAGACTATAAGTGTTTTAGGATATGACTAATTATCTCTAACTTCGATGGAAGATCGTGATTATCCTTAAGGGTTAGTCTGACAGTACCTTATATCCGAGGATTCTTCAGGATAGTCTGTCCTAAGACATAGAACGGTTTCCTTGTTCGTTAAGAATACCTCCTTAAGGAACACATTCCCTGACAGAGTGGTTCGAGATTAGGCAGCCTATAGTGTTGATACTACACGTAATTCTTTATCGATACCTATGTATTAAATATGATTTTCGGCTCAGCCCGGAAGGTGTCGCTCACGGTTCAAGGTGCTGATAATACTCAGGGTAACCTTGATCGGCTGTGCTGTGGAATTATCCGAGTACAATGCCTCGCTCAGCGGCGGAGTAACCTTAACATTCGGCGCTTTGAGCTTGTTTTTGGCTTTGTTCTTGGGAGGCGACCCTTTAGGGGAAGTTCTTAATGAACGAGGAGCTTCTGTGCTACCATAGCCGGCAGTAGCATTGCCCAAAAATGGCAGAGTCTCGCTGTTTTCTACATCCGCTTCGATGTCCGGTTCGGGGGAGGAGGGCAGAGACGCAACGGATCCCTGTTTCCGCATTCCCACAAACACCACCATAAAGATACTGAACATGCAAACAATACCAAACGCCCCCAATATGATTCCGAGGCCAATAGCTGTCCACGGTAAGTGTAAAATAACCTTGATGGGGTGTTGCAGCAACCAGGAGGGCAAAAGCGGACGGTCAATGATGTACAAGCACTGGTTAGTCTTGGAATTAAAGCGAGAAGAAGGATTGGTACACCCAGTGTTCAAGATTCTCACCTCGTGAGAAACATCACCTTCAGAAATGTGTAACATAAAGTGCTTGGATGATACTTCGCGGCAGCCTAGGAAGGTGTTATTGAGGAGAGTTGGGATCTTAAACTCTTCAGAGGTGATATTGTGGTGACGCTGCAATGCCTGGGTCTGGCCGCACTGAAGCAAAAGATCAATCGCTCCTGGAGGCAAGAGATGCAATTTTAGCAACTTTTCGATATCGGGGTAGCTTCCATTCACGCTGTTGAACTTTAGCGACTTAGTGGTGGGCAAGAGCATCGAGTAGTTGTATTCCGGTGTCAAGTAATGGGCTAGTCCATAGGCACGGAGGAGATCGAGGAAGTAGCCGTCATCATTGGTGTTGTGGTTGATCAAGTCCTTGATATCGATGGTGAGAGAATCTGGAATGATGATCTCCTCAATCAAGTGGATTACGCCCTGCAGATACATGATATCCGTGGTGCCTCGGTCCATCCTCACCAAGGTATCGTTCAACAACAAATCACTGCCAGCGCTTTTAACCACCATCGACTCCCCTCCCAACGTGCTTACCTGTACGTCGGTCTCCTCGTCATACACCAAGCTCTCAAGGATCATATTCTCGAGAACGAGGCGCAACGCCGTCTTGTTGCTCTCCAAGTACTTGTAGGTCAAGTCAAGACTCTTCCAGGACTGGTAGCAAGGAAGGAAGATAGTGTACCCCTTGTGGTTCTTTGGGAGATGCAACAACCTGAGCTCTTCAAAGTACGAGAGCGAGCGCGAGCAGTGGAAGTAGGGAGCCACAGCGGTCACAATGTCGGTTGGCGGAGGGGTTATCTCTTCGTCTGTGAGGTAGATGTTTGTCTTTCCAATGGTGTACTTGTCGCTGGTGACAAAGAAGCGGTTGTTAATGACCCAGTCTCGTTTGTGGCCCTTTCCCACCTGGGAAATCTTCATCTTGGCGCAGTTTCCCGGTCCCAATTTCAGCGGCTCGTAGAGCTTGGTATCAAGCAACTTGGTTGAATCGTCGTCGGCAAAGAGCTCGTCAAAGTCGACCTGGCCCTGGACAAACTGGTACAAATCGCTCTTGGTGCCTTGCACCGAAATTTCATCCTCTTCCTCGTCAACAGCCACGATTATGGTCTGTTCCAAGGAAAGGTCATCGATGAGGTGGCTCAACCGGCGGTAAATGATATCCTCGACAAAGTTGGAACAGTTCATGCCGATGAGAATCTTCTTGGGGGTGAACCCCACGAGCGCCCGGAGATCCAAGTACTCGCCAGGCTGCGAGGCGTTGGTTTTGCCTAGAAGATGGACAATGGCATCGTCGGTGACTATGTTGGCAAACTTGGTATCCACTGCATTGACGGACAAGCGGTTTCCGTTCTCGAAGGAACGCAACGCCACCATGTCGCCGTTGAGGTTGGCGGTCTCAAAGGGGTCCAAGTTCCCGCCTACATACCCCGGAAGAATGAAATTCTGCACCACTAAGCTGCGGTCACGGGCGATGTGGCTGTGCAAATCCTCGTCGGCAACGTTGCTTTTCAGCAAGACGCTCGACTGCTTGCTCTTCCCACCCCTGTGGTCCAGGAGCAAGTAGGAAAGCTCGACCAGGGTGAGGTTGACGGAGGAGTCATGCGGCACAAATACTGTGACGTTTGTGAGATTGCAGTGACCATCAGAGTAGCTCGCAAACAATCGCTTGAACACTTCGGAATGGGTGTAGTTGTACTCGGAGGTGACAAGCTCGCAAAGACGGGCAGGCACGTGAAGCAAGGCGTTAATACCTTGAACGACATTGTCGGAGGTGTTGGCCAAGAGGTCTGGTTCCACCACCGCCACGCCGTTGATCAACATTCTCTCCTCGTCGCTATAGTCGATAATGGCGGGGGTGCGGAGGCTGGGGTTGGTAGCGGAGACGTGTTTGGTGGTGTAGAGGATGGCTCCCTCCCAGGGGGCGTCCTCGAGGGTTATCCTGTCATCTACGATGTACCGGGTCAAGTTCTGCAACGTGAAGGGTTCTGGAGTGTTGATGAACGCCGAGTTCACGGGCGCAAAGAGGGTCACGTTGGAGAGCGAATTGAGATAGAGTACCAAGCCGTTTCGCTGCACGAGGCGGAGGAAGGTCGAGAACTGAGCGTGGCGTGATAACACATCGATGAGCGTGGTAGTGGGGAGGTCGATGACCAAGTCGGAGGTGGAGACCTCACTGAGCACGGTTGTGAGTAGTAGCAACGGGAGAAACGGTATGGGGAATCTCATGTTGGGTAGAAAGTGTTAGAGGTGGGTACGGGTTATGATTCTATCTAGATGAGCAGGAACGCGAGAATTTTAAAACGCCTAAGATGGGCAGATAGGGTATCTTGGAGAATATCGTCCAATATGAATACCGTAAGGCAAGGTAAGCTCCAATGGTATGACTGACGGAATCTTTAACCTTTAAATAAGTCTAGGGGCCTGCCACAAGCTTCAATAAAAAGGTTTGCCGGTGATGCGAGCAAAACCAGCCGAATGGTTCTCAGCAGAGGTTGGTCAGTGGTAATAGGCCGACTGTTTGCTTGGATGCTATAGGCGTTGGAAGTGTGACAAAATCAGAAGACTTTCAGCTTCCTTCAGAGTTGTTTTCTGAAATAGTTCTAGGTAGATAAGCAAAGGTGGTAAAGTTAGCAAAGTGGTTCAGCAAAGCATTCTTTTTGGTAGACGCCAAGCGCCCTTTACTTTTGTCTCGCCCTTAACATTCGCGACTCACGTGTGCGGCTCCTTAATTCGTGGCTTATCAGGAAAGAAGCTAGTCGAGGCCCCCCTGGGTTGAAAATAAGGGCGCTCTCATCTTCTTGTATTTTCGGTACTATCATCTTTTTTTATTTCCAATATTTTCACTTCGATATCTTCAGCCACCTCTCAAAACCAGACATCTCGGTCGATTGATCTTAGCCTTGGGAGATAAGCGACAAAAATAGTTATGACGTACGCGAAAAAAGATATCGACACAGACAAGATTCGAACTTGCGCAGGTAAAACCCAACGCCTAAACTGATATTTCACAATAGCAGGGCGTCGCCTTAACCACTCGGCCACAGTGCCTGATTTCTAAAAGTGAATAAAACTGCACCCTCCTGTGGTCAAAGAAGGAACCAAAAATGTGTAAAATTAATAAGCTATCCCAAAACCTTTGGGCAATATAAACACGATATGATTAACGTTATACTCTGAGTTTTATTATATCATTTTTAATTTTACACGGGAATTATATAAGTGTACATTTTAAATTGTAAATAAGCTAGTATAATGTAAAGTTCACCTGCAAATTCTCTATACGCGCAACCATTCGACCAGTATGATTATATAATTATATATTTACTTCAGAACAACAAACACGCCTCCAGTTCATCTAAGCTACTAGTAGCCTATCCAAATATAAATCTATATCACCCCCCATACTTGCTCAATTACGATACAGGACACACCTATACTTACTCCAGACTGTCTGAATTAGCGATCACGTGACAATAAACCCCTGTCCAGACGGGTAACCCTACCCTCACCCTGTCCTTATTCCTATCTCAAACAACAATGCTTAAACCTGCAAAGGATACTCCACCGGTTTCCCCTGAGAGTCATCCCGATAATCGTCAATGGAAACTATCACGCGGTGTCAAATTTCCATGGACCTCTAATTAATCTCTGTAGGCGACCCCTGGTGTCGGGATAGGTAGTAATTAACACGGAAATGGCACGGTATAGCTGACAGTTTAGTGGTTTAGCACAGATCACCACCGTTCCTCCACGATAAGTCATATTGCCGTGTTATATTATAAACTCATAAGTGCATATGCTACTTAGCATGGACAAATCGTAACAACTCCGAAGTATAACCTACCCTTGTTGTGGTTACGGTTCCTGCTGTACGTGCAGGAGATTCCTGGTGAGAAAAAGAAAAAAGCCCGCTGGCAAGAAGGGCCAGACAATAAAGGTACCCCAGGTAATCATTCGTCAATAACCAGGAGCCTAGTCATTTCACAAACTATTGATTCTGAACTCTCCGATACCTTATCGTTTTAGTACTCCCAACAAGGCTAATCTTGCTTAACTCGACCCCTGAAATTTCACCAGAATCTGTTTGTACCAGACATCCAAGTGGCACCTAGCAGCCAGTTTGCGTTCTTGATCAACTTCTCCTGGAAAACTAGACCCTTCAAGCCTCTAGCCTGAAAAATCCACCCTTGAATCATCAGGTTCATCTTGCCTCGACAGATTCATCTCGCCTCGACCTCCCTCCACAAGGACATCCACATTCGGCCCGACCCGTCTTAACCTATCCTCTACCCGTTCGTGTTCAATGTCCCAACCAATCACCACCCGCTCGATCTCCTTCGCGCTGACCCCTTCGTCCCTTCAGATGAACCAAAAAGCGTCCGCATCCGCCTCGCTCTACTACATCTGCCTCACGCTTAAATCGCGCCTCGCGCGGCTCCACGATATGGCGCCGTACCTCGCGCTCGCGGCGAGTAACGCGGCAGCCGCGCACGAACAGCAGCAGTGCGCACTCGCGCCCCAATTTGCGCGTATCGACGCGCTCGAGTGCGCGTCGCCCGGACTGCGCGCATCCTCCGTCTCCTCTCTGGGCTTGCCCGACGAAGCCCTCCACACATTCATGGCCGGGCTCCTTCCCGCGGGCGCGCACGACCCGGTGACCCAGCTCTGGAAGCTCTGCCAGCAGGGATCCCCCCTCTGTCTCCTATTCAACGTTATCAAACCGTCCCAGGCGCTCCCCGTGGTGGCGTCCGACGACCTCCGGATTTGCAAAAAGTCGGTGTATGACTTCCTCATCGCGTGTAAGGTCCACTTGAACTTTCAGGACGAGGAGCTTTTCACCATTTCCGACGTTTTTGCCAACCAGAGCGAGGGCTTTCTCAAGGTTGTGGGGGTGCTAAACGCGGTGTGCGACCTTTCGCCGCAGTTCGCGCTTGCGGCTGCAGATGTTCCGCGGCCGCCCGCGGCGCCATCCTCGGCCCGTGGCAAGGTGCTCCTTGAGCTCATCGACACCGAGCGCAAATACGTCCAGGACCTCACGGTGCTCCACGCGTACAAGACAAGGCTTTCGCAATCGGCCGCGGTCCCGCCTGACCTCATCCACACGCTTTTCCCAAACCTCCTGGCGCTCTTGGACTTCCAGCGACGCCTCCTCGTGTCTCTTGAGATCAACTATGTCGCGAGCATCGAGTCGCAGACGGTAGGAAGCGTGTTCGTGCACGCGCGCAGCTACTTCCGCGGCTACGAGTCGTGGTGCGTCGGGTCGAAGGCGAGCCAGGAGCTCATTGAGAAAGAGCGCGCCAAGCTCGACGTAGGGGTCTTGGACGTGGGGGTTGAGCTCCCGGCGTACCTTATAAAGCCGGTCCAGAGATTGTGCAAGTATCCGTTGTTGCTTCGGGAGTTGGAGAAAGCCACGCAGCCACTCGCGGAGGAGATGGCTAAGGACGAATCCAAGCCGGACAACGGCACGCGTGACCTTCTGCGTGTCATGGATGACCTCGCAGCGGGCCTCACGGCCACGCGGCTGACCGCGAACTTGGTCAACGAGCAAACGCGGAAGCAGGAGAACCTAGTGCTCTTCCGGCAGCTCGTGGCGCGCGTCGCGAACTGGCGTGGCTACGACCTTGCGAGCTTTGGTGAGTTGTCGGCCGGGCTTGCGCTCGAGGTTAAGGACAATGACTGCGTGCGTAGTTTCTGGTGCTATCTCTTTGACGAGATTGTGCTCTTCTTCAAGGACGTGGGCACGCCCGCGCAGCTCAAGAAGAAGAAAAAGTCCTCAGCATCGTTTGCGAGCTTGATCTCGGGCACGAGCGCGAATACGAGTGCGGTAGCACTCGACTCGCAACCCGCGAATACTCCCCTCGAGCTCAAGGGCCGCATTTACACCCTGAACATCTACAAGATCCAGGCGTCGCCGCCGGCCGCACAGCTCTGGGGTGGCCCCACTCCCAACCCTGCGCACTTCCTCCTTGTCGGCTGGACAGGCGGTATCGATGCGGGCGTGTTCGTGTTGCGTTTTCCGAACGAGGAGGTGCGCGCACAGTTCGAGACGATGTTACGCCGCGTTGTTGCGCGCCAACAGAGCCTCCGCGAACGAGAGGCGGAGGGGAGAGATGGGAGGTATTCTGTGGGATCCGGCGGGTTTATTGACGATGAGAGCCGCCGGTCGTCGAATTCCTCCGGGTTTGGGCTACGGTCCGCGAGCATGAGCTCGAATAGTAGCTACTCGAACGGGTATGCGAGCGTGGGTTACGCGAGTGCGCCGCGCCAGCACTCCGAGCACTACAGCCCCGCCGCGCCCATCGTTGACCAACGCCTGCGCTCTCTCTCCCAACCACTCTACCGCCCTCCTAGCACTGGAATCACCCCCTCAATGCAGCATCTTTCTCTCAGCTCGTCCCCCTCCCCCACCAACTCCACATCCACCATCTCCAACATCAACGTCCAGCTCACCTACTGTGACGAGCCGATGTTCTTGCTGGTGTCGCCTGGGACGTCGTGGCGTGACTGGTGTGACGCCGCATACGCGAAGTTGCAACCTGCGTTGCGTGCAGATGCGCGCACATCGGGCGACGCGTTTGCGTACAAGTACAAGGACGAGGATGGCGACTGGGTCGTCTTGGGTGCGCGTGACTGGGAGGATGTCATTGAGTGGTGTGTAGAGAATAATGATGGGGATGGGTTGTGTGTCGCGGTGTCGTAGACGTCCGCCAGCCTCTATATTCGAATATGCCAGCCATTTCTCTTTGTGCGTGCTTTTTCGCGGTGACGGGAGAGGGCTGTGATTGAGTTTAGTGGAGTTCTGCCAACTGGTGCAGTGTTTTCAGCTTACCAAATATGCGTATTTAGTACAAGACACTACCATTTTGAAGGATTATACGATACTTTGTACTCGATGTAACGTTTTGTAAGAGGGGTTATATATCGGCGATGATTTGTACGAAATTGTGTTTAGATTAGTGCGCGACTAAAGGAGGGCAGAGCAAGCCCGTATCTGTGGTTGAGGTTGGAAAGCGTCTGCTCTAACAGCGCTTACAAATCCATCCATGTTAGCCGAATGGCCTTTTTTTTTGCTCTATAACTAAACATATATTTTCATCTTCCAAACTTCTCTTAACTCGGGTTCTCGTTTGTTGGCTTTATACACCTGTGATCCTGTCCCCCTGGACATAGATCACCGTCTCTCCCTAAATCAACTGTCTCTTTTCAATTTATATTATGGGCGTGTGGCGTAGTTGGTAGCGCGTTCGCTTAGCATGTGAAAGGTCTCGGGTTCGACTCCTGACTCGTCCATTTTTTTTTACCTCTCTGGGGGACACAATACAATTTTTACGTGACCAATTTGACATCAATGCGTGGTTCGGGTGGTTCTGCCATTGTTTGACCTTCCGGGGCGAGAGAAATTGTATCAAAAATGCGTTAATCTAGATTTCAAACTTCAATATCTGGCTAGGAACATACATACAGATGAAAAAAAGAGGTTCTAAAAGCCGTAGGTGTTGAGGGATCCAGCTCTTCAATATTTCAACTGTTAAGTTGTGGGGAAGCTAAGTGGGAGAGAGGGTTGTGTTTTCAAGTTACGCCTCCGGGAATAAAGAGGCTAAACCGTTGACTCAAGGTAAAAAGAGTAGACCCTGGTGGAATCAAACTGCTAGTCCCCGTGGTATTAGCACAATACCGTAACCAACTGGGCCAAAGGACGAATTTATAGGTTTGAATTTCATAAGGAAATTAACTTTTACCAGGGGTACCCCAAGGTAGCCTTCCGTGTATGATTTAAACGGTTTGGGCTGGAACCCTCTCCGGCCCATCACGATGTGTAGATTTTTGTGGAACCCAGGCTCAGGTGGTCAAGGAGCCTTCTCATCGGCGCGTGAATTCTCTTTGAAACAGCAGGAAGGTGATTTTTCGCGAGCATTAGCGGTTGGGGATATGCGTAAGCTAGCCTTAAATAAGGCGGCAGGATGTGTCGGAGAGGTTACCAAGAGAGCTACTCAAGCTAAGAGCCACACGCTTGTCAAACACGATTAATAAGCGGTTTGGTCACGATATTTCTGTTGTTTGAAAGAATATTGCTGGTTGACAGTTAATAATGGCATATATAAAGCAGGTATTTTTGCCTACAACCTTCCAAGCTCCTATATGTAAACTCCCCGTATCTGACGAAAATAACTGCGATCGCTGAAGCCACGAAAAACTTTCAGCCCCTCTGGCCGCGCTCGTCTCTGCCCTACGCCGCATTTTTTTTTTCGCTGCGTTCTCCTAAACGGGAGTCGTGTCGCGTTTTTTCCTGGCTGAAATATTCTACCCTCGCGTTTATCATCCGTATTTTCTGGCTCGCGCCTGCATTGTCTCCAGGCCGTAACGTCCGCAAGCGCCAATGTTTTTCCCTCGCTCGACGGCCCTACGCACGCTAAATATAGCCAATGGGGGTATAAACTTACGACGCCAATAGTACGTGGAAAAGACTCCATAGTTTCCCCAACCATCTCTCATGTGGACAATAGATGATGACAAGCAATTGCACCATTCTTTGATAAGACACGCACCCTACTGTTGGGCAAACCATTCCGGGAGATTTCGTGACCAGATGCTCTTGGTGGCCCAGGACTTTCAGGCGTTCAACCCTGGTGCCGGATGGAACAGCAAACAAATCAGGGTGCGGATTAGCTATTTGTCAAAAAAATGTGACAGAAAAAGACAAACCGTCAGACATAAGTTGTGGGATCGAATTCTCTCTACGCTTGCAGATCAAAAGGAGGTACAAGGGGAAGCACGACTCAGGAAACCCAAGACCAAGGTCTCCAGGGGCGAGGAAAGAAAGAAAGAAGTTCATGGGAAAAAATTCGTGGAAGCTTTAGAGAACATTTTTGAGGGAACTTATGAGGAGACTTTTGAGGAGACTTTTGAGAAGGTAGATTCTGGAGAAAAGGAAATTTACGAAAGTACAAATGGGACCACTTTAGGTGATGGAACAAAAGAAAGAGGAGAAAGGGGAGAAAGTGAAATCAGTGACAAGAGTGACGATGATATAAGCAATGACAAAGAATTCAAAAAAGGTAAAGATAAATACCAGCTCCTTTTCGAAAGTGATTTCAGTACCAAAAGCAGTCCCATAACTATCAAGTCTTCCCACATTCCTCCTAAGGAACAGATCTCCCCTTATGCTGTATTCGAAACTAGAGACTACACCCCTCGACAGGAAGAAAGCTTGGAACTTGGTAATGTACATAAATACCAAGAAATAGCTGCTGCACCAAATTCAGTTTCCGAGGTTTCCAATTCAATCCCCAAAGCAAAACAAACCGAGGGCTTCGATACTCCCCCGACAAAGAAAACTCATCTTTGTCCCATGCTTTTTAGTGACCCAATTTCCGAATTACTCAAACGAATGGAAGTAATACGTGCTCAACAAGCAGATCTGCAAGAGAAAATGAAGGAAGCACTACGAAGGCATAATGTGTTGTTACACCAGAGCTCTGAAAGGCAACTGGTCTTTATTGCGTCTTTGAATTTACACCACACATTATAAATAGCCTAGTGGATGCCGTTTCCATCTTAATTGGCCATACATTGGAAATTTAAGCACGACTCTCAGCTTAGTTTGTAAGCATAAAAATAAGGTCGTGAGACAAGGTTGTAAATCAGAATCTTTTGGTAGAACCATCCAAAGTGAGCCCTTCAACCGTATAAATCCGTAACGGGTGGGAAAGCGTTGACTGTGGTACATCTATAGATAGCACAAATACAGGGTTAAAGCTCCACTCTTAACCCATCGACCCTAAGACAAAACTTTGATCGCTACTTCAAAAAAGTCCTTATATTCCTCTGTTTTTCAAAGCCTTAAATTAGAGATATCAAATTTTCTCACGTGTTAGAACTTTGCGATGACGTCGATATTATTTTTTTATCGATTTGCCATACTCGAAGATACCCCAACCATTAAACCTCAGGAGGCTCCTTAAATGCTTAGTAAAAGGTTTATTAAAGAAAAGTACTCGAATTTTAAATCTTCAACTCGATATGACAACTCAACCTTTTGTTTTAATGCTCAACGAATGGGTGGCTCGATATATTTCAGACTTGCATGTTGTTGGTTTTAGTGCGCGGTGCGGCAGGTCCGTCATGCGAACTTTTCAGCCTACGCTACAAGGCAGTAAATCCTAATCACCACTGCACATTGAGGGCTTCCCACAAATACAGAGAGGGTAGTAATGGTCTACTTTTGCACCGCTGATGACGACTACAGGCTCTATATGGCGGTAGATCAGCACAGGCCGTTTGCCTGGGCCCATTTGTCAAAGAACTACAAGGAAGGTATACGGTTGATCGCCAGAGACCTCAAAGCCTTCAGACCCATTGCGGGGTGGGTACCCCAAAAGGTGAGAAGCCGTATTGACTACATCTTGAAACACCACAACGAGTCGGGAGTGCATTCAGATGCCGATCGTAGGGCCAGGACAGCGGTATGGGAAAAGCTTGTCCTCACTATCCACATCCAAGAAACGGCCTTCAGGGAGATGGAGCGCAATATGGCTAAAAGATCTTCTAGTCCTGATGAAATAATGGTTAAAAATGAGTCTGCAGAAGACATGGAAGTGCTTTGTCCTCAGGATGCTGCTGAGGACGAAGTGGCTGGTAGCCAAACGTCTAACTTGACAGATAACCAAGCGTCTGATTTGACGGACGAGGAGCCCCCGTACGTAGATGCTACCTCCGATCAGCCTGGGGTCCCTCAAGTGAGTGAAGGAAACCAGGAAAACCCTACAAAGTTGAGGCCAGAGTCCGGTGGAATCCTGGAAGCCAAGAACGACAAAGCCATCAGTCGGGAAACAATGGCACTGCACGACGATTTACCTCAAGCAGAAATCAGAAGTGATAAGGAGTCTAGCATGGAGGAATCTCTCCTAAAGCCGTTATCGGTAGCCGCTATGGGGGATTATAACCTTCTTCTGGAAAACGTCACAGGTGATATCTTACCCATCAGTGAAGGCGGCGAGCGGGATTTGGCGGTCGGCAAGAGTAGCATCCCGAACAAGGTTACCAGTATGGATGCTCCAAATATGGCAACCAGCAGAGGTAGAGAGCCTCCTAAGGAATCTAACGGTAGTGATGAAGCAGATGTGTCTCTGAAAAAAAGAGGAAACGGGGAATATACCTCGAGAAACAATGATGAGCCATATATTCCATCTTCTAGCCTGTTATACCACGAATCGGATACCAGCAAGAACAATGGTCATGTGATCTATGAAACCAGAGGTAGCCCAGAATCCACCCATAACTGCAACCAGAGCGACCGCTTTTTCACCATGATGCAACAGATGATAGACATGAATCAAAGACAGGCAGAGCAACACACGGAAATGACCCGAGCCATCATGCGGCTGAACGAGTCGTCTCAACAGCAAAGCCAAAAGTGTATCGACCAGCTTGTGGTAATTCTTAGTGCGTTCCAAGGTTCCCGTAAGAGAAAGAGACTGCAAAAAGGAAAATAAGATAGATTAGCAGCAGTCAACTGAGAATATTTTTGACATATATAAATGAATGGGCACCTCCCACCGTGCATGCGCACAAAGCTTTCTCTGTATGCCTGAAGCGTGCCTACCTGCATAGCAAAACACGACGTTTGCCACACGCCAAATCAAAGTACCATTTTGCCTAATCAATAGCAACTATAAACAACCTGGGTTTCTTTCTAGTTTAATAAATATCTTTCAAGCAAATCCCATTTAAATCCGCTCTAAACCATTCTACCATGGGCTATGAATGCACGATTGAAGATGACAAGCAGTTGCTTGCATCGATTATTGAGCACACTCCTTACATCTACCCTAGCAATTCCAGCACCTACAGGGAAAAGATGCTGCTTCTTATTCACAGTCTTAATAAGCGTAACCCTCAAGCTGGGTGGTTTTCTGAGAGATTGAGGAAAAGAGTTGACCACATTATTGGTCCCCGCGGCAAGAAGTACATAGAGAGTGGTGCTCTGGATCCCCAAAAAGCAGTCAGAGGTAAAGTATGGGCAAGACTTCTGGAGGAAATCAAAACCCAAAGGAGCATGGTTGATCATAAGACAATCACGAAGGAAAAAATACTGGCTAAAGCTATCCTGGAAGAACTGAATGTTATCCAGGAGCCGATCCAGGTGCTTCGCAGTCCCCCGGAAACCAATGGAGAACCTAAACAGTTTGATTATTTGGGAATTCACAGCTATTCTACTGCCCTAGGGTGCGAGTCGAAACAAATTGGTACACCACGTTTAGAGCTTGGAAGAGAGGTTACCCCAAGCATTGGTCTTCCGAACAAGGAGAGTTCGACGATAAAGTTTGACTTAGGTCACAGCTCCCGGTTTGCCTTCAAAGAGAACCCCTTTCAGTTCTCTGGTGAGTATGAGATCAAGGAGGAGGCAGATCATCATTTTCTCGTGTTGATAGACCAGTTGATGGAGATGAACCAGAGACAAGCATACCAGCACTCGGAGGTTTCTCGTGCACTCATGAAACAAAATGAGCTTTTGCAAGAACAGAACTTGAAATGTTTTGACCAACTCGCAGCTATTTTTCGGGAGGCATCTCAGAGTAAAATCAAAAGGAGAAGGATGGAGTGATGTGGATTCGAATTTTATTAGCCACTATATTGCTGAACGGGTGATAAACCATACGTAAGACACTGTGTATGAAAGCTGCAGAGATGGAATCGCAGTTTCGTAATACCTTGCTACGTTACGCTTCAAGTCAAAGGTTAGTTGCCCATATTTTGTGCTATATGAATAAAAATAGCTTTTAGCATCTGGGGAAAACTTTTCTGTATCTCCACGAGATAAAGTAACGCTGAAATAAATTTCTGAAAAGTTTCTGAAAGTGATCTCCGTCTCACCTATAGTGACGATCTACATCTGATACTGTTGACTACGGTTCTCCAAGAAATCTTCAAGGATATAAACCTACAACTAATCTTTCTCGTTTCCATTTTACCTTGCTTCTGATACGCTATTTTAAATATTCAAAAAACAGTACGTGCTATACACCTTTCTCATACCGTCCCTCAAGATCCTGCACCCTCTCGGTTCGAAGTTCAGCCGGGTGATTCGACGCGCCGCACCCTACGCACAATTACGTGGCGGAAATTCGGTCTCAACACCACCCGAGCTTAAGAACCCCAACTGCACTTCCCCCCGTCTACCTATATATATATATACATCCATCTCTTTGTACCCCGTTTCCCATGGACGCTCTTCCTGACCTCATCGAATTCCCAATTGACTTTGTTGGCCAAAGAAAAGCTAACCGTTTGACCAACCTACTCCTCTTCAGCGGTGCCGCCCTTTCTGTGCTCGTCGGTTTCGTCTCCCAGAGCTTTATCAATACCATCTACGCGTTTGCCGGGGTCTTTGTGTTGACCCTCGTTGCTATTGTTCCAGCCTGGCCGTATTTTAACAAGAATCCGGTTGTCTGGTTGAAGCCCAAGAAGATTGAAATTCTGTTGTAATCTCTTTTTTCCTTTACAAGAGGCTCTTATATTAATCCAAAAAACCCCACCAAAAACAATTAAAAACTAAACGAAAAATGTCCATAGATCAAGATTTATTCCTCGGGTTCGACTTGTCCACCCAACAATTGAAAATCTCTATCACCGATGCTGCTTTAAAACACGTAAAGACCTACCATGTGGAGTTTGACATGGAATACTCCCAGAAATACGGGGTATCCAAGGGTGTCATCGCCAATGACAAAACTGGAGAGATTGTCTCTCCCGTATTGATGTGGGTGGAAGCCTTGCAATACACTCTCGACACTATGGCTAGAGATAACTTTCCATTCCAAAACGTCAAGGGAGTTAGCGGCTCGTGTCAGCAACACGGCTCGGTGTTCTGGTCCCAGACGGGCCAATCTTCATTGCAGGGCTTATCCAGCGATCGATCCTTGCTTTACCAGCTCGAGGAAGCGTTTGCCTGGAAAATGAGCCCGAATTGGCAGGACCACAGCACCGGAGAAGAGGCCCGGGCCTTTGAAACCTGTATCGGGGGAGAGGCCGGGTTGGCAGCTATCACCGGCTCCAAGGCGCACTACCGCTTCACCGGCTTGCAGATCCGCAAGTTGGCAAGAGCGGAGAACGAGTACTATAGAAACACCTCTAGAATCTCGCTCGTGTCCAGTTTCTTGAGCAGCTTGTTGGTAGGCGACATCACCCGGATTGAGGAGAGTGACGCCTGCGGGATGAACTTGTACGACGTGGTGAAACGCGAGTACAACGCGGAATTACTCAGCTTGGCAGCCGGGGTCCACCCGGAAGCGGATTCCGCGGACGGAGCTACCACCAGCGCCGGGGTTGAAGCCTTGAAGCGTAAACTAGGTGCTGTAGAGCCGGTGGGACACCAATCCGTTGGGAACGTCTCGCTGTACTACGTTGAGAAGTATGGCTTTTCGCCCCAGTGCAAGGTTTTTGCCTTCACCGGCGACAACTTGGCCACTATTCTTGCCTTACCCTTGCAAGGAAACGATTTATTGATCTCCTTGGGAACCTCCACCACCGCGCTCTTGGTCACCGAGTCATACAACCCGTCCCCAGTGTATCACTTGTTCATGCACCCAACGATGGACAGGCACTACATGGGGATGATCTGCTACTGCAACGGGTCTTTGGCCAGAGAGAAGGTGAGAGACGCGGTTAATGGGGATAAATCTGGCTCTTGGGACACGTTCAATGCGGTGCTAGACGCCTCCAGCAACTTTGACAAGAAATTGGGGGTCTACTTCCCCTTGGGTGAAATTGCGCCCAACGCGGCTGCCCAGACTATGAGATATACCCTCGACGGAAAGACGCTTGTCCCGGGAGACTCCACTTGGACTTTTGAAGATGATGTGAGATGTATTGTGGAATCTCAGGCTTTAAGCTGTCGACTCAGATCCGGGCTCATGATGGCGAGCTCCCAGTACAGCGCGAAGGAACAAGAGCGCTTGAACAGCACCTACTTGGCCGCTTTTGGCGACCTTTACACTGACGGAAAGAAGCAGGGTTTGAACTCCTTGACCTCTACTCCCCAACGGTGCTTCTTTGTGGGCGGAGCATCCCAGAACCCCTCTATCGTCAAGAAAATGGCCTCCATCATGGGGGCATCCAAAAACTACCGCGTGGATGTCTCCAACGCCTGTGCGATGGGTGGCGCCTACAAAGCTAGCTGGAGTTATCAGCAGGAAGTGGGCGAGAAGGCAGAGCTGTACATGGAGTATCTCAATGCAAACTACGACGAACGTGAGTTGGAAGAGATATCTGTGGATGCAGTAAGCGAGTCGTATATTGAAGGCTTAGGCATGTTGGCCAAAATCGAAGAGCAATTGAAGCGCTAAGATTCTTGAGTATTTGGTTATAAAGGCGAAGGGTTGGCCATATTATCACAAAGTTTATGTAATGTATTTATGGTAAATATGTGATCTGTTTGATATATATTCTGAGTGTAAAATGTACTTTCATTACAGTGTGTAAGTATAATATACGATATTTATGGCGTATATGTATAATACACGATATTTATGGCGTATATGTATAATACATTATATTATAGAATATATATGTATAACATATTATATTATAGAATATATACGTATAAAAATACACATAGAAGTTTATCTAAAACCTGTTTATGTTAAATAAAACACATGGTATATAGGTAGACATCACACATTTATATAACAGTTTGCCAAAAGATCCTAGAACTCACCCCCGATACGTCTGCACAGCCGTTCAACGGCGGCACGTGACTTTGTTACCCCTCCTGTCAAAATTTTTCGTCCATTCCTGCGGATAAGCGCTCGCGATATTCCCCGCTATATCGGACAGATAGATACTCTAGCACGAGCCCCACCCAAACCTCAACCAAGCTCTGGCCTAGTTTTTCAGTGAATCTGGTCTCAAGAAGCGAATTCTGGTAAATGACCCCGTACCAGCACCAAAAGCCGTTGCGGATCTCGCTTCTCGGGGCAGAACGGGTGGGCAAGACTACGTTCGCACGCGGCGTCAAGTACCATTCTTCCTCCCCCCAGACGACCGAGGCGTACTACCCCACAAAGTCAATCCAGTCGTCACTACTGTTGTTCCAGCCGTCTGATCCGCTTGCACGTGCCATGTTGGATGAGGCGTGCACGCTTGAGTTCCTCGTGACGGAGAGCACAAAGAAGGGCATTCTCCTCAGCCCGCTTGTTACGAAACACTTGCCGACAAAAGCGACTCCACTCGATCAGAGGTTCAAAAGCAAGGGGGACATTTCGTACCATCCGCGGAACGATATCTACGGCTACGAAGACCTCTCAGCGACGCCGTCGTTTGGAGCGACTGGCGCTACCGGCGCTTTCTTGACATATAAACCGCCGTTAATCACTCCTGTGACCGTTGAGTTGATCGATACGCCGGCTTTCAAGCCTCACTCGGTGGTACCATACTTAGAGGTGGCACTAAATCGTGAGTTGGGCAAGGAGGTGTTACGGAAGTTGGCGGATGCCCCCAGACAACCTGTCTCCACCAACCCGCTTCTCGTAGCCTCCGGCGCCTCTGAGATGAACGGGAGCATTGACGGTTACATCTTCATGTATAGCTCGGTGCCGTCACTCAACCCACCGTCGTATGGGGCTATAGACTCGCAGAGGGAGCAGACGTCGCTTGACCTCTTGGATTCGATCAAAAACACCCTCAGTGACGCGTGGGTCGAGTTTGTTGACTACAAAAGACGCTTCAACGAGGGAAAAGAGTCTGATGTATTTTCCTTATCGTATAACTTCCGCCGTGCCGTCATGCAAGATGAGGTCAAGTTGGCGCAGCGACGCGAGCAATTGCGTGCAGTGAACCTGCAGATGAAAATGTACGATATCAACTTTAATGACCCTATGAACTCTACACCGCCGATTCTTATTGTCTGCACTCACAGCCTGAGTGAACTTGCCTCGCCAGAGTTGGTGAAGCAGGGTCAGCGGCTTGCGGCCTCCTGGGGCTGTGGGTTTATTGGTGTGGATACCATGGAAGGTGCGTCCACGAACGCTGGAATCGAGGAGGCTTTGTCTATGATGATCAGAGAGATTTCTGAGAAGCGCAAGTATGCGGCCAAGCATAAAAAATCCGGAAAACTTTGGTAAAGGAAAAGAGAGCTGAGAGAGGAGAGAAGTTTTGGAGACTCTGAAGAGAGGCCAGGAGTCAAGCTTTCTGGTAATTGCTTGGTTTCTTAGTAGGTAATTGTGGGTGGTATAGCTACTAGATGTGTGAATTAATGATTAAACGTAAACGATATGCGTAATTAATCGGTGTATGCAAACGTTGTACTGCTCAATTTAACACAATCCCTCTCCGTTATCGATTTCAGTTTCAAGGTCTCAGTGTTTTTAGAGAAATAAATTAATTTAAACCATTTTAAACCATTTTTAATCCCCCATTTAGAAAATCTCAAGCTAATAACAAATCCATAGGTTTAGGTCGAGATTGTATATTTCATATTCAACCTGCACGTTTCCCGACCTCGCCCACTTGTTCATCCAACCACACGTGATCTTCTTTCAGCTACCACGTGACTCTCATTCCAACCTTATTTTGCAAAAAAAGAACCGGGTGAAAAATCGGAATCTAGGTATTACTCAATCTCAACCAAACAGCACACCAATCACAAAAAATGTTTAGATCCTGTGTCCGTTCGTTCTCGTCCACTGCGCGCTCCACTGATGCCTTCTTTGACAAGGTCATCAGTAACTTGAACAAGCCAGTGAGCGCTGCTCTGGCCGGGACCCAGTCTCAGGCTCAGACCTTCAGACGCCCTGCGGCCGCTGGCCCCAGAGCGGAGCCCTCCGGCAGAAGATTCCAGAACGGGACCGCCAAAGATAACAAGAAGCCATTCAACCGTAACAACAAGAGCGCTAAGGGCAAAAAGCCAGCCGGTCCAAAGGTCTCCAACAAGAGAACCAGAAATATCAACCCGCCAGCGTGCGAGTTCCCAGGTACTCCGTTCGTGCCAGATGTAATGGACCGCGTCCAGCTTTTACAGGCCAGCAGATCTGTCTTTGGCTACAGCCCAGAGTCGCGCCTCTTGAGAGCCCAGCAGGAGATCCAACAGTTCAATACCTCCACCATGTACACCGCTGTTGAGAAGAAGGAGCAAGCCTCCCAGATCGCGGCTGAGGCCGTTGCTAAGTGCGTAGTTGGAGAACTCACCCAGGTAAAGTTCAACCCAAAGGCTTACAAGAGTGCGGACATCGCGTTGAACGCCCAGGCCGCGGCCCTCGCCATTGACGGCAACGTCAACTTCCCAGCCGCTATCAAGGAAAACCTCTTCCAGGTTGTGTCTGGTGCCAGACCCGTCAAAGAGCTTGCCGATGTCACCGCTGCGTAGGGGAATATATCATGTACATAATAATATAAGATTAAAAAGACTAGGGTGTGTGAAGGCACTAGGACCCCATAACGTATAGACATCAGGAGTTGGCAAGTGCTTCGAAATAAGCAGTGTGAGGGAAATGGCACAGTGAGAAACGGAGGAAACATCAAGTTTGGTAGCGTAAGCGGTGTTGATCAGGATACGTGGGAAAAGAGCGATAATCGGCTTGGATCGAGCCAACCTTCAGCCATACAAAGCTATGAAAGCTTCATCTATCCAGGAAATGATTTACAATCACCTTCACTTGCCCCCCCTACTGTTTCGCACTGATATGTGTAACCCTGTCCTACACTCTCCAAATAATATTTAAGCATCTATATCCAAGTATCTAAACCCACTTTTCACCGGTCAAAGACTCGTACGCCTCGACGTACTTTTCCTTAGACTTGGCGGCGATTTCAGAGTCCATCGCTACACCATCCTTGCCCGCTAACCCATTGGAGGTCAACCAGTCGCGCAAGAACTGCTTGTCGTAGGAGTCTTGGGACTGGCCGACGGCGTAGGTCTTTGCGTTCCAGAATCTGGAGGAATCGGGTGTCAAAACCTCGTCCACCAAGACCAAGTTATCCCCTTCGTCCAACCCAAACTCAAACTTGGTGTCGGCAATGATAATGCCCCGGGTGAGGGCGTAGTCGTGTGCGCGGGTGTACAACTCAATGGCAATCTTAGCGATCTTGTCCGCCAATTCCTTCCCGACAATCTCCGCTGCCTGGTCCGGGTGAATGTTTTCGTCATGCTCACCCTGGTCGGCCTTTGTAGAAGGGGTGAAGATTGGCTTTGCGAACTTTTCGCTCTCTTGCAAGCCCTGGGGCACGGTCAACCCATGGACGGTGCCCTCTTTCTTGTACTCCTTCCATGCGGAGCCGGTAATGTAGCCTCTAACAATAACCTCCAACGGCACTAATCTCAACTTCTTCACAAGCAACGCACGGTCTTCCAACTGAGTCTTGTACTGGGGTTCAGACAATTCCTTAGGCAACTGTTCGAAGATGGCGTCGGTCTTGGCCAAAAGGTGGTTTGGGATGGTTGGCTTCAAGAAGTCAAACCAGAACTCGGAGAGCTTGGTCAAGATCTTCCCCTTTGACGGTATCCCGTTCGTCATGATCACATCGTACGCGGAGATTCTATCGGTAGCAACAAACAACAAGGAGTCGGAGGTTGACTGGTAGATGTCTCTCACCTTGCCCTTAGCGACAAGCGGCAAGATGTTGTTTAAATTGGTTGAGGTCAAGGAGTCAGACATAGTGTGGGATAGGATGGAGTATGGAACAGAGGATAAGGAAGTTAGATCTGTAGGTCTGTCGGTATTTATATGATCCCTTATCGATTATCCTAATTTAGACAGTTTGACTCTGTCTGGGCAAAATGCAGGAGGGAAAAATTACTCAGGGAGAAAACGTGACGAAAAATAATGACCGCTAAGCGGTTCGAACGCTTGCCTCTTACGAGATCTGATCTTGAGTCAGACGCCTTAGACCACTCGGCCAAACGGCCATTATCTGACGATAGAGGATATGTCTATACTACACTGATGCAGGTACCTAAGAAGCCATGTTTTTGTCTGAGTTCAGTGCAGAACCAGGAGAGACGTTCGAGTTCTGGTGAGTGCTGACAGCAAAGAAAAGACACTCAGAGCTTGTGGAGGTTTTAACCCATTGTATATGTAGGGCAAACTTTCCGTTTTTTTAAGGGCTAAACATAACCACAGCTGATTCCTAGGTGGTCCACACCTAAACTTTCCTTGGGGTCCTGAGACACCTGAGCGAATGAACATGTGAGAAAGTTACCACAAACGAAGGGGAAACAGCTGCAATTTCATAGAAAAGGAACACAACTTAGTTGAAAAACCTCATTAGCGCGGGCTTAATTTCTAGGGGTCTGAGCTACGTACCTTCACCTAGCCTGAGGTATAGTGTCTCTATTTAAGGTTCTGATTGGGAATTTAAAAATAAACATAAACGATGATATATTATTATATTCTAAGAGTCTAAAAATACACCCATCTCTGCCTAAGCTAAAATGTCTTGGTAGTTGTTGTTGAGGAAGCTCATTTGCGCCAGTCTAAAGTTATCCTTTCCGGTGAAAATGCTCACAGCATTGATATACATCATGTTGTTGGCAAGAGCATTGGTATTTTGGTACTGCGGCCAGTTGGTCAAGGTAAACAACCCACCACTGTTAGGGTTCAAGTTGTTGGCAAACGCAATAAACAAATTACGGTAAACCAAAGACCCAGAACCAGGGACGAAATATTGCCAGATGATGTCATTGGCGTGGAACGTACCGGCAATTGGGAGGCCCTTTAACTGCTGGGAGTTAAAGGTGTATCTATTAACGTCCGGAGTGTGGTTTAACATAAATCTTCTTGGGGCTTGGAAAACCACATCACCAAGGAAAGCTGCAATTCTCTTATTTTGCGGCGTCAACACATTCAAGATACCAGATCCGAAAGGAGAGCCTTGGGTGACATCCTGTGGGTACAATGTCAATAATTGATCCATCTGGGAAGATGAAATTCCGGGGAACACATTACCAATATACGCTCTTACTTCAGCTTCGGTGGTCACGTTCAAGTTGGTGAGAGCAAAAAGAGTCCCCTCATCGTCTTGGTCACCGATGATGTATGGCACTCTCGCGTACTTGCCATCGGCAACCATCTGCATCTGTTGGTAGGGAATAAAACCACCGTCCGGTCTTGGCATGTAGGATAATTGCAAGGATTCATAGGAAAACATGGCAGGAACAGAGTTACTCGCAGCTTGCATCACAGAGAAAGGAACACTTCTCAAGCACGCCAACTTGTCAGAGGCAGCACCGCAGCCAGCAGCGTTGGCGACGGTATCGAAAATCCGTTGTGGGTATGCCGAATCAATGTCCCCAGTTGGAAGAAGAGACCCGGACTGCATGATACCGGCCCTGAACAATGGCTTTCCCTTGTAGGTATTGTCACCACCGTTACCAATAATCTGGTGGCCCACGGAAATGGACCCAGCCGATTCACCAAAGATAGTAACCTTGTCTGGGTCACCACCAAACGAAGCAATATTGTCAGCCACCCACTGTAAGGCAAGTCTCTGGTCCAATAACCCAACATTACCACTGCCTTCGGCCTTGATCTCCTTTCCTCCCAAGAACCCAAAGGCAGCAAGTCTGTAGTTGACAGAGACATAGATAAAGTCCTGACCCTGGAGAGCCCCCTGCGCCATAAACTGTTGCGGCAAGTATGTGCTGGAGCCACCAATTTCGAAACCACCACCAAAGATCCAGAACATCACTGGTAACTTGGCGGTAGATGAGAGACCCCTCTTTCTGTAAACATTGAGGGTTAAACAATCCTCAGACAGAGGAAGAACTGCGTTGAACAAAGGAGATTGCATCACCAAGTTCGCAGCAGCCTCCGGCAAAGTATCGGTGAAGGACGCCACTGGGTTCATTTGAGGGCAAGATGGACCAAAGGCTGTGGCCTTGAAGCCGTTCAAACTTGCGCTGTAGGGCTGGGGTGGCTTGAACCTCAAGTCTCCAACCGGTGGAGCCGCAAAGGGAATACCCAAGTAGGACTCAAGGTTGCTGAGAAGTTCATAGTTACCGGTGATGGTGTCTTTGTTGGACAACTGGACCTGAGGACCGAAAAGCAGGCAGTCGACAGGTGATGCCAACGCTAAAAATTGAAGGGCTAATCCCAAGCTGACCAAAGCTGATTTCATTTCGGGAAAGTGTAGTGTAATGGCTCATAAACCAGATAATCAAGAGGTGCAAGAAGGGACCCTTTTATATGCATTCCAGGCAATTGAGGGTTGAAGTAGGACCCTATATGCCGTATTCTAATTAATGGATTACCCGGTATATCATGTTTATGAGCGATTATCGATATTGGTACTGTACATATGTGTTAATGCAGATGCTAAGCCTGCAAAATTAGCGCGACCAAGAGATGCTGTGGCATTCAAGAGCATGTGAAAAATATAAAGGATGAAATCCTGAGTTTCCCTGGAAATCCAAGCCGAGGTGTTATCGTAATGCCCCATTGAGCGAGTCGAAGGGTTTCTGAATCTACAGGGTGAACCTAATCTGGGAGCGATGTGCTACAATAGTTTTAGGCTATGCATATGAGATCGGCGGTGCATAGATGTTAGGATGCGCCAACTTCAAAGCAGATCAAGCCTTCAAGAGGTTTGCCTCGACTATTCATGTGCAAGAAAAATTTGCCAATCAGATACGAAAGGGTTTTATAAAGTGTCCAAGTAAAAGCTGAAACGAGACTCGAACATCAAATGGTTACCTTCAGGGTCTCTGCAGATGAACCCTATTAACCGTTAAAACGGGCTACAAGGGGTAAAATAGTAGGAACTAGTGAGCCGTGCGAAATCCTAAAATCAAGTGTCGGGCGAGTCACCAAATACACCACTATCTGGGATTTACGAACTCCGTATCATGGTGAATGATGCGGAAGTGGGGTGGCCCGGCGTAACTCCACTATTTCCCTCGTATCTGGTCACTACTTGACGCACGAATAAAACTAGCACAAGCGTAGGCATATCCTGTAAGTGAAATTTACACGTTCCCTTCCTGTGGCTAAAACGAGCCGTGCCAAGAATTATTTACTTGTACCAGTCGAAATACTTTCACCCTGGTGCAACGGGTCAGAATATTAGCTCTCTGCTCGTCTACAATGGCAGTACAACTTCTTGAGGTTTAGGAACAGAAATCAACTTTGACCGTGCTACGTGACTGTTCGGAAACTATACGAATGGAGAAACATGTAGGGTCCATGGTTTGAGATTGAGGAGGCACGAAGGAGGCTTAAATTCCGGTGCTTAGAGAATAGGAAAACAAGCTTCAAGCTTCTGTTCGTGCAGCTAGGCGAGCCCAGCCATGGAGGGATAAAAGGTTTCGCGCAACCGTTCGACGGGGTGAGGTAAAGATATGCCGTATGCCGATTTCCTAGGAGCTCAAGGATAATAGTACTGGAAAGCACGTGTCTGGGTTTAGGGGGTAAGATGTGCAGTCATTTTTCCAGCAAAGACAGGCCTGATAAACCACGGGGCGACGTCTAGTACATAGAAATACTCGCAGAAGTCACCTCCGGAAGACCTGGTGGCGTGACGCCAGATATATCTGGGAATACCAACAATGCGTATAGTAAAATACCTACGCCTGATAAGCAAAATCCCAGGCTTTTTCAGTACCAATCACAGGTAACAGGCTTTAACGTGAGAGACGGTCATGGAAAAGATACTTATCTACCGAACCGATAGCCGCGGTTTTAGCGAAAGAGTACGATATGTACCAGAAAAAAAATAGGCATACCGAAAACTCCGCTATTATAGAATTCTCTAAATTAATGTAGTATAGCCACTACAAAATAGCGGAAAGGCCATGCCATGCAGCAGCTAGTGTATCTAAAATCTAGAAAGCGAAGATCATAAAATAGAAAACATAGGAGGTACAAGATTAGCTCACCGTTTTCCCAGTTAAGTGGGCCGTGGCGAAAATGCCGTGCCCCGGTGCTACAAACATTTTATTGCCCACGGGGATCCTGGGAACGATAGCAATACCGAAGTCGGCTAATATCTGCTACATTAACGCTAACAGTGCATTTAATCAACTTTAATGCATAGATAGACCTTGATATAACCTAAGGCAATTGTCAGCTCCAAGGAAATAATATAATTTTTGACCCAAGTGAAGCTGAGCATGTCTCAGGCTCTGAATTGGTACACTCCGACAGAAACTTACTCTTCACCTTCACCTAAGTTAGTGGATCAAAATTTCTTGACAATAGTGTTGATTTTAGTCAACTTAGGACTCTTGGAAGCTATTATCTGTGTTGAAGACTCAAAGGCCGGAAGCTGGAGGCTGGGGACTTGAGGCTAGTGAGTGATGGTAGATAGATAGCCTTAGGAGCAATACGGAAACATGCCAAATATAAAAATAGCACGCATCATCAAACCTGGCAACCTAGTGGATAACGAACGCAATATATGCAATGTAAGACAAAATAAACGTCTCAACAGAGTAGACTAAAACTAAACTGGATAACTCCAATATAACTTTTTACATAGTACACTAATTCAAAAAAGTACTGCCTAATATTGCTTCAGGCGTTCTCATGTGGATATCAGACATAAAACATTACTACAGAATAATACCAACTGACAAAACTAGCGACAGATAAATAGCTTATCTATCTGATATATTCATCTACCAGAGATATCTCAAAAATTCCAATGGGGAAATTAGCTCTATAACATTGACCAAATAACAGCAGGTTAAGGATAGTATTTACTACGATACTCAGAATATATCAATAGTTGAAAGCTATATACCTACGGTGTTCGCTACTAATAATATCTCTGGAGACGGGTAATGACAGAATTTTACGGAGAAACATGGATATCAACGATTTACAGTCTCTATGAAGCTTCCATTAAATTTTGTAGAAGCAATTGAAAGGGAATTAACGGACTAGAATCGATAAAACAAATAGAGGAGATGAGTAGCGTGGCCTGGGAAATATTCCCGATGAAAGTTTTACGGCGCTTTGAATTCCATATGACATACTATGGTATGTTGTACTACCAAGAGGTACTTAAGTACGGACAGCTGACCTAATCTATCAGTAGATCATTTCTTTAAAGCTAATACAGGTCTCGTTAAATGGTAGAGCAACCTACTATTTATACAATACAATCTATCCTATAGAAAAAATTGGCAAACAGGCATTACTAATACCGATAAATATAGTAGTTTATGGATAAAACAATCTTTGTCGTTACTTAATCTCACGTCCCTGAAAAGCAGGAAACCGCGGCATAATTTCAAAACAGATACTATGCCATAATCGCGGACAGATAGACTGAAAAAGAACGGCCACCAGAATGTAAGTAGATATGGTCTCAACATATCAGATTCAATTGATAATTATCCTTTCCACATCTATGAGAAGTGCGTAAAGGGCCCTCCTTAAAATACTCATATATAGACTACTTCGAGTTGTGTAATTTCCACGGAGAACAAATTTCGCAGACAAATTCTCAATCTGAGCATCCTTGAAAAAGCCGGATGACATAAACCTAGCATAGAACATTAAAAGTCCGAGAACTCAGTGTTTGAAGAAAGCACAAGAAAATTAGCCATATAAAATCACTATGGGTATACACCCATCAAAACGTGAATGAGCTGATAGTAATACAGCTTTACTTGGCCAGGTCTGAGGATATTGCGAAATAGAGCAATCTCTAGTATTGGCCTACTTATAAATACGTAACCAATTAAGTATGGGTTATTTGAATAATCCCAAGAGGTAAAACTCCTAGCGCTTGAAAATGAGACTAAAATACTCGCAGACGATAATATTAGGAGCATAAAAATATACGCCATCATATTAAAATAGAGGTGTACTAGTTTGGGTAGAAATCACAAATGTAGACCATTTACTATGAAAATAATAGCTATACCAGAACAAACTGATACTACTCAGCTGGAAACACTTCATCATTATCCGTATACGCATCGTACATCATTCAATTTGGTAAATCTAAGGCAATATGAGACATGCTAGCCTTCGAGTTACCTCATCATATAGCGTTTCCTAAAATCCTAGAATCCAAACATGCTAATTGTGGTTTGTTCAATAAAACAAGTCATCACAGCATGTATCAATTAATAAGACATTGTTAATCGATTTGTAAGTATCATAGTACGTAATTACAACGTATAGATCTTGATTCTCATTCTGCAACAGAACAGAAAACTAGTTGGCAGTACGGAGTAAGGCCGCGTATTTTATAAATCTCAAACCTAGCGCTGTGGCTGTCATTTCTATGTCGTATACGATATACATGTGACCTAAGATAATTGGGGATTATCACTCAAATATATCTAAAGCTTATAGTAGAGTTCAATTCAGTTGCAGTTTTTTTTCAGCGAGTGTCATCCAACTCAAATCATTTCAACCATTCGACAGCTAATTGGCACTACTGCACGTCACAAAGTTAGTACTGGGATTATCAGAAAACCCTGGAGTGATACAGGAATATTATGGTTCAAAGAGTGGCAACTCTTATCAGAGATGAGATTTTCTCAGTAAGGAATAGTTAAAAGGTGATATCTTTGGGAGTGCCAGTTGAATATCAAACACACAATAGTGACCTTAGAATACTCTGTAACGAACTGCAGCTTCAAGAATTATAATTGCTCTCTTATATAATGTCCGTTTTTTGTAATACCCTGAACCATGAATATAAATATTGATTGTAACATATTTTTGACATGAAAGCTTGTATGGAATCCACCTATCCGCGATCCTAGAGGTCCCAAAAATATTTCAAACCCCACTTGAATAGCTGTATTTAGAATACATATCCATATTGCACTTAGAATAGAGGAATGCCGAATATGTGATTAGAAATATAACTGATAAAACCCATGTAGCTCCTACTATATAATATTGCCATTACACTCTGTAACGGTAACCGCTATCCGTTGCGAGTTCCTAACGCCTCCATTAGCTCCAATAAAGCTATAGCTTAATAGATATCTGTGCCTAACCTCTGAATCCATACAAAGAAAACTACGGTGAAAGTTCTGATTTACAAAATATTACGGAGGGGCCGATAATGTGGTTGCTATGCATTGTAACACCTCATGCTCAATAAACACCCGGAATGATCGGCATGATATACATAAAGAAGACAATATTCAGACATACATCCCACTAGGGAAATATACTGAAGGGATACTTTCCATAATTTAACCCTTATATATGCATGTGCGATCAAGGAAACTATTTCTTTCAAATGGTACATGGCATATTGTCATAGCCAGTTAGTTCTATCTCTAGGGACTCAACCAAATGCTAATCTTAATTATCAAACTTACTGTTGGTGCAGATGCTACATCAATAGTGATCCATAAAATTAATTGAACATTACTTCTTAATTTTAAGTAACCTCTGTCCCAGGTTGAATGATCCTTTAGTCGCTATATTTTGTTATAAGGAAAGCTCTCATGTATTATCATACTATTATGTCAACCATAACAATCAAATAGTATTCATCTAAAATACTCGGCCTACCTCCTGTACATATTTATCTGTTACGAGCTTGATGAATACTTGCAGGCTCAGTTGGGTCACTCACTCCGTTTGACAAGCCTACAATATACTCAATTTAAAGGTATGGAGTTCTACGTAAGTCGGCCCATCTCTTGAATATACGACAGACATCGAGCTTATGTGTCGTAACATCTATACACAACGTGTGGTTACATAGCAGTATGATAAATGAACGAGGAACAAAGCACTTTGCTAATCCTATGTAGATAGTCACCATAGGCTCATATAAGGTCTCGGGTCCTGTCACCTACTTTATCAATAATATACGCTAATCCCCAACATATTCATCCTAGAGGTTCTTCTATTATCCGTATTAGATTCCTAGGATAAGTTTTCGGCAAGCACTAGCGCGTCACATCAGCAAATATGCAACAAAATGGATCACTTTGGAAAATAGCCATACCGAATAATGACCCACGTTAAGCTTTTATCCTTAGCTTACTCAATCAGTAAAGCGGGTAAATTCTCTAACTCCCGTATTTCCTAAGTAGTCCAATAAACGACACTATAATACTATAATAGGTATATCCATAGGTAGTATGCGATATTCTCCAAATCAAAATTGTTCCTCGTACCTTCTTTACTAGTATACGAAACGCAATTCATACTTGATCAAAGATTCGTACATATTTAGTTCGAATTCTGCTACCCCTATTTTCACCGGAGTCCCAGACTCCCTCGTGTCTCATCTTTTAGTTAACTAGAAGACTGATGTACTGCGGACTATCACACAGGTTGTGAATATCGGACACCACTTACAATGCGATTATATGTATCAATAGGGTCAGTTATCTATGTCAGATCACTACATCAAATATCATTTCTGTGAAACTCTCGTGCTATAAGATACTTGATTATCTCCATATCTAACATTGAACTAAAAACTCCGATATCTGTATGGTTTCATCTTATTGATTGATACATCGCATAAACACCCAATGTGTTTTTGAAAGATATCGAATGGGTGTGATGGTAACTCTTGGAGCCCGCTTTTATTCTCTACTCTAATGGTAAGCTTCCCAAGTAATACTTTTTATGACTTTTACCGTAGTAAATACTGTCTCCGCCCTATCTATCCATACGAAGCGCTCTGCGACCACCCACATGATATTTATTGGGAATTATATTCGATAGTAATCCTTTAAAATTAAATAATGTATATCATACCTCCAAGAGCCTTTAATTAATCTAATTGATTTATGGAATATTGTCCAACAGCTAAGTCCTTTCCATAATATTTAACATTTTCTTATTGTGAAGGCTAGGTATCGGAACTGTCCCCTTTGAACTTCCTAAGTATGCTAATTTATTGTGTTTGGTATTTCGTTTTCAATCACAGAACTCCATTATGGTGTTTTAAATATGACACATAGCGGGTGGTTATTCAGTTGACGATTAGTAAGTAACACTCGCTCTATGCGGATGAATGTATCGGTTATAATGTAAGGATTGCACCTTCCAAGATCAAAATTAAGCTGTTGTCAGCGAGAATTTACAAGATAGAACCAGAAGCATATTTCAACTGTACCATTGGTTAGATAACCGACCCTGGATATTTTGCCTATTTTTCTAAGGAAATCACTTTTCTTGTTTGTCTGCTTAACATTAAATAGTAGGATTGTACAAAATTTGGCCCTTGTGTCCACACCTACGGCCTGTCAATGATAAGTAACCTACATACAATAGCTTCTATTTGTTATCGGTCTACCTTTTCTCGTTCATGTACGTATCGCCTAGGACGTTAATAATGTGCAACCAGATGTTTAAGTCCATTTGAAGTCGTATCATGAATATTTATATGCAGTTAATTCACTTAATAGCTCTGATCGGCCTTTGAAGTGGTTTTGTTAAACCAGAATTATGCTCATCTGCCTCTACTCTTCTTTCTTTCTCAAATTTTTCTGTCAACCTATGTATTTGAGATTGAGCTGTAAGTAATCATTACTTTCCTTGGTCTCTTCCTTGAGGATACTCCTTCGCATATGTGAGCGTTTTTTGTCTCAATAAACTGAGATATTCTGCAGGTTTCTCATCTGATATCCCTGGATATAATACTGTCAAATAGAATTAACATGGGCTTCTTAACGTAGTTCGAGTTGTATTTTTTTCCCTTGACGCGACTACCTCTGTAGGTTGGGTACAGTCAGAACAGATATCTCTACAAACACGAGAAACTCATGTATAATTGCTTATCTTTTTCTTCGAATGGAATTTTAAATTAATGACCATTGTAATGACTCACTGTACTGACTTGACTGAGTAGACTGAGAATCTTTAACAGATCTTGGTGTCAGTGTGTAATCCCTTGGCGGAGTCCTTCTTTCCAACTCTCTGTAATACTGTTCATATTTAGAAATACGAAATCCACTGCTAGCTCTATTCTTATAGGTTGATCTCGATCCAAATCACTAATTGCAGTTTTAGATTCTAATATCTAGTACAATCTTGGTGTGTCGGTGCAAAGGTTTTGTACCTGTTTGTAATCTATTACTGTCCGAAGGTACTTATGAAGCTTCGTTTTTGGATATCATCCTGTTCTCACTTGTATGGGATATGTTTCGATATTCTGGTACCGACTTACCTGCCTATACTGCTTAGGCTTCTGCGCATATTTTATGTACACGATTCCTTGAATGACTAGTGCATGTTCTCGCCTTACGATTCCCGTATATTACACATGCGTTATCACAGAGTCGGGGTATATCTAGTTATGTATAACGCCATGCATTTTTTTAATCTAGGTGCTAAATTATTTTAGGAGGTGCCGCAAAATTTGTATGTACTGTATTTCTGAACTTTCCTCGATTACTCTCTTCTGGATTCATACACTTTAGACAGCCCCCTGATTCTTCTATTAGTTGTGTAGCCAAGCTTTCTTTACACCTGATATATTCCCTAAAAGCTTAAAACATGCCGACTGCTCTGGAGACCTTATGTACACTTATTCTAACCTTTTGCACAATCGCCTGTGTCGATGATCTCGAAGCCTTGGGTAAAGGTTTCTCTTCGTCTCTGGATAGATGCTTCCTGTATACCATGTGGTATTCTCTTTATTGGCTTTGACCGTTGGGCACGAACGGCAGTATTGAAATTTATCAGTGACTTTTTATCTAAACTTGATAACCACAAAAAAGGCGTCGTAATCCCGAGGTGTTTTGCACCTCGCCTTCCTCAAAACCCAAAACCAAGAGTCGGATTTATAATCAATGCCTCGAAATACCACTCACACAAGCTCTGTTTTAGCTTGGCGTCATAAATATATTCTAATGTATGTATTCTAGCTTACTATCGCCTGTATCAGGCATCCAGTCGTTCTTTTGGGTTCAGCCAATATAAGGGGGTTTTGTTATCCAACGCTCACTTTGAGATTAAAGCTGTGCACGTGTGAGTTTCAATATGAGATTATGTATTTCCGTTCGCAGTCCAAGGTATCCGTGTAATACGATCCCCAACCCTCCCTCGAGATATTTCAGTACACTTGTCTTCGACGCAGGTTTCAATTTATGGATGTCAACAAAGAGTCACTACTATGAATCCAAGCTCAATAATTAGAGGGAGCTACAGGAAAAGCAGCTGTCTATCCAGGGTAGGCGTAATGGCTACAGTATTGGTCCACATGACTGTTAGGATCCAAACCTCATGGCTACTACCAGAGGGAAATATTGGTATTGAGAGGGGAATGTTTTGGGGGTTAAGAAGAGTATTCATTTACCACCAGTCGGAACGTACCATCTTGAAATTCAAACGGTTTGAGAATCAGCGTTTGAGGCATGTCAGCCTATTGGATTTAGTGCCTCTTGTGTTTCAATAGTATCCATGCCATTAAGGTCGACCCCTACTACTCTGACAGGCTGAGAAGTGCCGTCGATACTTGATATCGATTTCGCAGCAAAGATCAGCATTTCGTCCTCATTCGAGAGCTTGAGTCATCTCGCAGTCTACCTTTTAGGCTACATGGCAAGGTGATCTTTCGACTCCGAAGAATGCATACGAACAATTTCACACGAACTCTGATCTTCCATAAACAAAGGAGCGACTTGGGGAGAGGATGTATGGCTGGCATACGTACTCTCTAGTGCATGGTATCTAGGCTACCCTACTAGACGAGAGTTCATCGCTGGTCGGTGATTCTTCATGGCATTACCTTAGTAGACACTTAGATAGGTACCACAGGTATTGGTGTCGTGATATCTGTACTGTATATGCTATTGTGCTGACCCCCTCGATAACTAGACACATTTTATTTGATTCAGATCTGGTTCTATTTCTGCTGCATCAGTGATGAAGAGGGCTATCACACATATTGTCTTAGGGGGCTTGACAGTCAGCTCCTATAGTTCTAACTTGGCTAGCTCTTTAAATTTCTGTCGTCCAAAGAGCCTATCCAATACTTCCTACAAGAAAGACGTAAAATTTTGGTGATTTAAGACTGTGGTTACCGCAACACGTTTCAAGCTTCATCCGAAATAGTGTAATGGCTAGCACAGGGCGCTCTCACCTCCCAAATCCGGGTTCGATTCCCGGTTTCGGAGCTTTCTTTTTAATTTTTTTCTTGTCCCGTGATAACACTAAATTCTTTGTTTAAACCTTTAAGAGGTTTATATTTATCTTGCTCCTCTGTGACGTGCGGTTACCCATTAATTGGTAGAAACAAGATTAACTTTGATATGTATATCACACACAATTTCCTCCAAAACACCCTTGCATCTGCCTAATATTGAATGTTAAACATTATCAACCCTCTATTTCGCTGATCAAACAGGAACTTTTAGCCATTCTCTCAAATCTTTCAATTTAAATGAATCTAAAGCTCGGAGATCTCCACATCCCAAATTTGACCCCGTTGTTTCGCCGTGTACCGTTAACTGAGGATAATATAATGCTATGTAAAATAGTTCCTTACAAGGTGTATGGTGAAGGTCTGATTGGAAGCCAATATAGACATGTATGTATATCTCTATTGATAAGTACATATTTGTATTTACTTAATTATTTTAATTTTTACATATACATTTCTCCGATTAGCCATGATTATATATAAATATATACTAATAAATTCAACAAATTTGAATATCGGGTAAATTCTCTTTCTTTTGCTATGACAAACAAATACCATTGTATACGACAACTCCCACCACTACTTCTATGCTTTAGTATTGATTAAGAGCTGATGGCTGTTTTCTTTCAAACTTGTAAGTTGAACCAAAATGCGATCACAAATGGCGAGGTGCACGTACCCTCAAGCTTCGTTCCTCATGGCCCAATGGTCACGGCGTCTGGCTACGATATGTAACCACTTCTGGAACCAGAAGATTCCAGGTTCGACTCCTGGTGGGGAAGCTTTTCTTTTTAGTTCTGGGTGAAATATTTCGTTGGTTAGTTCGGGCTAATAGAGCTCCGATCTTTGGTCTGCTCGAGGTTTAGCTGTTTTGGTTTTCATGGAGTACTTCAGCAATACCCCACATACTTACCTACTGGATCGGAACATTCGGTTTTGATTTCCGTCACAGATAAACCACCTCTATTCATACCTCTGGAATCTATTTTCCAGGATAGGCTACTCTCCTTTATCCCTCTTCGCTTTTTTTCCAGAAGACTTGAATAAATCATGCGTTTTTGCATCCATATGGCAATCCAGATGCTAAAAACGATACTCTACATCGTCAAAATAGGTTCTCAAGTAGGTATTACTGGTGTAAACAGGCTCAGTCACACAAATCTCAACAAATCATTATATCCCACACATATGCATTCCTTCTTAATTCGGAATCCCAACCCCTCGGTATACTCAAAGCCCGGTATATCTTCCTCTTTAGGGTCGTTACGTGGCGATGTCCCATCAGTTGACACCCAGCCAAAAGGGCCGGGCCCCCACGAAGGAATGAAACAGAACTGATCCCAGCCACAAGTGGTGGAGCATCTATAATCCAATGTCCATTGCAAAAGGTCTAGCAAGGCATTGAGAGAATTGAAATGGTGGATAGCTTCCAGTGCATGATGCTTCAAAGGCGCTTCTTCCACGTAGATATCCTTCAAAATTGACTTTGAAAACTCAAACTGAGCGAAAATCTCTGAAGTGATAAGATTCATTATCTTATTCACCGAAGACGCAATGAGGATATCTGACTCAGACAGCAAAGAGGTGAATCCACGAGAGTAATCGTCGATCATAGCTTGTTTCGCAGCTTCCCACTTTTCTGGAGAGGAATGGTCCCTCCCAGGAGAATACCGCCTGAAAAAGGTGAAGGAGTGTGTAGAAATATTTCTGGCCAAGATGGAAAAGCGTTCTTCCTCTGGATTAGAGCTGTGGAGATAGTTAGTGTAGGTCTGGTTGAAGATCATAAGGATTGGGCCAAACTTTTCAACAACCCTCTCGGTAATCAACTGCCAATCGGTACCCATGATAAATGACCTTCCATCGGCGTCAATTAACTGAGCTTCAAGGTCCAGAATCAACTTATCTCGCAATTCCTCGCTTATGTTATGGATTCTTCTTCTATAAGTGTCTGGAGAGATCCAAGTTTTGTTCAAAGGGGTGACCATTTTGGAGTAATCCACTAGCACCTTCTTCTCGCGGTTATAAACCAGCGATGCGGCTCTTATGTGCTCGTAGCCCGCCATTGCCTCGTATGCGTCCACTATGAGTGATCTTTCCCTGGACAACGCTAGTTCCTTACCTTTGTCCGATGTGATAGAAGCGCCAGGAACCTCTTCTGGGAATCCAATTACCTCAACAGGGTCAGGTAAGGCATTATGCGCGATTAATTTCATGCCACCTCGTTCAACCTGGTCTGAGAAGTCACAGACAATGATTTCGTAGCCAATTTCTAGCCTAATTACGCCATCAAGGCCGAAAGGCTTCCCCCACTCGCAGATCTTTTCTGCCAACATGCGCTCCCCAACTCTTTTTGTAGGGTCAAACTTTGTTTTCGCCAACAAAAACTGCTGATCCATTTCTCCGGTAGTACTCTTAGCAGCAGAAGCACCATCGAGATAAACAAGCTTGGTCCATGGCTTGAGCGTTTGGAAAGTTAGCAATGAGGCGTTTAGTTCTCTAAGGAACAGAGGAGGCGTTCCATTGCCCGTGTTGTTGCTGTTTGGATTTTCCAGAGGAGGTGAAGGCCCACTAGGTCTGTACCTCCGGGGAAATTGGGCAAAGTTGTACGAAAACTCCCAGTCCAACGCCACCCACTCCAACCCCCGTGGGGCCCTTCCGTTCCAGTTTCCGTGATACAAGAAGGTACCTTGAGGTAAAAACGCAGGGAAAAAGCTCACTCCCACAGGGCCCAAGTCGTTACTCTTTTGCTTTAAAACTCCGTGAATTGTATTGAAAACAGCAGAGGCGTTTTGTGCATCAATGTAGGGGAGTGGCTGAGGGGAACCCCGGTCCGTAGCCGGGCGTTTAGGAATGATGCTGATCCCAGGGTGGACAAAGCTAACAACTGTGTGGTGGAGATTCAGAAACTGAAAGAAAAACATCAAAAGATTGAGTAGTACACCGGCGTATAGGGTGGCCCTTAGCGATGTGTTTCTGTCTCTAGGCGCGGGACACTGTCCACGCTTTTCGTGACTCATATCCATGTCTTATACTAATCGTCAGGATATTTAAGAATACTGCTTCCCCGAGGCTTGATGTTTGAGGTATTATGTGTGTTAGAAGCAAGAAGGGATGAGAAATAGCATACTTTGGTTTAGGGAACGGGGTCGTGGTTATGCAGAGTAGACGTAAGTTCGCGGAGGATAACGGTGTTAAGCATCAGATAAAACAGTTACTTTTTCATCCTGTATTATATGTAGGATATAGGATAAGCTAACGATTCTAAACGGTGTGAGTGGTCATTATAGTTTGGTGTGAATGGTCATTACAGCTTTACATGAAAGGGGCGTTATAGTTTAGCCTTGTGTGGCTTGCTCTTACACTCGCTGCCTAGTATTAAGGCCATCTTCAGATCACCGTTTTGCCATGCGATCTCGCGGCTCGAAATTCCTAACGGAGCTTGGCGCGCGGGTGCGGCGGGAAAAGACACGAAGAGGAAGCTTATCTCCCCGCAAGCCATTGACAGGTCTCAAAAGTACATAACCTCGTGTGCATTTCTCTTTTGCATTCATACTCATCATCTTTCTTCTATCTTGTCTCCACTTTATCCATGCAGAGACCTAACCACCACAAAGTCCTCGTCATTGGGGCGGGAATATCTGGTATCAAAGCTGCCGCGGAACTCCACAAACAGGGCATCGATTGCCTTGTGCTAGAGGCGAAGAACGTGCTCGGAGGCAGAATATATACCGATAGGTCCACCGACACGCCATACGACATTGGCGCCTCCTGGTTCCACGACTGTCTCGACAATCCGCTCTTCGAAAAGTACCAGAAAGAGTTGAAGAACCAGGCGGGGTCGGGGTTCTTCTTCGACGATGGCCCTATGGCGGTTATCACCGAGAAGGGCTACATTGACGAAACGTTTGCCAAGCTCAAGCCGGTATCCGAGGAGATTGTGGCGTATATTGCACTCACGTACAGCCAAAACCCGGAGAAGCCTGATGTATCCCTCCACGCGATCATCCAGGAATACCTTGCGGCCTACGGCCACCTCTTGACACCAGTGCAGAGGCAGTACAGTCCACAGTTGGCGCGCTTCTTTGAATTGTGGTTCGGGGCTTCCTGGGACATGCTCAGTGCCAAAGAGTGCTGTGAAATGGCCCACGCGGGCAGAAACGCGTTTGTCACTAATGGCTTCGACACGGTGTTCCAGAACGAGTTGAAAGAGTTTCCCGTAGCCCAGATCAGAAAGAATACGGTTGTTCATGGTATCACCAAGACTGACTTTGGTGTCCGCGTTGCTGCCAGGTCAAACGGCGAAGGTGTTGTTTTTAGTTGCGACTACTTGATTGTGACCATCCCCCAGGCGGTGCTATCGTTGCCTTCGTCGCAGCCTAACTCGGTCAAGTGGACCCCCTCGCTTCCGCACCGAATTGTGTCCACGTTCCAAAAGATGAGCGTGGCCTCCTTGGGCAAAATCGTGCTTGAGTTCGACTCTGTGTTCTGGGACAAGTCTTTGGACCGCTTCTTGTGTCTTTCCAGCCCTGAAACCATCTCCGTGAAGGCCCCACGGTTATCGATGAAGGGTGACCCGCGCACTATCACGGTTGATACCAACCCGAAACCATGGTCTTACCCGATCTTGTTTGTGAACTACCATGCGGTTGCCGGAAAACCGGCTCTCTTGGCGATCATCGCGGCCCCCTTGACCCAGCACGTTGAAACTGCGTCTGCGGAAAAGATTTGGGAAATCATGCAGCCTATGGTGGCTCAATTGTCGAAAGTAGCTGATCCTCCAAAACCAAAACGCATTTTGACTACAAAGTGGACTCAGGATCCGTATGCGCTCGCCACGTACTCTTCTGCTGAGCCGGGAGACTTACCTCAAGACGAGGCCATTTCTCTTTTGAATGAAGGATACGGAAATATCCGTTTTGCAGGGGAGTACACGATTGTGTACGGTAACGGATGTGCCCATGGCGCATGGATGAGTGGGTTGCGTGAGGCCACTTGGGTAATCGAGGATTTGCGAAGAAAATCCAAACGTGAAGGGCGGTTGTAGATCGATAGTTCCTGCTCTCGTTGGAATGTCACTTATGTCTATGATGGAGACGCCCTGCCGCTTTTCTACTTTAATGGACGTATATTTATAGTTGAACATTCTAAACATCCTCAGAGTAGCGAGGCACGGATGATTTCTAGTCGCTTGACAGGCCAACCGAAGCGTCTACAATATTTAAAATCTACACAAGTATCTCTAAACCAGGCTTATCGGTAGTTTTTAGCTACAATTCTAATCCATTTAGTAGACATTCACCCTTATATAGCTACTTTATGAACTAGTTGAACCGTTCTATGGCGAACCTCTAATACACAGAAGTGGACTAACAATACACACTGGCCTTTTACAGTCTCGGGCTCTCTAGTCACAATCTACTTTTTTTTGCTTAATGGATCAGATAAATATTAGGAACATGTAATATACAACCTGCTGCCAATAATGACACCAGAGCCTTAGTTGCCGGGTTAGGGCGAGCTTTACTGACTGGCCCGGCAGCCAAGTATCACCACCTACGGCACCGATTAGTACGGAGCAAAGCTGGCTCCTCTGCCTCTACCTCTGCCTCTAAACGCGCCTCTACCTCTACCCCTGCCTCTCATCGGCCCCCCTCTGCCTCTGCCTCTGCCTCTCGCAGACAAGCCCGGTAAGTTGGTTCTCTTGATGGTCACCTTCAACTGTCTCTCTCTGAACAAAGAGTCATTCAACGCCTCAATTGCTCTCGGCACCAACTCGGCGTCGCTGAATTCAATGTAAGCGAACCCCTTTGGGTGGCCGGTGAACTTGTCAAGCAAGATAGTGACCCTGTTGATGGTCCCCACACCCTTAAAGTGGTTCTGCAACTCCTCCGGGGTGGTTCCGTAGTCTACGTTTCCCACGTGAACCGAGCGGGAATCGATATCTGCCTTCTGCTCTGGGGTGAGGAACGGAGCGCCAGTGGGGGCGAGAGGATGCGCCTGTGGCGGCGCCGCGCCTTGCGACTGCGCCTGGTACTCGCGCAACTTTGCAGCCTCGGACTCCATCTGGGCAATACGGGCCTCGATTTCGTGCGCCTCCGTCTGATTGAACGCCTGGGGCGCCATCGGAGCCGCCGGCGCGTGCTCGTCGTGGTTCAAGTCGATCGTGTAGGCCGTCTGGTGCTGTGGGGCGTCAAAAGACTGTGGTTCCTCAATGACCGGTTCGGTCTGGATCAAGCTTTCGGGGAATTCTTCAGACATTGTGAGTAGTAACAAAGGTGGCGAATCTTCAATATCCCGGGTTACGTGAATAATCTTCAAATCTGAGAATACACAACTTTTTTCGGTTACGAGCCCGCAATATCCGGCGTCCAGTGCCCAGCCCGATAAATGCCACCAAGTCGCCGGTAGTGTTTCAGCCCTAGATCAAGGGTATCAGATAGTCACAGGTTATTGCCAGATATCAATCTATCCTCACATATACAATACGCAATGGCTGACAAATTCCCTGCTTTGGACGATATCGAACAGGATATTCAAGACGGTGACGCCGACTTCCTCAAGAGAGAACAGGAGTTGTTGGGAGACGAATTCAGACAGCCGGAAGACGCGGAAGTGGTCGAGGACGATGAGGTTTCCAAGTTTGAATCCCAGTTCCCATCGGTTGAAAGCGATGAAGAGGCTGCTGAGGAACCTGTCGAGGAGACTGCGACCCAGTTTGAGACTTTGGCGGTCAACGACGACTACTCCGGCGAATCGGACGCCATCAGATCCTGGAAGGAAAGCCGCACGTTGGAGATCTCCAAGCGTGATGAGGTGGCTGCCAAGAAGAAGGAGAGCATCAAAGAAGAGGCCCAGAAGGCCATCGACGACTTCTACGACAACTACAACAACAAGAAGGAGCTGGGGATTGAGGAGACCAGAAAGGCCGAGACGGAGTTCTTGGAAGAGAGGGACAACTTTTTAAGCAAGGACACGACGGTGTGGGATCGCGTGCTCACGTTGGTGAATGAGAATGAGAGCACGGAGGTGGGTGGGAGAGACAAGACCAAGTTTAAGGAGTTGTTGGGGAAGTTGAAGGGGAATGCGAAGGCTCCGGGGGCTGCGGGGTACTAATTGCGCGATATCGCGCGGTGATATCCTAACGATAAATGGAGTGACTTTCCGCGATGGAGCGAGCCGACCTGATGCTATGGAGCGATTATTCTACCGTACAGCGACCGTTATCCTCCGTGCTAAGCCCTCTTGTTTCCTTAGATGACTTGTTGACAAGTGTATTTTTATTAAATTTTATTATCTTATGAGCTAGATGTAGATGTTATCGTATTTGGCCTTTGGGTCTCGAGCTAGTGGCTATCATTTCGACCATAGGTTTCTATTTTCAGTTGCGCTTTCTGCTTGTCTGGGTGATTTGCATGCGTCAAAGTACAAACGCACTCCCAGCTCAATACTACGTCATATATATATATACTTGGTCAATCAAACACTATTTGTTCTTACAACTTTGATAAACCTCAAATCACTTTGCTATTTGCACCAGGATGCTCCTTCTCAGGCTCTTCCTTTCCCTTTTTCTCCTTGGCGTAGTCTATGCTGCAAAGAATGTGGAGATAAAGGACGTTCCCCGAGTCAGGAGCCTGGCCCCAAGAAAATCAGAAACTTACTTTGAAAATGTCCGCAAAACAAGAGGATACGAAAAAGCCTCGTTCAAGAAATTCAGATTGCCCTCCTCGGAGGTGCAACTGGCGCGCGATAAACAGGAATACGTTGACCTGTGCTACAGAGATGCCGTCAAGTACAACATCCAGCAGATCTACGAGGCATCTATTAACCTCGAATCCATCTGTCACTACAATATCGACCATAAGAATAAAGTTTTTGCGTACGATACCTCCAGGGAATTCTCCTTCTACGTCGAGCCCAGAGAGATCTTGGATGCCCGTGACATTGAGTACATCAGAAAGCAAGCAGTACAAACGACGGGTTTGTCCGAACTCTCTAGCGAATGGAAAGACTATAAGGGTGTGTGTGAGTTGACTCCGGGACAGGTTGGCAAGCTAGAGTTCGATGCAACCCTTGTTATTGTATCCGTCGAGTACTCTGTAGATAAAATAGCAGTGTGCGACGACGTGGATAATATTGAAAATGCGGAGATGGGGTACCTCACAGTGGGATTTCCGGTAGGGGATCTGGCACGGTTTCATTGCAAAACCGGCAAGCAATATTGTCCGAGCAAGGAGGTTTATTTGAGATTTAACAAATAAGGAGGGGTATACTTCGTACATATTGAGGACGAAAGAATTATTTACATATATATCTGCGATTTTAAATTTATTGGACATTGAAATATATACAATAAAAAGCCTATATTTAATTTTTTATAAAGATATTGTTTGCCAGTTATTACACGTGTAATATATATACAACTTTCAGTTTCTATTCGGTCTGGTTCTATACTTCAGCCTACTCGGACCCACAATGTCTATGCATATGCATGCACCTTTTTGATTTTGTAACTTCTCATTTCTTTCTCATAGTCGAGAAAAAATGGGTTATATTTCAGCATAGAAATACATTTGTAACTTTTCAAACCTTTCTTTAGTAAACTTTCTCGTTACCCAACCAAAAAGATGCGTCCGGTTTTCTTATCTTTCTTCATGTTTGCAGCCTTGGGCTACGTGCAATCCCTTGAGGATGTAGCGAGTGCTTCTCCCACTGGAGTTGAGGGGGTGATTGACACCGGCACGGAATTGCCAGCCCCCGAAGTATTGCAGAGGTGCTACAAGCGGGTGCGTGACATCAGTGTCCAAAACACCGAGAGACGCGAGGTTCCTTTTACTTATGGCAGTGACTGCTACATCAACAATAGCACGACGGTGCAAGCCACGGGGTTCAACTCCACACACTATTCTCACCATCACAAGCACAACCAGCACTTGTTGAGGTCATTGTCCCACCCCACCCTCGAAATCCATTTCACCATGGGGGAGTTGAACGGCATTTTTCGTGAGACATTTAGACAGCTTGGAATAGAAAAAGCGGAGGACAGCGGGTTCTGCTACTTCCAGCCGCAGCAGCGGGGAAAGTTGGAAGTGAATGGGATTTCGGTTGTAGCCCCTCTTAGCGTCTCGGAGACCTACCAGTCGCTGTGTCTGGAGTATGCTGACATTCCGGTGTTTAGGGACGAGATCGTGGATGTCGTAGTTCCGATTTCTTTTGAAACTTTTTGTGTGTACGGGGAAGATATCTGTCCGGATAGCAGCAAGTTTGCCACCTTCCACTCTCTTGTAAAATAGAGGAAGGTTGGACTGGCTACGCCTCACAAAGGCTTTGTTCAGTATCTATGGCGGGGCACCATATTAATCCTTTATTTAGAGAATGCGAAAGGAATAGTTTGACATCCGGCGGGTGGATCTCCTACAGATAGGTCCAAATATGTAGGTACATACACGGGATTTAAGAGGCTACCATAAGGCTAGCGAAGATTACAGCTGGAATCTACATATCTAAGGTGTTAATATAAGCTTTCCTGCAAACACTTAGAGAAAGATATGCAGGTCCTAAGAGAGACCATATGGTTCCATAATCAGCGAGTGGGCTTGCAGGGCAGGTTACTCGGATAAACACACCAGAAAAGAACAGGAGAAAATACCGAACTTTCTAATTTTTCAGTTTTTATGTATCCATAAAATGCTCTTTGGGCCTACTTTCCCAGTTTATTCTGTCCGTCATTTCTCTGGTGGTTATTTCATACTGTGCTTTGTCACTTACATAAGCACAATCGATTTCTGAAAACGCGTTCCAAAATCTGCCTAACGCGCATAGACGCGTTAGGCAAAGATATTTACACTCCAAACTTCCTCTCTTCCCCCACTACCATATATCACTCGCTATAGAGCTCACACTACCACCACTTACCACCACTTGTCATCTCAATAGACAATAAAGCTTTCCATCAGATGTACAGCTACCACTTGCCATCGCCCATGTCGTCGCCTGCTTCCAAAATGCTGTGCTCCACACCCAGAGAGCCGTTGCTTGAGGCCGCCACGATAACGCCCTACAGCGCCACGTTCGCCCAGAACGACTCAGAAGATGATCTAGAGCTTATGTCCGCGCTAGACAAGATACACTATGACCAGAAAGCGCGCTCAGACGTCATGTTCAAGCCGTTTCTCGCGTCCTCGTCACCCATTCGCGGCGACGACGTTGCCACAACCTACAACCAGGCCATGCGCAGCCGGAATCGCTTGCGGGCCAACAAACAGCGCCAGGACACGCGACAGGAGAAGATTTTGCAGCGGCGTGGTGGCGCGGTCCGCATGGATGAAGAAATCATGAAGGCAGAAGAACAGGAGTTCTTGGAGCGGATGCAGCAGGAGGCCTCCAAGTACGAAGTGGAGTGCGAAGACGAGTATTGGTACGGAGATGATGAGTATCTCCTCGAGAATGGACCGAAAGAGGCTACTCTGGCGTATGAGCGCGAGTTGGAAGAGATGTTGCGGCTAGAGGAGGAGGAGTTGATTGCCATGACCCAGGAAATGACTATCGAGGGTTAAGGTTTGTATAATAAGGAGGCTGGTTATTGTTTTTTTTAAAGTTCAATTATGCTAAGGTAAAGAGTGTAAAATGGTGAAATAGAGCTGAAAGAGGCCAACAGTGGGTAGATTGAATAGCAAAAATAAGAGGCTGGGATACAGGAGCCTCTCGGAGATAGGCAACGGGCATTAAGCTTTCATTATAATTAAAAGTCTCCCCTCAAGATCTTATCGAGACTGTCGTACTCTTTCAGGCTTACCTGCGCGCCGCATAAAACGCGCCGCAGAAAATTCATCAATGCGTCTCGCCTATCAACCACGCTTCTTCTTCTCTACGATTACGCCACACCTCGCCCATTACTACGCCTTTGTGATGCTGCCTTACGTATGATTATCCTCAAGAGATTCATCCATTTGACAAAATGCACATGTATTAGAGCTCCCGTTTTGGATTCACTCTCTCACAGTGACCTATTCGACCCACGGGTAACTCCGCAGCCTAGACTAACGCCAAATGCTATTCCACAAGTAGCCCAGAGCATACCGGTTCTGCTTCACATTGCAGAAACGCTCATATACTACAAGCAGGCAACCTTGAAAGCGGTCGAGGCGACCACACAGAGCACGATCCGCTGGCAACAGACCGAGGGGGAGTATCAGTTTGTCGTCAGCACCGAGACCAGACTCGGCGTCAAGGCTGCCGTAGAGGCTATCCAGAGAATACAGCTGGAAATAGCCGAACAAACCGTCACGGTCAGGATCCACCCGGGGGTCGTGCCCTACGTTGTGTTTGACAACTGGGACCCCCTCCGAAGAGAAGTAAGCGCCACCAAAGAGGCTGGATTGGTGAGCAGAGAGGTGAAAACAGACCCTATAGTGGCCACCGGATCCACCAGAGCCTGTCATATATTGGATTCGCCCAGATGGAGCCAGTTTGTGTTCAACTCGCGTGAACTGACAGCCCACGCAACTTTTCCGGTTATAGCTCAGTTTGGCAACACAGTAATCCACTTTGACAGGCATAATAGCGCCTCACTCCAGACAATCTCCATCATCTCTCCGGAATATACGTCTCGGCAAGCATTGAAACGCATTATGGAGCGCAATATCAGCCGTTATATGGGTCTATCCAAAGACGTATCCATCGCCAAGCCGATATCACGGTGTATCTTCGGCCTCAACGGTTCCGCTTTTGCCAGACTAGAGCGGTACACTAATACAACTATTAAGACCAGCGAGGATGTCAAGATAACTAGCAGTGTTTCCCGAGACAAAGAAATGACTATTAGTGTATTTGGTGAGGAGCTGAACGTCGCTCAAGCCATTTCAATCCTTAAGCTCGAATATCGCCGCGTTCAGGACAACGTCGAGACGATAGACATCCCCCAGAGCTTGATGTATCCGCTTATCCACTACGAAAAGCAACTCAGCACTCAGGCATGCACAGGAGGCACCACCCGGTTCCACGTCGAACAGCTGTCTCTGACGTCTTCCCGAGTGGTTATCTACGGTCACAGCAAAAAAGATGTCTGGCTGTTGAAAGAAGCGCTACTTAAGTTCATTGAGAGGTTGGAATGCATGGCGGAGGTGATTAGCGTCCCTCCGGAGTTTTTGAGTGCGCTCGTGGGAGAAGGGGCCCAGAATTTGAGACAAAATGGCGTCCATATCCAACAAAACGGCACAAGTCTTGTCGTCTATGGGACGGATAAGCGAGACATAGCCCTGGCATACAAGTCTCTCAAGGACAGATTGGCACAATTGACCGCAGACAGCGGTGGGATTTCGTTTCCTGGACAGTATGAACCGGCCATGATTGGAGTGTATCCCGGCGGATCTAAGCTAGACGATATCAGGAAGAATAGTGGTGCCTATATATCGGTAACAAAAGACAAAAATGCCGCCACTACGTTTGTAGTGATCGGTGAGGCCGCAACAAAGGCCAGGGTAGAAGAGCAGTTGAATCGGAGGTTGAAGTTGGTCACTACCCAAGCAATAGTGGTGGAAGTTCCCAAACAGCTCCATAAAATGGTTCTTGGGTATCACGGCCACCTCCACTTCCTTCGCTACATGTTCCCTGCTGCCACGCTCTCGAGGTTGAACGACTCTCAAATCTTGGTCCTAGGAGAGAACAAGAAGCAGACAAATGCAATCGCCGAACGGTTAATGGCAAATTTGCTGATGTTGCAGGACAACATGCATGAGATTAGCGTACCCAAGAGCCATGTTGAAAAGTTCTTGAAGGCTGCAAAGAGCGTGCTTCAAAAGGCACCATCTAACGTTTTCTGGGAAACGAGCTCGAAGGTGTCCATCTCCAGTCTCAATAAAGCCGATGCGTACGGCACTTATAAAAAGATCCAGAAACTTGAAACAGCGAAGGTTGTGGCCAGAATTCCCGATGGATTGGTGTACTTGCTCACAGGGATTGATGGGTTACGCCTATCAGAGTTGGAAGGTCTCATTGGATTCAAGATTGAGCTTAGTAAGCCGCCAAGCTTGCATTATCTGTGTGGATACACCGAAGTGAGCCTCCTGGATGGTGAAAAGGCCAAGCATCGGAAAGCTGTGGCACTATTGAAGCTGAGGTTTCACTCCGTTAGCGAGATATTGTGGTAATATCATTGGTAAAGGATCGAGGCTAGGCTGTGAGCCTGACTCAATCAACTACTGAAGCATATCCCAAGACATTTATACAGAGTACAGACGGGCACGAACCAGACACGCATCAAAAACCGTATTTTAAACTCATACATTTATAATTTCTAGTCTTTATAGTTGGGATCCGACTCTGTACTGTACTTTCAGAGTGAAGTATCATTCAATTAACTTATTTAAACCAATTGGAAGTTGGGCATCGGCACTAGCTCGTCATCTATGTTTTTAGGCCGGTGAAGGCTAGATTTCAGGCTACGTGCATCGTTACGGCTTTCCCAGGTCTCTGAGACCCCGAATAGACAAAATACCAAGTAAAATTCCTTTCATTTAATATTTAAAATAGAAAACAGCTGCCGTAGTTGGATCTCAGTTAGCAGCGAGTAACCTTAGATTATACCAACGATTACACTCTTAGTTCCGGCATCTAATACTCCTCTCCACCATACCTCCACGTGACCCATTCTAGTTGCTCCGAGGCGCCCTGCAGATCAGCAACAAGGGCTGTGGGGGCTAAATACAAACTCATCGTGGTTCTTAGCAATACGACGTTTCTTTAAGTATTGAAATCTCATTGCTTGTTAAAGACACAGTCAATCGTTACACTGATCATTGCAATCTGGCTTACAATTCATCCACTTTACTCATCCCCGTGACACAGCCATTACCAGTACCAACCGACGCCCTGTTGTAAGAGCGAATAAATCTATTTGCCCACTTGACACTACAATTACATTGGTTAGCAGCAAACAAGACTTACGATTTGATCAACTCAAGGCTGCCTAAAGATCTAGTCGAGATAGATCTACCACACTCCAGCTCGTTAGCACCAATCACTATGACCAATACGCAAGGCGCCTCCGGTGGTGCTCCAGGCCAGAACTCCGATGTGGCACCAGGCCAGAGCTCCGATGTGGCACCAGGCCAGACAGGCGAGGCTAGCCCCGCGCTCGTCCGCCTTAAGCTCCTCGACGCGCTTCGTGCAGGCGATGCTACACGTGCGTCTGCGCTTGCAACCACCACGCCCGCGATCGGAGCCCAGCTCCTCCACCTCGCAGTCCAGATTGCGCCTCTCCCAACCATTACCTCTCTCCTCCCCTCGCTCGACGTCGACGCTGTCAACGCGCGTGACGCGGACGGAAACACGCCGCTCCACCTCGCAGTTCTCGCCGGCCGTGCAGACCTCGTGGTGTTCCTTCTCGGGCTCCCGGCCATCAACGACACGATCCCCAACAACACTGGGCTCCAGGCAGTAGAGCTCGCGCGCGACATTCCGCTTGCACAGGTGATGCAGGTAGAGCGCGCCAAGTTTGTGGAGCGCGCGGCAGGGCGTCTTCGCGCGGCGTTGTCCGCGCGCGACTATGCCACCCTCGATACGCTCTTTGCGACGCCACGTGTGGTCGACCTCTTGGATATTAACGGTACGGACCCCGAGACGGGTGACGCGGTGCTCCACGAGTTTGTACGTGCGCACGATATTGACATGTGTCGCTGGATCTTGGCCCACGGCGGTGATCCGTTCAAGCGCGACCGCCGCGGTCGCTTACCTAGCGAGATCGCGAAGGGGCACCCCGCGCTTGTAGCGCTTCTCCGCGAGGCCGCGGGCGACCAGTCCGTCATCGGCGTCACCACGTCAACTATCGACCCGACCTTCAAGGGTTATCTCCGCAAGTGGACCAACTTTGCGCTGGGCTATAAGCTCCGTTACTTCATCCTTGACCAGAATGGGGTGCTCTCGTACTACCGTGACCAGGAGGATACGGCCAATGCGTGCCGTGGGTCTCTCAACCTTGGCAACGCAACGCTCCACTTGGACTCGTCCGAGAAGCTCAAGTTTGAAATTCTCAGCGGAAACAGAGAAGTCAAGTGGCACTTGAAGGCGAACCACCCGGTCGAGTGTAACCGCTGGGTCTGGTCGTTGCAAGGGGGGATTCGCGTTGCGAAGGACCGTGTGGGTGGGCAGCCTACCGTTACCCAGGCCTCCGGGACCCTCCCAGGGCCCATTGCCGGTTCTTACTTGGCTCCTGGACGTAAGGGACACTCGCGGACTCCCAGTTTGGCCAGCACAGCCTCAGAAAAAAAAGCTATGCCGTCGCACGCCCGCACGCGCAGTGATGCCAGCTCTGTATCTGTCTCCTCCAGAGAGAGCCCCGAAGTTGTCAAGAAGTCGCGTTTCACGAGAATTCGCCAGAAGCTCCGGTTCAAGGTGGTGGACGAGCCGGAGGCGGAGTACACCTCTGACGAAGAGGGCTACATTAATGACTACCCCGAGGAGGAGAAGGGGGAGGAGGTGGAGGAGGTGGACAGCCGTCTTGAGATTCTCCAGTTAGTGGGTCCGCATGGCGAGGAGGCCAGCGTGGCGAAGCGGACACTCGAGATTGAACTCAGCTCCGTGATGGAATTGGTGGCTAGTGGCGGGGCCGGCGAGGGCGCGGTTTTGGGCTCGAGCTTGGCGACGGTCCAGACACTTTTTGCGCGCTACGCGGAGTTGATGGAGGCGCGGGATTCCAAGTTGATCAAGACGTTGGAGAGACAGCGCGAGATCAACCAGTTGTGGGAGCGGTCGATTAGAGAGTTGGAGGCAGAGATTGGCGACCGGGAGCGGTTGTTGGTTGAATTGGAGGCACAGAAGAAGAGCTTGAAGGGGGCCCTCCGCGAAGCAAACGGAGCGGCTCGCAACGCCAAGACAGAAGCCCAGGATGCTCCAGCTGGAATTGAGGCCAAGGTTATCTCCCCTGAAGAGACCCTGGAGATTGTCACCCCCGCGATCCTTGTTGAAAATGCCTTGCAAACCACGCTTGAAACGATCCAGGAGTCTGAGTCTGTCAGGTCGGCGGTGGTTCAAACCACTGTGTACAGCGAGCGTGTGCGCCAGATAATGGAGGAGGATTCGGACGACGAGTTCTTCGACGCGGATGAGTACGACGAGATGGTGGGTGAGGTTAGTGTCACGGGCAGCCAGGCCCCACCAGCATACCTTTTAATGGACCCTACAGGGACTGGGAAAACGGTGAGCGCGTATGGCGATTCCAAGAAGGTGGAAGCGGCCGGTTCGGGTGAAGAGACCGATGGCGTCGTTTATAAAACCCCTGTCGGAGGTGTCTCGGGCGAATTACCTTCCCGTGAGACCGTCGCTGCTCCGAAAGACATAAAGGATGCTCCGACAGACCTTCTGAATGAAAAGATGAAGGAGATTCAGTCGGACCTCAGTTTTTCCGGGTACTCTGCTGCGCCTCGTACGAGGCTTGATCTCAGCGAGGATAACCGGCCGAAGATTTCGCTCTGGGGCATTCTCAAGTCCATGGTGGGTAAAGATCTCCTGAAGATTTCGCTTCCCGTCTCGTTCAACGAGTGCACGTCGCTCCTCCAGCGTGTGGCAGAAGACATGGAGTACACTTCACTTCTTGACACGGCCGCCGCTTTCGATGATTCCACGCTCCGGATGGTTTACGTCGCGACGTTTGCGGCCTCTGAATACGCGTCCACGCTCAACCGTGTGGCCAAGCCGTTTAACCCGTTGCTCGGGGAGACGTACGAGCTCGCCAGACCCGATGGTAACTTCCGCTTCTTTACCGAGCAGGTTTCACACCATCCGCCAATCAGTGCCACGCTCGCCGAGTCACCGCTCTGGGACTATTACGGTGAATCGGCCGTCAAGTCCAAGTTTAACGGCCGCTCCTTTGACGTTCTTCCCCAGGGAACCTGGTACCTCAACTTGCGCAGCAAGGTGACCGACAAGAACGGGAACAAGGTGGCGTCCGAATTGTATTCGTGGAAGAAGATTACATCCACGGTGACGGGCATCATCTCCGGAAGTCCGTCGATTGACAACTACGGGGAGATGGAGGTGACAAACCACACGACAGGGGATACGGTGGTTCTTGACTTCAAGCAGCGTGGGTGGAGAGCTGCTGGGGCGTACGAGGTCCGCGGGACGGTGTTGGATGCGCAACAAGACCCCCACTGGGTTATCGGTGGCCACTGGAACCACAAGATCTACGCCAAAAAGACATCTAGTGCATCGGTCAACAGCGCCCACAAAGCTATCGTGACGGACTCGGAGGCCAAATCCACGCCCAGCCAGGACGCGAAGTTTTTGGTGTGGACCGTGAATTCGCGTCCGAAATCACCGTTCAACTTGACCCAGTTCAGCATTTCATTGAACGAGTTGACCGACGAGCTTCGCGAGTGGTTGCCGCCGACAGACACGCGATTGAGACCGGACCAGCGCGCCATGGAGGATGGAAGGTATGATGAGGCTTCCAACGAGAAGATGCGTGTTGAGGAAAAGCAGCGTGCGACCAGAAAGAGGAGAGAGTTGGCCAACGAGGTGTACTCGCCGCAGTGGTTTGTCAAGAAGACGCACGAGATTACGGGTGAGAGCTACTGGGAGTATACGGGCCAGTACTGGAAGCAGAGGAGCCAGAAGGCGTTCAAGGTTGAAGAAATCTTTTAGGTAGGATTGTAACTCGTTTTAGAGAAGTCTAGTTAATAAACGATAATTGTTAGGATAATGGTGTGAGGAAGAGGGGTGTGCTATGACAAGTATTGCACAGTAGAGGTATATAACCAAGGGATTTGGATGAGAGTCTGGAGAACTAGAGAGCGGGATAAGTTTTAGGGTAACGTCAAACCTCTGCCACAAGCTGAAATACATTTACTGGAAGGATTGCTAGGGACTGGCTGGAGATACTCAAAACAGACACCAACGACCATCAGAAGAATTTGCTCTTAAAATAGACATTGTGAGGAATAAGGTGAATGAATATAAATATCTAGGTTACTTAATGCACGTTTAGATTACAGATTGTTTAGATAGAGGTCATTTTTAAGATTGACCTGACAAGACATTAGTCTTGCAATTTTTCGGGCTGTGGTGATGCGATTCATAGAGTATAATGCAAAAAAAAATCGGTAGAGCTTGGATTCTTTTCAATTTCCTAGGTCTGAAACGGTATAAGACGTATGTGAAATGTTTTGTGTTCCAAGTTATGGCAGCATAGAACGAAAAACATAAGCTCCGAAACCGGGAATCGAACCCGGATCTGGGAGGTGAGAGCGCCCTGTGCTAGCCATTACACTATTTCGGATGAAGCTTAAAAACTTATACATTCTACATATACTTTCGCTGCCGGAAAAAGTGCAGATGCTTCCTGCATAGGTGAAAAATTAAATGTGCTACTAGAGTTGCTATAACCCAACGATTACCAGAACACTATGCCAGCCGATCCCACGGAAGCCAGATCACCCAGCGATCGACGTAGATCACCTAGCGATAGAAGCAGATCGACCAGCGATAGTTACAAAAGCTACAGACACGACGAAAACAGCCACAGAAGGCCCAGATCCAGGTCCAGAGAAAGGACAAAGTACCCTGCCAGCTACAGAGGAGGTTCACCCGGGCCACTATCTGCTGGAAACAAAACACCGCTTAGGCCTACCTACAAATCATCGGGGATTTTGGAAAAACAATCAAATAATATCCAGGGCACTCAACTCAAATACACTCCAGCCAGCGATGCCATCTCTCCGAATAAGGACCACCGAAAGTACTACTTGTACCACTACACCTCGCTAGACACCAAGGAGCCAGTCAGAATTCCCCTCCGTGACGTTGACCATTTCATTGTTGGCCGAGATGCGTCTGTGTGTGACATTGTCCCTAAACATTCATCGGTCTCGAAGCAGCACGCTGCGATCCAATTCCGAAAGGTGGGGTCGGCTATAAGACCGTATGTGATTGATCTAGAGTCGATAAACGGTACCTACTTGAATGAGAATGAGAAGGAGCTCCCTGTTGCTCGGTTCGTGGAGTTAATCAATGGCGATGTATTACGCTTTGGTGACTACGAAGGGGAGTTTGTCGTTGTCTTTGACTAACAGTTTATTGTATTAGTCTTAGATCTAGGTAGAGCCTACAGTACAAACCAGAATGAGAAGAGAGTGTAACGGAGCTACTAAATACACGGTATATATAACATGCATTAACACCGGAGAGGATTATGATATAAAAAGCAGTCGTCACCGGCTGAAGCCCTTTACTCGATATTGAGAACGGGTTCCAAACACACAGCAACAGAACAAGCTAAAGGTGAAAAAAAAAAGTTGGAATAAAAACAAATGTCTATAAACGATATATAAAAACGGAAGCGAAAGAAATAATATGCAGAGAAAAAAGGTAAGGGGTGAATGAAAAATGCGGGGCGCGCCCAGTATTCGAGAAAAGAAAATGAATAAAAGGTAGATCAAGGCACGGCCGCGGTATAAGAATGCCGGTGTGGCTCGGATTTGAATGAGCACAAAATGTTTATGGGGGTTGGCAGATGAAAAGGCTATTAAAGTAACGGTGTTGTCTCATCCTCAGCACTATTCCTCTTCCGCGCATCCATCACCAACTGTCCCCAGTCCACCCGCATCGCATAGTACGACTGGACAAACCCAATAATGAACATTGCCAAACCACTGCCCACCCATAACCCATACAACCCGTACCCAAACTTGAACGTGAGAACGCAACTCACAGGGATACCGATGAGGTAGTAGCTCACCATGTTGACAATCCCTCCAATCTTCTGCTGCCCCTGGCCACGGAGACATCCCGCGGAGTTGGCGTTCATCGTGTCTGCGATCTGGATGGCCGCGATGATCGGCAAGATCTTGTCAATCTCGGCAATCACCTCCGGATCAGACGTAAACCAGCGTGGGATGGAGGTGCGCAACACCACAATAAACAAGCAGTTGGCGAGGGAAACGACGCTGCCCATGAGGAGTGCCACCTTGGTGCTCTTTTTGGCGGCCCGGGGTAAGCCAGAGCCCAAGAAATTGGCAATTCTGGTGGAGGAGGCAATCCCAAGGGCAAACGGAACCTGGTAGGTGAGAGCAGCCATGGAGATCCCCACGGACTGGGCCGCCAATGCCACGGTTCCAAGCCTGGATGCAAGAAGGGTCAAACACTCAAAGGCGAGAAACTCGGCGGTGATCATCACCACGCCCGGAAGCGCCAACAGCGTGAGCTTTCCCCAGTTGTTGAAGGAGTCTCTGAGGTGGAGGCCGTTCCAGCACTTGAGCGGGTTGGCAGGGCTGTCGGCGTCCATCTTTCGCCCCGTGTAGACGGTGTAGCCAAGGAGGATCATCGCCATGGCCCAGTAGCTGATAGAAACCGCGAGTGGGGCACCGAGATACCCGATCCCCACGTACGGATTCCACACCAAGAGATAGTTGAGCGCGGCGTTAAGCGGAGCGCACACGAGAAGTGCGTACGTCGACGCATGGAAGATGCCCTGCGCCTGGAGAAACTTTTTCCCGGTCTCAAACACGATGTAGCCTGGCATCCCAAGAGTCACCACGCGGAGGTACTGGGCGGCAAGGGCGGCTGATTCCGGCGAATCAGGCATGAGCACCCTGAGAATGCTCCCCGCGTAAAAGAGCCACACGATAGCGACGGGGACGAAACAGGTGAAGATCAAGGCGGTACAGCGCTGGAAGAAGACACCCACAAGATGGTACTTTCCGGCACCGTAGGCCTGCGGACAGAGCGTGTCGAGACAGGTGGCAAGGCCCTGGATGAGCGTATACCCGGTGATATTAGCGGTCATGGCGCCTAGCGAGACAGCCGCAAGCTCCTTGGAGCCAAGGTGGCCCACAGAGAAGACAGAGGCAAGCGAGAGCGAGTTTTGGAAAAGAAAGGTGATGATAAGCGGGAAGGAGGACCTGGAAAGGTACGTGAATTCGCGTTTGTACGTCGAGTCTGTGAGTTTTCCGTGTGTTACAGCATCTTCCCAGGCGGCTTCGACGGCCGAGGCAGTTTCTGGGAGGATGTGGTTGTCCCTGAGAAGTGCCGCTTCTTCGCAGAGGAGCTCTGGGTCGGGGGAGTAGGCAAATTCAACGCTACGTTCGTCCTCGGACATTAAGGTGGCGATTTGGTGGTGGTAGTCAAGCGAGAAGACGCCTTTGCCGTTGATGGAGACAACCGAGGCGCGTCTGCGGGAGTTGGACTCGGTGAAACGATGGGGGGAGCTTGTAGCCTCGCGGAGCGGAGCCTCAGGCTGGAGGTGTGACTGTGACATGAGGTTTTAGGGGCGGGTGGCTAATTTAGGAGTGTAGAGGTCGTAGAATGGCTGGTTCTGCGATGCGTGTGTGCAACAAGAAGGGTACCGTTGAGTGAGCTCAGCAAAATACTGAAAAGGCTTGATGCAGACAAGGGGATGATTCCAGGAAAACTAGTTGGCAATCGGTAGAGCTTCTGCGATTAAGACTAGGCTCTGCAACTGATTTACGTTTGATAGGACGGGGTTGATACCTTAGAAAGTCAGACGTAAAAGTAGCCGTGGACTCTGCTCAGTAAAAAGCAGCTGGAGTGTAGAGGTGAAATGACGCTGATAGCTTATCGCTGTATGGAGCGGTTTCTTGGCAACGGAAATGATATGCACGGTTCGGGGGTATGAGTTAAAGCCGAAGATAACAGAACTACCAAAAGATTTGGTTGAGTTATAGAAGAAAGTGGACTAGAAGGTGGAGAAGTGGTGCGGTAGACACCAGTAATTTGCTAAGATAACAAAGTCGTCTCCTGCAAAGATTTTTCCCTGCGCGAAATTTTCAGTGCCGTTTTCTCGAAGGGTGACCGCGTGCGGCGCCAAGCTCTGCTGCACGTTTATGCGTATCTAAATACCATACAGGATGGACATTAACGAGAATGGAAGAGAAACCACATTCCAGGTGCAAGTTAGTCTTGATGATTGAATTTCGGTTGAGAAGATCAATGGAAGATATAGAATCACAAGAGTTCCAAAAATTTGTGTCTTATCTTGAAGGAGCTATTGTAACTGAGAATCGCTACTTAAATACCGGTGTCTAGTTTAGGCCTCCTAAAAATATCTGAAATGGCAAAATAGCTCCCCTCTATCCATGAATAGCTAATATGTGCATTTATGACACGATACACACGTTGAGCTAAGCTCTTAGCGCAGTATCATGGACTTTCAATATCCTGCTACTTTCCCCCTTAACTCCGAGATGGAAACACAAAGCTATTGTCACTTGTCCGACACCATGGATGAATTTTAAATTTCCATTACTTTGGAAAATCGCTTTAATCTTTTCCCCCTGAAAAACGTCAATGTCAATGTCAATGTCAATGTCAATGTCAATGTTAATGTCAATGTCAATGTCAATGCCAATGTTAATGTCAATGTCAATGTCAATGTTAATGTTAATGCCTATGTCTGGTTAACATCCTCAGCTAAGGCTAATACCATAGCCAAAGCTAATACCCCAGCCGACTCCACGTCTAGTTCCGTTTCTTTTCTCGTCCCGATCCGGTAAAAGTAGTGCGGACCCGATGAGGAATATCTGTTTCCGTGCGATTTACAAAACGATGTCCGTTGGGCTACGTCCCTGTCTATACGAAAAACACATGTCAAGAGACGGAAAAACACATGTCAGGAGACAGAACGACATATACTTCGCCGGGCCTTTGACTTCTTCCCTGAACTGACACCTCAGACCTCTAACCGAATAGATCTATAACATGTCCACCTTCATTTTCGGAATTGCTTTGGCGATTATCGTGGCTTTGGCTTCGTATATTTTTGTGCTTTCGCCTAAGGAGCGCAAGGTGCTCAAGCCGGACCAGTTCCAGGAGTTTCCGTTGATTCAGAAGACGGTTTTGTCCCACAACTCAGCAATCTACAGATTTGGGTTGCCAAAGCCTAACGATGTACTCGGACTCCCAATTGGCCAGCACATCTCCATCGGTGCGGAGATCAACGGCAAAGAGATTGTCCGTTCGTACACGCCACTCTCCAACGACTCCGAAAAGGGCTACTTTGACCTTTTGATCAAGGTCTACCCACAGGGGAATATCACCAAGCATGTTGATAACTTGAAGATTGGTGAATGCATCAAGGTTAGAGGGCCAAAGGGCTTCTTCCAGTACACTCCAAACATGGTTAAGGAGTTTGGTATGGTTGCCGGTGGTACCGGAATTACCCCAATGTACCAGATCATCACTGCGATCACGAACAACCCAGAAGACAAGACCAAGGTTACTTTGTTGTACGGGAACGTTACCGAGAACGATATCTTGCTCAGAGCCGAGTTGGACAAGCTTTCGGCCGAGCACCCAAACTTCACCGTCTACCACGTGTTGAACACACCTCCAGAAGGCTGGGAGGGCGGTGTCGGTTTCATCACTCCGGAAATCTTGAAGGAGAAGTTGCCAAAGGCGGCTGCGGAGACTACTTTGTTGTTGTGTGGGCCACCACCAATGACTAGTGCGATCAAGAGGGCGACGGTAGACTTGGGTTTCGAGAAGGCCAAGGCGGTGTCGAAGTCTGGTGACCAGGTGTTTGTTTTCTAAACGAAGCGGAGAGAAGAGAGGTGCTGCCGTACGATTAAACGTAACATGAGTTTTCAATCGAAAGTAGATTTTGATGGAGATAAGCCAGTATGAGCTGGGAATTGCCAACTAACTGTAGTGTAGCTACGGCATGGATAAGTATGGTTCATGGAAGCTTTATCAAATTGAGGCTTCGGGGGTTCGAATTGAACAGGCATTCTCGCTGGACGATGATAAAAAGTGTCACTACAATTAATTGCGGTTTCTACGCCAGAAATCGATTCTGGCTTAGTAAGGGAATCTGAACTATCAAAACAATAACACACAGTACCGCATAGAATACACCCAGAGAAGTCCAGGCGGATTCAGGAGACTCCAGGAAGGCAGCTCAAAGCTTAAATACTGATACACGGCGCGGTGACTAGCTATAATATACTCTCCCATTGTGGGAGAACTTGACTAAAGTGGTTCCCGGTCTCTACCAATAACCAACTTTTGTTTCTGGCTGGCCGTAAATGACATCATGACACCTCCGTTTTCCTGAAATTACCGCACCAGCGAAGCCTCCCATATCCCTAGGTTTACACGTTTAAACACACCAACCCCATTAGAACTAACTACCTCGCCCTGCCCGTAAGGGTCTCTTCCAAATTGGCAACGCGCAAGCTGCCTATCAACAACAGCGTTTCCTGGCACAACTGCGCAAACCCTTCCAACTCCGCCTCGTCGTTATCCTCGGTACTAATGGCAAATACGGCGGTTGCCTTCTCTGAAACCCCCTCACTTTCGCCCCTGGCCTGCTCCATCTTCACCTGCTCGGCATGGCCCAACTCACCCTCGATTTTCCGTGGAATTGCCTTCGATACGGTACCGAGCCAGCCACCGAGCCGCGCAAGCACAGTCGAGTGGTCCGACGTCCCGTGGATGGAGTAGAGCTTCGCAGACGGCACAACAAATTCCTTTCGCTTTTTCATTGCTTGGAGGAGCTTGCAATTAAACAAGACATCCGGCGCAGAGACAGAGCCAATGATTGGGAGCCATGATCGGACCACAATCCCCTGAACAAGGTCAAGCTTCACACCCAGTAGCTTCCCGTTGTTGATCAAGCGGACGACAATGGACTCGATCTGGCTGAGGGAGATGGCCAAATGACCGGCTAGATACGCCAATTTGCACGTTTCAAACACCGAAAGAAGATTAATCACCACCAACTCCCGGATCTTCTCGGCCAACTCCGGCAAGATAAGGAGCATGAACGGGTCCGCACTGCGCTCCAATTCGGGAAACACCGCGTTGAACCGCTGGGCGTCACACGCCTGGTAGCACGCGGCGAGCTCGGCCCACGCGCGGAATTGCGAAAGTACTGCAAACGGGCGCACCTCGTTCGACTGGAACGGATTGATCTCCAGGCCCTTGGGCGAGAGCAACGTCGTTATGATTAAATAGCGGAGTACAGCGCCACGTTGGGCGTGGCCGATCTCGTCGTAGTTCTTGAACGCCGTGAAGAAGTGCTCCGCCGCTTTGTCGTACTTTTTGTAGAGAGAAAGCGTTTTCCCGGCACATTCCGATAAAGTGGCCATGATAAGAGGGTTGGAGAGTGTCAGGGCTGAGTAGCTGAGCTTGGAGGCCTGCTTGTGCAACTTCCTGAGCTCGCCAAAGTTGCTCGCGGCGCTGTGGATCTGTATTTTTCCCGCAATCACCTCGAGGGGGTAGGTTGACGAGGAAGATAGCGTAGAAGCGGCAAGCACGGCGGTGACCAGGTCTAGGAGCTTGGTGGCAGCGTTGAAATCCCCCGCATCTGTCAAAAGCTGCGCGTTCCCGAGGTTGATCTTGGTCCAGAGACGTTCGTTCGTGATAGTGCCGTTTTCCAGGAGCGACGCGAGGGTGAGGTCATAGAATTTGGTCAAGAATTCCTGACTCGGATTGCGTCCGTAAAACGCGATGATCTTGTTGAGAGACTGTTCCGCCTGGTTGCGGTTAACCTGCTTGGACACGTCTAGGAATTCGCGGTACGTTTGCAAGAGCTGGTCGTGGGCCCCTAGTTGGTTGTATAGCTTCATACTCTGTTTGAGGGCTTTGAGCCGCCATTCGGCGTCGGAGGCGGTATCAATGATCGCGCGGAATTGTGTGAGCGCCTTCTGCGGCTCCTCCGCCTTGTATGCCTTTGCACTATAGTACTGGTTATCATACGAGACGTTTTCTGCCTCGGCCGCCTCATCAGCATCGCCTTCACCACTCCCATCTGATTCGAATTCAAACTCGTAATCCTCTTCTTCGCTGTCCATCATGAAATCGTCATCAGACATGATTGCCGGGGTGTAATGTAGTGCTAGGGAGGGGTTGTATTTGGTTTGATGGAAGCCGTCTAGTAGGTCGACTTACTGGGATTGGTATATTGCCAGATGGGATGATCACACAGTGTAATTGGGTATTAGTCTTTGTAATATCAAGAAAGGCAATTGCTGGAGACGGTTAATTTGGTTCGCTCTGTTGGGATGGATAATGGGAGAGTAGCGCGCCGCTCCGAATTGTGTATGCACGACCATTATACCTCAAGGAAGTAAGTAGCCTCTTGTTGCGGCGATAAAGCCACAGATAAGCTAAGGAAATAGCCAGTGTGAGGGTATATCCTTTGAATCAGTTATACTAGAGCAAACCCTCTAGATATGCTTGTTCGCACGCCATACAAAGAGCCTCGTTATACTTCCCTTCAAGGGTCTTTCAGTGTTGTGCACGACCTCAAGACAGCCCGCACACCTACAGAACGCATATCGGAGCGGTTTCCATTCTAATTTGCGTCATATGTTTGGAATTTAAGCCTAAAACCATTTATCATATGTCTATACCTAACAACCTGGCACTTCCCTCTCTCCACTCAGTGCCGTGCACACACGACCTTTTGTCCCCGGACTCTGTCGGCTCGGCTTCTCCACATTTGGTCATGTGACTCTCAGACGACGAGCGTCAATGTTCTCAATTCAACGCACCATTAGCTTCATTGAACAGCTTTCTGTAGCTCTTTTCAAAAGCCTTTGCTTCCCTCGAGTCAAATAACCAGCTGATATACGCAGTTTCACTATACCCCAGATAGCTCCTCCTTCTTAGCACTGGCACCTGCCCATGGAATACTACTCCTCGCTTGACTCACGCGCGTTAGACGCGGAAACGCCCACGCTCTTCGAGATCATTTCGGCAAACCAGCTCGAAAAGCTCTTGTCACCGTCGATTCGTTTTGTTCTCGTCTACTACACACAGAAGTATCCGCGCTACCTTCTCCAGCTCACGAACCGCTTTGACGAGCTCAACTTGCTTGTGCGTGGTATCATCGAACACCGCCAGTTAACCCATTGGAACTCCACCTTTACCGAAAAATTCTACGGCTTGAAACGTGTGTTTAATGCCGGTAGCCATGGCGGATTGGAGTTAAAACGTGGCATCACAACCGTACCGCAGATGATTGAGGAGCGCAGACGGCTCAGGCCCGGCCAGATCTGGGGCTCGCTCTTTATGCTACTCGGGATGCCGTACCTCAAGGAAAGGCTCGATATCGCGTACGAAAAGCTCTTGCCACAATACTTGATGAACAATCTCTCTGCTAAAGGCACCACTGGGGTGGAAAGATGGAAGCTTCTCCTTAAGCTCTACTTCATGAAGGTATACCCCGCGGTGTCTGCGCTCTTTACCGGGGTCAACGTTTTGCTCCAGATCCTCTACTTGTCCGGAAAGATCAAGTCTCCGTCCTTGGGCACATACCTTCTCAATATCAAGTACGCGCGGCTAAACAGCTATGATTACGACTTGGACGAGAAGCGAAACGAAGGGCCTGCCAAACCGAAACAGACGGAATTCAGAATTAGACCGCCATCGTCGGGAGAGAGGCTTTCCGAAACTGTCGCCAGACTCTCCCTGCCAGTGAAGAAATCGGCCATGCTTGTCACAGGCACCGCCTTCCCGGCAGCCATCTTCATGTTAAAGTTCTTGGAATGGTGGAACTCCTCCGATTTTGCCTCCAAGGTCTCTAAGCAGCAGCGCAATGTGCTTGACGAGGATGTGCCGGCGCCAGCAAATGCACCTGGAAAGAGAAAGGCCACGGACGTGTGTCCGATCTGTCGTGAGCAGATCAGCAACCCGGCAGCGATTGAAACGGGCCATGTTTTCTGCTACACATGCATCTACAGCCATCTTTCGGAAGGAAAGTCCAAGGGGCGGTGTCCCGTCTCGGGCATCCGCTTGCTCGGGTGCACGTACGACGAGAACACCGACACGTGGAAGGTTGAGGGTGTGAGACGGTTGATGGTTTAGTAATGAATTAAAGTGGGCGTGAGACAGCTGATGATTTAGTAATGAACTAAAGTGGGCGTGAGACTGTTGCTGATTTAGTAATGAATTAAAGAGGGCGTAATTGTAACAGAAGAAGAGTATGAGGCTAGTTGATAGGAAGTATCCTGGGAAAATTTACTTGGACATAGAGAACATCTCTTTTCATCCATCTAATGGGCGTGTGGCGTAGTTGGTAGCGCGTTCGCTTAGCATGTGAAAGGTCTCGGGTTCGACTCCTGACTCGTCCATTTTTGCCTCTCCGAAGAATACAATGCCACTTTTTTACACAGCCGACTTGGACGTAATGTCAACACTTGTTATGGGGGGTGTAGTTGTCGCTCAAAATCAGAGTCTAAGCTTGTAAGGATGGGTACATGAACTGTAGCTTTCCAGGAACTCGTGGTTAAGCAGCGCTAGTTGGGGATCTTTCCCTGGCCTTTGATACCCAGCCACCATTATACCCAGTTGAAATCCAATATCTTGACATATATCCCACCAAGCACTTCTATCCCCGTTTCCTATAGGTCTCGCATAATCGTAATATATTGAACTAAACACAAAGACAACCCCTCAGAGGAGTCATCAAATAAATAAAAAAAGAGCTCAGTGAGTAAGTAAATTGAAAGAAAGAAATTGTCTCCAGCCGTGAAGAAAAAGGGCCTAGAAGGACGAGGGTCTGATTATTTATCCCAGTACCACTTCTCCCCACCGACCCCTCGAACCATGATGTCCATGGTCAAGGTCTTCTCGCACGTGCAGATACGCAAGTCATCGTGCTTGCAGTTCGGATTCCCGACAAAGATCATCTTGACAAACGTAAAGCCCAACTTTTCATAAATCGGACGGTTACGCGGATGGGACGACTCCAAGTAGCAGGTAGCCTCCTGCGGATCGATGTAGTGGTCGTACATATACTCCAAGAGCTGGCGCGCACAACCTTTACCTCTGGCAGCCGCGGTGGTTCCGAGATCCGCCAAGTACCAGCACTTTGGGGTGTCCTCATCCTGGTCCTCGGGGTCTCCCATGATCTCGATGCGGGCATTGTCCAACAACGGCAACTGCTCGTGGTACAAACGCTTGTACACCCTCTTGTTGCACAACCACTTGAGCTTCGTGTCGTAGAAGAAGTCCACCCACGCCGATCCCGGCTTGGTGGTGTCCACAAAACAGGCCACGGCCCAGAACGGGGCCTCAGGGTCCTCGTGGCCTGGTTCAAACTCCTGCGGGTCGCGAATCGCGAGAACCACCCCCGACATCATCGAGGTGTAGACCCCGGCTTCGTACAAGGCAGTGTCGATCTTGGTGCGGGTAGCCTCATCCTTGGCAGGCTTGGTCAAGTACGTGGTGTACGGGTCATCGGAGAAGGCGAGCTGCAAGGTCTTTGCGGCCTTACGGTATTCCTTCTGCGAGACCACCTCCACCGTGAGCTGGGTGCGTCTGCGACGGGGCGGTGGGGCGAACTTTGCGTGGCCCGGGAAGTCCAACTCGGTGTCAGAGACATCGGAGGCGTCGGACCCCCACAGATCAGAGGAGGAGATGGATTCAATGTCCGAGATGGGCGGACGGGGCATCGGGGCAGACAATTTCAATCTGGTGAGCAATTCACTCACTGAAACGGGGCTCTTTTCGGGCGCCGAGTCGGAGCTGGCGGCAGTAACAAGACACTCGGAGACGGAAGCGGTTCCGAACAGCAAGTGTCGTCTCAGCGTGGCCTGGTTAGATCCCAGGCCGACGGGTGGGAGCTTGGCGCTGCTACTGCCACCGCTATTATCGGGTTCCTTTCCGTCTTCATCGTCGTTGGCCTCAAAGTCCGGGGGAACCTGGGTGTGGTTATCCCCGTGTATCGTCAAGGTGTTTTGGTTCTCGGTTTTTAGCAATTCCATAATAAAGTCTATCTCTTGTGCGGGCAAAGGTACGGTAATAAGAGGTGAATGTATGATTCCAATAACAGAGAAGGCTAAGCAGGAAGAGTCCGGTTATATATCTACAACAGAATTAGCCGCCGAGCGAAACGGGACAGAACGAAAAACCACAGCGTGCGTATTAGGGGCACGGGCGGCAAATTTCAGCCGCAACGCTGAGTGGCGCTGCTACTGAACAAGCAATACAAGACTGCATCGTAGCCCGCGGGAAGCGCCACCGGTCCTTATCCGGCATATGGTTCCGCTCACGTGTTTCCCCAAACGATAGGAGATAACGAGAGCCAACGGTGGCACTGCGAGTTTCATGCGTGAACAATAACGGCCACGGAACCGAGACCGTTCTTATCGCTTTGCGTGAGCGGTGCCGCTGCAGCGGGATGTGCAGGATAGGGCGGATTTCCCTTCTGAGATAGGGGGCCAGATAGGAGCTGCCCGTTGTCGAAGACCAAGTGTCTGGTTCGGCCAAGTGACAGGTAAAAGGTGTATCAGGATGCATGACTTGTGGCATGAAAAGGGCTCCAACCTCTCGTACGCACCGTTCCCCGCTATAGGTCACGTAGTTCCGTCACGTAATCCTCATGCACGCTAGTCTGGTCCCCTCGCCCACCATGGACTTGCGTATAAAAGGTAATCTGGATTGGCCTAAATAGATTACCGTTATTGCTGGATACACTACAGGTATGCGTTCCGGGACGTTAGTTTTCCTAGGTTATGTAAACTGAGGAATAAAAGCAAAAGCATCATGCACAGGGATAGTCTAACAAGGGTACGTAAATCGTCACTACGGAATAAACATGCAGTCTAGGTTCGTAGTTGAATAGGGTATAGACGTTTCTGGTAGTTCTATGCGCGATGACCGTATAGGGGAATACCGTCTTCGTTGACTCTCTAGCGCCTGTCGCCTCTAAACTATATTGGCTTAGATAGCAGTTAGGAGGGCTAAGACGAGAATTTCACGGTCTGCCTAACTTTTATATAATTGACTACTGGTAATTCCGTCGTGACAGGTGGCCCTCTCTCTTCACAGGTCAAATGACGTTGCTCAACTTTAGAAACAAGGAATCCACCTATGCTCAATCGAGTCTAGCTTTAATTTCCCCGAAGGAGCGACTCCGTTGGCCGAGGTGAATTCTTGATCCTACGTGTAAGTCATATTTGAACGTATAAGTCATAATTCAAGATTTTAGCCCGGCCGCTGTAGGACGTCACATTAGGGAAAGTGCAATCATGATTTTTAGTGTACGAAGTATAGCCCAGGAACAGGAACCCCAAAGCTTATCTACAATAGCTGATCGCATACTATACAGGATACTATTACAGGCTGAAAAATTCACTTTGGTGACAGATCAGATTTCCCCGCCGTAGCCAGTTTGATGCTACCAGTAGCATTTGCCAACTCGTTCAGGTTTCACCTTTCCAATTACACGGTTTAGGTCCCCCAAAGGTTCACAATTATAAATATCAAGGCTTCCTTGGCATTTCTAAGACACATCTTCAAGGGGCCTCTGAGACATTTGCCGTACAGACATCACCCATGATCCGGCGATATCGATTGAAACCCTCTTTCTTGGGGTTTAATCTGTCTCAAATGGTCTCAAGCCTTCCTGGTACTGAGTGGTTTATGGTCAAAGCCATATCCGCCAGCCGCAAACGCAACCCGCTCCGTTTTCCACGTTCTACAAGCTCTTTCAAACCACCCAAGTCATTCTCTTCCAGATATATCATGTCCGTTGCATATGCACACCCTTCCCAAAGTCAGAGGCCTTACCTGATAAAGTCCACAGAGCCTCCAAGTGATGCTTTGGCAAAGCTCAGAGCCCGGGCAATCGCAGATATCCTCTCTCGCCAAAATCTCGTCCAACAGGATTCCATCACCTATATAGAGAGCCTACCCACCACTGAATTGCTCAGTCGTGCCTGGGGTCCCCCGAATCAAACAATTTCACAGAATTCGTGGGCTTACTCCCTGCCTATCAACATTGGAGACGCGGTCTACATCGCGGGCCTGCCAGAGATATTCATAGTGGTTGAGCTTCCCCTAGTCCATTCGATTCCGAAAGAGAGAGATCCCCGCTACACTATCCTTTCACTTTCCCCTAGCATCACACCTCTCCACCAGGTGTTGAAACAAGATATCGCATTCAGGATCCCTCAGTATTTTCCAACAAAGTGGTTTCAGAATATGGAGCTATTTTCAAAAAAAGTATCGTTACTGGGCACGGGGCTATTAATTAGCCAAAGGCCGGTTCTGGACGCAGAATTGCTGGCAACCCTGAACCAAGAATTTGCTCCGAACCTGGAGCTGCTGTTGAACCGAAAAGCATTCTATGCCATGCACGGGGTGTTTGTTGACGCAGCCACGCCGCTTCTTCTGAAGTTGCCCCATCGCGTTGCATTGAAACGGCTGCAGTTGGAAACAATGCATAAACTTATGGCCAACCCCCGTGGGATGGCAACCATACCCCTTTGGACCCTTGTACATTGTATGAAAGCCATGCCTAGTTATCCAAGTAGCGACTACACAGGCTTAGTCCACCGAATGAGAATGTTGTGCGGTGAAATTTCTCCTCAGACGTATCCCCAAACATTTGGTGTCGGTGGCTTTGCTCACAATGCCTATGGAAGTCCTTCGAGCTCCCCCACCTGCTCGGTTGTAGAGATACTATGCACTGTCATCGCCATCACCGAGCCCATGACTAACATCCCTTTGTGGAAAGTGGAAGGGAGGGGAATCAGTGGTGAAGTGGTATCGGTCGTAGTCATGCCTCTGGAAGGGTATGCTGATCGGCTACGGCATACACTCAATACCTTGGACGAACAAGAAGAGGTTGCCAGCGCGTTCCGTCACTATGTCGCACTCTATACCTTGTACAAGAAGACAAACTATAGAAATGCGCCTCCTCCAAGGCCTGAGCACTATTCAGACGTGATTTTCTTGCTAAAGCAGGTGCTTTGTGGAAACATCAAGATTCCGCCTACTATTGTGTACATGTTTCCCAACCAGGTTCCTCCCAGTCGTACCTCCATCCATACCATGCTTCTTCATCTCGACGAAGTCACCACCCTGGAAATCGTTTCGTTGTCGGAGAATGCAGGGCAGTACTTCGACCTAGACCACCACCCGAGTATCTGGTCGCTTCCGTTGGGGCTCCCTCCGTCTTCAGACCAAGCCCAGTTGGACCAGCAGTTTCACATAGCCTATACCAATGAAGTGGTGGAGGCTCACCCAGACCCCTTGGTCTCGGTGCGCCAAGACTTTGGAAATCTCCCAGTGTACTGTATTGATGCGGATACAACCATAGAGGTGGACGACGGGATTAGCATTAAGAGACATAGTGACGATTGCTGGGAGGTGTACATTCACGTAGCGGACCCTGCTTCCTATTTGTCTGGTCCCAGCGATAATGTGAGCAAGGTTGCCTTTCAGAGAACGCAAACCGTTTATATACCCCTGGAAATAAGAGCAGAGAAGCCTAAAAGGAAGTCAAAAGTGGACAAGCCTAAACGGAATCTAAAGGTGGATAAGCTGATAAAGTGTCGCAGAGAGCCAGTTGGAAGGGTACTGGGGAAGAATGAGGCGACAGAATATACGTCACACCAGAAGCTAGAACTTTTCCTGAAGGCGATTGCCCCGTTGGAGAAACGCAAAGTGCTAGCGTCGAAAATAGAAAATGCAGACGAGGAGCAAACAAAGGGCTCAAAGGTGGAGCTGAGAATTGGCTCGCTCTTTGAAAAGCAATCTCCTAAGGTGAGTAGTGGGGCAGCCAAGGGACCAATGGAGACAGCCGAGGATGCTATCAAGCCAGAACCGAAGGAGACTAGGGTACCCAGATCCAGGCTCAAGCATATGGTTATCCCCATGCTTCCACGTAAATTTACGAAATTAGCGGGTCTCGGAACATCAACCAAACCTGCCAGCTCCCATCCCTTTTCAAAGGCCTATAATCCACCTTCTCGGTGCATCACCTACTCTTTCAAAATCAACCCAAACCACACCAACGCCCAGATCCTCCAACATTTTAGCGATAACACGGATTTCTTCTCCGTCCGGCCTGGGTTGATTAAAAATTTTCCCAAAGTGAGCTACAACTATGTGAATCACGTCATTACTAATACCATTTTTGGTGACATTGCGTCGTCTTCTTTAATCCAGCAGCAGCGAGACTTTCGGGACTTGCTTCGAGTGGCATCCCTTCTCCGGAAGCTCCGCGTCTCCAATGGAGCGATCATTACCGGGGGCGGAGAGTCCACTCTGCTGGAAGTGGCGGAAATCGACTTGATGAATGTTGACTATGACGATGAATCGATGTTCGAAGCCTTTGCAAGAAAGCACGAAAAGCCCTCTCAGATTATCGTGAATGAGTTGATGACGATGGCCAACCATATCAGCGGCTTGTTCTTCCAACGAAATGGCATTCCAGGCATCTACCGCAACTACAAGTTTCCCAAGCAGAGAATAGCACCGGGGGAGTTAACTTGTTGGGAAACGTTAAACCGGAGATGCGTCGAGAGCGTTGCTAACAGCCAGATTCCGTACCCGGGGCTAAACTCCCTCACCGGGTTGGGTGAGTTTCTCGCAGAACTGTTCTACTCAGTGACTCCGGATGTCCCAGGACACGATATGTTGGGTCTAAGCTGCTACCTTCCATCAACCTCTCCGTTGAGACATTTTGCCGATTTAGTCAACCACTGGCAGCTTCAGCGGTGGTTCAGGGGCGAAAGTTTTTTCTTCGATGAGCAAAAATTACTCCACGTGGTGACGGTCCTTCAGCCACGGGAAAAGGTGCTCGTGGAGGCGATTAGTCAGTCCCGACGGTATTTGCTCCACAAAAGACTCCAACGTTTGGGAATGAATATGGAGCACACTTGCGTGGTGACCTGTCCGCCGTATCCAAAGGTTACAAACGTAGACTACAGTTTGGTACGTGTACTAATGCTTCCTTACGGTATTCGATGCTGGCTCAAGTACGATCAGAACCGGTTTCCGGTGGCTCCTAGAATAGGACAATATGTAAAATGCAAGGTGGCTGAGTTGGATCTTATCGAGGGGGAGTTGGTTGTTGGAATGGTCAAGAAAAAGGCTATCTCCCGAAGCACGAGACCCAAGTCTAAGGCCAGGAGGAAGAAGAGTGAGAATAGATCCCTAGTGAGCTACAATTATGAATAGAAATATAAAAAGGGAAGTCTAGGTTACTTATTTGAACACAATACTGTACTAGAAGTCACCTTATTCCGCAAGCGTTTGATGTTTCTGCCAGATCGGCCATTCAATATCTTTCAAATAGAGAGTTTGCATTTCGCCAGTACTCTTTACAGCACTCATATTTCAACATACAAAACGGTTCTATCGGAATCTAGGTAGATCTTGCTGGACGATAAGATGAAAGACTAAGAGGGGTAGCTTGTTCCATGCGATACCTCGGTTTTTGGTAAAAGGTTTTCCAGTTAGAACTTTCAAACTGACAACTACATCTGAAACTCCGATGTCTCGAAACTATCTGACTTTATTTATTCAGATTTTTTTTGGTGAAACCTCCCATATACTAGTAGGCTGAATAGCCTTGTGGTAACTACACAACGTTAAGGCTTACAAGAAATTAGACAAAAGGGCACATACGTAACAATCTAGTATCAGATTACACACAGTTCTTTCAGCCCTCTCGCTTTGCGGTGGATGCACTTATTCCGGGATACAGCTGCGGGGATCACAACCGGCGGCGTTATCGATGAAGCAACTTTCTTGGTTAGTGCTACCGTATACGCCGAGGTTGGACGTTGAGTTTTCACGCGAAGGGTTCGAGCTAATGCCGATAACCTGCTGCACCAAGGCGTCGTTGTACTCCGGTTGGACGGTCGCTGTGTGGATGCCGTATTCATGCAACAACGTTCTGATCTGCTTGGTGATATCCATGAAGCTGGCCGGCGACGAGTAGGCGTTGCCGGACTCAAGCTCCACGTGTAACGAAGCAATAGTCTTGGATTCGTTCAACATCCACAAGTGGAAGTCATGCACGGAGACGATACCGTCGATGCGCAAAATACGCTCAATGATCTTGTCGGCAGAGATGTGCGATGGCGATGCTTGCAACAAGATGCGGGAGGTGGCCTTGCACAACGGTAAGGCGGACGAGAAGATGATGATGGTGATAAAGAGCGATACAAGCGGGTCCGAGTAGAACTTCCAGGTATAGTCGGTCTTCCAGATGAAGATGGCGGTGACAATCACCCCGACGTTACCCAATGCGTCCCCCAACACATGGAGGAACACCCCCTCCATATTCAAAGACTTCTTCTTCTTTGGCTTGGCAGGGGCGGGTTCAGAGTCGTGAGAGCTGCCATGGGAGTGGCTGTGACCATGTTCATGTTCGCTCAACAACGCCGAATGCTCGTCCAACACCTTGGCGACCACTGCCTGGGGCATGATATCGGCAACGCTAGAGCCATCGGGCGATTCGAGGCTTTCGGCGTCGTGGCCGTGCGAGTGACCTCCGGAAAGGCCGCCGTGAGAGTGCGAATGGCCAGAGTCGTGGAACAAAAACAACCCAACAATGTTGGAGATTAACCCAGCGGTCCCGACCACGAGAATCAATTTTGGGTTGGTGATCTCTGGCGGCGAGATGAATCTCTGGATCACCTCAATGAAAATCGTGAAACACAAGGCAAGAAGAAAGACGGCGTTCATGAGCGCGCCCAAGATCTCCGCACGTTGCCATCCGTACGTGTACTTGGCATCAGGCCCGCGGGACTTTGAGACATTGACGGCCCAGAGAGCAATAATGAGCGAAATGATGTCGTTGAGCATGTGGAACGAGTCCGCAATGAGCGCAAGCGAGTTGACGCTGTAGCCGATGATGGCTTCGAGGAAGAAGAAAAACGTGTCAATCACCAAAAGCGTGACAATTCTGATTTCCTTGCCCTTCATTGTGGTTGGAGGCGATACTGTAGAGATGGAAAAAGGGATGAGCAGTGGTTATGTATTGGATAATTCTTTTGCCACTGGTTTATGGAGATAACGAATATCCGAGGAGTCAAGATCAGATGTAATTTATTTTAGCCACTGTAAGTTTTGTAGCGACCTGCACGTTTGCCACTTCTGGCCTGTATTTCTTTTTCCCACATTTACGGGCATTAGCCGCATGTGCGTGGTGCATTACTTGAACGACGTACAGGCACCAGAAGATGGCCAGCTTCTGTGCTTTACGACCGGAGGTGGGATATGATTGAGGCGGCGTCCATTTGGAATGGCCTTCTCGTTCTCGCAGATGGCCCCCATAGGTGCTTCTCACAGGTGCTTCCCATAGGTGCTCCTCATTGATGCATCTACGATAGCTATGAATGAATAGATGCTCCCTGCAGTGAGCGATAAAGAGTATCCTCGCATACTGTGTGGTTATTGCATCACTCCGCCTTCTATGCTAATTCTCGACTAGGATCGGCACAGGTTCCAGGAAAGAGGAATAGGAAAGAACTACCGAATATTCCCAACGATATAAGTCTGGCGACTTTGTAGAGATTAGATTCATAAGGTTGTTTGGAAGGCTCTATTCCAGATTTTAGGGTCTTTTCCAGTCTCAGCCTCGTATACGCACCTCCAGGGTTAGCGCGTACGCAGAGATAGTCAGCCATACGAGGACCTTACTCCTTTTTCCAAGGCTCGGAAAATCTCGTATTTGATTAAGGCCATTTTAGAGGTTATGGTACTATCCTTCTCTGAAAGAAAGTTTAGAGACACAAGGGTTTGAGATAGATTGTCCTCAATATTTTCGCAAATAGAGTTTAGATGTATGCTGAAACCGTTGCTGTGAGATAAGCTTTTTAGCACACCACCAGTTATTTCTCGAAAGCAGTATTTACCGAGACTAAATGGCATAACCCAGGAGATTTAGCGCACTGCATCCGCGGCTTAATTTAAGGTAAAGCTGGGTACTTAACCAAGCTGGAAATCTGACTCTAAATCTGACTCTGGAGCGAGGGGAAAAACAGATGCGTACAAGTGGTCATGGAGAGGTGTCAACCTACACTCTTCCGTAGGTAAAGCATCCCAATAACTTTCAAGTTTGGATTATTGCTCCTAGTTTGGGTTCAAACAGAGAAATTGCCGTTGTAAGAGCTCTTTTAACTCAGTGCCAATAGTACGTCACATTCGGAGTGGTCTAGCGTTCTCGGAATGCTCACGTGATACGATATCGGCCGCAATCTTGGAAATTTCAGACAAGCTCCGAATCACCCAAACTCCGAATCACACAAACTCCAAGTATATTTCAGGCCTACATGTCTGATCAACCACAATCGCTCTCCCAGCGATACACCTCTGCCATTGCGTCCTTTACTGCCCTCTCGTCGCTGCCCTTGAGACAGGACTCGTCGGAGTTTCAGAAAGCCGCCGTCTCTGCCATTGAGCAGTTCCAGACGGTGACCCAGAGTATTGCCCAGTTGTCTCTTTTCTCGGCAAATGAGTTCATGGAGGACCTCAATACAAACGAAATCAAGTACCTTGGCGTTAAATACTACTTGGGAGAGCTTCACGAGCGAGTCTCCTCCCCCAGACTAGAAGCGCTCACCCAGGCGCAGCAGCTCTACTTACAGTTTATCTACCAGCTCCATGACTACGGTTTGCTCAGTGCGACTCAGGCCAAGCTAGTTGACGGAATTGCGAGTCAATGGAGCCCGAAGCTCGATGAGATTATGCCCATGTCTTCTGCAGGCGACGCAGCCTTGAGAAGGGCCACCAAAATTGCCAACTACAAGCACGAATCCACGTTGACCAAGCAGCTCGAGCTTCTTGAACTGTACATAGCCCGTGGTGAGCTCGATAATCTTGACGATGAGGCGGTTAGAGACTTGTATTTCGACCAGATAAAGCTCTTTGCCGTCAGAGCGTTCCGAAACTTAGAGAACTTGATGATGGAGTTGGAGGTGTTGAAGCACGCTCCAAAGCTTACCGAGGTTATTGAGCCCACTGTGGATGACAGAACGGATAATGACACGTCGAGCCGGTTTGACAGAGGGTTCACCGACAAGTTGGAGGCCGTTCCAACAGATAAACCCAAGCTTCTCTCGTCCACAGGGAAGATTCTCCGTCCGTTCACCATCACTAGCGACAAGAGACTGCAGTTGAGGCTGCAGGTATTTGGAACGGGCCAAGTGTTGCCGTCAATGTCGGTGGAGGAGTACTTGGACTACGAGTTGGCCAACGGGAAGATGGCAGCACCAGCAGCCCCTGAGGAAGACACGGACGAGGACGATGAAGAGGCAGCTGACAGGGAGACGTACAAGAAGCGAGAGTGGGATGAGTTCACCGATAACAACCGCAAGGGGAGTGGTAACACCATGAACAGGGGATAGGATCTGTCGGATGACAGGAACACGTGCGAGTTTTCGAGATAACCTTTCGGCACTGGTATCATGGAGCTATGCCACTATTGGTGAGGGTCTGTTTTATTTCTGGGGGGGGGGCTGCCGGTAGTTTAATGTGATTACGAATTCGAATAATGTGGGATATCGATGTAGTTTAACAAAAGCAAAGCACCTGGCCCATGCCAACATAAATATATAACTAAATACATGTTATATAAATGCCATTTTAAACATTTATATAAAATTAAATTTTACAGATTGAAGCAATGCAGAGAATAAAAGCTTCCAATGTTGATATTTATAATTTACGAATAGAGTCGCAAATTCGAATTGAGTACTATATCAATCATAAATCGGTCCAAACGATAAAACCTTTAGAATAAAAATTATTAGTGTTTCTAACCTTATACCAGCAAACGAAGGAGCGGCAGTTGTTGCCCAATATCTTAATGTTCCTGCACATACAACATATAATCCTGTACATAATGCACCGATATCAACCATTAATTTATCGGTGGCTCGATCAGATGTCAAAGCCACAAGCGTTTCTCTTATCCATCTCTAAAACAGTTTCTTGCTTCCCCCAAATATACACACAAAAAAGCATGCCATTAACATTAGCCATTGGAGATCTCCATATCCCGGAGAGGGCCACCGATATCCCTGCCAAGTTCCACAAACTCTTGACGCCAGGAAAAGTCTCCCAGGTGTTGTGTCTCGGGAACGTGCCGGCCCAGTCATCTCTCACCTTTCTCCAGAGCCTCTCACCGGACTTTCAGATGGTTAAGGGTGAGTTTGATACCGCTGTGCTTCCAAACGAACTCGTTGTCAAGCAGGGAAACTTGAGGGTTGGGGTGATTAACGGGTACACGGTCATTCCCCAAAACGATCCATTGGCCCTTTTGACGGTAGCTAGACAGTTGGATGTGGATATATTGGTCTGGGGTGGTACTCACAAGGTCGAAGCCTACACTTTAGACGGGAAATTCTTTGTCAATCCGGGCAGCGCCACCGGGGCTTACAATACGAACGATATGTTTGACATGGAGGATGAGCTGGAGCATGAAGCCGAAGAGGAGGATAAGCAAGAAGATGAGCAAGAAGATGAGCAGGAGGATAAACAGGAAGATAAACAGGAGGATAAACAAGAGGAAAAGCAGAATGATGAGAGTTTGTTTATAGAGCCAGTTGAACCAAACCCGACGTTTTGTCTCTTGGACATCCAGGGGTCTGTGTGCACGCTCTACATTTACACTCATTTGGATGGTGAGGTGAAGGTGGATAAGATCAGTTACCGCAAGGAGTGAAATTAATATCAAAGCACAAGAGTGGTAATTGACTTCGGCTTGTTAAGGTAGGTGTTTGGGCACGGAGATATTGGTGAGAAGTGAATGAACTTGAGACATGTTTAAAACGTTGATAATGTAAAATCGTCTGTGCAAGTGTGTATATCAGAAATATAAAGTCTATCCGATAATCGACGCTGCCCGTACCAGACTGAGGACCGACGAACCGAGCTTTCTTAAAACTTTAACCGTAGGCCCAACCCAGATCGCTTTGCGGCCACTGTCCAATTAATCCTACTCTTCCAATGGCTTATCTTGAGATGCTTTGCTACCCCTAAAGGATAGACTTGAAAGATTTATACGTTTGAACAGTTCTACCAATGATGCTGGAGAGAATAGGTTAATTTTAGACTCTCCTTGAACAAAAAGTGGTTAGACTAAGAACGTGATATACTAGACATTCTACACTCCACAGCATACGCGTATACTACAGTAATCCCAAACGAAAGACGTATAATTTCTCGAACTAGCGCTAATATTTTTCAAGTCAGTACCCCACTACAGATAACCTGTAGTCTCCAAAACCCAGCAATCACCAGAGCTACGGTCTACTACTTATGCAAACATAGTCCATATAGGGCTTGCAGCGATACCCCCACGTGACTTCTTGAACCAAATGTTTGCGTTAGGGCTGGACTCGTTTCCACCGGGTAACTGCGCTGAAAACTTTTTCTCTCTGGTGTTTCCGTCCTGGCTAGAGGTATAAAAATGCAACCATGACCTTACATACTCGCTACTTTTCTTTCTACTTCACATACGGACTACAATAGTATGGCTTAAAGAGTAAGTTTGCTTCTATCTAATTCCGTGCTCCTCTCTCAATGATATATTATTACAGTGATGAATCCGAGTGCATTTGGCTCTAGACTTTCTGTCGATGTGGAAAAAACCTAGCTACCTTATTTATTTTTGTCTGAAACATGATAATATTTCAAGAGTTGATTCGATCTGGGATTACCAATCGATTTCTGTTCACTAACATGCCTCTAGTTTTTTTTAGCTCTATGTCAATAAACCCCTAACTTAACCAAAGCTTGTAGTCTAAATATTCGATAAACCATTGGTATTGATGTTCTCGGTAGAGTTATTGCTCGAGGCTAAGTCATATCTGCGATTAACCATGGGGTATCCATACTTTCGACTGGACTTTGCACCCTTATACACTTGTACCTTCCACTTTATAAACCCCAGCCCTTAACTTCAATCCCTAACTTCAGCCTTTAACCTCATTAATCTCTTCATTAAACGTCATACTCTACACCTAACCTCATTAATCTCTACATTCAACCTCCAGCTAATCTATCAGCTAATACAACCTTACCTTTTTCTCGACAACAACCTCCTTCTCCTTCAACAACTCCTGGAGCATGAAGCCCGCAACATCCGCATCTTCGAAATACGTCACATGCGCGGCAAGGGCAGAAACGAGCGAGATGTCAAACAACCCGGTGGGCAAGGCGTAATCCACGCGCCCGTTGGCATTGCACTTGGTGATCTTAGCCAACGCCTTTCCCGAGACCTCTCCGCGCTTCACCTCCTTCTTTGCCTCCTTCTTTTCTTCCTCCCTGGAGTTCAACATGTCGATCAACGGTTCAGCGGTGGACGACTTGGCAGCAAAAGACCACACGCTACTAGCCTTTTCCGCGACCTTAGCGGTCCAGTCCTCCCCGAGGCTTACCACATCCTTGAGATGCGCCGTGAGCACACCTGGGGTTAAGGCCGAGCGAATCGGTTCGGCCTTGTACCGAGCAAATTCCGGCGCAATGAGTGGCTCCATACGGTAGCCCACCGGATCGCATGGATGGTAGATGTTGTACAAGTGGTTGCACTTTGGCGACAGCACAAGACCTTTCGCGTAGGCCTCGTTGTTGGCCATTGGCTGCAAGGCTCTGGAGCTGATATTACACCGCTTGAGCAACTTGAACACCCCCACAGGCGAACCAACGGCAAAGAAGTTTTCCACGTCAAACTTCAACTGGGAAGCAGGGTCGGTCATCTTTCCGTCTGGTTGCTGTGCCAAGATGTCAAAGCAGATGGCAGAGCCAAGAGAGTGACCCATAATGCTGACCTTACCGTTGAAGGAAGGGTTTCTGGACAAATACTGGTCGTAAACCGCATTCATCTCTGACACCACCTCGGTGATGATCTGCTGCATGTAGTATGGTTCGTAGTAGAGGAGAATGTCGAGCATCACATCTCCGAGCACATTTCTGAGCGACTGCACACCATCCACCGTAATCCCCGTGAGAGACGGAAGCCGTGGCTCGCCTTCAGAATCCACCTCGGCAGAGGCCAGCTTTGTGGAAAAGTCCACCTTGTGGCGCCACTGGATGGGGAGAACCTGGACCCTGCAGTTTTTGTCACCTGGATCCTCTAACTTGCGCTTCTTTCCGGAATCCTTCCCGAGCAGTTGAAACCGCGGCTCCTGCTCGTACACGCTCTTAATTGTCTTTCGCATCATATTGACCGAGTGAGTAAAGTCCACCAGCTCGTACTTGGTGCCCAACACCTGCCCAATCCCGTGGACACAGAACACCAAGTGGCTGATTTCCCGTTGGCCGTTGTTTCTGATCGAGCTGAAGTCCTTCTCCATCTGTTCTTTGAGGTCTGAGTTTTCCTGTTCCTCGGATTCCTGCGGAGACTTGGTCTCTGGGGCTGTTTTGCCAAAGATCTCTGAAATATCACGTCCAAAGAAGCTGCCGATGTTAGGGATGTCCTGGGAAAACGAGCTGAGGAGGTCATTTTCCGTCGCCGCTTCCTTTTCTCGCTTATTCGCCTCCATCTTCTCCTCAGACTGCTTGGAAAGCCCTCTCGTCACACGCTCCACCCCGATCATTGCGGGCGCCGAAATCTCGCGGAGAAGCTTCAACTGGAAGGAGCCCTGGAACGAGTCTGGGAGAAGCACCGCGTTCGTGTCATCTAGGTAGATTACCACCTGTTCTTGGGGGTTGTTCAAACAAAACAAGTCCTTTTCCTCTTTGGAGTGCTCCAAGACTTCCAGAAAGTTGTTACCGTCCGGCCGTGTCCCTAAACCATCGTACGATGCCTCGTTCCTGGCTTTCTTTACAACGGGCTTGTCGGCTTCCTCTTTCTTACCCTTCTTCTTCCTTTCCTTTTCTCTCGCTTCCTTCTCGCGCTTCTCGATGCTGCGCCTGAACAAATACGGCTTTAATTCGGCGTAGCCTTGTTCTAAACCGTCGGTCGTGGTTTCGTCGAGCGGCATCCCATCGGAGTTGAACCACAAACCGCGGCGGACCTCGTACACAGCACCGTCCCAGTAGACAGGCGACAATGTCTTTTTGAGCAAGTCCACCTGGAAGAGATGGTCCTCGTTCACAGGGATGATATGTGGTGGGAGCCCATCTATTTGATGGCAGAAGCTTTCGCCATGGTTACGGCACTGGTTCTGGTACGCCTCTTCCAAGCGCTGGGAGTCGCGCAGAGTGAAGGGCACAAATTTTTTTGATTTTCCCACCGGTTCGTACTTGAACCGGTCTGGCTTTGATAGCGGAACATCGGTGGCGTAGAACCAGCGGAGAGTGGCAGGAGGTGCCTGGACCTTGGCGCGGGTCACCGGCGTGTCCGGCTGGTATGTGCCGTTGCGGATCTCCTGCTTGATCTCGGCGGTGAACTGGAAGCGCGTGAAGGATGACGTGGAGAAGAAGCACACCAGTTTGATCCAGGAGGGCATCTTGGCGCGGGGGGTAGGCCTGGAGCGGTGACGGAAGAAGAGCCGCCTGGAGATCATAAGCGAAGACTGTCTCTGTTTGGGGTTTCTGATAGGATGTAGTATACCAATGGTTCAGTAATGGCGTATTTTGTAGGAAATAAGTAGCGATTGGAAAGGTCAATGCCTGGTATTATCTTGTATTATACGATAGTGGATGGTGACAAGGTCCTGTTGTCATGAGTTTGCAGGGTTGGTGGATTGAGCTGGCGCACGTTTGCGGCAATCGTTCTTCAGCCTCACGTACGGCGCAGGCTCTTGTGCCCAGCAAAACCGGGCCTTTATTAAGGTTAGAAAAAAAGGATATTACTCCGTAGCATGCTAATATATATTAATAGCGATGGTGGACATATAAGGTTGAGAGTAAAAATAATAATAATTTGTAACACGTATATCAATCGCTCCTGAGGGTAGGGGGTTAAAATGCGTGACCTGTAGGGCCTCGTTCAGACCGGAGATAAGTAGGCGGAACAACCGCTAGGCGAGGCTATTCTTTGTGTCGATGTTATCGGAATGAGAGAAGCAGGGGGATTTGAAACATGGTCGAAGCACTTCAAGCGCAGCTGCCCAGCAGACAGTTCCGTAATCTCAGTACCCATACTACAAGTATGAGATAAATCTATACGAGGGCGAAAATCGACAGATCTGGTTCAAATGAAAGGTGGGTTGATTTTACCATGTAAAAAAATTAACTACATAGTATGGTATAGGCCTATGGATATTTTTTTCCAACAACAGTTGCCTGGCTAGCTCAATCGGTAGAGCGTGTGACTCTTAGTAGTACGCGATCACAAGGTTGCGGGTTCGACCCCCGCGTCGGGTTCTGTTTCGATGTTTTTGCACCTAGCTACGCCACTGATCTGTGCAGTGAGTGTAAAAGGGTTAAGGCCCAATAGGAGTGCAGCCGTGGTTGGCAACCTCCAAGGACATTGCTTGCCTTTGGCTACAGAATATACATAGCAAAAAAACTTAACAGATTAGTTCTGCCTAAATACGTTACGTGGTTAATCAGCAACTCAACTGGCCAAGCCCTTCGTACGGGATTATGGAAGATCAAACTTGACCATTCCCGATCGGCTCCGGGTGCGGCAGTGTGAGCGGATAAACGGTGGCGGCGGCGTCTCGTCCTTTGTCTCATCCTCCTGCCCAAAGCTCCGCACCCTGCGTCTCTTGAGGTCATCTGGCACCTCCAACCTGATTTTTAGCTTGGGTAACGGCGGAGACTGGCTGCTGGAGTGTTTCTTCTGGGCCTGGCTCTCTTCTTTGACCTGCGAGACTCGTCTGAAGCCCATCCCGCCACGCGACTTGCGACGCTTGTGCACATGGATCTTCTCTTCCGGTTGCAGTTCCGGCGCGGCATCGACTTCCTCTTCGTCCTCAAACAAATAGGGCTTTTCCACCTTTGTGTTGATGTCTTCTACCAAACTGTCAAACTCGGAGAGGTTTGCTCCCGCAAGCTTGCTTTTCAAGTGAGAAACAGAACGCTTGACAGGAGCAGCGGCCACTTTCTTCTTCTTGTCCTCCTCCACGAAGACACTGGTATTCTCGAACACAATCTGGGGTACCAGGAGGTTTCTGGTCGGATCTAACCCCTTTGCCTTCATAGCCTCAAGCGTTTGCCAGCCTTGTTCATCTTGCTCTTCTGCGGGCAAAATCTCTCCGCACTGGAGAGCCGCAGCGTCTTGGGAGGAAAACTCCTTGTTATGGGCAATCCGACAGTGGTTGAGGAAGCCCTGCGCGGAGCTGAAGTTGGACCGCTGGCAGTTGTCGCAGGTGAGTTTGACGATGATTCCGTCGGACCGGCGGTAGATGCACTCCCCAAACGCCCGGCCCGTGGGTCTGAGCGAGGACGTCAGCAGGCGCGTACGGTATCCGTCACCACCCACGCACGATGTGGCGGGCGCATGTACCGTATTTCCCGATGCGGCGTGTACTGTAATAGGCACCGGGTGCTTCGCCTTGAAGAGCATGTCGTTGATGAAGTTGGCGTATTGCATTGTGAGGTAGGCTGGTTCGTTGTCGGGCCGTTGGTCAGCGGGCATCGCGTAGTATTGGCGGAGACTGAGGAGCTGGGCCTCGCACTTGTGGAGTTCCTCGTCCACCAACTGGATTTCCTTGTGCTTGAGTCTGATCTCCAAGTCTATCTCGTGGGATATCACAGAAAAGAGTTTAGCAGCCTTTTGGTCTTGGGGAGTTTGTTCAGAGGTCTGGATGGGGGTTTCTGAGGACTGAGTGGCTTGTACCGATTCCAAGATCTGGACCTGAGGGCGTTCGGGCTCCTCATCGGAAAATCGGATATCGTGCATCTCGTGTTCCAATAAGGGGGATTGGATGTCCATATCTAGAAGTCCCGTCTGGGACTGTGATCTTCTTCTGGGGGACATTATTTGCTTAGAATGCAAGTCAGAATCGGGAGTTTGTGATTAGAGAAGCTGAAGCTATTGTAGAACGTTCGAGGTCCTTATATAACGGGGCAACGAGTGGAGACAAGCCGGAGAAGCTTCGGTGGATGCTGAAGGTAGAGGAAAGGCTTAAAAAGTGCTATATAGGTAGTTTGAACCGTTTGAAGGATGTCTCAGTGGCAAATCCAAGGGGTTGGGAGCGTAGAGTTCTTTGGGCTTGTGTGAGGACTGAGCTTTCGCCACTGTTTTACACTGAACGATTTGCTTTGAGTGTGTCCAAGGGGTGGAGGTGTAAGGTGGTCAAGAGATATGTAACTATGTGGTACCTTTTCGTGATAAGATATAACTGGCGTGTTGGCTCTGGGGAAGTATTGTAAAACAGCGGATTGTCAACAGTCATGTGTCAGCTGATTACCCTGGCACACCTCCATTTAGAAAGTTCTCGAAAATTCAAACCCTGGGAATTTTCCAGAATAGGAAAGGGCAAAGAGTTGAATTTCGCGAAAATAGAACCATGCATGTACCATGTTTTGGAGGGAGAACGAGGTGGTTTATTGATTATTTCTAGGTCAAAGTAATGATTTACACGGGTAGTAAAAAAAAAAAAAAAACATTTCCGGAAAAATTGTCAATATTTGTTGTAGAAAATCATCAAGTGTTTATTAAAAATGGTTTCTATCGTACTTGGTCACCTCTTATGGTACTGAGCCTTTCTGGATGGGACAAATTTGTATCAAGTGTATTTGCATAATCTTTCCCTGGCCGAACCAGGACCCACGAGAGCAGCTTATTCGAATGGAAACAAGGCAGAAAATAGTTTACGCCTGTGCCATATTTACACTCGTAAAAATGCGAGTCTTTTGTAGACCAATCACAAGAGCAAGTTGATTGGGTCTCTACCCGAGCAAAGTTCCTTCAACGCATGGAAGTTTCTCATTACCGGTGCAGCTATATTAGATTTGTGGTGCTTCAGCTTATTCACAATAGTCGAAGATTTATCTTTAGACTTCAATATAGTCCCAGACATGGGAAGCTCGGGATCGGGTTTTCCAATTTCTAAACGGCTCTCCTTCAACCCACCTTGCTTGAACGTAACCGTCTTCCGGAGCTTCTTTGACCTTTTCGCTGAGGAAGTCCTGGATACCTTTATTTCCAGTGCTGTCTTTTCCTGAGTTACTGCCAGTTCGATTACGTGCAACTTTTCCACCTCACTCATCCTGTTGACTTCCGTGGTAAGGTCGAACGGGTCTTCGTTCTTGGAGTCAAGGTACTCGATAGCCAGCAATAAAGTACCATTCTCAAGTGGGAAGTTAGGGAGATTTCCTTGAGTATACAATACGGAGCTGTTGTGGGGTGTGGACGTTGCTTTCGGAAACAGTGCAGTATCCGAGATATAAAGTGCAGAAGGCACTGCCAATCGTGTAATGGAATCTATAGAAATGATTTCTGGGCAAGGTTCAGACACGAGAAGGACCTCCGGCGATGGAAGGCCATTTTTCTCTCGGAAAGTTGTATTGTCTGCCCTCTCTCTCTGTTTCTTGACCGGAGGTGACTCAATCGTGGCCAGATGGGCGCCACATTGAAGTACCGGTTGTATCTTGGAGCGTCTCTTTACCGCTGTTTGAGAGGAAACAGGGGGTATTACATCCCACTCATCCATTATGTTTGTACGTGACACAAAATCACGCTCTGTTGGCTTCTTTTTGGTCTGTGCTATCCCTTTCGATGATTGATCTCGGTTCTTGGGTTTCGCCTGTTTCCCGCATTCGCCCGTTCTCTTCAGTCCAATCACTTCGCCTACCGTTTCATTTGGTACTGGTTTCTCTTTTTTACCACCTTTCACCTTATCAGCGCCAGCCTTTCTCTTGGCGTTGCTTCTTTTCCCCATAGCTGTTGATGGCTCCATACTGGCCATGCTCTTCGCTCTCTCACTAACTGGTTCATTTTTGAAAAAAACTTCGCCCATTTCCTGAGGATTCTCTCTAATTTGTCTTTGAGTCGTAGTAGACTTTGACGAGGCTTTATTCTTTTTGTTGGCAGCCAATTTGGACACATCCCGCATGGCCCTCTGGCGCTTAGTTACTGTCTCTACCGCCTCTTTGCCTTCGGCAACGCAATCATCAGACAACAAGTCTAGTATTATTAGTGTCTATGATTTTAAAAAAACGTGTTCGTTTAACGTCGAGTCTTTGGGTTCCGAAGTTGCGGGGTAATAACTACTGTCTGTGCCAGTGAATGTGTTCTGAAACACGCGGGCCTTTCTTCTCGAGGAGTAAACCGCCATGGTATGAATTTATACTAAGTTTTAGTTTCAATGGAATTGAGCTGAGTGATTCTCACTGGTGGTTTGGACTTTGACACCTACGGGCTAATTACTTTTTTTTTTTGGCAAAACTATCCCAACGCAAAATAGGCCCGGCGCGTAATCGCGTCTAGGCGTGCGCTGCCAAATCGCAAACCCTCGCACCAGTCTTAAGGACATTTGGAGTTTCAGGCCACCTTTTTCATTTCAAGACAGATACCGTTAGTACCGAACCTAGTCCAAATCCTTCCGATCTCCAATAACTAACTTTTGGAAATCCCTATACTAGAACAACTGTCGTGCCAGTTTCTGTTGATTTATCCACCGGGCACACTCAGACACTCGTATCAGGCTTATCCAGACCCCCATACCAGACCTATTCAAACACCCCTATCAGGCTTATCCAAACACCCTTACCAGGCTTATTCAGCTTACCGCAGTGGAACCCTATTCGAACTAGATTGCTCCTACTTTTGGCCTAATTAGCTCTGACCTTAATCCAGATCGCCTCTAATCTCACTCAAACTTGCTTCGCTTAGCTCAGATCAATCGCTAATTATGTCCTCCCTCATCAACCCCTCGCTCTCGCACACACCGCCGTCCACACGCGGGTACAACCCCGCGGTTGGGGTCTTGTCCAACGGACTCCTCACCACCACAGACGTGCAGCATGCGTTCATTGCGGCGACCGCGCCCAGCATTGCGCTCGCGCCCGGGAAGCGCAACTCGATGGCGCTCCGCAAGACGCCCGAAATCAGTCTCTCTGCCCTCATCTACATTTTCAACGAGCTCATCATCAACTACAACTTCAACCAGTCGTCAAACATCGCCGTCTTGGAGAAAAAACTCAATGCGCTTGGCTACCCGATCGGTATCAAGGCGTTGGAGCTCCATTCAACACGCTCGGCGTCACCCGCCGCACCGGAAACGAAACGCTTTACGCGTGTTCTCGACGTATTACAGTACATCCATACACACATCTGGACCATGTTGTTCAGCAAGACGGCAGACAACTTGGAAAAGTCGCAGGACAACGCGGACGAATATATGATTATCGATAACGAGCCGCCCTTGACCAAGTACGCCAAGCCGCCCAAGGAGTTTGATCAGTTGAACTGCAACGCTTTTGTCGCGGGAATCTTGGAAGGCTTGCTCGATGCCGCCTACTTTAGCTGCAGCGTCAGCGCGCACACCGTCCCGGTCGATGGCTTTCCGATGCGCACCGTGTATTTGATCAAGTTCAGCAGAAGCGTTCTTGAACGTGAGTTTGTAAGGTTCAGTCGGTAAGGAGGATTTCAATACGGGCTCCCAGAGGCCATGTGCAAGTAATCACTATTGTGCAACGGCGGGACTGTAACATACGATACCATCCAAGATTACGCTGTAGAGATATAAGTATGCGACGTATTAGTAGACCAACAAGCAGCACGAGCCGTACGGCTACACATTAATGTCAATTCGAAGCTGGTTTCTATGAGAAGTAAAAGGGTGCTCTCTAGATCTCACGAGTCGAGTGTGTGATAAACCTTCACTTACAACCACTCTATTGTCTGTTTTACGACCCAACTGCACCCTTGTTCTTAATCTCTAAGGTCTGCCAAAATCCCACGTACTTTCACTCGTCCATAACAGCCATCCAGATATTAACCTCCCAACATCTTTTTCCATGCTTTTTACAAAAACCAAACCAGTGATTGGTAGATTACTGAAGGCCAGTTATAATCCCATACCCATCCCATCAACTTTGCCGTCTGCTCTGGATCTCCAATCACTGTGGTTATAAACGTTGCGATTCTGTTGCCTTCCAATCCTAACTACAGCCCCTATTGTCCGTCTACCTACACTCCCATCCCTTCATAAAAGCTCTATCTTAGCCTCTTCAATATTAATTTACAAGCCCTCTAACAAGTCGCTCTCCAAATCATCCACCTCGGCGTTCTGGAATTTGAACGGCATCAACTGGTCCAAGTCCAACACCAACTTCATGCTGTAGGCATCCTCTCCATCCTGGTAGTACGACTTTTCGATCGACAAGACTTCGAACTGCAACGTGTCCCTGTACAAATGTAGCGCGGCACGGTTCGACTTTCTCACGTGGAGACTGACATACTGGGCGCTGTACACCTCTGCAAACGTGTACAATGCCTGTCTCATCAACTTTTCCGCAAGCCCCATCTTTCTGTACGTTCTCATTACCGACACTGAGGTGATATGACCGTGTGGCGGCTCGTCATCTTTGTTGTCGTTATCGTCGTCCATCTTGCCGAGCACGTAGCCAACAATTTTCTCGTGCTTGTTCACATAGGACGTGTCATATTTAACAGCCTGGACTTTCTCGTCGTTTATCGTATCGTCATAATCGCTGCCCGTTGTGGTTGCCACAAACGACGCCTGTGGCCACGAGAGGAGGTGGTACATGTAGTACTTCAACTGATAGTTTTCAGGGAGGTTGTGGAGGTTGGCATTTTGCATCCCCTGGATGTCCTCTATGGTTGCCGGTCTGATCGTGATACCCATTGTGTGCAAGTGGGGTTCCCTGGTGATATGAAAACCAAACAGGATACCTTCGAATCTGCTGAAATATGCGCCAGATTCGTGAATCGGTTGGAAGAAAAACTGAGCAGCTGTTCGGCAGCGAAGGCACGTGACGGCATACTATATCGGACCCTTGGGGGAGCAAAAGGAAGATGAAGGGCTCAGAAGCTTGAAAAACGTGGGATAAAAGAGGAAATTAGATGTGTAGTTATGAATAATTGTAGATAAAGAACTACGCCCAGTGACCCTGACTTCCGAATAAAGAGGATCGGAGTATAGGGGATAATTGGTTCCGATGTATGCGCAAAGGTGGTAACATAGTAACGTGAGGGCTACCACCGCTGTACTGTGACCTTTGGTGAATAAGCAACGATATGACTGTAATTATGAGGGTGGACCGATTGAGGCGGTTCCTTAGCCCCATATACCCATCGAAACTCATTGCTATCCCCCCTCCTATGTTACGTGCATGGGTCTCTGGGGAGTGGCACAGACCCTCCTAAGCTACTGGTGTTTGAAATACACGTTATACTTGTTACAGTGTAAGGAGAACTAAGACCGTTTTTGGAGCCACTATTACCAGTTTTTATGCCACATACATCTTAAATCCACCTATTTTATTGCTAATTGTCCCTTTTGAGGGTGTCACCAGCCTTATCCAGGGCCAGCGGTCGTGCACGGCCATACCACGCACGCCCAGGCTCAACCTCGGCCAATACAAGGAATCTCAATTGCCTGAAATTATTGAGACAAGTTCAGCATTTGCTTATTCCAATTCTTTCCCCACATTACACACACATTCAAAATGGGCTCTGCGTACACTATCTTGGGTAAATCCGTTCCATCTCACTGGTTGGCTGTCGCCACTCTCTCCCTCACCATTGGTGGTACCGTCTTCGCTACCTCCGGCTCCAAGCCAGCTGCTGCCCCAACCGCTGTTACCGCTCCAGCCGCCAAGGACGAAGAGTTTGACCTCGAGAAGATTTTCAAGTATGTATTTGCTCGAATCTAGACGAGACTATGCAGACACGGAATACTAACATAACAGCGACTTGACCAAGGAAGAAGCCAAATAAGGGTGGTATAGGTTCACTGGGAGCACCTTAACGTGGTCTTTAGTTCAATTTTATTTCACAAAACTCAATACAAAATATCGTTAGAGCACTGGAGATATCGCGGAGCCGAGGTTCCATGAGCGTAGTACCAAGGATGTCCCGTCAGGGACTTTCGGAGCTCCAGATCCGCTTAAAGCCATCGGAGAGGAGCCCAGGCTCTTGGAATAGGTTAGGCCACTCATCAGAGGGTATGAAGATTTAAGCAGCATTTACTACAGAGCTGGCCGTAGAAACTTGAGATGGAAGGTGCCAACCGCTATGTCCGTGTAAGTGACTTCAAAATTCTGCAGACCCTTGAGCTTTATTCTGTATTTAATCAATCTAAAGCCATTAAATCTTACCGAACGGTGTCCTCAGCACGCAATGTTAAGAACATTTAACTCCGGAAAGACAATGGTGACTTCTAGCTGCTGAAGGTTTTCAGAACTGTACCTCTACCAGGCCCACCCATCATTGTAACCCTGGCGATTTGAATCGCTCCTTGATTTAGGATTTCATACAATCTCTTTTGGGGTCACTAATACTTGAATAAACGTCCCCTCGTTCACTCGATATGCAGAATCTGTCCAATGCATCGGCACGTGTGGTCTTGGCCCGCTGGAGATTGACGGCGGCTTCTGAGTGTTACGATCCGAGATGATTGAAACGCCTAGGGATGTATTTTCATTCATACAGACATACCCACTACCCCGACCTCACTAAGTTTCCTTATATCAATGATGCCAGTTCCCGGGCCTTTCTCTCTTCTTCAATCTTTTTCAACGTCTTGTCGATTTTTGCCTTGCCTGGACCTGTGCCGTGGAACTGGTGCGACATGTGCTTGAACGCCTCCTTGGTGTTGAGCTCCCTTCCGAAGTCATCCGTGTACTTTAACTTCACCTCTGGGTTGTAGTTCTTCAAACGGTCCTCCAGCTCTCTGAAGAATTTCTTGTCGTCGGAAACATTTGGCTTGGCATGCCGTTTGTCAGTTATTTTGGTGCTTTGCTGTACACGCTGGTCAATTTCCTGCTGCAACTTCATCAACTCCGTCTTTCGCTGCCATTCGCGATTCTGCTTCTCCCGGGAAAGCTCTGTTTCGCTCTTCTTAGTGATCACGTTGCGCGACTGGAGGAACCTGAGGGTGTCGGACAAACCGCCATCAAATGTCGGAGTTTCCGCTTCGTTAGTAAGAAAGTGGATAGGCCTGGTTTCCAGGTTTTCTTGTTTAACGTCTAGGGGTACATCTTCTGTGTGATCACCCTCTTGTTTGATCGATACTGGGATGGCTTCTTCAGTATGGATATCTGGCACGACATCGCGCTTTTCAGCAACCTCCGTGGTTTCAACCTCCGGTAATGTGATATTCTCAAGACCACTTAAGAACTCGGTCGTTGCGTCAATCACCAAACCACCGTTCTTCCTAGCAGCCATCTTCTCCACTCGCCGCTTTTCCTTCTCCTCTTCTTCGCTGATTTGTCTCACCTCTACCGCTAACTGCTCCGGCGTCATCTTCTTTCTCGACTTTTGCTTCGTCTTGCGGGAAAGCGCAAGCATAGCCTGTAGCTCGTCGTCGTCATCTTCAAGCGAGGCGTTCGAGCTGAGCTCTACCTTTTGTAACTTGACCGGCTGCATCTCTTCGTCAAGCTTTCGCTTGCGACTGGAGGAGTCCTTTTTTTTCTTCGCCTTTTTCATCTTTATGGGCACGAAATCACTGACCAGAGCCTCTGCAACAATGTCCTCGTCCTCTAAGGAAAAGGCAATCTTTCGCTTCTCTGCCTCCTCTTCCACCACCTCGCCGTTGATCTTGATGGTTGTTTCCCCGTTCAACACTGAAATCTCTGTGGCTTCATCCTCGCTGTCATCCTGGTACTGTACATTCCCTACCTTTCCCATCTTCTTCCGCTCCTTGATTTCTTCCTTTAGCTTCCGCTGGGCCTCTAGGTCTGCGTTCACCAACTGGTCGCCGTCGCTCCCCTCGTCCAGGATATTTGAGTCCTTTAACGTGAAAATGGCATCCTCCGATAGCGTACCGATTTCCCTAGCCGAATGGTTGATGGAGAGCTTTGGGATGGCTTCCTCTGGCAAGGGTTCAACTGGAAAAGATTGGGGCTGGGACTTTGACGTTCCCAAGTTAGAGAGCCAGTCATCGAGATCCTCCTCTGCAACACCATCAAGAAGCGTGTATCCGTTTACCTTGAACTGATCGATCAGCTCCTCGGGTGTCGGTGCCTTTTGTGGTAGGGCTGTGTGTTCTCTATCAGAGTTTGCGGTTGGAATGGGAATAGGCTTCAAGCCCTGAGCAATACGGAGCTTGTTTGTTTCTTCAAGCGATAGCGAGATCTCATCCATAGTGCCACTTGTGTGTATGTATCGAGGTTTAGGCTTTCGAGGTGGGCTTGTGGGTTGGGTTAGTAGCAAGAGCTGAAATTGCGTAGCTGCTTAGAAAAAAATGTTGCAGGCGCTATAGATGCAGGATATAATATATTTATACAGGATATGATAACTTTGTGCAGGATAAACACCATAGGGCATGAGTGGATGGTATCAAAAATGGAGAGACTGACGGTTCTGTCATACAACTTTAATGCTTTAGGTATTGGAGTTGATTAAGGAATTGTAAGTTTAAAGATTGAAGGTTTGCTTCACGGGTTACTTGGCTCCATCCTAGCTTAGATATAAGTTTGGAACAAGTCTTGTTCGGCTGTATACAGTGTCTGAGGTGTCAAATGACATTCATGCTAGGTTCAAGTTATTGGCCGCTGAATATTGCACTCAGGCCACTGGATACCTTCCATCCATCATTTTCTTTGTAGCTTCATCTCTGTAGTGCTTTCTCAGATTATCCACAAAGTAGCCCGCAAGGCCCCGGCTTACATGAATGTTCCATCAAGTCTATTAATACACCAAGTAAAATAAAAAGATGGCCCCTGCAGTGTCTTTATGTGTTTCTATGACTAACAAGGAGCCATAACACTGCGGAAGGGCACTGGGAAACCTGTCAGCTCTGCATGATGCCTAACTTTTGTGCATACCAGCTGGGGCTCTTTCCCGAGACTTTTGTAACATGCCAACCTTTTTAGCGTCAACCATGGCTTTCCCTAGTGCTTGCCACTGCCCCAACGGTCGTAGCAGTACAACCCAACAATAGTCAAGCCCAAACCGCTGCTCTGGAGCACGCCCATCTTCTTCCCTTCGATGGCTACAGCCACAGTGATCACCACAATACGCTTGCAGATGTTGGCAACAGAGTAGTTCACCGGGGTGATCAACCCGAGCAAGTGGAAGGCAATCAAGGACTGGACAAAATGCGCCATCCCATTCAATACCATCATCCAGACGATGAAAGGCGAGAGCGCGCGGAGCGAGCACAGCTGGTTGGAGAAGAGCTCGGAGTAGGCATAGAACGGGAAGGTGAGCGAGAAGCCAAGCACCGAGCAGTAGAAGAGAATGGTAAGCTTGTCGAGCTTTTTGTTGTTGTTATCAGTGACTTTGACGTCCTGATCTTTCTTGGCCATTGTGGGGTTGGCGCTCAGGGACAACGGGTCTGTTTTCCTGAGGGTCAAAATGTTCTTGGCAAAAATATTCTGCGAGACAAAGATCAACATGGAGACAAAGGCGTAGAAAATGCCGGTGTAGAAGTACTCTTCCTCATCAGTGACACCCTCCTTTTTCTTCATACACGTCATCATGACACCACAGACGAGCGGAAGCAACGTAAGGTACGTGACAGTCTTGTACGGCTTCTTGAACATGAACCGGTAGATGAGCACGGTGGTGAGCGGGGATAAGGACTTGATGGTGTGCACGAGGGAGACAGGGATCATTGACGTGGCCTTGTGGGAGGAAATATGGCCCACAAACTGGAACATCCCCATCGGCAACGTGGTGGAGATAATGAGCTGGGTGGGGGTAATAAACTCGAAGATGAGCGGCACGAGCGCCTTGGGCGTTGTGAGCGACGGAGGCAACGTTCCCATGGGGAACAACGGCACGAGGCGAGGGGCGCTGGCGCACAAGCTGATCACCACGAGACACAAGAGTGAGTTGATCAAGAACTGGGCTTCGGTAAGCGTCACAGGGAACGTGAAATTTTTCAAGATAATCTTGGTGGAGTTGTTGGAGATGGCCGAGCAGAAGTACCAGAAGAGGCAGAGTGTGACAACCTTCACGTCGACCGGCGGCATGAGCGCACGGAGTTTCGCGCCCAAACTGTTTCGACTGGCATACGCGTTCGACAGGCTTCTTGGCCTTGCCATGCCCTGAAGGTTGGTGGAGGACTGGATAGGCGAGAGCATCTTCGTGGATAGGAAGATTCTGCCGGAGCGGGAATGTGTGGACGAGGTGGCACCTCTGGGAGGGTCTACGAAGAATGGCGTATCCAGCAACGTTCTGCCGTGGCTCTGCTTCGCAAACGGCGCTTGCAGCGAGATGGACAGAGATCTCCGCTTGGTTTCCTGGATTGTAATCATTGGTGTGGATGCAGATGGATATCAGAGGGGGAATGTTATTAACGGGTATGAAAAAAAAGATGGCTTTCAATGGCTGGGATATCGATGGTATGTATTGATAGTTTCAGGGTCTAGCGAGGGAATTACGTGTTGACGTGTCAGCTGATATTTGCGGGAATAAGCGAAAGTAGGGCAAAATCAGTAGATGGATATATGGCAGCAAAAAGTCCAGCTAAACTCTTGTAGAAATAAAGAGGTCGAGTCTGTATGGAAAGAAGGAGTATTTTACCTTCTGCGATTGCCGCCTATCTGTCCTGGTCCGATCGCCAAGTTTCTTTTTTTTTTTATGTTTCTTTTTCAGCCACCTTTTCGCTGAGAGTACGCAGAAGCAACGGGTGTGTGCCGGATTCCGGAAGCCAATGCTTAACTCTATTTGGGTGGGCCGTTGCCGAACCCGACCGGATAAACGCCCCCGGCACGTGCCAATGACGTATATGTAGGTCGGAGAGGTACCGATTGGGACGTGTGCAGCTGCGATCGGGCTAAAAGCCGCATATACTGCCTTTGCCCACTTTCCTCTTCCGGCCGCCGGCCTGCGGGACCCCTTAGAGCTGCAAGGTGGAGATCGGCCTGCCTGTGTCTGCATAACGAGGGGCCTCGGCCTTGGGACAACGTTGACTGGGAGGGTGGCCACATTCATCGGCATGTTCGTTGGATGCCCTTCAGGTCTTATTTGGTGGGTTAATCTGGATAATGAGACATGAGCGAATAGGGTGAGAATGGGCCATATGCACGCGGTTTAGAGCTCCTTGTTTACAGATCAAGGCTGCGGCATTGTCATTACACGGCCGTTCCATCTACAGAACAGAACATTTCACGGTTGCATCGTATAGGTAACTGAAGACAAATACTACCTGGGGGCGTTCAGGAGCTGGTTTCATAGATTGGGTGCATGCAGATATGTCTTCATGAAGGACAAACGCTGAAGCTAGGCCATAAACAGACTGCCCAATTATGGTTTTGTCAGGTGGACACGCATCATTCATATACAAGTAACCCGTTATTGTTCACTCCTCCTTTTGGGCTAAGGCCAAACTCCACGCCCAGGAGATAGGTCAAAGAACGGGTTGTGGGATTCTACTGATGTCGAGGCTTTTCTCCAACCCTCTGTGGACCCCAATGAACACACTGTCCTATATAACTGGATAGTGACGTTCCGTAGGCAGAAGCGAGACTCTTTCAGCCTCCTAATCATGATTATTAGCTTGATTTTGCATGGGATTTCAAAACTATGAGATGCTTGGTTCGCACTATCAAGGAAATGCCAATGTTATTGCTACGGCTTTTATATACGAACCTAGATCTTTGGATATATGGCACAGGTCATGACTTAGGTTTTTCTTACGCGTATAGATTCACTACCAAAAAAAAAAAAATCTAAAATAAATCTCAAAAAATGACAGAACCCGACGCGGGGGTCGAACCCGCAACCTTGTGATCGCGTACTGCTAAGAGTCACACGCTCTACCGATTGAGCTAGCCAGGC